TGCGTCGATGATCTTAACCCTGCTGGATGTTCCACAATTTAGTACATTCATTTCCTCTCCGTTGATAAACGCTTGGTTGATCTCCTGGTCAAGTTCGATGACCTAATACCATAACCGATCGATATCTTATTTGGGGATCTCAGTGGTCGAGGTTAAGCGCAACTCTTGAACCATCATGTCCCATTTAGTATATGACATGGCCACCTCTTTGTTTATAACCCTCTGCTTTCTCACTCCCCTTGTTCACACCCCCTCCCTTCTCGGGTCCCGATTCCCACACCCTGCCATGAATCAACATATGATAGCCCTCCCGACCCCATCCTGTCGGCCGCACAGCCCACTCCCTCGTTTTCATCAGCCATCTCATCATTGGTGTGACCCCGAGGCTATCCCTCGCTCTGTTGTTCCCTTCACCTTCCCCCCCCCTCTGTTTGGAGGCCATGCATGTGCTTGATAAACCGAGGCTTGCCCAGCCAATTCATTGGGGCACGTTTCCCCCCCTGTATGGGCAAGGCCTCAAGTAAATATCCTCTCAATTAATGATGGAATGCCATCCTCTCTTCCCTTTGTTCCTCTCTCGTCCCTGTTTCTGACACCCCGCTCCTGCCACCACCAATGACCTGACTCGTGGTCGTGGAGTGGTGGGTCGAAATGGTGAGAGTGTGTCTTGGGGACAGGTCCGGTTGGACTTGGCTAATGCATGTTCGTGTGGCCATGACAATCCTGTTGGGAACTTGGTGTTGACTCTGAAGAGGTGGCGCACTCTAGTAATGGATCTGTTCTGAATTCGACGAGGATTTGAGTCGGCCAAGCGCGCAAAACGAGTAAATTGGATCTGAGACCGAGACGAGGACTTATCACGCAATGCGCCCGCTCAACATAAGTATATATCGTGACTAACAAGTTTACTTTGCACCTTTGCCAATTCCTTTAGGGCAGGAACATGGACGAGGGGCGGCTTTGTCGGGTTGCCACCTGAAACATTCCTTTTGATAGGGGACCAAGATATCTTGATTTAGTGCCTTCACAGAATCTCCTGGTCAACAAACATGACATTGTTCTGTTGTAGCAATAGCTCAATTTCTTGGCGGCCTTCTTGGTCCGAATATCTCGCACTCCAGCACATCATTATCAATCCTCTATGGACTCTTGTCCAACCTTTCCGCCATCCTCTCTGACAGCTTATGGAAATGCTCTCTATCTGGACAATATTCACCATTGGAATGATCATCCAATTGCCAAACCGTGATTGATGCACGATTTTCCTCGCATAGCCCATTCCATGTTAGCGGTGACACTCAATGGCTGTTTCGGATGAGTTCCCTTCGATTTCGTATCAAGATCGGTGTGTAACAACCCCTGAGAAGCCTAACAAGAAGATACGCCATTTTCTTCTATCGATAGCATCCGAACTTCGCTCAGTTGTCGATTCAGGATACATTGATTGGTGTCTTCGACGAGGATTATCATGGATTTGGGTGTACAGTCGCTCATGTCAACTTCGAATTTGGAAAATCGACCCATTTCTTACTTCCAGAGCTCTCCTTCAATGATGCCCCGTATCTTCTCCTTTGATCATCCTGTAGCCAATCTTCTGATTTGGCTGATATCAGGATCAACTTGATGGCTGACGCATAGTAAGACGACCCCGAGGGATACCGGAGGTGGCTTGAACAATAATATTCCTTCATTTATTCGTCATAAGGTTGGTTATCTGGCCCATGTTGCCTCGCTTGGCTCTTGTTCCCTCCGTGCTCCAGCGAGCGCAATCATGCCTCTGACAATGGACTCGTGGTCCCCAGCACCAAATCATTCCCCTTGTTCTTCACCTGCATTAGTCTTCCTCGATCATGGACTCCCAAAGACCAAGCCGCTAACAATCAAGTGCCTAGAAGTAAATCCAAGGGTCGGGCATCTGGTGGAGCTATCAAGCCTGGCGTTACAGCTATTTTTGTGCCTCTAAGAGTCTCCAAAACGAAACGGGATACCTATGTCGAGCCAGAACTATTGGTATTTCCGGGACCTGAATACACGCGCACATTCCAACCATGGGCAAACAATATGTCCAAGGATGCCAAGGTAGTGATTACCTTTGACAATGCACCATGGCGACAGGGCAAGGGCTATTCACCCAGTCCTCGGAGGCAGGGGCTTGCTCGGTACATTGAGCAGTTCGAGCACCATCGCCGCCAATACGACGTACAACATGATTACCGTCCAGATCGATTGAGGAGACTGGAGAGCGACTGGAGGTCTTCACTCGGAGGCTGCCAAAGTGATATGTTCTATTTTTTATGGCATAGTTAGACGCATGGCATAGTATGCTACGCTGACATATGGGTTGTGGGCAGGTGTCCCATTTTCCCCTGAATACAGTGCAATGCGTATCGCCCAGCTTGGCGACCGACCAACCTCATTCAATCGACACAATCCATCGTCCTGTTTCAATTGGGCAAGTTGTATCAAATCCCTGGATGTTCTGTTTCAATCCGAATGCGCCAAAGTGTAGTCCTGCCAAGGTTGGGAGTTTGGGTTGGCCCGAGCTTCGGCCGATCATCGATGCGGTTTGCAAAACAGCGTGGGCAAGGCAAAGGTTTGGCCGGCCCTCCTGCAACACAATCGGCCCTGACTCTGGATGCCGAGAACTAGGTTTTGTAGCGCGGCGCGTCCGTCAGCACCTTTCTGCAACTTTCTTGCAAATTTGTCACCCCTGTCCTCTTGTCCTTGCAGCCGTTTTCGTCACCTCTTTGGACAGGGAGTGGCGACCCGTGGCTCCCTCAAGAGCAGCCTCGGTGACACAGAAGAGGCAAGGACCCTGCTCAGCAAGTCCATGTACAGCAGGTTCACGGCGGTGCACCCAGCCCCCTTGCTCGGCAGTGGCCGCCTGTGCGACTGCAAGAGGAAAGGCGATGGCTCGGAAAGAAAAAAATGGAGTACAAGGATGTACTTGAGCCACCGCGCATCGGCTGGTGTCCTTGCTCGGCGCTCTCGTGAAGCGCGGCTCGTGCCCTCGTGCACACTCGCGTGTACATCGGTGGGATGGTCGGGCTTTGTCTGGCCCTTGTCGTTCATCCATGGCCGCCTCGCTGGCCCGGCAGCACCTCGAGCCCGTCGCTGTCCTATAAATCCGCCTGCTGCTGGCCCCGTCCTCACCATTCCCCACCACCAGTCTCGCCCTCGATCCGATCAGATGCTCGTCAAGACGGCCGCCCTCACCCTCCTTTCCTTCGTGGCTGGCTCCGCGTTGGTTAGTGCCTCCGCCCAGACTCCGCTGACCTGTGAAAGCAATGGTGTCTCCTTCTCGTTCCTGAATGGCGAAACCAAGGTCGTCGTCCCCTGCCAGGAGGGCTTCGTCTGCCGCCAAACAACCGAGGACGACATTGACTGCGTGCCCTCCACCGACGCCGTCGAGAACCTGCCCGCCGAAGACTTTGCTCTCCAGGCCAAGTCGACCAAGTCCAAGAAGGCCAAGTCGACCAAGACAAAGAAGATCAAGTCCACCAAGACCAAGTCCACCAAGACCAAGTCGACCAAGACCACCTCCGCTGTGAGCACCAAGACCACCCCTAGCTCTTCCGCCACCACGACCACCGCCAAGTCGACCAAGACCACCACTACCACTGTCACCACGACAACCGCCACCACAACGGCTGGTCCCGCTCCCTCGGGCACCCCTTCCTTTGTCCCCCGCAATGCCCCCAAGCCTGTGGGTGTCGTTGGCTACTGGCCCAACTGGGCCATGTACAGCCGCCCCCAGAACGGTCCCACCGTCGTGGACCTGACAGGTGTCAACGTCATCAACTACGCCTTCTTCAACGTCCTGGACAATGGCGACATTGCCAGCTTCGATGCTTGGGCTGACTTTGGCACCGGTGGCCAGCAGATGGACATTGACCCCTACACCGGCAAGAACAAGGGCATCTACAACCTCAACTTCATTGCCCGTGAGAAGAACCCCAACCTCCGCACGGTCGTCTCGTTCGGTGGCTGGTCTGGCTCGGTCCACTTCTCCAACGTCGCCAAGAGCTCTTCCGCCCGTGCCAACTTTGTCTCCAAGGCCATCGCCTTTGTCAACAAGTTCCATTTCGATGGCATTGATATTGACTGGGAGTACCCCGGAGGCGGTGGCCTTCCTTGCAACACTGTCGACCCCAACGATGCCATCAACTTCGAAACCCTCCTTGGCGATCTCCGCAGCGCCTTGGGTCCTAACCGCATCCTTTCGATCGCCTCTGCCGGTGCCTCCTTCCGTTACAATGTCGGCAGCAAAAACTATGTTTCCAGCTACATGAAGCATCTCTCGTACCTCCAAATCATGAGCTACGACTTTTATGGCTCCTGGGTCCCATACACCGACTTCAACGCTCCTCTCAACGAAGACCCCAGCCAGCCCAAGGCAAACCTCCAGAACAACCAGGTCTTCAGCATTGCCAACGCCTTCAAGGATTTTGTCGGCCAAGGTGTCTCTCCGAGCCAGCTGGTCGTCGGCCTTGCTTTCTACGGCCGCTCCTGGATCGCTTCCGCCAAGGGCAGCAACAACGGTCTGTACCAACTGTGTGGCAACCTTGCCAACGGCCAGAAGCAGGACCCCAGCAACCCCAAGGCCTGCCCTGCGCCTCCTGGTGACCAGCTCGATGCGGACTGGACTGATCCCTGCGGTGCCACATACAAATCTGGAGTCTGGATGTACCTCAACCTGCGCAAGCAGGGTGTTCTCTCTGGACCCACCACCGCTGGCTCCGGCTACACTCGCCAGTACCACGACTTTGCCCAGTCCCCCAGCTTGTACGAGACTAGCACCGGCCGATTCATTTCCTATGACGATCCCCAGTCGCTGCAAGCCAAGGCTGCCTGGGCCAAGGCTCAAGGTGCTGGCGGTGTCATGTTCTGGGAACTTTCCGAAGACTACCAGCGCGAGCTTTTGAACGCCGTCCAGGCTGGTTGGGGCCACTAATCGCAATCGGGACATCCGTGTTTTTGACGATTGATCAAATATTTTGTTACCCAATATAATCGCGCACTGGCCATGACCATTCTGTGATTTGAATCAAGGACGCCATTGTGGGAATCGCTTCCAGCTCGAGATGCGCTGGATGAGTGCCACACCAAGTCCCAAGATCCCTGGGTTGGCTTCCTTCCTGCAATACATTCGCCATGTGTTCGATGGAGACATGCTGGAGAAACAGCTGTACTTCAGCCTGACCCGGCGACGGCGATTCAAGCGACTCGATCTCCACAGCAAGCGACAGCGCACTGTCCACGAGATGTGCAAGCAAGTCATTGACCAGGCACCAAAGGAGACCGAGGTGGTGATTGCCTTTGGGAACGCCTCGTGGAAACAGGGGAAGGGATATGCTTCCAGTCCCAGGAAACTCAGGTTCGCTCGGTATTTCGAGCAATTCATCCACCACCAGAGACGACCACCAGACCGATCCGTCTCCAAGATCCGTGTGTGCTCGGTGAACGAGTTCAACACGTCCCAGGTGTGCTCACACTGCCGGGAAGCCAAGCGACTCGAGAAGGTCGAGCATCTTGATATCGAGAAACCATGAAGCTGTGCAGAGGGTCGAATGCATCCACCACACTCACACATCGAGACATCAATGCCTCAAGGAACATGATCTCGGTATGCCAGTCGATCATCACCACAGGAGATCGGCCGGGTGTATTCAAGACCATGCTCCCGAAACCAACGAAATCAAGGAGATTGCCGACGAAGACAGGAGTGCAATGCCATGGCCTGCCCGCTGGGCCTACAGTCAGTCAGCGGGGTTCAGGCCTCTGAAGCCAGGAAGGAACTGTCCCGTTTCTTTCTGGATAGACTGTAAGCGCAATCCCTCATCACCCAAACCCATTGCAGTATGTAACCCTCTCTCCCTGAGAAACTCTCTCCCCTCCCCCTTTCCATAATCACCGGGCTTGATCCCTTTAATATACGACAGATTCCGTGCTTCTCCTCGAGTGGAGATCGAGATTTGTATGTCCTCAACAGCCCATGGCGGGAGAGGCGTCCTGCAGTCGGTGGAGCGGCGCTCTGTCGAAGACACTGCAAATCGGCTGTGGAATCTGACCCACCGCCTCTCCATGCTTTCAACGAACATTCAGCTCCAGTTCATAAGATGTGGATGGAGCATGGCAGCTCACTTTGGTTCGACTGGCAATGACCTGGCGGTGACCTGGAGATGACCTGGAGATGACCTGGAGATGATCTGGCAGTGATCTAGACTCTAGATGAAGCTATATTAGAACCATGTTCAGCTTCCAAGTCATGACATCGTCAAATTGGTCGACCTCACCTCGGTGTATCATGCGGTTCGTCATCACTGGTGCTTTCATTTATTTCCGAGCTGTTGGCTGAGCAGAAAGGGTCGTCGCCTCTTCGTAGACACTCCATCAGTCCTGCTATTGTCTCTCCGGAAACCACAACTCAAGCACCGCCGACCCCTGTTTCGATTCGCGCGGCCGAATACAGCTTCGATGCCTTCGATCATGGAGGTCAGACGTCCTTCTCGCACACTTACTGTGAACTGTCACATCTAACTACCGTCATGGTTATCTCGGGCCTCCTTAGTTCCTCCTCGATCCACCCCACGAAACACTCTTCAAGCACTCGTGCAATGTAGGATAGCTATCACTATATTATCCGTGAGATTCCTTGATGAAGGCTAACGCTGATGCTGAAGCAGTTTTCAGAGAGTACCACCTTGATGATCACACTCGGGCGCTTCTTCGATCCGAGAGGAGAAAATCGGAGGTCGGTACGCGCCAATGGAGGGTGAAAGCATCTATGGTTGGCGACGCTGACGCTGCCGTCACTGCCAAAGACTCAATCCAAGCGGCGCTATGTCCAAGTCGCTCTTCGGATGAGCCTGTCCGATGTGATCAGTTTTGATGGTTTGTGGTCTCCTGAGTCTCAAAATGCCCATCAAACGATGTCGAGATTGCTTATGTGGCCCGACAGCTCCCCTCGCCACGGAAATAGTTTCATGGCATCCAGATGAGCTGGATCAAATCGCCTCTGCGGGTAATCCACACATATCTCGTCTTAGTCCTGTTGTGGCATCGGCTGTGGGCGATTGGTGTTCTCAAAGTCGCTCGCGGTATCAATGACCCCCTCCTTTTGATCAACCTTTAGAAATACTTACTTTGAATCATTCTCTTTGCATTCTTGGCATTGGGTCCTCACCGCTCTCTCGAATGCTCCTGAGCAATCAGCAAGCGCAGTAATTCTGATAGTTGACAACGATGACCTCTTTCCGGAACAAATTCACACCACTGTCTCGATTGAAGCACTTCCGGTTTGCAACGAGTACGCTGTTGGTTGTATTCACAATATGGCAGTGTATCTGGCTTCTTAGTCACAAGCTGATGGCTTCCATGCAGGTTCTACCCCACCAACATTGCATCGGAGCTGAGATCGAGCCTCAGGCTCCACAGGGCTCGCGGTCACTCGCAACGCTTCTGCTTCACAGCAGTACTGTCGTGCCTTGGTGTTGAGTCCATCAGAATGTATGTCAAGAGCACTCCGAAGCACCGTTGGACACGAATTTGTGCGATGCAGACACATAACCTGAATATGACAGCAGAATCAGCCAAACGTACGAATGCCAGAACCCCAAGTGCCGCTGTCCGGATCATTTGCAAGTATATTTGGGTCGCCAACGATCGTGTCTGGGTCACGCACCTTGCATCTTGCACCCATTGACTTTGCGCTACCATAAAGGATATATCTGCCTCGGGCGTCAGGCAAACGAGTATTCAAGAGATCGTGGTCGGGAGCACACTTGAAAACCTCAACAAGGTATCCGATCGCTATCGTGCTAACAGACAGCATGCTTCTGAGCGACGCCATGTGTATTCATCAATTGATATGTGAGATCAGCTTTGCCCTTCATGCTTTGGACTTGATTTGCTCACGTTGTGGAAGCAATCTCGATCAAATCCCTCTCGACCAAGTCGTCCTAGGTAGAAATCGTACCAACGTGCCTCTATGCCTCAAATTATATTATTTAGATCGTTTCCCATGCTCAACTGCTATGTTTGACGTTTTAGTACTTCGGCCAGGAGAAGCCACAGTGACCGAAGCCGACGGCAACGTCAGCGGTATGGCGTACCTTGCAGCATCCCCCAGCAAATGTCGTCTGCATCGACCCAGATCGTCGCCTCCCATCCGCCAGTCGGAATTGACACAAAAGTTTCCGCCTCTGACGGCACCTTCAAGCACTGACCGTCAGTATCAGAGGTGCGTTTCAGTGGTTGTGAGACGGAAGCGATTACAATGAACAGTAATCGAGCTTTGGCATCGATGTCTATTTTCGCATGTAACATTCCTTCTTTCAGATGACCATAGCGATTTTCTCGAAGTTGGTGAGGGGCTCTTTCCTGGCAGCGTTGTTTCCGACGCAAACGCTCACAAGAATATTGATGACGTCGGAGCGGCCAGGTGATCGCTGTGTGTTCACGGCAACTGCCTACCGGGGTTGGCTCGACCCACTTCCCCTCAAGGATGCACAGCATGCCCACGGCTGCTGTATTTTGGTACGATGCAGCAAATCCCATGAAATGCGTATCTCACGAGGTCCCGGTTCACCTGTCGGTTCCCACATTTCAGATTGAATCGGCTCGGTTGATATCATGGGTATGTGCACTTGCTACCCAGTTGAAACGCTGCAAACGCCCAAGCTTATCGCCACGATCTATGATAGCCACCTCGATCGATGCCAGCAGCCGTCAGCGGCCCTCATGGCCGAGATGATTCGCTCATTCGGGAAATGAGCTTGAGACTGGCTCCGCTTGCCTTTACTCAGTGGCTTGCCGACCGATTCTGTGCTACTATTGTTCCGCCGTCGCTATGGACAAGGTTGAAACTCACCCTGTTGCTCAGGTTCGCTGGTCGCAGCTGAATCGATCTGCAAACAATGTTGGCATTGCGACGCTGCCATCGACTGATCGCCAGCAGTGTGGCTTTCGGATCGCCAGCATTGTTTCTGTTGCAGATCCAAAATCCTCGATGCTCCAGGATTCTCCCCAGCGAGATAGAATCAATGTTCTTATTGTCTCCAGCTCCGAGGAGCCCCTGCTTTCAGATCTCCTCGGCGCTGCTGGCCGTGTTAAACGGTGTGTATATTCAGTCCCATTTGGCCGCTCCGCTGGGTCTTTCTGAGCCCGTTGCCTGTCGTTGCTACAGGTTTTCTACCTGGAAATGCGGGTATGATGGCAAGCGTGAGTCGTTGTGGAGTACCGAGCAGAAGCCTGATGGAACTTGCCATGTCCGAGGTAAGCGAGCTATACAACTGCACCACTCGCCTTCAAGGGCTTCTCGGGATTAGCGCTGAATCGTTATCGTATTGCCTCCAGCGGGCCCGCTGTGCTATGCCAGAGGCGGGATATTGCTAGTACCGCTCGCCGGCTTGAAGAGTCAGGAGCTTTCTCAGCTCTCAAATGGTACTTCGATCCCTTGTTGTTTCTGTTGCTCCAGCAGAATAGCGGTTGACTCTATGGCTTGCGCAGTGATGAACAACGCTGTCACACGGCCCTTTCCGACCCGCTCAACCGAGCTGAAAGTGACGGCCGACTGTGCCGTGTGGGGGACATATACTCTGCAGGAACGCGACCCACCCCAGTGCTCGTCTTCACTCTCTATCCCCCGGCCAATACAGTCTATTGCCGGGTGAGCGATGTGCAGATGAATGCAGCAGACTCTGTGGGACAGCTGATGCTCATGAATTTGTTTCAGCAAATTCGACGTTTCGATAGCACTTCAATTGGCCGCAAGCGACGCACGACACGACGCGGAGCTATCGGCCGCCACCCTTCGGCGCAGCATTCACACTCAAACGGCACAAGAACGAGCCTTTGGCGAGGAATTGGTGGAGGTAGTTTCTAGTGGGTTACACTCGCTATTAGTAGTCTGCGGAACTTGACAGATTTGGTCCCATCCTTCCAGTATTTGCACGCAGCGTCGAAGGTTCAAGTGAGGCACGTTGTTTCCACTTGCTCCGAGCCCCTTCTGGCATCCGCCCGACGCATCTGATTGCTGTTGTCACCCAGACTTTCAACCGAATGCCAAGGGCTCTTTCAGTCATACTTCTCGGCTCTGCGGAGATCGTTGGGCAGTGTCCATATTGGATACGAGCCAGCCTTCAACACCATCCAAGTTTGTAGCCATCGTTTGCGTTGTTTGCATCGTCCGCGCCGATTGACTCGTTGCCAGTGGGGCAGCTGTCCACTCATCATACCCAACGGTACCGTGCTTCGACGCCATGTTAAATAGACGCTGGTGCGACTCGCAAAAGCCCATGCCCAGGTGCTGCTGCTTCTTGTGCTGCAGACAGCCAATGCCGTCAGGACTCATCCGCCGTTTTCCTTAGCTTTGTCAGCGAGGTTTTACCTTGCTTGATGATGCTTTGATCAGGTATGGTAGCTGTCACGGGCTCGTGCCTCCATAACAGTTAGCTCGACATGTGTCGGGAATGCAAGGCTCATTGTCCATGCTCCCCTCATTCTGCGATCTGGTTGCAATGCTTGGATCCACGCCTGGCGGATTCAGCATATGGATGGTCGAGGAATCGCTCGCCTTTGCGCTGGGTGATTCCTTGTTGGGCTTCAGGACACGGTCATTTGGTCGCGACAACCTTTCGGCACTATTTCAAAGTCCTGGGCCCGAAGCCCTGGCGCCTTCGGCTCTGGATCATAACGAAGTACTCTGGCGGCGGTATGTTAGCCGAAGACCGAGCGGAAGACCGAGCGGAAGACCGAGCGGAAGACCGAGCGGAAGACCGAGCGGAAGACCGAGCGGAAGACCGCATCGTGACTGGCTTCATTGTCGACTAATCTAATGACTGATTCGTGGCTGATGCAGCTTTCATGAGCATCTGCGATTGGTGCTGGATCGGTATGCAAGCCGTTGATCATACAAGTCTTATTTTCGATCGAGATGGGCCGTCCAAGTCACGCATGTCCATACACTGTATCGATAGCCTCGGCTCGCAGGGCGAAGCGATCGTCACTGGAGCAACGCCGCGCATGTGGCAGCTCCAAGCTGGCGCTTCATCTCTTGCTCGTCCAGGTCATGGCCTGGAGTACAATATCAATCGAGCGCATGTTATCCCATGAGATCGACCCGAGATAGTGACAGCAACAGAATCATACCGCGCTGGCACAGAGCCCTCGGTAGCTAGAGCCAACCCAAACTCGCTGAAGGCGCGTGGCTGCTCGTCCATCTCGCCTTGGGCCTCCAGATCTGCGATATCCAACGATCAAACCAACTTACTGTCTTCCACTTCACCCCAGAGTCGAATTTGCTCCCATACTTCCAGACGCGCGGCTCTAGCAGCAAAATCACAATCGATCTTGCGACTGAGCAGAGCAAGGGCCAAGAAAAACGATTTGGAATGCAAAACAGCCCGCTCGAACGCTTCAAATGAGACAACGCATTCGTGAGATTAGCCAAGGCGGTTTACCAATTGTATCGATTGATTATGATCGAGTCTGCCATATCGACCAGCAGCAGCAGCAGCATTCGGGACGAACATATATATATGCGACAGCAATGGCGGAGCAACATACCGGCCAACGACAGATTATCAAAGCCCTCGATAATCGACCTCAGCTGGGCAACCGTGTCGGGCGATTGGCGGGCACTCATAATACCATCGGTTGTGGTTACTTTGACATTGTACTCTGTCTCAACCCACTGGACAACGGTTCGCCAGTATTGGTTTTGAGCCTTTACAAACGAATCAGGATAGTCCTGGAAGTAGCTGGAGACGCCAAAAGTATCAGCTTAGGCACGAACTCTGTATCGAATTCCTCATTGGTATTCGCCAATATCCATGCGAACTACCACTCTCTATCCGCCAGTACTCACCTCCCCTCCCCCGCTATGGTTTGAACGAGAAGGAGAGAGAGAGCGCACAGCTCACCAGACAGAGTCGGTGTGGCAATATCGCAGAAGGTTATCGATGACACCCTGTCGAATGCTTGGATCGGAGAAAGAATCGATGGATCTCACCACAAGGGAGGTCTAGAGCGGGTGGGTAGAAGCGTCGGCAACAGTCAGTAGATGATTTCTTCTTCTGGGATGATTTGGGCTTTGATGGTGCTTTGGATCCAGGCTGGCGTTCGGCCTTGGCGGTGTGGGTCAGTATCTTGAATGGCATAATGGCCAAGAGCTAGCCAGTCCAGCTTTCCAGGTGCAAGCAACCAGCTATCTGACTGTACCAATGGAAGGGAATAGCTCTTGAGGTTTTTTTCCTGACTTTCCCACTCGCCAGCAACGAGATAGGCCAAGAGATGCTTGTTTCTTGGGATCACGACAGGCTTGCCCTCGGGTGTCTTCAGCTTTCGTCCGTCGAGCAGTATGTAGTATCCCTCTGGGTCGCATGCAATCGATAGCGGATTAATCAAACGGATCAACAGTCGCTTGGTGATGACGAGGTTTGCGCCGCATCGCTGATGGGAGCTTCATCCACCACAACGAAACGCCAGTACAAAGTATCGAGTGCCCAACGGGGCTTCTCGTGGCATTGATCCCGATAAATCAACCAGTGGCAGATATGGAGTGGAGTGCATATCTCTCCTTCTCGTTCTCTGCCTTGGATGGCTGTATATTCCTTTCTGTAAATATATCCTACCAGGCTCGCCGCGGACATCGGCCTTTTTCCAAAACCGTTTCATGGCGGCCGAGCTCTGACTCGGCGTGTGGTTCCAGGCTCGTTGGCTTTGGCTCCACTGTGATCCGCAAGACTCTGGTCAGCACACCGACTCGTCTTTTGTTTGCATCAATACCGCTTATACCATGCTCGACCGTGCGCAAATCCGAGACCCCCGACCGAGCTCGTAAGGACAGCCGCATGGACGCCTACCACTGGGGCGGCCATCTTGGCTGGAGCGGGTCGCATGGCCAGTCGGCCGAGTGGCGTTGCGGTGAAAGAGCGCAAGAGCGACATGGTTGGAATGGCAGGGTGTATTTGCACAAGATGCGCTCTGCTTGGCGATGCGGGGCGATCGAGGCGACTTGCGGCGATCGAGATGGCGTGCGGCGATCGCACCCAGACCCAAGGACCGGCTCGTTTTTCTGCACCGACGAGGTTCTGTGCCATGGCGGGGTTCTGTGGATCTGTCTGCGCATGCGCAGCGGCTGCAGTCCGGCCCGCCGTCCAATCAGCGGCGCAGGCGCAGAAAGAACGCGTTCTTGCATTCGCGCGAATCCGGCGGCAGGTATTGGTCGTAGAAGTTGACAATGAACTCCTCGGGCTTGAATCCGAACTTTTGATACAGGAGCATCGCGGGATTGCCAGCGGACACATGAAGGGTGATGTCTCGCCCTCCGGCTGCCTACGAGAGCCACAGGGCGTGAATGAGGCCAGGCGGTCGTGGTGGCCGGATAAAGGCAGGCACGGTGGCTCGCAGTGACCTGGAATCGGCGGCGGCCACCTCGATGCAATCAAACAGTGCAATCAAACAGTGCAATCAAACAGTGCAACAAACCTGAATTAGATGATAGAGCATAAATCTATCGTGGCATATGGTTAGATCTGACCGACAGGCGCCCATCCTGATGTGCTGTATTTCGACCTGAGACCAACCTGCCAATTCCGGCATGCTCCCAGCCAGGCCGGACAGCAATGTACGTCAAGTAAAACTCGGGAGTCATGAGCGCACAGCCAACGACGAGACGCTTGTAGAGGGCAACCACACCAAAGTCTGGCCAAGTTAGATTTTCCGAGACTGCGGAAAGAGTGAAATCGATCCATTGACGTAAGCCATCCACAATCACCCCTGTTCCCGTGAGATGGATCAAGGTTGTGAACTCAGTGGTCATCAGCTGCCGATTTGAGGCCAAACGTACCATCAATCCCAGGCCAGAATATTACCGATAAAATGCTGTTGACCTGCACCAGGTGCTCTCTGGAAAAGTACACATAGTCGATGCTGTCTTTCTCGACACATTTCCAAATTTCCCCCTGATAGCTGCAGGCAGGAGTTGGCATGTGTTATGAGGCGAGGAGATGCACATCAGCACGTCAGCACATCAGCACATCAGCACGTCAGTACATCAGTACAAAGCAAGTTTGTCTTGGCCACACTACCTGCTTCTCTTCGAAAGAATTTCGTGGAACAAAAGCATGGTTGCTGGCCGAGACGAAAAGTCTCTCCAGATAAAAGGCTTTAGCGCTTTGCCTGTATAGGAGCTCGTCCACGATTGTTGTGTCGACCAAGTGTCTCGGCCGCCAGCGCTGCCTAGCAGTCGTGACATGAACGATCGATGGTAGGGGGTATGGCTTTGGCCATAAATAGACTTCCGGCCCAAGATGACGAATGAGCATCCAACACGTAGTTGCGACTGATCAATGGTATGTTCGGGATTGAAGACGGTGTCTTACCTGGTGTCTGATTCGCGTTACAACTTTGTGAGGATCAATCGCCGGCGGGGGCACTATTTTCCCATCAACGGCGCTGAACGATTCGACCCACGGCATAGCCTGCAATTGGCTTTCCTCACGGACACTCTTCGATACGATAGCATCGATATTCAGCAGCGATAGCTTCTGGGCTCGCTTCAGGCGCCGAAGCCGTAGCTTTCTGTACAGTCGGCGCGAGGCCGTATCTGATTCCATAACGACCTCCAAACGATGGATGCTTTGAAACTCATCAATGAGACCCATGACGCGCAGTCGTCTCTCGCCCTGCTTGAAAAGCGTGGCAAGACGAGGCCCAGGTTAATATTCCCGATTTGTAGCCTGTCAGGCTTTGCGCCTCCAACATCGATCTTGAATTTGAAGTGCCATGGCTCATTCGATGCCATGGCCCATCGATATGCTCTAAACCACTACCTTTTTCCTTTTGCTAGACTTCTCAGCATCGTCACGTAACGGGTGCACACGCGGCCGACCGCGCTTTCTGGGTTGCATCGCTGTTCTTGACTCGACTGAAGAGGCCCCAAACGAGGACTTGGCGTCGGAGATCCGAGCAAAGTCGCGATGGTGCTCAAGTGTATCCGAAGAATCTTCGCTGTCGTTTGTAATATCCGAGAGAGAAGATCCCCCGCTGAATAAGACGGCTGATGGACTCGGTCGATGCTCCAGTGGTATAGCACCAGAACGCAAGGTATCCGCAGCATGAATAGATGGCGTTTGATTGTGTATCGAGCAGCCGGGTGCTTCGATCACTAGCGAGTCCCTCTCTATACATCCAAGTTTCCGCAGGGCCTCGGCTTGTACGTCTTCTGAACTTTGGAGAGGCGACCTGGAACTAATCTTAGCATCCACAATCCCATCGATTTTGGCTTCGAGTTTTGAGTTCTGGTTTGGATCAACGCCATCTTGCTTTGAAACTGGCACAGGTTCGTCATCCGAGGAGCTTGAAGAAGACGATACGGGGACAGGACGCTTCTTCGTTGACGTTCCAAGAGCGAATAAGAGAATCGCACGCGCGTATGTCATGTGCATAGTACAAACAGAGGGTTGTTGCAAGGGAAGGAAGAGGACGCATAAGAATAGGGGCTGTCCATGCAATGAAATGACACCAATTTTCCCGTAGATCATATCGCAGTGAGCTCGAGAGGCCTTATTTTAGTGGCCTAGCTTCCACGAGCGGAGGGTGGAGCGCACCTGCATGTCCGACAGGACTGGGGAGACAACACGCCCAGAAACCTTTGTCGGTCGAGAACCGGAGGCTGCGTTTTTCCGCTTAAAGAGAATCATAAGCGCAGTTGAGCATCAAGTTTATCTCGGCTGCTGCACTCGAGGTTATACTTCAACTGTGTCCATGGAATGCGAGTCTGGACCTACCTGACGAGGCCGCTTTGGTGAGGCTTCCCAGTCGTCATCCGAAGATTTGCTTGTCTCCTTGAGTTGATCCGCCTTGGATAAAGAGCAGAGTGAGGACAGGCAGATATCCAGATTACCCATACGTGAAGAATACTCGCACCGAGCTAACCCGCTAACCCGCTAACCTGCGTTCTTTGGGACCTTTTAGAAGTCGCCTATCGATGTACAGTGGATGGGATCAATTAGGACAACACATGCACCCTATGCAGTCATCGACCGATTAACCATACGCATTGACGCCGCCAACACCTGGGTACCAATATAGTCCATATACCTTTCCTCCGGATGAGCGGACCGGCGTGATCTTACGTGAAGTGGATGGGCGGGAACCTGTCAGATGCGTACTACTCCATTCCAATTCCCTGGAAAGCTAAAGCTGACTATTACCAAGCTCGACATGGACACACCCAAGCAAGCCCTCGATGGCTTTGGTACATTCTCCATGTGCCCATCCATCTTGTGCCCATCGACCGCGTGCCCTTACTCCTTTGGAGCGTTTGGGTGCTCTGTTTGTTCCGGGTTGCGGGGGCGTCATGTGTTGAAGTGTCCACCATCCTTGGAGCGAGGGAAATGTTATTTCGAGGCAACTCACCCGCTTCACCGCCCCCTACATTTTTTTCGGCTGGTAGTCGCCCATACCTGACTGTGCGTATTTATCAAAGCCGGAGAGGAAGTGTGTTGGATGGGTTGACAAAACGCTTGCAACTGTATTCTGCCAAGTTGGCGTTCCTGGGTCCAGATCAAGGGTAGCCGTCAGTGCACCGAGTTTCACATAAACCAGCAAACAGGCGAGCATAATGATGAGATCCGCGTGGAACGGAGACACCAATAGTCTCTTCGTCTGAGGCTGCGGCAATGCTGGGATGCCTTTGCCATCCATGACGTACTCGTTTTGCCTGACAGCATATAATCCCAGTTTCGGTCGATAAAGTCGCAAATATCCTCTTTCCAACGCACAAACTCTTTCCCGGGAGAGGACTGGACGATGTTGTATATACTGAGCCAGACGATCTGGACCCTGCATCCAGCACAATCGTCAGTCATGTTGTGGTCACCGATTCATTGGACTTGAATGATGTCATTGCAACGAGGCAGCCTCTGGCACTGAATAGGCGATCGCTCTTGCAGGTGGGCGATAACATTACCAGCTCATATTCAGTCGCTCATATTCTTCCAATCCGCCTGTACATGCGCGACACCTGAATTGGTAGAAGCAATCTCCGCGGAGTTGCTGACGACCAGGAAGACATTGCACGCAGTCTGATGGAGAAGGAGCGATCAGCCATGCCCGTTGCCTATTATCCAATTCCCACGCTTCGGCATACTCACGATTATGGAAGAGCTGGCCGCATGTGCCGCATTTGAGCTCGTCGTCCCTTCAGCGAGGCAAGCAAACGGCGGTAAATAAGGCGAGTGTCGCAGCGCACCCATTCATCGGGGGCAAGTCCTGGGATATACGTCGTCGATCACACGTTGCACCTGGGCTGGCCTACCTGAGCGACTCGCCGCCGCAGTAGCACATGGCTGGATGGCTGGAGATGGCTGGGGGAGGGCGGTCCAGCGGCCGGTCGATGCGAGATGCAGACGATGATCAGCGACAGGCTCGCAGAGAAACCTTGGAGCAGCTGTCACGTGCAGCAGTTGGCGGGAAATGCCGAGCCAGCGATCGGTCTGCCGGCGGGTGAAGTGATCTGCCGACGGGTGAAGTGATCTGCCGGCGAGCGAGGCCAAACCATCCTGGCTGCATTTCGACCTCGGACGCGACGCCTACCTGGAATCGGACGAGATGGTGCAGAGAAGTAAGCTGAGCTTGCTCGCTCGTCAATCCTGTCGCAGGGAAATTGGAAAACTGCCCATCCGGCAGCGAGGCAACCAGACTGACAGTCGTCCGTGGCTCGATATCATGACGCGATCACAATCGCGGCTGCATCCAACCAGTCGATCAAGAGCTCCTGCGAAAGCGAGCTGAGCACAATGATGGAGAGCTCTCGACTCTGAAGGAAGTTACGTTGCATCAGTACGATCTCGAGAAAATAGAGAACCTTGACGTCTACTGCCGTCATCTCGAACAGCTCTTTCTCCAAAACAACCAAATTATGAAAATTGGTAATCTCGCGTAGTAGTGGATATGCGCGCGTGCGCTTTCGCTCCATTGTCGAACTAGCCATGCAAAAGATTGCAATCGCATTTATGGCAGGAGGACATGTCGTGGGAGTGGCTCGTCAGCGTGCCCCCAGCGACACATCCGCTCCTATAGACGACAACACACCATATACGCAAAGCTGTAATCGACTGGATTCGTGACATTCGTCGATCGCAGCACGAGAAGTTTTGAAAATACACGAATCTAATCGGATTGATTCGCCGATAACGCGGACCCAGAAAACCTGGGCAAGCTCAAGGAGCTCAAGTACCTCAACTTGGCACTCAACAACATCACCGTCCTGGAGAACCTGGAGGGCTGTGAATCTCTCGAAAAGCTCGACTTGACCGTCAATTTCATCGAAGACCCTACAGATGTGCTGTCGCTGCGAAGCAATATACACTTGAAGGAACTGTGCGTATTAGTTTGTTAGCCTCTGTCCATGCCGGCGAAGCCTGTGGGCTGGATATGCTCTAACTCCACGCTCGCAGGTTCCTCATAGGCAACCCCTGTGCTGAGAAAGAGGGATATCGGAGCTTTGTTGTTCACACACTTCCTCAGATCAAGGTACCTCGATAGGGAGAAAACGCAGAAAGCGCGACTCGATGTCCACGCTCGACACCAATCAGTGTGCCGTATCGTCGCATTCATGCAGACAACTGACCTCCTCCTGAACCAGGCACTCGATGGACGAGAGATAGAAAAAACAGAGAGAATCTTAGCCGCACAGGAATACCAAAAGATATCGGAGAAGTACTTTGCGGAGAGAAACAAGCATAAGTCCTCAGCCTCGATCGAAGTAGCCACAGCTGTGGCTCCAGCACATGCAGGCCTGTCCGATGTGTCAGTGCCGAAAAGTACTTCCACGTCATCGGATTTGAACTCTCCTTCAAATGTCGAAGGCGGATCAACTATAAGCGAGTCGGGCAATGATGGGATGGATCAGAGGTATGGCAGCTTCGTCTATATGCTCTCATCGAGTCTGCCAACCACATGCTGACCCCATCATCGGTATTCGCTCTTACCGAGAAACCATAGGCAACGGAAGCTGGAAGAATTCAATACAAAACCCGTTCCTCATAGTATTCAGACAAGGCTGGAAGCTGCGCGCGAGGTTGCAGACATGCGCGGAGACAAAGTCAGGACTGTCGATACAAAGCCTCCAAAGCCAGCCAAGTCGCTCGTGGGCAAAGATGGTCGCATATTGCAAACCAACGAAGGAAAATGGCCCTTCAGCGTCGAGTACACTAATGCCGCAGTGGTCGCCACAGTCCAAATTTCAAAGTTTCTGGATTCGAGTCTCATTGGTATCGATGTTCATCCCACACACATAAAGCTCACCATCAAGGGCAAGATCCTACAGCTGGTGTTCGACGAGGAGGTACAGCCAAGTAAAGTGAGCTGCGAACGCAGTATCGCCAGTGGCGAGCTTGTCGTGACCATGTTGAAGGTAGCGAGCGTTGATGACATCATCGATGTCTCAAAGGAAATCAAGCGCAAGAGCTCAGAGGCACATCGCAAGCAGTTTCAGACCGCCACTTCCAAAACGGCGATCAGGCGGGGTCGATGTGATCACCTATTTATGCCAGAAGAGGCAGTGGACTTTCGCAACTTGACTCGGCGAGAGAAAACCTCTGAACCACTCCTGGCACCACATACCCATACAGCTGTTAAAGCCTGTAGCCGTAGCGACAGTGATGCCGAGGACGATGGCGTCCCTCCTTTGTGCTAATGTCACGAAACCGATATAGCGTTGCCGGCCACGAAACATCGGATCCAGTGTACGGTAGATCCACAAACAAGCGGGACAGTTCCTTCCTGGTTTCAGATGTCTGTACCCCGCTGACTGACTGTAGGCCCCAGCGGGCAAGCCGTGAGATTGTTTCCTGTCCTGGTTGGCAATCTCTTTGATTTGGTTGGTTTGGGAAACGTGCTCTCGAATACACTTGGTCGATCTCCTGTGGCGACGATCGGCTGGCATCGGTGCGCCGATGTGGAAGTATGATGCATTCACTCGATGTGGGAAGGTGGTGCATTCACTCGATGTGGGAGCGTGGTGCATTCACTCGACTCTCTGGACTGCTCCATGGTGTATCGACATCGAGATACTCGGCCTTATCGAGTCGCTTGTCTTCCCGGAACTCTGGGCACACTGCATGGCTATGGGAATGATGGGTGGATGTATTTAGGCTCCAGAAGGACGCAACTGTCCTGGCTCAAAACAGGGTGTCCAATTTCGTTTTGGGAACGCTGTTGTGTCGATTGATATATTCCGAACTGAACGGAGCACTTGCCCACGTGCCGGCACCGAGGTCACGAGAAGCACAGGCGAGAACGCTCTCGCGAGAGGGCGGTTGCGAGCACCGTCGTGTCGGTTCCAGTTTTCTCGCTGGCCGCTGTCTCGAGAGCGCCGGTCCTTCCAGCCCAGAGGCACCCATCAGAGAACAGCAACGCAAGATGGGCGATGAGATTGAGCCGAATTTCAAGCCCTCCGATCTAGGCACGAAGCAGTAGTACGTTTCCGTTGGAGATGTTTTCGGGCGAATCGCACGCGCAGATTGCTCTGGGGTCTGCCTTTGGCACACATCGACCGGCGGGGCCGTTCAGCGAGAGCAAGCCCCGAAACCCGATCTGATATGCTGATCCTCGCATCCGTCTGGGTGTCTCGCCCACCGCGATCGCAGCTGGGACAATGCATACACACGGGAAGTCAAGAACTTTGATGACTTTGGCGATATCGGCGAAATTTGGTAGGGATCGATGGGAGCGTGCAGGTTTGGTTTGGTTTCGATTGGATTGGAGCGGGCTTGCTTGGCTGTGCTCCATCGAGCGACAGGCTCGCTGTGCTACTTTAAGACTCATAGCGAACCCCGCAGGTTCGGTGAGAGCAGCGTTGAGAAGATGATCGACTGGGTATGTTGGGAACTCGATCGCGAACGCAGACTCGAGCTGTTTGGCTTCCATCGATTCTGTACCGTTCGCATCGAGCACGATCCTCCCCGATGGCGGCACTTCAGAAAGCAGATGCGTTGAAGATACAGCTATGATTGTTCAGGATCCGGGCCGATCAGCCAAGAAGCAGGCTGAAGCAGGCTGTACCCTGCTATCGATACGCATCTCTTGCTTGCGATTTGTGCCTCATGCTTGCAATGTATGTAGCAAACCCGAGGCTAATATCGGTGCGGACCCAGGTTCTGGATAACGTCACCAACAAATCAACGCGAACAGTAGATCTGGGATGCGGAAACGGGCATTTGCTACTTGAGATGGTGAGGACGCTGCAACCCCAAGATCTGGGTGCCCTTGCTGCATTGTGTTGGAGCTCCACATCCGAGGGCGACGAGCTGGACAAGTACAAATGAGCAAATCTAGGCAATCCATCGATTGCCTTGCATTTCCTCGGCCATGTGCTGCCCGTGCGCTTTGTATTTGTCCACTGCCTCTGACAAGATGTCTGGATTGATGACCCCCCAGTCGGCCCTTGGGTACACAAATCTGGTCGGCGTGGACTACTCTGAAGCCGCGGTCGACCTTGCCATCAAAGTCGCTGATGAGCAGCGCCGAACCGGCATCACCTATTTGCCACTGGATTTGCTGGACGAGGCTGCGCTCGCTGCGGGTGGCCACTGCGATGCATACGATCTCGCTTTGGACAAGGGAACGTTTGACGCCATATCCCTCGCGACTCCAGCAGAGGGAGGTAATGGGGCTGACGCTCATCCAGCCGACCTCTATCCTTCAAGAGTCGCATCAATGCTGAAGGACAATGGAATACTTGTGATCACCAGCTGCAATTGGGTGGAAGCCGAGCTCATCGAGAAATTCAAAGCATGTGAGTCTCTCGGTCCAGCAATCGTTAGAGGCAAGGAGGTCGCAAGTTGAGAACAACGACCGCTCTAAATTGCAACTGATGTCATCTTCAATGATCTGTGTTCGACGATCCCTGTTCAACCAGACTTTGTTTTCCAGGCAAGGATCAAACATCCCACCTTCACGTTTGGCGGAAGTGAGGGTCAGACCATAACCACGGTCGTCTTTCGCAAGAAATAGTGATGACTTGTGACGATAATCCAACTGCGCAGCCTTCGAAATGGAATAGAAATCGCCGCGATGCAGCCTATATTGCCGTATCATTTCACGCTGCTCGCCCATGCTAGAGTTCTTTCGATAGTTGGAACACCCGGGCTTCGTGGTTGGGGTGTCGGAGACTCTCGGAACTACACACTGCCATCGATTCTGTCAGCGGCATTTGGCGGCCCCTGCGTACGTCAAAATTCGCTGCCAATCGGATCATTCTGCATTTGATGCAACCTGGCTATGGCTTCCTGGTTACCTTTCCGGCAAGCCTGCATCGTATCAGGTGTGAATGGCAAACCAATTACATGCCTGTGTAGGGCAAGGATATCCTATCTCCAGTAAATCGCCTCCCGGTGACTCACCTCTGCCATCAAAGGCGCTGCTCGCTTGCGACCATCTTCGCCCTCATTCCCCGATTCATACCACACCGCGAGATTGAAAAGGCCGCCGGAGTGGCCTTCCCTCGCCGCCTTTTTGTACCAAGTGCCGGCTTGCTCCAAATCTGGAGCAGGCAGCCCGAGGCCATGCTCGTAGAGCTGACCCAGCAAGTTGAAGGCGTCCGGTGAAGAGTATCTATCGGCAGCTCGGTGCAACAATTGCCTTGCTTGCTCAGGTCGGAAATAGGGCGGATCCAGGGTTGTGAGCAGCGCCGACAGATGAAGCAGTGCCTTCAGATGATCCTGAGATAGGAAAGGAGTGGATAAGTGTTTGTCTGTGCTGAAAGTATCCAAAGCGGCTGCTTCAGCGAGATTGAGTCACTGGCGGTCGGATCCTCCCATCGTCTCGGTGTCTGGTCTATGCGAGCTCATGATGTCCTGCGACTCAGATAACCCACCTTCTCAGCAGCCTCTTCGAAGTACTTCAACGCCATCGATGTATCTTTAGAGACCACAAACTCGCCATCTGCATCGGAACATCCTCTTTCATACATGATTCCGAGATTGTAGCAGGCATCGATGCTGATGCAGTATCGAGCGTGTGAGCAAGTCCGCAGCAATTGCTTGCAACCCCGATCTTTCGGTGGAACCAGAGGAAACATTCCAGAGATCAGCACACTTACCTATTCAACGACACCGCAACGTGGAAAATTCTGAAAGCCTCTCGGTATTGATGCTTATACGTTGCAGGAGAGAGGCGGACCAGTTATCACTGCTGTTGGAAAAGTATTCCAGATCCGGTTTGGTGTATTCAGCGCAGCCGACTAATGTGTCCGATTACTTGCGCCGCTTCGTTGCGACATCAAGATCCAAGCACAAGTGACCTACCTCCGTCAAATACATATATCCCAAATTATTGGTGCCGCTAGGGTGGCGGGCGTCGCTGGCCATCTTGTAGAGCGTCTTTGCCATCCCCACATCTCTCGCGACGCCCAGACCTTCTTCGTAGCATATTCCGAGATTGTTGTGCGCACTTGGGTTGCCCTATTCCATGTTGCGAGACGAGATTGATCACTTGTTCGGCGTCCAAGTGCGTCCTTGTCAAATCACCAATTCGTTCTGTCCGCTTGAGCGTCATCCGGAACTTACTTGGGCGGAGCTCTTTCGGTACCACTCAACTGCTTGGCCATAGTCTTGCTTAACGCCCTTTCCTTTATACAGGCAGCTACCGTAGTAGTTTTGCGCTCGTGCATCGCCTTCCTGGGCCGCCGCATAATACCATCTCGCAGCGGTCTCACAGCTTCGGCCACATCCATATCCGTTTTCCAGCAGGTAGCCTGGTTCGGCAGTATTTAGACCAACCGGGTCCTGTCAGCAACGTGAGCTCAGAAGCTGATCACGGGCACGGACAAATACACTCTGGCATCTCACCGATGTTGGTCATCGCATTCAGAGAGCCTCGCTCGGCTGCCCGCTGGTAGTATCCGGCCGCAGCGGAGTAGTCGGTTGGAACGCCTTTGCCATGCTCATATATCTTGCCAAGGCTATTGAGGGCCTCTGGATATTCTCGACTGGCAGCTTTCTTGTACCTATCCGGCCACCGAAATGCACGATTGAAATTGAGTGCGCGACCAGCCCCGGCACAGCTCCCAAGCGGCTTTGGTGGAGCAGACATCGATGGTTACCAGTAGAGTGCAGCTGCCATGTCTTTGGGCCGCCCAAGGCCGTTTTCGTATATGAAGCCCAGCATGTGTGCCGCCTCTGGCAAATCTTGCTGAGCGCTGGCCTACGGTGTGAGCGGATATCGTTAGAGCTAACAGCTTGAGACAGAGTTGGAGAGTTTGACCCACCATATAGCGCTTGTAGGCAATGTCTAGCGATTTGGGGACCCCGTATCCCAGGAGATACTTTTCGCCCTGTAAAAATAGCATGCGCGAATCATCTAGCGTGAGCTCTAAAAGGAGTCAGGTTTAAGAAATAGGTTAGGATGACAAAGGATGCGATTAGTACTCAAATAAGGATGAGGTATCGGGACTTTGGACATAAATCCGCAGACGTCACAACGCTCGGTGCTTTTCAATCGATAGTCGACATCAGCAACAGAATTTTTGACTCACCTTCCCAGTCTGGGGCTCCGGTTGCAACAGCCAACTTGGCCACGTTCCCCGATGCCTTCTCGGCGGTTATCGAACTCCATTGGGCAATTGATATGCTCAAAACGAGAAGCTGTGGGGCAAAATGAGCAACGGTCAAATAGAATGAGAGGAGAGGAGGAATAGATTACAATTCTAACTCATAATCCATCGCGTGCTCTGATGCCAGATGCCAGATGCCAGATGCCAGATATCAATGTGCCTTAAGACAGTTGCATACCAGATGCCTCCATTTCTCACGAACCCGATTCAGGCATCCATCAAGCCTTTTGCGTTTGATCGATGTGGGAGTCCACGCCTTGGCCTGCTGCTGCTTGATTTTATTGCTGAAGGCCCACACTAACTGATAAAACTCAAAGAGCTGGTACTCGGGTTCGTGCGAAGGTGGAGGTGGGCCATGGCTGTTTGGCACAAAGGTGACGAATCTTGCCAGGTCGCTCTTGTGAAAGAGGAATGAGTCCTAATTGGGATATCCAACATAATAATGTAAGATACTCGACCTCGCCGCCACGACTTTGTTCGAGCGATTGAGGATCGCCCAACAAATCTTCGTTACAACGACACGTTCTTTATCGAACAGCCGTCCAGGAAATCTCAGGCCATGACAAGAGAGCGCAGCAACGATGCTGCTCAACAGGACACCGCATCAGAGCCTCATTGCCAGCGTGCGTCAAGAATAGTCGTTGGACTCACTCTCATCTCGTTTACATGCTTGAGCAACTGTCCATCATCTCGAAGTTTGTGACTCATGGAGGCGATGCTCAGAGAGATCCCCTGTATCAAGTCATGGAGACCCTCAAGATCGACATAGTGAAGATGGGTGACCGCGTTCTCTTCTCGCTGGACAGCGTCCATGGCTGCACTGCTTTCGGGCTCAATAACCGGCGAGACAATCTCAACGGGCCCATCGGAACCGACGCGCGGGGCCGTGAGCTCAGTGTTGATTCTAAGCGCTGGTACAATTCTGGGCTGAATCGTTGTTGCTTCTGCGACGTACTCGTAGTGCGAGGACTTGCGTCGTTCGCGCTCAGGAATGTTGATCAGCCGGCTCACATCTGGTGAGGAAGCAATTGCTGCAGCGTCGCATTGCTGGCTCAAAGGACTCTCTGGGGCATATGCATTCCTCCCATACTGTGGACTTGCACTTGTGCCAGCGTTGAACAGCTTTTCGAAATCGGCGGACTGAGCGAGCCTGGGAGCATACGGTTGCGTTGGCGACGGTTGGGCATATTGGGCAGCCCCAATTCTCACAAGGTTGGAAAAATCACCGACATCCATTGAGCCTCTTCCATGATCCTTCATATTACTACCGACTTTCGGGCGATTGGATATTGCAGCGAAGTCGTGGAGGAGACGACAGGCATCTTTCCAAAACACGGCTGCTTTGCCGAAGGCAATGGCTGCTACCCAATCACTGAATCGACTCGATCAGGCCATGTCGCTTCAGTTTACAGGCGATCCAATAAAAAACGAGACACCCGGGTTTTTGACCATTCATCGAATATTTTGTTACCCAATGTTATCGCGCGCTGGCCATGACCATTCGCCACACAACCACTCTCCAGAGGAAAGTTTCACTCTCACTCTGCCACACTGCCATCCACCGAGCAGGTCTCTCACACAAGAGGGCAACACACCTCTACAAGTCCAAGCGACTGGATGAGCGAGTGGCACAGTTCAGGGACCAGGTCCGCTCCATCGACCCGCGGCGATTCGTTTTTGTCGACGAGACAGGGATCAGGAGATCCATTTTCCCTCTTTACGGATACTCGCCGAAGGGTGCTCCGCTTCGCCAGCGCAATCACATGAAGCACAAGTCTGTCTCGGCTGCATTTGCCATCAACCACTCTGGTGTGCTGCATCGCATGTACATCCCCACATCATTCAAGACACACTCGATGGTCGAGTTCTTTGAGCGAGCGAGCTTCCCAGACGACTCTGTGATTGTGATGGACAATGTCAGCATGCACAAGACAATGGCTGTCCTGGACTGCATCGAGCGCCGAGGATGGTCAGTGATCTTCACCCCACCTGCCTCGCCCGACTTCAATCCCATCGAGAACTTCTTTGGGATTGTGAAGCATCAGTACAGGAAGGCAGCAGCGCTGAATGCGTCCGAGGGGTTCAAGGTCGGGATGGTGACCCTGTTTGAGTCTGCCGTGCGGAGGGTGCTTCCAGATGTCTTCCCACGGCTGATTGAGCGATGCGCTTCTGGGGTTGAGTTCCCTCCAATCAAGCCGCCGTTTTCGCGTTCACATCCCTGGCTTGAACCTCTCGGCGATTTTTGAACAGGGTCACTTCCCCAACCAGCCCGCAAAGACGGGTTCCTTCGTCCTGCTGCTTTCTTCCCTCATCTCGCCTTGATCTGATCATCGCGCTATTGTACGATAAAGAAGCGTCTCTGCTCTGACCAGTACCACTGGCAGGCATCCAGCATCCTCTGCCCCCATGCCTCCGAAGCGCAAGGGTACCGGTGATGGCCAGCCTCGGCCACCCAGGCCCAAGAAAGCCAAGTCACAGTCGGAGCCTGTCTCTGGTTCGTATTCTGATCTCACGCATGCTTGTTCATCTGTTGCTCCGTCGCTCACCACCACTGCTTCTGCAGATCCAATGGATGTCGATCCCACCGAGCCTGGTCCATCTACTTCCTCGAGTACCGGCAAGCGATGTCGCCAGTGCGATGGCACCGATCACGAACGTTGCAACACCAGCAAGTGTCCCAAATACCGGCCCCTCAAGAGCTCCGTCGTCCCACTCGTGGATGGAAGGTCATCCGCCCCTCAGTTCAGCTGCTTCAAGCAGACGATGGATGGCTGTTGTCTCAATCCCGCTCTCCGCGACAAGATCCAGGCCACCGTCGAGGCCATGACCCAGATCCAGTTCGAGGCATCCAGGCTGCTCAACCTGCACATCCTCCGGTGCATCGAGCAGGATCTTCCCGTCCCCGTCATCTCCAAGTCCACCCCTGCATTCATCCGCCAATGCTTCACGATTGTCGAGGCCGATGCCCTCTCGCCGACCGGGGACAATGAGAAATACAACGAGCATCTGGTCGCTTCCTTTCGCGACTACCAGACCACTCGGCACGCAGACCTGCCTCCGGCCCCTCGTCTGCCTGATGGTGCTCACAGTCAGCTTCTCACACTGGCTGTCAATGCCTATGCCACCAACTGCACCACCCACCTCAACCTGGCCTACTGGCGACTCCTTCGCCGCTTCTGCGCTGCCGTCTTCCCAGCCAACAAGCATAAGCACGAAGCCATCGAGGCCTGTCTCGAGCTCTTAGAGAAACCAGGGCAGACTCCACCCAAGGCCGATCTCGAGTTCCTCTATCCAGACTTTGGCCACGTCCTGGACGAGTTTCGGTACAGCAGCGACCAGGACCGCTTCCGGGCCCTCCATCGCCTCTCACACCATGTGAGAATCCTCGCCCGAGACAAGATGGTCGACAATGTCCACAAGTGGATCGACTGTGACATGCCCGCCCTCCGAGTCACCGAGCTGCAGCGCCAGGCCAAGCTGGACAAGCTCACTACCCAAGGCATTCCCTCCGACGACAAGAGGTTCACCACGGCCAAGTCTGAGCTCGGCACCACCAAGTCCAAGATCAACAAGCTGGCCGCCAGGATCAACTGGGCACTCAAGCAGCTCGCCGTCGACACTCCTCCGGCCGTGTGCACGATGGTTCCTCTATGCACTGCAAGGGCCAAGTATGTCAAGATTGACACGGTCACTCTCTGGCAACTCCTTGACACCGAACATCGTCTTGGACTCACCAGGGACATGCTCAAGGAAGAAGGTGAGGACGGTGTCAACAACCAGGATCGTCTCTGGCGCAGTTGCTTCAAGCTGCGTAGTTCCCTCTTCCAAGAGCGGGACGTGAACAAGAAGCTGTTCAACTACGAGATCAGCACCGATGGCATTGGATGCACCATCGGTCTCGTCAAGTTTCTGCCTCGAACCGATCACACCGAGACCATCGAGCCTCCTCCGACTGCCGAGCAGCGCATCCAGGCCCACATCGGTGACCCAGACCCCAACCGCACCACTTGGATTGGCATCGATCCTGGAGTCGGCTTCATCTTCACGGCGGTCATCCAAGCACCGGGCCACCAAGACGAGGTGGTCTCGTTCTCGAATGGCCACTATCAGCACATGTGTGGCCATACGTCCGACACCAAGTGGCACAACACCATGAAGTATCGACTCAGCATCGAGACCTGGATGTCGACCACCCCCTCGCCCAAGGTGCCGTCCTCGGAAGCTTTCAAGGTCCATCTCACCCATGTCCTGCGACCGGAGCTGCGAGTGCAGCTCGATTTCCACCTTGGCAAGAAGGCCCGTCACCATCGCTTCACGGGCCACAGGAGGCGCCAAGTGGCCGTCGACAGGATGTGCAAGGCCGTCCTGAAGCACGCCCCGATACGGACCGATGTGGTGATCGCCTTTGGCAATGCGTCATGGCGTCAAGGCAAGGGCTATGCATCCAGCCCTCGGAGGCAGCGGTTTGCTCGGTACTTTGAGCAATTCGAGCACCACCGTCGCCGTCCCAATCACCATCATGGAAGCGTCAAGGTGGCCTCGACGAACGAGTTCAACACCTCGCAAGTGTGCTCCAAGTGCCTGGAGCCAGTTCGGTTGGAAGAACTCGATGCGCCCAGTGTTGCGAATTCCCACTTTGTCAGGAGCTGCAAGAATCCCAGCTGCCAGACAGTGTGGAATCGCGACGTCAATGCGGCGCGCAACATGATCATAGTGTGCAAGTCGATTGTGGAGACCGGAGAGCGACCGGTGGTGTTCACTCGGAGGCTGCCAAAGTGATCTGTTTTATTTCTTGTGGCTTTGCTAGACGCGAGCACAGCACATACTACATGTTCATGGAAACGGCTATGTTGTCCCGTTTTTTTCTGAATAAAGTGTAATTTCGAAACGGAGCACCACACGCAGATGGCTTGTGGGTCGGTTGGTGTTGATCGATCTGGCTTAGCGGCTTTGATCTGCACCCAAACCAGCGATATTTCCCTTCGGCCTGCATCTTCCCCTCATCCCCAGGTATGTCATGTTGCTCTGATTTACAGTGACTGCATTTGCAGCGTCTTGCTGGTCCCCGGCGTGCCCGCTCACTCCATGCATCTCCCTCACACAGGGAAATGATTTGACCCACTTGGTCGAGTGTGTGATATGATCCGACTACGCCGTGTTGTCCGAATGAAACGATGTGGCCCATCGTTTATTCAACACGGTGTATCGCTCTTGAGTCCCACTCAACTTTCCAGAGCGGAATACCAAGTATGGACTCAATGCATGATGCGGTGTGATGCGCGGCCTGATGAGTGCATTTTCCGAGCGATAGACGTATGCAGATTGTTACTGTAGCATGGGCTGCCATGAATTATCATCTATACATTCATGGTGGCATTTTATTATTTCACGAATGAATGCAATTGTTGCGATTTTGATGCCAAGGTGATCCCCTCAAATCCTGGGGAGCCACTGATCAACAACCACATTCCGATCCATCGCTTGGGTCGCTGAGCCACCTCTCCAATATGACTGCCCTCACATCATGCCTTGAACATGCCTTTCAGGCGATCAGTGATGCTTGGCTTCTTCGCCGCTGTGTTGCTGGCGTCTGTCGAGGTGCCTTCGATGGCGCTTTGAGCCGCAGGGGCGGCTTTGGGGGCAGCCTCAGCCGACCCACCCGACTTTGTCGACCCAAAGAGCGATGATAGCCCCATGCCGGTGGTCTCCGGATTGATACCAGCCGATTTGAGAGCCGCCCCGAGCTCCTGGAGCTTCTGTCGTGCCTCGGAGTCGGCCATCATCTTTGCGATCGTGGAGAAGCCAGGCTGCTTGGTTGCGTCGGCGGGGTCGATGTAGCCCTTTTTCACCATGAACTGGCTGAACTCGGCCATCTTTCGGGCAAGTGGCGCATTCTGCTGCATGGCTTTGACCAGCTTCAGCGCCTCTGGGTTTTTGTTGAGCTCTTGCATAACCTGCAGCGCGAATAGTCAGCAAACGAGAATGCACCATCGCGAACACTCGGGGTGTTGTGCCAGGCCAGGAGCCGCCGCTGGAGACCAGCATCCACCTGACACGCACCTTGGCCTGTTGAGGGCTCAGCTTTGGAATTGCGGCTCGAAGCGGGGCCGAGGTGTGCAGGAGACGGGCGCCCCGAAGAGATCTCATGGCGGGATTCATGGCTGGCTGACTGACTGGGGAACGAGCTGGTCGTCGGCGATCGGCTGGTTTTGCATCCACGGCCTGATCCGCACGCACCGCATCACGTGCGCTCTGTCCCACCAGGCAGCCGCGCGACCTCTTTCACATGCGCACGCCTCGTCTGGGCAGCCCGTCTGGGCAGCCAGCCCCTCTTCGCCGTCTCTCCCCTTGGCTGCCGTCGGTTTGTCGGGACAGCGCCAGCACAATTCCATCATGGTCGAGCCCACGTACACCGTCGAGGAGGTTGAGGACGATGCTGAAGGCGAAGGCGAGTTCGTGCCCGAGCTGGAATCGTCCCAGACAACAGTCGAAGAAATCAACGACGCAAGTGTCTGTCCATCGCCAGCATACATCGTCGAGGAGCCGACTGAGGAACTCGTGCACTACCAGCACGAGAACAAAGCCCGAAGCCAAACGGCCCTGACGATATCCGAAGACAATGAAGCCAAGATGTCAACCAGCCTGGATCCGAAGCTCCGACGAGACACCCTGAAGTCCGTTCTGAAGGGCTTGGTGAGGACAAGAAAGAGAGAGAGGGAGCCGCAGTGGTTTCTGCGGCGAAACAGCAGACACGAAATGCTTGAGCAGCACCGAATGGACTCCTCTGCGGCTCGACCAAACCAAAGCGCTGACTTATTCGCTCGCTCACAATAGGGGATCCTCGTCAAGACCGCCAACGTCGTCACGGACCTGAGCTTCACGACTGCCGAGATCGGCACTCGCTTTGGGCTGGGCATCGCAAAAGACGTCGTCTCGGTTGTTGGTGATGCCACCGGGCTGACCAAGGTGGGGGTGACCCCACTGCTCACCGGCACAATCTCTGTTGCGCAAAACATTGCTGTCACCGGGATCGAATCTGGTCGCTACTGGACCGATCTAGGTCTTAGTGCCGCCAGCGAGTCGCTGACGGCCCTGGATTCGGTCTTTGGAACATCAGACACGACCCGGACCATTGCCGAGCTTGCGCAGGTGGTCATGGATGAACTCAACCGGGATGCCCTCTCGGCAACAAAGCACGAAGCTGGCGAGGCGGACAGTCGTGTCGAGGGGATCGGCATGGTCGATGTCGTCCGTGGACTGACGGCATGGGCATGTCTGCAATACACCACACGGCTTCTGTGGATGACGAAGCGCGAGCAAGCCGTTTCGGACCTCCGCGGGATTGAATGGAATGAACCTCGGATCGAAGAGCCGCAAGAATCGGTTCTATTCCAGGTCGAAGAAGAGCAGCTCGTCGAGGGCGTCATTGGCGAGGGCGATGTCGTCGAGCCCTCGGTTGAAGAAATCGACGAGGTGCTGAGCCATGGTTGCGACGATCCTGCCACCGATCCTGCCACCGATCCTGCCACCGATCCTGCCACCGATCCTGCCCTCGCCAACACAAAGCTCATCTCGGATCTGAAGCGCCATGTTCGGTTTGCCAGCGGAGCCTATGGCAGAACAGCGATCCAGTTTCTGACCAAGGAGATGCCGCCCATTAGTCTTGGCGTCCGTGCCAAGGCGAAGAAGCTCGTGGCGGCAGTCACCAGCACCAACGGCGGACCCATTCGGCCCGCCTGCACCGCGGACGAGCCACATCCCAACGAAGAAGCCTTTTCGCGCCACACCGAGACCGAGCCCGCCCACCTCTACCATTCATCCAATCGAGACAAGGAAACGCTCCTGGAGACGCTATCGCTCAAGTCCGGCTACAAGCCGACCTACTACATCCTTGTCGACCACCCCAATCGCGCAGTCATCGTTGCTTTTCGCGGGACCTTCTCGCTGCATGATGTCATGGTCGATCTGACGTGTGACTATGACCAAATCCTCCTTGATGGTCAAGAATTCAAGGTCCACAGCGGTATGCATCGCTGTGCCAAGGAGCTCACTCAACCAGACTCTAAAGTCTACCAGGCCTTGACCAGAGCCTTGGAGGAACACCGGCGGTACAATATCGTTGTCACTGGCCATTCGCTTGGAGCCGGGCTGGCCTCGATGGTAACTGTGCTATGGGCGGATGCCAACGGATGCACCATTGGAACCTTGGCTCGGTATAACCGGACGGTGCGGTGTTTTGCCTTTGCTGCCCCCTGCGTTGTCGATGCCGCACTGGGTCGGCGGATGGGTAGAGTCGTCACAAGCGTCAGCATCGGAAACGACATTGTCTCCCGCCTCTCTTTGGGTGCCATCCGTGATCTAATGAAGGTGGCAGTGTGGATGAACCGACACAAGGCCCTGGCCAACGGTTTTATTGGCAACATCCTGAAGGGTACGGTTGGCGGCAAGGAAGAGGACGAAGGCGTCGAGGCCATCTCTGAAGCCATTCTCCAGGAGGCTATACAAGCCCGCGAAACCATCGAAAAGGAATGCATTCTCGGGGAAAAGCTCTATCCTTGCGGACGGGTCCTTTGGCTGACCAACGAAAACAAAGACCAATGTTTCTGGAAAGCCTTCGACGTTGTCGATGTCGATTTGATGTTTGGTCAGATTTGGCTCACCAAGGACATGCTCGTGGACCACTTTCCACAAGTCTATGAGAGCGCCGTGCGAGGTCTGTGAGGATCAGCACCTGGGTAATATCGCATAGGGGGGTCTTCCACAATACCCGGCTGCCAATCGATATTTTTGTATACCGCGAGTGCCAGCATCAGTGCTGCAGCATCAATATTACAGCATTCCCCAGACGAAACGGGCATCCTGTTTGAGCCACTTTTCCTGGTCCCCGAATACACCCATCCCGCCATGACCAAGCAGCGTGTCCAAGGAGACCGACGTTGAGGTTGTCTTTGGTAATGCCTCGTGGAAGCAGAGGAAGGGATGTCCATCGAAGCCAAGTATGCGTTGAACACTTCCAGCACCATCACCACCACCCGAGATGCCCAAGATCCAGGACACAGCGAGCGACTCGTTCGACCTGACGACCTTGACGTCGAGAAATCACCCTGTCCAGATGGTCGCATGCATGCACCACACTCCCGCATCGCGAAATCAATGCCAGTCGATCATCACCACAGGAGACTGACCAGATGTATTCTGCTTCCCAAACCAACAAAACTCACTCGGTTGCCAACAAAAACCGGAAGCAGCCACATGGCTTGCACGCTGCAGCCGAAAGATCACTGTGTTGAAGGCAGCGGCTGGTGTGAGGAATGTTCGGGGACGCCACTGTCCCGCTTCGTTCTGGACATGCTGTATTTGTGCCCTGATCCTATCCTTCGAAGCACGCTCTTGAATAGCAACCCCAGTGGGAGTGTGAACACAGCCGCCAGCTTTTGGATAAAATAGCCTGCAAATGTTGTCGATGGGAAGGCCTCCTCGGTTGCGTCAAACTTGATCTTGGCAGGCCTCCAGTCTTCGCGGCTGGGGCGCTCCTTGGAGCCGGTATAGCAAAACTAATCGATTGATATCGTGTTAGGATCCACTGATCGGTAGTCGATAGTCGCGCAAAGAGAGCCGTGGCTGCTGCAGTTCGCTTCCAAGGGCAGCCCTCAAGAACGACTCGATCGTCGTTGCCCTTACCTTGCGCGGTATCCACTTGCCGTCGACTTCTTGTTCTATAACCAGAAACCAGCGGTAGCCAACGACCGAGGCCTCTTCGGCCAAAACCGCTTGACTCGGCATACCATGGACACCCGGAGAATGCAGTCCTTCGCCCTCGTCATCGGAGCCAGCTGCCCATCGCTCGTAGAGTGCCCTGAGATCGAGGCGGCTCTTTTGATACACAAATCCCAGCTCCATGGATGAGCCTGGGTTGCGCAGATTCATAGCTGCCCGCGGTTGTCAGCATCGAGACTCCGTGTCAGTCAGCAAATCGCATGTCCTTGTGCGCTGAAGGAGGGTATCCAGTGCCAGTTGATCATCATAACCCTGGGCATTGCCTCGCCACATCCAGCTGGGCCTCTCGTTTCCCACATCGTGCTGCAGCCACTACTTACAGAGGACGGACTCGGCCCACTAAAACCCCCAAGAGTGTGCATGCAACAAAAGTATCACAAAGAGCATAGCTGGTGAGTAGTACCTTACGAATATGTGCTGCAGTCGCCAACACCAGAAACAGCTGCACTGGTACTGAGACACTCGTTAACCATACGCCGTGCTTTGCTGATGGATGCGCACCTGCAATATCCAAATCGCACGGGCTTTCTCATAGGTCACGGCAACGGTCCGCGAGAGTTGCGCAATAAAAACGTTGATGAGGAGAATGCTGTGGATGTGCATGATTGAGTATGTTGTTCATGGGACATGGGACATGGGTCATGGGCCATGAGTCATGAGTCAAGTAGGAATCGATAGATTGTGAGAGGAGCATCAAGTAAATGATGTTGGGCATCATGCACGACCAGCGCAGATTTGAGTGGACTGCCGGTAGAACGGCGTATGGGGCTATGAGGGTGTTGGAGCTTATATCGATTCTCTCAGGTATACCGTCGCAGATGATGACATACTTTGTGATAAAGTTGATCACAATAAAGAGGGTCATAGAAAAGTCCGGAATGACAGCCTGGGCGCAGTGAAGAACGTTATGCTGCAGTTCGTGCGACTCATCTCAGCGCAGCAATCACCGTTCTCGCTCGTCAGTCAAAGCAGGTCCAGCGTCGATAGCCGCACGGCAGTCACGCTCTCCGTACCTTTCGAAAATCGTCGTAGATGGCTCCGCCGTACAGATACCGGAACATCCATACCACTGCGCCGCCGAGCCACTGCCAGTCGCTGAAACTGGTCGAGGGATCCGAGGTGGAGGCCACGGGCGATAGTTGCAAGAAGAACGCACATGCGAATCCGACGTTGAAGAACATGTAGAGTACGAGAAACTGATGTGTTCCAAAGCAAGCGAGATTGTTAGCACATATACTCACATGGCCCATTTGCCTTGATAGCGTTCGTTTTCAGCACATATGCATGCGAGTGCGAAGCAACCAAAGCCACGTACTTGAACCAGATCGGTGTACACGATTCGGAGGAACACAATCACAAAGGGACCGAGCCTATTGACGTTCGCCAGCAAGGATGGTTACAAGACCGTCGGGTTCTGCCCCCCCCCCACCAGCCGCGTCTCGAGGCGCTTACTTGGAGGAGTGCTTGGCAAAGAAAAACAGATAGATCCATCCGAGTATCGCTGCCAGCCCAAGCAGAGCATTTTCGAGCGCAAAGTTTCCAAATGCACATCGGTTGACCACCACTGCAATCATCAGACCAATAAAGAGCAAACGAAACACATTCGCAGCCCCAGTGATCCCGCGATCTATGCCTCGTATGTACTCCTGGTGGTGTTGGCGCCGTTAGTCCTGAATGAAGCACAAGGATCGTCGAAGAGAGCACAGAGCGATGGTTGAGGCCGATATAGGCCCGCCGCTCCGAGGCTATGTCACAGCAGCCTCAACCTTACACAACCCAGATGTCATTCGGTATCAGCCATCAGACATCTAGCAATCAGAGGGACACAGCTTACCAGCCCACTGTTCCAGATATCCCGAACTTCAGAGGTCGCAATCGTCAGAGTCAGCAGAATGACGATAATCTCTAGAGCCATGCGGTAGCCTCCTCTTGGCTCGCTGTACAGTCCGCGATTGCCCACAGGCATCAAGGAAACGGTGACTGCAAACAAAACCATCAGTATAAATGCGATTGAGAACCGCAGATACACAAGTTGGCGATGTGAGAGACTTCTTGGACCGGGAGTTTCCCTGTCAGAACACAAGAGCCGACGAGCGTCAAGTTAGCCCACTCACTCGCTACGACAAGCACTTCAAGGCAACCAAGCAAGCAAAGTAGGATCATTGACAAAACGGCATACCAGGCACATTGAATGATCATCTGCATAAGACCATGGGCAAACACAGCCTGTCAGTATTGTAGTGATAGCGCCACGTACGTGCCAAAGTCAAGGTCTGTGTACGGCCATGAGATACCTGGAAGATCGGGTGTGATACGGTGGCGAAGTCTGTGGCAAGCGCAAAATACGAGTCTCGTTGATGCTGTGCTCAGCAGAAGGGCCATCAAAGCCTCAGGAGCGGCGGCTTCAGCGACAAAGTAAATCTGGACTCGTGCGCCAGCGACCTTACCGCCATTATCAACGGCAATGTGAAAAGCTGTGCGTGGTCGAGATGAACCCTTGCGGCCACCGCCGTTGGCTGAATACAGGTGATTGAGTGGGAACTGGTAGCACCGTGTTTGGCCAAACTGGAGACCAGGGTGAAGAGGACAAGGTGAGTAAAATATTTGTGTGGCATCGGAGTGGAGCACATGAAGGGGTGGGAGCCGTGGCAGAGATAGGTTGGCGCGGCGAGCACTGGCTGTCAGAAGCCATCCGCGCCGGCAGTTTGACTCAAGCATCGAATACCCGGTTTTGAGCACACCCATTACCTCCCAAATCGGCCGCTTGATCTCGTCCAGTATGGCCGTCTTTCGCTGCCAAATAGCGACCTCGAGCGGCGTCATCGCCTCCAGCCCAACGTCTGTTTTGACGTAAGCCTTCCAGGTCATGAGATCGATGAATCGTTGGATGACAATCTCCTTTTGTTTGGGGTCGGTATACTGCTTGGCGATTCGGGAGCGTTCCCGAAGCCACCACGGAGCCAGCGGATGCTTGGAGCTCATGCGCACCACCGATGAGAGCTGTTTCTTGGCTTGGTCACAGAGATATCGAAACATGGATGCCGTGGTGTCCTCCTTGCCCTTGTATCGAAACTTGCCGTGAAAGGCCAGGGTGTGAAGCACGGTGAAGCCCGTAATGCCCTTTCCCTGCTCGACTGGATGGACGGGGCCGCACGAATATGAGCGGTGATGGCCAAGGCAACGCGGCAGCATGATACCATGGCAGCATCGTGTCGCTGATTCGGCTCTGGACATCGGCGCTGTTCCAGGAGAGCATTTGCTGGGCTGTCCCGAGTGTCGGAGCCGCCTGAGCAGGCAGTGTTCTTACCGTCTCTCTCGCGATGCACATTGTCGGTCACAGTGACATCGCACCCAAGCTTCTCGACGAGGTATTCGACCATCTCTTTGTTCTGGGCAAGAGCGGCAAAGGCCAGCACGGTTCCTAACAGATGGGAGACATGCAGCGACATGGGCCAGCCAGTACACCACAGTTGGATGAGAGTACCGAACACATACTTTCGGTGACCCATGTGTCCCCCGCAGGGCAGACAAGTCGGATTGAGGGGGGACAATAGGGACAATGGTCCAGATATCCCCCCCCCACTTCTCTGCCTCCTACACATACCGCCATAGTTGAAGGAGCCGTGGGTGTCGAAGCGAAACTCGGAGCCAAAGGCCAGGGGTCTGTCGATCAAGTCTTTGACAAGTCTCGGGCGCTCAAACTCGAGGGCTCTAGCCTCCTTGAACTCGACTCCGGTCTCGATCGAACGAAGCTGAAGGAGCTTGAGCCGGTACTTGAGAGCCGACTCAAACAAGTACTCCACCATGCCCACGTCGCCCTGGGTGACGGCAATGTGCATGACCGTCTCGCCATCGTAGGGGGAGACCCTGAGCGCCGATGGCATTCGCAAGGGACGGCGCATGAAAGGGAGACAACCGGTGTATGAGTCTCTGTCCATGTCTGTGGCGACTGCTGCACATGCCCTTGCGGCTCCAAGCGATGATAACCACAATAGCAGACAGGCACTCCTGGATTACCTGTTGTCGGGAAGAGCGAACGGCTCAAACACCAGAGTCGGGTCACTCTCGACCAAGAACCGAGCGAGGACGGGTTGGCGACGGAGCATGGCGACATGAAGCAGTGTGGCCCCAACGGGGTCTCGAAGCTCGGCCAAGGTTCTGCCTTCGCCGGTCCATCGATGCACAAAGTTTTGTAGCCCCGGGAGATGGCCGGCCCAGACATGCTCGAAGCCGACGGTCTTGTCCTGGCCAAAGATTTGCTCTGCGATGCCGTCCATGGTGTAGAGGTCCCTGGTGCCCAGCTCGGGGTCGGTCGTTTGGAAGTGGAACTCCATCCTGCGGTCGGATGCAAGGTGGATTCGACGGGCGACCGGCGACGGTTTGCTGCTTGGGCGGCGAGACACCGGAGCGACGGTGCCAGGACAGAGATGTGGCAAGACCCGAACGAAAGGACTCGGCGTCGGGGCTGGCTGGGCTCGGCAGTCAAGCCAGCGCTCTGGTGCATGCTCCCCCACACAAACAGATGCACAGTGGGCACGACGGGGACCAGCGAGCCGCTGCAGATGTAGTAACTGCACGTCCGGCAAGAAGCATACCTGGGGATGAGGGAGGCAGACGCAGGGCGAAGGGCAATATCGCTGGTTTGGGTGCAGATCTAAGCCGTTCAGCCAGATCGATCGACACACTCAACTCACACAACCGACACTCAACCCACACAATCGACCAGTCATTCACGCGTGGAGGTGTCCTCTTTCAACAGAGTCACATTGTATTGGACTCGTTGCGATGCACACAGGGCAGCACCCAGGACCGGAGCCGTCCGTGAGGCCCCATCATCAGCTGCACCAAAGGGCACGCAATGAGCTGAAATAGAGCACGTCACTGTCTCGAGTGAACAAAGCAATTGGTGTATTGGGAATGAGCAGAACTTCAAATCATTACCATAGCCCCACCGCCGATCCTGCGGAAACAGACCATCATGATCGGCAGCGGTAGTCGTGTCGGTTCTATCTACGACAGGAACTTGGCCAACCACTTGGGGATGTAGGCCGAGAAGCCGCTTGTCGGGCCAACGGGAGACTGCGGCGAGCGGATACCGCTGATCAGTTCACTTTCGTGAGTCTTGGCAGGATCGTACATCCGACTCTGGACAATCTCGAGCAGCTTCTGGGCGAGCTCGGGACTCTCGTGCTTGTCCTTGGAAGGAACGGTGCCAGCAGAGGCGCCGTAGAGCTCAAGCACCTCGGAGTCGGTGGCAAGACCCTCCTTGAGGGCGACCAGGATGACGTCACGAGCAATGAGGGCCGAGATGTCACGGATGCGGTTCAGCTTGGGGTAGAGCAGCTGCTCCTGCTTCTCCTCCTCGGTGAGCGAGGCCGACAGGGTGACGGCGCTCTGGTAGATTTGTTCCTCGGTGACGTGGAGAGCCTTGGCAACGACGGCGCCGAGACCGAGGCCGGGGAAGATGTACATGTTGTTACCCTGACCAGGGACAATGACTTTGCCAGTCTTGGGATGAGGGAAGGAGGGGAACGAGGTGCCCGAGGCAAACAGGACACGGCCCTCGGTGTGGACCATGGCCTGCTCAAAGTTGCACTCGGCGTTGGAGCTGGGGTTGGAGAGAGGGAAGATAATGGGCTTGTCGTTAAGGGCGCCCATTTTCCTGATGATCTCGGGGGTGAAGGCACCGCCCTGGCTGGAGAGGCCGATCAAGCAGGTGGGCTTGACATAGTCGAGGATCTCGTCGAGGGACTTGAATTGCTGGCCGGCGTTGTCGGAGCGGGCAAAGAGGGTCTTGTGGTGCGGCAAGGTATCGCCACGGTCAAAGGTGACGAGGCCCTTGGAATCACCGAGCCAGAAGAGCTTGGCAGACTCTTCGTGACTCAGGTTGCCGGCCTTCTTGATGTATTCTTGGAGCTGGGAGGCGACACCGACACCAGCAGAGCCGGCACCAAGGAAGACAATGCGGTGCTGCGAAAGCGGAATGCCGGAGAGGCGGACAGCGTTGATGAAGCCGGCGAGGATGACGGCGCCGGTGCCCTGGAGCGACGAGTCAGATGATGGATACGACGAGGGTTAGAGCAGCGACAAGACATCACGCCAGTGCAGCAGCAGCAAATGCAAGTGCAAATGGACGACGACTAACGCAGGACATACCTGGATGTCGTCGTTGAACATAAAGTACCGGTTCTTGTATCGGCTCAGGGTATCAAAGGCATGCTCGGACGAAAAATCCTCAAATTGGACGAGCAGCTGGGGCCATCGTTTCTTCAGAGCAACCATGACCTTGTCGATGAAGGCAAAGAACTCATCGTCGGCAGGACGAGCACGGCGAGTACCGATGTAGAGGGGGTCGTTGCGGTATTTTTCGGTGTTGGTGCCGAGATCGAGGGTGATGGGAAGGGTGCGAGCGGGATGGAAACCAGCAGCGGCGACGTAGAGCGAGAGCTTGCCGATGGGAATACCCATGCCGTTGATGCCAAGATCACCGAGGCCAAGGATACGACTGCCATCGGTGATGACACAGATCTCAGGGGCAGGGTGGGGCCAGTTGGCCAAGACCTCGTCGATGTAATCCTGGTACTCGATCGAGAGGAAAAGACCCTCACAGAAGCCAGGAGTGTAGATGAACGAGAACTTTTGGCAGACCTCGCCAATAGTGGGGGTGTAGATGATGGGGCAGATTTCCTACAACACAGCCGCAACACAGCGAGGATGTGAGCATGTAGTCCGCGGGCGAGCGACACCGGGAGATCAAGGCTCTGGTCCCGCCGTGAAGCACAACGAAGCGTGCAGGGCATCGGGTGATCGATTGAGACGTGGCGATGGAACGAGTGTTGGCAGGCAGAGGAGAGCGACAGCCACGGCCAAACGAGTCGATGGAGATATACTCACAGCCATATGCTCAATGACGAGCTTGTAGAAGAGGTCGACATCCTCGTTCTTGATGCGATTCAGATACGAGTACTTTTCCAGGCCGGTCTGCAGGGTGCGGAAGTAGGTGATGCAGCGATTGACCTGCTGGCCAAGGGTTTCGAAGGCGGGAGGGACAAGGCCGTTCAGATGGGCCAACTCACGCGCCTTTCGGGAAAAGTTGCTGCCTGGGCGATGTGGAGGAGGCGGGGATGGAACAGAGAGAGATCGACGACGATACGAGTGTGAGAAGGCAGGAGAATTGCAAGAGAGAAGGCAGGAGAATTGGGAAGCGGCTGGGAGGATTCGCCTCGGACGGGGCGACCAGCAGCGACCGAGGGTAAACCTACCGTGGTTGACGAACTGGCTGCGAATGACGGAGGCGCCGGCGGGCTGCTGGGACTCTGAAGTCATGGGGGTTGATACAAAGTCTGGGTTGGAGACAAAAAGACAAGAAGCAAAGGGAGAAGACGGCCGGGGGCCAGTGAGACGACGAGGGATGGAGGCAGAAGGCGGGAGGCGGGCCGGAGGGCGGATATTTATACACTCTGCCTTTGTACGTACGGGCCAGGCGAGGACCGCAAAGCCAAGGGCGAGCGAGGCGGACGAGGCGGGCGCTGTGGGGGGCTGCTTTCGGGGCGATCATGAGCAGGACATGCGCGACAGCAGAACAAGCCAGGCAGGGCCCGTCGCATTGGCCTATATAAGGCGGCGGTTGCGCAACGGAGGCGGACGCGTCGGCGGCACAAGCCGCGCACGCCGCCCGGGCAGCGCCGAGTGGTGGGTGCGATCGGCGGGGACCAGCCCGACCAAAGCGACCAAGGCGACGAGTGTGATCAATGTGATGTGTGTGATCAATGTGATGTGTGTGATCAATGTGATGTGTGTGATCAATACGATGGTGCCGCGGCCCACGGCCGGCATGGCGGGCGAGACGACGGAATTGATGATTGATGGGCAAGTGGTCTGATGGGGCCAAGGGATGGGGCAAGCGGTGGGGCGAGCGATGGGGCGAGTGATGGGACGAGCGGTTGCCGGATGGGATTGGCGATTGACAGATAGGCAGGTGGTCTGATAGTCGGGGTTGCGACCCGCCCAATGCATCTCCCTCGCTTCGCTGGCGTGTTGCTTCAACGTGGTTTGCTGGCGTGATGTCGGTCTGTGCAAAGCCCTCGCTCCCGCTCTCGCCCTCGCACTCGCACTGCCGCTGTTGTCCTTGCATGTTGCTCGCTGATAAGCACGCGAAATTGGGCCATGCCCATGTGCTGGATTTCATGTGTCCGTCTGCCGTCACCCAGTCGTCAGCCAGTCGTCACCCGGCCGTCACCCGGTCGTCACCAAGCGTCAGGGCGATGCATCGGCGAGATGCGGGGCACCTCTCCCGGGAGCCCCCGAAGCCCTCTCGCTGCTGGCGGCAGGCATCCGTCCATCAGCCACTTTGGCTTGCCCGTCTGGCCCCGTCCCACCCGTCCGGCTGCCTGCTCGCGCGAGCCCACGCGGCACCGAGCCTGCCCAGCACCAGCACATCCTCCTGTTGCCGCCAATATCCCCAAGGGCCTGGCGGAGGGGTGGTCGGCGCCTGCCTGTGCTCGCGCACCCGGCCCCCAACCGATTTGGAAAGGCTGTGTCCCCACCAACCAGCCCGGCTGTCTCCGGCGCGCCTCTGCGTCCAGCACAGGGGGTCTGTGGAAGCGGATCTCCAGGCAACCCAGCAATCACTTTTTTTTTCCTTGCCCTCTCCCCAGAAGGCCCAGAGGCCGCCCACCCCTCGCTGCTACGCATCGATCGCCAGACACTTGGGCACTCAGGTTGTATTGGTCAGATAGACAAGGCAGAGCCGATGAGGAGGCTTTTGGGGGGGGAACAGGTTGTGCCATGGAAGCGACCGTTGCAGTGCGCAGGAGCCATGGAGCAAGGAACGAACTGGCCAACCGCTAAAGACATAGTGCGTGGACCAGGGCAGCGACCCCGACCCATTCCCCATTGCGGTCTTTTGCAGCGAATTGGGGAGGGAGAGGCGGGACTCGATGCTTTCGCCTCTCACAGCTCGCCGCTCGATCCCGACATCATGAACTCTGGCCGGGCCTGCGCTTCAGGTGCGGACTGCAGCAAGTCCTGTCCGTCGAGAACGTAGTACTTTGCGAAAAAGTCGTTCTGGATCCACAGCAGCTTGGAGAAGGCCGCCAGGATCTTGCCGCGCAGCACAGGGTCCTTGGCGAGCTTGGGGTGTGGGTCCAGGGCCTCGACCAGGAAGCCATGCAGCCAGGTGAACAGCGCCCCGACATGGACGTATTCGACGTTGATCTTGCTCTTCTTCAGAGGGGTGTTGGTGTGGATGCGACCGACCCAGTCCAGGTAAGTGACGAACTTGGCATCGTACTCGGCCGTAACAAGTTTGACAAGGTAGCTAGACAGCAGAGGATGGCGGAAGAGCAGAAGACGGCGGAGGGTCAGCGATGCCAAACATGCTGGCGATGGCTGGCAGTGTTCCCACCCATGGACTGGGGCTGGACGGCCGATGACATATACCGGCGGTGCTCCCCCTCGCCAGCAGAGCCAGACTCGGTTGCCGCGCAGTGCCCGCTGATGCTTACCGCTTCAAAAAGTCCTTGCGGAACTTGATGGTGTCCGATGTCAGATTGAGGTGGTCCAGATCGTCCATGTGGCCGGTGAAGCCCTCGTTCTTTTGGGTAAAGACCGACTTGGTGATCTTGTAGGAGAATAGCCGCTCATAGACGGCATCGACAATGGCGGGAACAAGGGGAGCGACAATCGAGGCCGACGCCTTGAGTGCCTTGATGTCCTCCTCGCCAAAATTTGCAACCTCGCAAATGTACTGTGATGGCAAGAGTCGGCAACGGGAACCACATCGGCGCGGAACGGGGGGGGTTAGTATCGCACCGATGGGCCTGTCCCGAGCGAGAGTAGAGCACCCTGAGCAGACACACCACCCATCCCTGTCCATGTGCAGTAACTGACCTGGTAGCGGTAGAGCCGGTCGGTGTACAGGCGGTCGCGGTCAATGTGCTTGATCGAAGGTATGGCGGGCATGCTGAAGAGATAAAATGGGGTCGGCGGCGGTGGTGCTTGGATGCAGGATGTGGAGACGGTGTTGGCAGCGCTGCTATATATGCCCCCCTCGCAGCGAGCCCGGGTCCACAGAGTCGCAGCCAGCCTGTCGACGGCTTGACTGTGGTTGACGAGGCGGCCGCCCATCACGATGACTCAAGACAAGTCCAGCATGAAAGGCCTGGGAAAGGTCGCCTCGACGCGATCACCGTGACTCACCTCGGCCTGCAGCTGTCCTGCAGGCCGGCCATCGAGTCCTCCACAGCTGCCTGTGCAAGGACAAGGCCAGCACCAGCGCTGTGTTGGAGCGGGAGCATTGGCACGGCCTGTTTGTCGAGAGGGCGGATGCTGTTTGGCGGCAGCAGCACGGGCAGCCTTGCTGGCTACGGACGAGGAGTCCTGTGAGCGCAGGAACACATCAGCAACGAGCGGCTGGATGGCATCGACCAGGTTTGTGGCTGCGGTTGCGGTTGCGGCTGCGGCTGCGGCTGTGGTGGGCGATATGGGTCTGAGGCCGCCTCGACCAAAAGAAAGCAGCTCAACGCCATGTTTCTGGCGAGGAGCAACTTTCAAGAAACGTCCTGCTCGACAGCGTTCGCAATGAATCGGGCACCTTGAGTAGAACGATACCGACGCTCATCAGTCACAATGGCCAACCAAACGGAGAGTGGTGTCCTTGAGTGTCCTGCACATCAACTACTGCCTGTTTGGCTTCGAGAGAATTGTTTGAGATACGATACGCATGCGACCATCTGGACAGGGTGATTTCTCGACGTCAAGGTCGTTAGGTCGAACGAGTCGCTCGCTGTGTCCTGGATCTTGGGCATCTCGGGTGGTGGTGATGATGGAAGTGTTCAACGCATACTTGGCTTCGATGGACATCCCTTCCCCTGATTCCACGAGGCATTACCAAAGACAACCTCAACGTCGGTCTCCTTGGACACGCTGCTTGGTCATGGCGAGATGGGTGTATTCGGGGACCAGGAAAAGTGGCTCAAACAGGCCGGTGCCGGATCATGTGCGAGGCCTGGTGGAAGGCGACAGAACCAATTTCCGATCCACCCAGGGACCCACAAGGGTCGCCACCAGGCAAAATCGGTCTTCTTCTGCCGGCTCCTCTCGCTCGCTCTTGGATCGCCGTCTCCTTCCCCCGTCTCTTCCTCCCAGCAGCCCCCTGTCTTTGCTGCGTCCCGGAAGCAACCCGCCCCTTGCACCTTCTCGGAGCTCATCATGGAGGAACCCCGGAGCAGGCGCCGCGGCCTGGAGCCAGTCAAGCCCCCAGAGCCCCCAGAGCCCAGCAAGCACAAACGGAACTCGTTGTCCCCATCATCCTCTCCACCATCGTCGCCATCATCGAGGAACGTCCTGTTGGGCAAAACACCTGATGGCACCGGTGAGTTCCGACTCAACTGGGCTCGCTGCATTTGGATTGTCGCTGCTCACGACAGCCTCCTGTTGCAACTTGCGGCGGTCGCCTTGCTCGGGGCTAACTTTGGCTCGCTGATCACTCTCCCGGCCCTGGCCCTGCATCTGCATGATACTCAAACGCTTTTCGCCCGGCTCCCCACCGCCACTTTCCCAAAACTCATGCCGTCCGGCCTTCATGGGTATGCTCGGCTTGCACTAACAGTCTTTGAGATTCCCCCGACCCAAGACTTCTTGTCGACGCTCTTTTCTCTGCAGGCGTCCTACACCATGTTTGAGTACATCATCATCTTTTCGACGTTCATTGCCCTCTTTCTCTTCTTTTCATCGGTGCCGTCCTGGGTGTTTATGCTGCTTTTTATCTTCTGGAGGCTTTTGTATTTCTTCATCCTTGGCTCCCTGTTGCGAGCCCAGTCCCGTCGAAAATGGCTTGTGCGCTGGTGTCGAGAGCATGGCTTTGGCCCCAATCCCCGTCGTCCCCGGAGTGGATGGGTAACCTTCTGGGTGGACGAAATCAAGAGAAAGATGGGCCGACACTACGACTACGACGTAAGTGAACCATTGAATTGCCGTGCTGGACCGCCCGGACTCTATATCGTCCAGCATGCTGTCCTGTCGAGCAGCCCGGCATGATCACTATCCATGGCATTGTTGAGCATCAGCCTGTGGCTCCCCGATGGCATGCCGTTTTGCACAGAGAGCATCATTGCGCTCGCTCGCTCATCCTCTCGTCGACTCCCTCCTCTGCTCCCCTCCAGGCCGTGCCTGTCGAGTTCCATGCATGGATCCTGTTCCGCGGTCTCGCAGAGTTTATCCTGATCAACGATTTTGTCAGCTACGCCCTGTTTGTGATCTCATACTACGAACCGCCGGCAGACGGGCACCACGGGATCATGGATATTCTCCGCTACACAGGCGGCATCTTGCTTCTGCTGTTCAATCTGTGGGTCAAGGTCGATGCCCATCGAGTCGTCAAGGACTTTGCGTGGTGTAAGCCAGAGCCGCTGTTCTCTTACACACCGGAGATGTTTGAATGGATGGCCCTTCCCTTCGGAGACTCTTGACTTGGGCACTATCGACCATCCGTCTGCAGAACAATACTACTGCCGACGGGTCACCAACCCAACCGAGAGCGAGAGCCGCCATGGACAAGAAAAATGATCCCAACTGACCATTACCACCATCCTCTGCCACATCCACAGACTGGGGCGACTTTTTCCTCCTCATCGACTCGAGCTGCAAGCGGGACGGCGTGTTTGAAATGGCACCGCACCCCATGTACTCTGTCGGATATATTGGCTTCTATGGAGCAGCGCTGATTGCACATTCTTACTACGTGCTGTTTGTGAGCCTGGCAACGCACGCCGGCCAGTTTGTCTTTCTGCGCTTGGTCGAGACGCCGCACATGAATCGTCTCTATGGTGACGGTCTGGACCCACATAGCCTGTGTAAGTACCAAGATTGCTTGGATCGCACAAGCGCTGAAAAACAGTCGGCACCGACGATGCTGCTTATGGCGATAAGGGTGGTCCATGGCTTGCTGCACAAATGTCCGCTTGCAAGTCCTGTTGCCCATAGCTCCAATACCGATGCTCACGACCACGGGGTGATGCCGATGAGCCGGACATGGAGCTACCGAGTCTCGTCATCGTAGCTCACATCCATGTACACTCTCCTCGCCCCGACAATGGGTCTCCGCAGATGGTGACCGAGACAGGGAAACAATTCAAAAGTACTTCCGGCGAGATCTTGTCGTCGTCAAGAATTTTGACTTTTTCCGAGCCACAGACCTGTTTACGGCTATCATAGCCCTGTATTCGATCGGCTCGGCGCTTGTGCTTGGTCCGATTGACCACCAGTACGACTGGAAAGTGTGGGTCTATGTTGGGTAAGCGGCTTTGGTGGTTTGTTGTCGTGCGATAAGGGCATCTGCTTTCTCTCAGGCCACGGCCAGAGAATGCATGCGGGCGTGTGAGGGCATGAGCTCACCATGAATATTCCCATAGGCAAGCGGTTGGATGGAAAGTCGCACACACGGTTATCCTGGGTCTGATTCTTCATTTGCAAAGTCGATCCAAATTTTGGAGCCGACATTACATCAAGTTTGGAGATACCCCAAAGGAGGCATTCAACAACTGGAAGACGTAGGCGCCATGGCCTGATAATGCAATGCACAACTTTGGCGATAGGGCATGGGGACACGCGGAGAGCACGGCTATGTGTGTCCATCATTCACTGACTCAGCGGTGCTGCCCTCCGACGTTAGGATCTACAACTTGACCCAATCCATGATCTATCTGTCATTTTCCATCTGTGCTTTCCGCGTCTACGAAATCCCCGAGTCGTTTTCCTACGGATACATCCTCTTGAAGCACACAATCGGCGTGGTGGGTAGAGAGAGCGTATGCGCGTGTTTGGGTGTTTGGGTGTTTGGGTGTCGTCGTAATGACCGAGGTGCATCCTCCTGCACCAACAGCGCCATTCACAAGCTCATCAACAAGCTCATCCATCCATCCTGTCATTCTTTCATGCATCGACGTGAACCCCTGGATCGATAGGTCATGATTGTCTTCCATATCTACATGACCCTTTCGTCGTACCAAGCAATCGGCGACGTCGGATGGTTCTACGGCGACTTTTTCATTGACGAGCTGAGAAACCGGCCCACCAAGCTTCACTACAACGGCATCTATCGCTTTGTCAACAATCCGTCCTCAACAACGTGGTCGTTTTGGGGCCTGTCGATCCTGTGTTCGTCGTGGGCGCTGATGCTCGTCTCCACCATCGATCAGATATGCAACTGGGTCTTTGTCGAATTTGTCGAGAAGCCACATATGCGTCGGCTCTATGGCGAGCAGGTCCGTGTCGACACCGGCATTTCTCGCGTTCTGCGGAAGGAGGTCAACAGCGTTCGCGACGGCGTGAGAAAGCTTGTCGTCGAGAAGCGCCAGCAAATCAGCCGCCAAGTCGACCAGGTGCGCAAGCGCGTTCAGAAATGGAACATGGGCATCACCTTCTCCGACTCGGAGGGCGATGGCATCCACGAGGTGTATGAGTACCGACGACGACAACGGGGAGATCGTGATGGCGACGACGGCGCCGACAGCGACGACGAGAACAATGGCGACGATATTGGGCTTGAAGATTCAATCTCCGAGTGGCTGTATGATCCCGATCTAGAGCCCTCACTGGCTGCTGAAGACGAGCTGCTGGCGACTTTGAGAAAAGATGACCGAACCAAGTTTGAAGTTGGCGGCTGGGACGGCAACTCGGACGATGACGATGACGACGATTATGGCGATGGCGATGGCGATCACCAAGACCACGAAAACCCCACAGACCAGCACTTGACCGAAGATATTGTTGACGTGGGTGCTCTGGGACGCAACTGGGGCCAGGTCGCAAACAACGCCGTGGAGAGCATCGTCGAGCGAGTTGAGAAGGCCGTCGACCACGCCAAGCCGCGGATCCAGGCCCTGGTGGAGCGAACCATGAGCGTCGCCAGCCTAACGAATCGGTGAGTGTACTGCTGTGGCTGAGCCAGGTGTAGTGACAGCATCGCACGGCGTGTGCATGTGTGGCGGCTTGAACCTATGTGGGCAAAGCTTTAGAGCCTCTCTTCTTGCGTGGGCTCGCTTCATGCCGGTCTCAGCGATATGCCTGCACCGAGCTTGTCCTCCGTGCTGCGACATCGACGGCATGCTCTTGCGTCTGACCAATGATTTGCCTGTTGTCTCCGCTAGGAAACCACCGTCGTCCCAAGAGCTTGCGCTCACCCATTCGTATCTCTATTCGCTGACGCTGGAGGACGAGGATCCAGGCGAACCATTGGTCTTCGAGCTTGGGGAGCCTATTGTCCTTCAGTTCACAGCAGCACGGGAGTACATCACCGAACACGACTGGATCGGCATCTACCGTGTTACCCAGAACCCGGCATGGGATATCACCACATCGAACTCGAGCGGCCTCGAAATGTTTGTCACCGGGCTCGACAAGGACACGATGGAGGGCGAGGGCATCCAGATGGTGGTCGACAGCACCGGCCGGGGCCGGTTCGGCAACACGCAAGTGCACGTTTCCGAGAATCGCGATGTCGCCGGTGTCCGAACTGTGTCGGGCACACTAACGTTTACCGGCAGCAAGATTCCATGGCATACCGGTGTCTACGAAGCGCGCTATCACCACGACGGCAAGTTCAGCGTGCTGGCAATCAGTCGCCCTTTTGAGGTGCTGACGGACATCTTCCCTGCGTACGAAGCCGACGACTCTATTTCCACCGAGGAACGAGTCAATCAAATCTGCGGGGTGCTCAAGCCCTACATCGAGCGCTGTCTGGAGCTGAACACAAGCGAACTCGATCTGGACGACGACATGCTGACCAAGGGCGAGCTCGCTTTTCGAGCCAAGCTGCGGTCCAACGAGAGCTCTCCCACGCGATTCATGTCCCCTGCGGCGGCGGTGCCGTCGGTCAGTGCACCAGCGGCGGCGATGCTTGCGGTCGCCGGCGGCAGTCTGCCCAAGAAGTGGAGGGACGAGGTCAGCAAGCGAATAGCCTACGCGATTCGGATGATCTTTGGAGTTGAGTTTTCATGGAAGGTCATCGAGATCGCTGTTTCGGTTCGGCAACTGGCCTCACGGGTGAGGGTCTGGCTGCACTCGCAACACTTGAACTCTGATTGGGGTCGCAATGGAGTCCTGTGGTCGACCGCTCCCGTCTGCGTCGACTGCAGTCACAATGCAACTTTGCTGCCAGGGAGCACGGCACTCAATTGACCTGCTGACGCTCTTAACTCTGACAATCCCGCACCGCCAGATCCATCAAGCTCGTGTTGTACTCTCGCCGCTGGACTCGTCGCTTTCGAATCCAAACTCGGATGTGATTGCTGGACAGATCGAGCGCAAGCGAAGCCGTGTCAATCTGCGAGACGGACACAATCTGCGACGAGATGGACTGGGGATCAAGGGCTCGGCAGCCCATCCGCTCCCCACGGACTCTCGCTTCGGCGCGCCGCTGGAACGTGGACGGAGCTGGAACGAGTACTACAGTGTCCACAAAGCGAAGCGAGATACCCCGCTGTGAGATCGCGGACCATATTCCTTTGGGACCTTGATCCATCACCCACAAGACCACTCGCCATGTTGCCGAATCCGCGCCGCTGCCTGCGATTCTCTCAGCTTGAGTGCCATCCAGCGGATCGAGCTGGTACATCCCAATCGATGGTCGCAACACAAGCACAGCCAAGAACACGGCCGGCCTGGCCTGGCATCGATTCTACCTTTCTTGGTGGCCTCGTCATGGGACCCGACAAGCAACGCATCCGCTCGTTCCCAATCGAATCGCTCTTCTATGGCGTCCTCCTGCCCGTTCTCCTTCTAGTGCCCTCCTCCCTATCGATATCCCGCGGATGCTGCTCTCGAGACTTTATCAAAAACAGTGCGCTCTGGATCACAGTGCTCACAATTCAAACAGGATCACCCTGGCTTCATGCCGAAAGGGGACAGCGTCCATTGTTCTGGTCGGAATACACACCGATTCACCATGACCAGACATCATGACCAAACAGCAGGACCAAGGGGACTGATATCGTGGCTGCCTTTGCGAATGCATTGCGCAAGCAGGGGAGAATATGCATCAGGCGCACAGAAACCCCCCGGCACTTCGACATTCCACCACCACCTCGACATTCCACCACCACCAGAGATCCCCAAGACCCACATGGACATGTTCGGCGTGGCAGGGCCACAGACTCGCTCATGTGTGCCCAATCAGCCACCTTCTCGGTTGCTCTCGCCAGCCCGCCACGATTTGCTCTCGCCGAGACCGAGAAGGGCTCCCAGCAAACCAGCCCCTCTTTGTCGGCATCCACCAGCACCGCCTCCATCTCTCGCCCTTTTCTTCCTCACGAAACCCTCAACTCCAGCACATCCCCGGGGCCAGCATGTCCGACGAATTCACCAACGTCATCGACGAGGAGAACGTCGACGACTCTCCTCGAATCCTTCTCATCGGCGCCGGCATCTCTGGCTTTGCCCTGGCCCTGTCGATTCGACATGCCTCCCGCATCACCCAGTCACCCGTCGAGGTCCACATCTATGAGGCGCAATCGACCTTGGCTCCGCAGCCCTATGGCTTGACTCTCTGGCGGTGGGCCATCGAGCTGCTCCGAGAGCTTGGCTTGCTGACCCGTCTCGAGAAGGTATCTGCTCCCATCGTCTCGTTCATCGCCAACGACGATGAGACCAGGGAGACCCTCGTCCACTGGAAGGCCACCGACCCCGTCGCCAGCACCCCCGACAGCGGTGTCGGCGATGTCCGCCTTCCTCCCATGATGGGTGTCACCAAGGACAACCTCCTTCGCCTCCTCGTCATAGCCTACGCCGGAGTCAGCTTTGACGACTATCCCGCGCAAGCGCCACCGAACTGGTTCGAGACCGAGGGCTGGGCCGCCAAGATCCCCAACTTGCATCTCTCGCACACCCTGGACTCGTTCCTGATCTCTTCATCGACCGGCGTTGTGACGGCGCGCTTCACGAACGAGAGCCTGCAGAACGGCACCATGCTTGTTGGCTGCGACGGTGTCAACTCCAAGGTTCGCAGCCTGCTCTGCAACGACCACTTCCCGCCCCAGCCGGCCGGTGCGTGCGTCATCAGCGGCCTCGTCAACACCACAAACCCCGAATTGAACCGAGATGTACCCACCAGACTCGAGGACGGCCGCCTGATCCCGGACCTGCTGCCGCACGAAGTCCAGCGATATGTCGGCTCGGGAGTCTCTCGCACCGTCACCGGCAAGGGCACTGCCTTTGGCGTCACCAACATCGGCGAGGGTGTCTTGGCCTGGAACCTGGTCGTCAGCCAGGCCCACCCCGGTGCCCAGCTCGAGAACTTTGTCAAGGCTGCGGGTCTGTCTCTTGGATCGACTGGAACCCTCCAGCCCCTCAGCCACAACGCGAATGTAAGACGCACTGCCATCCGAAACGTATGTTCCCAACCCTTCCCTTCCTTTCCTATCCTACCCTGTAGCTTCCTCGGGCATCCTTGGGTGTCGTCTGCACAGCGTAGTCCTGCATTGCTCTGGTCATGAAGTGTCCCGTCGGCCATTTCGGATTGGGGGAGGGGACTGGATGCATCCGGCTCCCTCGCGTAGCATAGCCGTGACGACGAGACCGTAGCGACAAGTGCACAGTATCGACCGCTGGTGCAGACGCACTCAGGACGGCTGCTGCTGCCAATAGGCTGGTCCGGGACCAATCCTGTCGGTGGCGGCATTGTCTCACTCCTCTTTCTCCTGCCTATGACATGTTCGGATGCACTCTCGGCGTCGATCGATCGATCGGCATCCCGACAACGCCATTCCGTCCTCTCTTATTGCTCGACTCTGCATGACTGCTCGGGTGACTTTGTGGCAACCTCGTGCTGCCCTGGCTATGGAATGCTGCGCCGGCACGCTGCGCCAACATTACCGAATGGCCCTTGGGGATCTTGCTCTGACGGATCTTGTGCTGGCCCGGTCGGCGACATCGATGGCCAACTCGATGCTCACTTTGCCAACTCCTGCTTTTCTTTGATTTGCTTTACTCTCCAGGAGAACGTCAGCGGAAAAGACCTGCGAACTCTTGCTCTCCGCCTCGTCCAGGCCCTGGACCTGCCCGTGCCCTGCCACTCCATCATCAGCAACACCGATCTGGCGACCTTGCGCATCAGCGACATCTACGATACTGCCGACGAGCAGCCCGAGTCGTACACCTCGCCAAACTTCCATCCCGGCCGCGTGATCCTCATTGGCGATGCGGCCCACCCTGTGGCCATCAATGCCCAGGGCTCGGTCGGTGCGTCGTTGGCCCTGACCGATGCGGGCCTGCTCGCCAAGCTCATCGGCAAGTACCTGCTCCCGGACCAGACGGGCGAAAACGACGAGCTCAACCTCGATCGAATCTCCAAGGACTTTGACCAGGCACGAGTTGCCACCTGCAACGTGATCGTCAACGAGGCCCGGGCCGAAGGTGGCTGGGGACGTGTCGAGTCCGGGTGGGTGCGCTCGCTCGTGAGACTGAGCCTCAAGTACAATCCTCTTGCGTGGAGGGGCCCTTCCTTCCAGCAGATGCTGACTCGTGGCCGTCTGTCGAACGAGGAGCTGGGCCTGATCAAGCTCAGCCTGCAGTGAGCATGCCCTGTGCTTTGATTTCCGCTGGTACCCGTTTGATTGCGCGACGTTCCCAATAGATTTTGTGTGGACAACGACTGGTCATCCCAGCTGCGTCGCAGCAAAGGCGTGAGGCCACACATCTCCCTCGTCCCTATCCAGGCCATCCTCGGCGCACTGCCCTCCAAACCATGCCGGGCAGTGACGATATCACGCAGCACCGACGGATCTCCCTTGCACCGGACTGCTCAAGAAGGAAGACTCCATTGAGAGAGAAATCACACGATGGAGAGATGGGGCGGAGAACACACCATCATTGCAAACGAATCGAGGCGCTCGTCTGTTGGGTGAAACAGTCAGCGAGAGAGAGAGAAAGAAACGGTCGCTGCGATATCCGCTTGCTCATTGAATCACAACGTACACAGTCGATCCATTCCCGCCGCGACTACGTGAAAAAACCTATGCCCGGGCCGAGAAGTGCCCCTCCGATTCGGCGACGGCAAAGCGGCCATGTCTTGATCCACCACCACATACGGCTGACTTGTCCAGTTGGCAGGCTATTCGTTCTTAGCCTTGTCGAAGCGGCTTTGAGCCTGGACACCCAGCAAAATGTTGATGCCAACGAAAGCAACGACGATGCCGAGAATGATCGGCAGCGAGGCACTCATGATGCCTGTGTTGATGAAGATGTACTGATTCAAGAGCGATCGCTTCTTGAAAGGCACGGTCTGTGTCGTGGCCGTGGAAGTGCGGGCACCCAACTGGTGTCGGTGTGAACAAAGAAACGCAAGTCAGAAGTCTTGCTCGAGATCGGCTCCGCTCGCAATCATCACCAACGATTGGCGATGTGTGATTTGACGGAGAACGGCATTTGCAGCAGAGCATCTGCGAAACACGGGTTTGGGTCAAACGTACGCGCTGCATGTCCCCGCCAGCAGAGTAGAGCGCAAAGTAGTCGCTTGTGGACGCAGAGACTCGATCGATGATGGCCGAGATCAGAGCGTCGTTGGCTTCGACCACAGGGCGCTGAACGCGGCCGTCACGGCCCTTGATGGGAGCCAGCGACACCAAGATAATGTAGATCTTGCTGCCATCGAGAGAAGGAATGTCATCGGCTGGGAGATCCGGGATAATCGGCGCAGACCCATGGTTAGGAAACGCGAGAAGGATGCATACCAAAGGAGTCGACGCACCCGGCACAGCCAGAACCGAGCGGATCCTCAGAAACAAGACTGAAAGCAGGGAGCAGCGCCCCACAAACCCACCGCTTGAAGCACGGATGACAGTCGCATCAGATCCACAAACGGTCTTGAAATGGGTCACGATCTCCCTTGCGAACTCTCTCTCGTCATCAGCGACAACATAGGGAATCGAGAACGATGACTCTGCCGACAGAACGGCTTGCTGTTGAAGCAATACGAAAGTCCAATAACAGCCCGCGGCATCGCCGGCACGAGAAGATCCAGAGACTCGAGGGTGAGTCTTCGAACGCCAGAGGCGATGCCACACACCGACGCGACACTGCAAAACATGGACGCAAAGCGGAATATGCACGTCGGACGGGAGAGCAGAGCGACAGGCACCTTCATCTGGGACATGGAGCTCTGGTACTGAGCAAAGTCCGAGGCGTGGATCTGTCGGCGCCGGGTTGAACAGCGGAAAGGCGGACGGTTGAGTGAGGAAGTGTGTCTACCGATGTTATCGAGGCGCACACCGCTCAGCAGCGAGAGAGAGTGGCCGGAGACCGATGGAGCTACAAACCTCGGGCTGCTGGAACAGAATGTTGACGGAGCGACAGTCGATCCGGGAGAGTACATCAGAGTTGAATTCAGAATCGGAAATGACCGTTCTCTTGACCAGGGGGCGTGCGCTGTTGGATTGGACGCAGTCGGATTGTCGTTGGCAGTGCGGTCGTTGTTGATGGAGGGGAGGGAGGAAACGCGAGGGTGATGATGATCCATGCCAAAAGGTTTTTCCCATCGCCGAGTTTCCAAAGGTCGTCATTTGCAGCGCCGTTGGATATGATGGGTGGGCGATTGCCAGCGTTCACGGTGCAGTCGTGTGGATGTCCGTTGGAGGCGCGCCGTCGGAGAAACAGGCCCAAGAAGAGGACCGCATTGTCAGCCTGGATGAAACAAGAGCCCGATGCTCATGGCTTACTTGGGGCTATCCGACTCACAGAGCCCAAGCACTATCTACAAGAAGCGTCCGATGACGCGTCGGGAGAGCCCAAGTATGCAGAGGCGGCAGCAACCTTTTGGACGACCAAGCTATAACGGGCACGGTGCTTTCAAAAGCCGCGGCTGATGCCAAGAGAGCCAGCAGGGCCAGGGCAGGCCAGAAGACGGATGAGAACATGGAGCTGGACGGGCGTGCTTGCGGTGGTGTGGTGTGGTGCGGTGCGGTGTGATGGGGAGAGCGGAGGAGAGACGAAGGCTGATGAAAGCCGAGACGAGGCGAGGCGAGGCGAGGCGAAGGCAAAACCGGCGGCTAGATCCGGCTCGATCTGCGGCTCGAATGGTGGCTCGAACGGTGGCTCGAATGCAGGGTCGTGCGTGTGTGACGAGGGGGCCGGATAAGGAAACGTGTGTGCTCGACCGAGGCGCCCGTGCGACGCGCTGGTTTGTTTGGGCTGGCGGTGAAACCGGACGCAACGACAGCAACAGCAGCAGCAACAGCAGCAACAGCAGCAACAGCAGCAACAGCAGCAACAGCAGCAAGAGCAGCACAGCACAGAACAGCACAGAACCGCGCACACACACACGCACACGTTCGGTCCAAATCGAGCGCCCCTGATCCTATTTCTGCCTCGCCCGTCCTGGTCGTTCTTCTCCGTCTCCAGCTCTTCGTCCAGCGCCAGCTCGTCTTCCACCCAGGCTCCTTCTCCCTCACCCGGCCCTCTCCGCCTGCGTCTCGGCCTCCCCAGGTGTGTGTCGGCGATCTGCCACCTGCTCCGGCTTGCCCGATCTGCTCTGGCGGCTGGTGCCCTGTCTCCCCGGGCTCCTGCATCCGCACTCTCCCACGCACTCTCTCCATCGGTCTGGAGCCGGACTCACTTGCCGGCGCCATTGCCGACGTCTTTTGGGGCATCCTGCCTTCATCGGCCTCGAATTCGGCTTCAGCTTAGCGGCCCTTTCGCACCCCACCACCTCAATTTCGTCGGGTCTGCCGCTCCGTCCCCACGCCGCTTGGCTCGCGCTAATCCCCATCGCACCCAAGCCCCATTCTCGGCGATTCTTCATCAACCCGCCCACACTGGCTCTATCCCGCTGACTCATTCGCTCATTGTCTCTTTGCCCTCAACAGCCGCCTCCACCTTCCCCCCCCTTCTCAAGCTCACCGACCCATCTCCAATCCATGAGCGGCCTCCCCAACGACCTGGACATCTATGGCGAGCAGCCCCGCCGCTTCCTGATCATCGGTGGCGGCATTGCCGGCCTCACCCTCGCCGTCGCCATCAAGCGTGTTGCTCAAATCACCCGCCTCCCGCTCCAACCCATCATCTTTGAGGCCAAGCAAACCTACGACTACGACATCCACGCTCACCACACTCTGTGGCGGTGGGCCGTCGAGCTGCTGATCGAGCTGGGTCTTGGCAAGAAGCTCGGCAAGATATCGTCACCGATCCTCAACTACGTCTCCGATGACGCCGAAACCAATGTCGAGCTCGTCCGCTGGCCGCCCACCGTCGACACCCCACACAGCCCGCTGCCGGACGAGGCCGACCTCGGCAACCTCAAGGTCCCGCCCATGTTGGCCCTGCGAAAGATCGACCTGGTCCGTCTGCTTATGATGGCCTTCTCGGGCAAGTTTGACGACGAGCTCGAGGGCGACCTCCGTGTCGAGGCCGCCAACAACAGCGACCTGGTCACCCACGCCGCCGAGGGCGTCGACGCTGACCTGGCTGCCGACGGCTGGTTCGAAGGCGAGGGCTGGGAGTTCCTCTTGCCTGATTTGCGCCTAGACCACGAGCTGGCCTCCTACATGATCTCGCCCTCCACGGGCTTTGTCACCGCCAGCTTCACCAACGGCTCGGTCGAAACCGGCACGATGCTCATCGGCGCCGACGGCATCCACTCCAAGGTCCGCAGTCTCATGTCGGGCGGTCGCCTCAACCCCCACCACGCCGGCGCCTGCATCTTCAGCGGCATCACTCGTATCCACATGCCTCCCGTTGACACCCCCGACGAGCTCGAGGACGGCCGACAGATCCCCGACCTGAAGAAGGAGGACGTTGCAAAGTTCTGTGGCGACGGCGTCTCGCACTCAGTTGTCGGCAAGGGCGTCTCCTTTGGCTCCGTCAACATCGGCAACGGTATGATCGGCTGGAACATGATCGTCTCGCAGCAGGATCCTCAGCAGCACGTTGGTCGCTTTACCATGGCCAAGCGCCGCCAGCTCGTCGGCGCCGTCATGGCCGCTGCCCCGCGTGCCTCGGTCATCGTGCCCCCCTCGACGCCACCCCCAGACATCACCGACGTCGAGACCGACGTCACCAACCCCGAGGACAAGTGGATGACCACCCGGAACTCGGGTCCTCGCCTCAGGTCGCCGCTGTCATCGTCGTCGTACACCGTCTTTGACGAGCCTGAGGAGCTTGGCCCCGATGACGCCCCCGAACCTGCGTCGCCGCCCGCGTCGACCCGCTCGCGATCCTCGGCCAACTCGGCCATCCTCGCCGAGAGGCGATCGCGCCACCGCACGAGCCAAAGCACAAAGTCCCTCACCAGCAACCCCCGATCGCGAAGCTCGCGCGTCAGCAGCATGCGCGTGTCTGTTGCGATGGAGGATGAGGTTCTCTCGCAGCTGTCGCGCGGCAGCATCGATGGCCCGGCTCTGCTCCCCGATCTGGCCGAGCCCGTCGGCAATCTCACCGCCCTGGAGACCCGCACGCTGGCCCTTCGACTCACCCAGCCTCTGGAGCTCCCGCACCCGGTCCGCGCCATCATTGCCCGGTCTGATCCGTCCTCGGTCGTTGTCGAGGACGTCATGGACATGGCTGACGAGCTGTCCGAGAGCTACGCCGGCCCACAGGGCCACGCCGGTCGCATCGTACTGATCGGCGATGCTGCCCACGCCATCGCCACCAACGCCCAGGGCTCCCTCGGTGCCTCGCTTGCCATCTCGGACGCCGTCTTTGTTGCCAAGCTCATTGCCAAACACCTGCTCAAGGACTACTCTGGATATCACGACAACCACAACCTCGCGCAGCTGGCCAAGGAGTACGATCAACACCGGGTGTCGATGTGCAACTCGATTGTCCGCGAGGCCAGAGCCGAAGGAGGCTGGGGCCGCACTGGAAACGGCTGGGTCCGCAGTTTGTGGCGATTCAGCCAGGTGTATACGCCGCAGGCCTGGAAGGGCCTGAGTTATGTTCAGATGCTGACCCGTGGCCGGATTCCCTCCAAGGCCCTGGACCTGATGGATCTCAGCCTTGCCCATAGAAGTAACTAGAGTCGGACCTGGTGTTGGCCACGCCACAAGCACGCTGCGCCTGTCTTTGTTTCCCTTCCCTCCGTCCCCTTTTTTCTCCCCTGCCCCTGCTCCTTCCCTGATGTTGATGTTGATGTTTGGACCATTGATATTGATCCCCTGATTTTCCGGCTACCGAGGCCGCTTTCCCTGGCTGCGAGGCTATCATCTGTCGGATCATCGGCCAATCTGCTTGTCGACACGCATATACCGCCGCAGCTGGGCGCTTGTCGGACGTCGCCTCTGTACCGACTTTAGAGCACCATCCGCGCGCGTTTTTTTTTTTTCTTCAATCTCCTTCGTGTATGTCGCTTTTCCCTCCCCCGTCCGGTTTATTTCTTTTTTCCAATCTCTTCCGTGTACAGTCTCCAGAAAAGAAAGAGAGAGCGAGAAAAGAACAAACAAACCAGCATTCAAACGAGCACAGATCACAAAGTCGGGGCGGGGCTGGACCAATCCAACGCCACCACACAACCTCCGTTTTCCCACGGAGCATGAGTGAACGCAAATGTGCGTGTGTCTATATTCCTGAACCATGAAATAAGGGTGAGTGTGTATTCAGGACCCAGAGAGAAAGAGAGAGAAAAAGGTCCTGTCCCAAACAGTGTGGCCCGTTTCAAAACGGAGACGTTGTTAGCAAGAAAGTGTGTGTGAGAGAGAGAACGCAAACATCAGGCTCGAAGTGAGAGGATGCATGGGCATATGTAACTGTGAGTTGGTTGAATGAGATGGAAAGGAAGAGTTGAAGGCCAAAGAGAAAAACAAGGAAGAAAAGGAGAACCAAAGAAGGAGAGAAAGAAATGCAACATGAGGCTTTCGTTCGAGTTCAACAGGATGAGGTGCATGTGGATATCTGTGAGGAGCTGGAGAAGGGGGGGGGATATTCCGCGGACTGTTCCTTTGTCGCAATCCAAGGCAGGCTAACCACGATTTGAGATGGATGGCGAGATTTCGGTCGCTTCAAATAGGGCACACGCAACCCTGACGACCGTTCACCAGGGGCCATTGCAGCCCGATTGATATGTGCGTCTGTTTTTTTCTGTAATAGCGCCGAGGTATGCAGAGGGACACCCAAGTCGTTCTTGCATCCGAGATTCGATATCCAGAGCAGGGGGCGGGAGGAGGAGGAAGAGGAGGAGGGAGGGAGTGAAGGCGGGAATAGTCCATGCGAGAAGCTCAGATGTAGGTGCGAGACTGGAAGCAGATCGATTGGATGCTCGGTTACGGGATGGACGGACGGATCAAGCTCTGTATGCAAATTGAGGAGGAACGGACAGTGCTAGGTGATTACGAAAACGAATATAGTCTAGTGCACGGAACATGGAAAGCGAGGGAAGAAGGAAGGAGGAGAGCAGGAAGAAAGGGCCGTCCTGCAGTTTCGAGAGCAAGTCGCGAAGGCGGGAGCGGTCCAGATAGAAGAAACAACCACAGACAGGGAGGGATGGGAGTGGGGAGAAAAACTCGAAAAGGACGCAAGAATAGTCAAAGTCAGGGGAAAGGATTGGGCAAGTCGAGGACGAGATCGATACAATGTGTGGCAAAGGGGCGGGGGTGCAAATACCCCTTGGGAGGACCCAAACCACAGCCCCTTATCCGAACTTGTGATGGTGGCTCGCTCGACCGTTGCGCAATACACAGCGACTCTATAGTCGTCACCAGCCCGCTTCGTGACTCCAATGCATAGGAAGGAGAGGATGCTCTAGCAGGGGGGGGGGGCAAGGATGGGTTATGTACGGAAGAAGGAAAAAGGGGGGATCAAGACGGTCAGCCGAGAATCACAGCTTCATGTTGCGCTTCTCCAGCTCCTCGCAAATATCGTTCCACAGATCCTGCAGGCGGTTGTTGGGTAGCCGAGCAAGTTCCTTCCGCGACATGTTACGCTTGGTCGAGTATCCATCGCGCGGCTCCAAGAACGCAGGTGCATCTGGGGGGGGGGAGAGATAGGATGGGACAAAAAAGGGGGATCAGAGTGAATGCGCGATCGACACGATTCGGGTGCCACCGGTCCGGCTCGTCGATTGTAGAGCGGGTGCGATGTGTCGCGAGTACAGAGACCGGAAAGCAGCAGCAACAAGGATACAAGTCGCGCAAGTCATGTACGATAGAGTGTAGCCACGCATTCGCCCGTCCGTGAGTCATTACCTGGCTGGGCACGTCGCTTAACATCGTCATAGACATCGCCGCCAAAGTCTCGAAGTTGGGTATCGTTTAGCCGCCCGACACGAGCACGGGCGTTTACGCGGGAGCTATTGGCCGGTCGAGCTGCCGACGAAGCTGCAGCTGCCGAGGTCGACGAGGGCTGTGAGCTTGCCATGCTCGGGGACCGTAGTGCCGGCTGGAGTGGACTTGAGGCTGGCAGAGACGAGGCGGTCGAGATGTTGCGATAGAGGGGCGATGCGCTCTGAAGGCGATCGATAGGATCGGCTGAGATCGAATCGGTCAGGGCCTGCTGTTGCTGCTGGAGCTGCTGCTGGAGGAGATGCTGTTGATGCTGGATAGCCTGGATCTGCTGGAGCAGCTGGCGCGTTGGGGGGACATGGCCTGGGGACCGGGAACCGTCCAGCGGGAGCGGCGAGGCGGGGCGGCCGCCGTTGGCGATGTCAACACCCTCTTGGCTTGCCTGGCGGAGCGAGTGCAGAGCATACGGAAGGGGAGAAGGGGCAGGATTTGCCAAGGGAGACTCTGAGCCCGGGTGCGTCGGCTGTGTATCCGTATTCGGAGCCGTCGATGAGGTGTACGATGTGGGAACTGTGGAGCAGATTCGGAGGGAAAAGTATGGTAGCAGTGGAGTTAGCCAGCCAGCCAGCCACGAGCCACGAGCCACCCGCAAGGCACCGGCTGGCACTGGTTGACACTGGATCGCAATGCAATGGTCAGAACTCCGCCAGCGGCGGCACCCACCTTGGGCAGATCGTCTCCGTTCTTCAGCCATAACATCCAGCGAAATGGTAGAGAGCTGCTCATCGGTCAGCCTATGCAGTCGGCCAAGGAGGTGACCGTCGATGGCGCGCGAGGAAGCCGAGGATTTTTGGCGGTCCATGGAGATGCCTGGACTCTGTCGGGTGCTGGATCGGCGCACTGCCTCCTCTCGCAAGTCGCTGCTGAGTGCCCGCAGCTGGTCGTGGCTGAGGGACGAGATCTTGTCGCGCCACTCCCGCTCGGGGCCGTAGCTCAGTTTGGAGGACAGCTCCGGGTCGATGTTGACGATGGTGGTCATGTTCGATCGGCTCGAGGGCGTGCGCGCAAACCCAGGATCCGAATCCCTTGGAACCGAGGTCGCAAGAGACGAGTTGGTATCAGGGAAGGGGAGGTTGATGGGGCTCAGGGCTCGGGCTTGAGGCAGGGAGGTCGGCCAGTTGGGGGTGCGCGATGTCGGCATCAGCGGCGACCCAGAGTGAGACTTTGGGCTCATGGGCGGGCTGGCCGGTGCCATGTAGGGTGAGATTGGCAGACGATCAGCGGTATCGAAACGGCTGATTCCCAAGTGCGTCATCGAGCCTTGCGATGGTTTCTCTGAGGACAGCGGCAGAAGCAAAAAAAAAAGACGACGGAGACGGAACGCAACGAATCAGCCGAGGGCACAGAGCGGGTTCATCGAACGAAGGCCAATGTGGATTGTCCAACAGAGGTGGCACAAGGAGGGACCAGTGTGCTCAAAACCATGGGCGGGGAAGCCAGAGCATGTCGGGTAGGCATTGCACAGAGCGTATCCCTGACCCTGCCGCCTCCGCGTGGGTGTGCAGTTGTCGGCGCCGATCGGCAGATCCATCGCACTCGCCCGAGGCTCCTCGACAGAGATGGATCGCACTGAAACAAGCTCTGTTTCGATGGACACGGCCCAAGAGCATTCCGCGGGATCACAATTCGATGGCTCGATGTTGCTTCCGCAATCGAGAGCAAGGCGCTGCTGCCTTTGGGTTCCAACCTACCATGAAGGCCGTGCTCGATCCGAGAGCTGCTGTTGGACGAGTCTTGGCGCCGCCGGATCTCGGCGTTGATGTCGAGCTGCAGCCGAAAGAGGTGCTCATCGGGCAAGGCATGGAGTTTCTGGGTGACAATGGCCTCGGTCGAGACGATGGATCTGGACATGGACCCAAATCCAACGAGCTTGGTGCGGCGCTGGAGCTCGGCTGCAACTTGGTTTTCGAGAACGGTGAGCTGGGCAGGAGTCAGGGCGCTGAGCTTTTGCAGGGCAACGGCGTGGTTCTGCCCCGACTCAGGCCCGGCCGAGGTCGCACTGGGGGACGAGAAGGCCGTCGAGGGAGAAGGCGGGGCACTGGTACTTGGAACATAGTTGGAAGCATCGAGGCGAGGCGAGAGCGCAGAGCTGTCGATGGGCGGCGAGGGTGAGGCCGCACGCTGAAAGAACGAGGCAATCCGAGATTCAGAGTTGGGCGACGATGGAATGGACCTCGATGACTCGTCCGTCTTCCGGGTCAAGGGCAGGAGCTTGGAGAAGGGCCGCGAAAGCGAATTCTTGAACCAGGAAGGCTTGCCAGACGGAGGGTCGTTTGAGTCAGTGGCGGGCATGGTGTCAGGGGAGCTTGAGAAGCAGAGATGGACTGGGAGGCGACAGAGGCAAGTGGGCAGAACGGGAGGGGAGAACAAAGCGGTGCAGATGTCGGCTTGGCTGGCTGTAGGGCTGAGCTGGCTATACTGCTGGGCTGGCTATACGGCTGGGCTGGCTATACGGCTGGCAGCGGGAAGTTGCAGACTGAGCCGGGCTCGATGCAGGCCGGTCGGCGGATTGGCTTGGTGGTCGACGAATCGAGGGGGACACCGGCTGGGCCCGTGGTGATGAGGAGTGCCAAGAGGAAGACAGCTGGGATCCGCAGGGCCGGGTGGGAGAGCGGCGGACGATGCCACGGGGATGGAACTGCTTGAGGACTGGGAGCCTGGGTCTATCGGCAAGCGAGGGCGATAGGAAAAGCAGGAGGTTTGTCCAAGTGCACGGCAAGCAAGAAGGAGCAGCAAAGACAAATGCGGGGCAACGAGCCGAGGATATAAAGGGGCAAGCGAGGAGCGAGAGGGGAGCGAGAGGGGAGCGAGAGACGAGGCGATGGGAGACGGTGGTGGAAAGAGACGCGGGAGACGGCGAGGAACAGGCGAGAAGCATGCGAGGAACAGGCGAGGGGCGTCCATGACACCAATCCGATGAGCGATGCCTATGCCGGTGTTGATATCGATGGTCTCGCCTTGGCCCGGCTCGCTTCGCTTCGCCTCGGTCGGCCGATTTGGGTCCTCACAGCAGATGGTGCAAGAGGGCGACCAGCAGCGCGCCCTTTGCCCCCAAAACAGGAAGGCCCAACACGCAGCACCAATAACAGCGCAACAGCACCAGCAGCCGAGAACGGCGAGGCAGCGGCACGAGCAGGCATCGCAATCCAAGATGAAGCTCTTGCTTTGGTTGTCCTGGTGGGAGCGACGACAGCCCGCCCGCAGCCAGCACCACGATCATCCCCGCGAGAGAGTAAAAAAAAAAAAAACGTGCATCAGAGCAAGGCATACATGTGCCTTTGGGACTGACCGACGCAACACCCGGAAAGATCCTGTCCTGCGGCATGCTGGCTGGTGTTCGAAGACGTCGACACCCTTAATCCTGGCAGAAAGCGCCGCTTTTGGCAGTGCAGACGACTGAGCACAAGCATGGGCTTGGCGCATCGACAGGCTCCGTGGCGATTCTCCGGGTGGGCGGCAGCTGGACGAGGATGCGCTATTGCCAGCGCAGGGGAGCGGCCGCTGGTCGCAGCCGGAAGAGCAACGGATCCGAGCAGGCTGCACATTGCTGGTCTCCAGCGCATGGCTGTCTCCAGCGCATGGCAGATCCGCCGACATGGAGGCAGCCCGCCCGTCCGGCGAGGCCATTCCGCCATGACTCGATTTGCGTCGGGCTGCTCTCCCATGGGACACATGCTGCTCCCCGCGGCGCTGACATGGCCCGGCAGGAAGCTGACATGACAGGGGCTGACATGTGTGTCCGGTGCTGAGGGCTTTCAAGGGAGGTGGCGAGAAGCAGGACGAGCCGGCGCAGCGACCAAGATCGATCAGATTGCTCGCGATTCCCAGGAAAAAATTGATAGCGATATCCATCCACACCAACACCAGCATCAGCATCAGCATCACAGGCGATTTGTCGTTTCCAAAGGTACCAAAAATATATTCGTTTCTCGTTTCTCAGGTCCGGAGACAAATTCAAAACTTGGGAGCGAAAAAAGAAAGACACGGAGAGGAGCAGGAGGCGGGGAAATCTCCACAGCCCGGGCTCCTCGGTTCATCAAGGATTAATGGGAAGGTCGAGCCACTACAAGGGGGAGAGCGGGAGAGCGAGGATTTGCGGTGGTTGGTATGTACAGAAAATAAGGCGGCTGTCGCTGGATATCAGTCGAGGCGAGCAGCGACAGGGCACAGACGACACGTCAAAGAAAGAGGGATCTTTTTGTCCAGGGAGAAGCTTGCAAAGGAAGAAGAGGAGGAAAAAAACATTGTCCGAGACGTGGTTTGGGGCAAGGGCGGTCGATTGAAGGAGGTCATGGAAGATTTGGAAATTGGGAAGGGCAACTCGCGCTTGGATTGGGAAAGCCAGAGGGGGGGTGTCGAGGTTGAGAGAAGGATGGCCCGAGACAGCTACAGCGGAGTCAACCACTGCGAGCTGAACACGGACTACCTTTTTGGATGGGATTGGCGGTTGCAAACTATGAACGCGGCTTTGTCAATGTGTAGCGGAGTGCTGGTTGGATGGATGGAGGACTGGGATGGGGGATGGATCGCGGTCAGATTGCTTTTTCTTGCGTTGCCGTTGTTGGGAGGACTGTGGTTGTCAGATTGGAGAAGCAGCAACGGACGCGATGCGACAGTTGGTACCATTCCGCGGAGGATGGGGGGGATGGTTGGTTGGTTGGTTGGAGCTGGCTGATATGGGGGGCTCAGCAAACGGGACAGGGCTTGGGGAAACCAGAAGGATCTCGGAGGCAGATCGACGCGGCAAGACGGGAGGCAAACTTGAGACAGGGTTGTTGGGAAGGGCCGGGGCAAGCCGCAGGACTCGGAAGGACTCGGAAAAGGTTGATTACATCGACAGGTGTGCGCTGTACTGGCTGTGCTCCTTGTAGGCGTCCATGGTACGGCCGCGGGTAGCAAAGGATAGCCGCTTCTTGGGGATCGACGGGGCCGACTTGACACCAGAGGGGATGGTGCTAGAGACTTCCTTCTGACGGACCTCGCTGGGGGGGATGGCGGTGGTGACAAAGGTCGTGGGAACGCTGGAGCCAAAGTCGTTCTCGGTCTGGAGATACAGGTGGGTGGACGACATGATGAAGATGGGGGAGTTTGGGTCGGGAAGCCGAACGAGGCTGAGAAGAGGGGCGTGCGCTTGAGGAGCTGGTGTGCAGCTGAGGAGCTTGGCTTGGAGGCGGATGAGGGGCTGAGGTGTACAGAGCAGATGGAGCACATGGCGGCAGAGAGCCGGCTTTATAGGCCGCGCAACCAGAGATGCAGGACCGGGGGGGAGCCGCGCGAGCCGACGTGGACGCCGGGCATGTCAGGACGGCTCAAGGCGACGCAAAGGCGGTCGGATGACGCCTTCCGCGCAGCGAATCGGAAGGGCGGGCGGACATGGGACGGGCTGCGCACCGGCATGTGATGGCCGGGGGGTGGCGGTGGGGGACGGGAGGGCGGGGCGCAGTGTCTGTGAGGTGTCTGTGAGGTGTCTGAATTGTGTCTGTGAGGTGTCTGCGCTGTGTCTGTGTCAGCGACTGCGAGCCGAGTGGTTCCAAGCGCCAAAACCGCGATCCCCGACTGCGACAATGGCAGACGCGCTCCGCACGGGCGTTTTGCGTCATGGCCCGTCAACAAGGGTCGACACAGCGCGCTGCATCAAAGTTGTGCGCGTCTCGGTGCGTTCTCGGTGCGCTCTCGGTGCGTCTCGCTGCGTCTCGGTCCCGTGCGTTCACGCCAACATCGGCCTTCTCGCCGCGCCCTCGCCCCCGCCCTCGCCTCGCCCCTCTCGGACCTTGCGCCCTGACACCTTCAGCGCCCTCCCCGGCGCCGTCTGCATGTCGTCCTGGGCCCTCGGAAGGCCCTGCTTCCTGCCGGCCGGCTCATGTCGCTGGCGGGGATGGTGCAAAGGACCGCCCAGATCGAGATCCGGCCGGCGCAAATGTCAGCAAGCCCGCGCGATGGTGCAATCCCCGCGACGTCGGGCATTGCGTGCGAGATGCTTGGTGATCGGCGGGGTGAAGACTCGCGAGCTGCCCCCGATGGCCAAGACCCACATCCGTCGCATTTCCCCCTCGCTGCTGCAGGTCCCAGGACACACCATGTCGCCAATGCCAGGGCCCTTCCCACGGCCACGTCCCTCTGCATGCATGCACGCAACCACACACCACTCGCCGGCAACCATTGTCAGAGACCACCCGGTGGGCATCCCTCCCACAGCCTCACCCGGCCTGACGACAAAGGCGGCATGTGCCCGGATGCATTACTTTCGTCGTGTCGCTTCATGTATTGGTCGACGCTGAGGGCGTCGTGATCGGCTCGCTTGTTTTCGCCGGTTGTCTGCAGACCAGCTTGTGTCGGCAAGCTTGTTTTCGCCGTGGTCGCCTGCCCATTTTCGTTGCGGTCGCCTGCCCAGAGCCACATCTACTTGGTCGCCCGGGCCGGCAGCAGGCGCTTCATGGCGTTGGTCAGAGGCAGGACCGCAAATCTGCACGGGCGGTAACGGCGCATCGCGTGTGGGTCGCCATGACGCCGGATGAGGGGATGTGGGTCAGCCTTTGCAATCCGGCCACCAGACCCTCGCTTGCGGCCCGCCCTCACCACCGCTGGTCTGCCGAGTGGCACTCGCCTGCCCGTCCTCCCCAGCGATATCCACCCCCCGGCTGCGTGGACTCGCCGCGGCCGTCGTGATGAATGTCCAACGCCCGTCACCGTCGACCTGCAATCCGTCATCCTGTGGCGGCCTTCCTGGATTTCGGTGCCAGGGAGCACACAGTCCCGCAGGCTAGCTGTTGCTGTGGCTGTGATTGCTGCTGTTGCTGCTGCTGTTGTTGCTGCTGCTGTTGTTGTTGTTGTTGCCGTTGCTGCTGCATCGATAAGATCTCGTCTTCCGGAATCGGCCGACGCAGGCACCCACTCCCTGCCAGCGGGTCTGCGGCCATCGATCGATCCCCATGAGCCAGCAGAGTCACAGCCCCAAAAGCACAGCCGATCGCGATTGCTTGGGGAAGAGGAGAAGCCAGACCAGGGCCCGATCGGCTGTGCTTTGACACCTTGGGGATTTGGCTCTCTGGTCCTTTGGTCCTTTGGGTGCGGCCCTCGCTTGGACCGAGAACCGCTGTATCGGCGATCCAGCACCCAGCACCCACCAACAGCGCCTCCCGCCTCCTACCTTGCAAAGTACGGCGTCAGAAACACCGAGAGGCCCAGACGGAGTGGCATCGCTGCCTTGACGAGGGCATACGACGTCACCAGATGCAGCATCATCTGCGAGTCGTCCCTGAGCGACACCGGCGCTCCCGCCAGTTGCAGCAGCCGGGTCATGCGTCGGTTGCCCTCGGCCAGGATCTCCTCCGGAAACGGGATTTGGATGTCAAAGTAGCTCAGCCCAAAGTACAGCAGCGGCAGGGGTGCGATCGCCGTGAGTTCGTGCAGGACCAGGAACGACACCAGATGCGACCCCGGCGCGGCCCGGAACTGCTCGGCATATTTGGCCAGGTGCTTGTTTCGGATCAGTCGCTGCAGGAGCGATGCCGACGGTGCATCTGTCGAGGGTCCTGCGCCGGTGCTAAACGATCGCCAGAGGCCAGGGCCAAGAGGCGAGCGCCGCGGATGCATGCAACGCAGAAAGAACATATCCGATGGGCGACGTCTTGGTGCTGGTGGTTATACCCCAGCTTTCGATGACAGATGTCCAAGATGCCAGAGACGACCCAGAGCAAGTCGGGCGAAAGCCATCTCGGTCCACCGTCGCGGCTCTCGGTCCGCTGTCTCGCTCGCAGAGAAAGAGCACCATGTTCCAAGCCAACATGCGCGCAACAGGCGCAATAGTCTTCATTCGAGGGCAGCGAGGCGGTCGAAACATGAGTGCAGACGCAAACAGAACAGCGGCCAGACAGACAGATAGATAGACAGACAGACAAAACCAGCGGGAAACACCCGAGACAGTCTCCAGGCGAACGAAAGCAGGGCGGCGCCATGGGCAGAGGCAAGAGCAGCGAGTACACATCCTGGCGTCCTCTGGCGTCCATCAGCGAGCAACATCCGTGCATTGAGATGGGCGGACATGTATGCGCAGAGTCCGATCGATCAAGACCCAGAAGGCCGATCCAGGCCTGGCAGCAGCGGATCGGCAGTGGATCGCAGACAAACTCTGCCTCAAGCCAAAGGCGGCCGCATTTAGCGGCGGCGGCGGCCCTTTTGCACGAGCTCAAAGCCGTCTTCGTCGACGATGGGCCCTTGGGGCTCTGGCCGTCCTGAGGAGCCGCCAGCGCCGCCGTTCGAGCCAGAGCCAGAGCCAGAGCCATCTTGGTCGATATCCATGCCGTCGGCTCCAGCACCGTTGCCTTCATCGTCGTCGTTACCGTTGTCGTCGTCGCCAGCCTCGTCGCTGTCGACTTCGTTGTTGTCGCCCACCACTTGCTTGGGTGTGCGCTGCTGCGTCCGGACCTTTTCTCTCAGGAAATCGACAATCTCGAGCCGTCCGAGGACAACCACGTCCTGGTAGAGTTGGACCAGCGCCTTGCCGACTTGCTCGCCGCTGCCGTCCTCAAGATCGGCATCAAAGATCTCGTCAAAATAGCCGGTGAAGTTGTCGCCGAGCTCGTACGCCTCGACGTCGGTGCCATACTTGAGGAAAAAGTCCTTGGTGAACTGCACCATCGTTGCGGCCTGCTCGTTGGTCGCAGGGCCGCTGATTTGCTGCTCCAGCACAAACTGCAGGGCCGGCCAGCGAGCAAAGATCAGGTCGACGCCGTCGCAGAACGGAGTAAAGTTGGCGGGTGGGGAGGCCATAGCGGGAGGCGGCGGGTCTGCTGTCGAACTGGGTGTGGTGGAGTGGCCGAGATGGTTCCTCGATGCTGGTCGATCCGAACAGAGAGTCAAGCGGATGCGAACGAAGGCCCGGCGACTCAACCAAGCCAGCAACAAAAAAGAAAAAAAAAACGTGTCACAGGGGATCGAATTGGATGAGAGGCCAGGAATAGCACGATCAATGCCCATCAATGCCCAGCAATGCCCCCACCCGACAAGGCCGCTGCCTCAACGGGCGCTTGCCTGTCTCGAGCACCGCCCAGCAATCCGTGCAAGTATCTTCTCTCCTGTCCATCATCCTGTCCATCGTCCTGTTCATCGCCCTGTCCAAGTCCCCGCAGTGTCTGGCCTTCTATAATGAACAACTCGCTGTCCCCGGGCCTCTGCGACTGGCGGGTCCAGGCACTCCCCTGCACCGCCAACAACCCCATCGCAGCGTCGCTCTATCTCGCCAGCATCGCACTCAATGCTGCAAACTGGCTCTTTGCCGGCGGCATCCTCCTGCACCGGCTCGTATACAAATCGCAGCGCCTGCTCGACATGCGCATCCCAGGCTCCCTGCCCGTTCGCCCGACCGAGTGGTACCTGGTCTTCATGGTCCTGTTCTGCGCCATGCGGGTCATCCACGGCTCCGTCGTCCTGGGCGGGTTGACATCCATCCTCATCATTGTCGAGTCCGTGGTAGGTGTCCGACCGGTGTTGTCGACATTGCATCTGCCATTGCTATATGCCATCGGGCCTTGCATGTGCTGCTCGATACGAGACGATACCAACCCTATTCGTCTGCAGAACTCTCTCTCGTGGATCTTTCTATTCTATGCACTGGTGCTCTATCTCGTTGGAATGTAAGTGCAGCCTGACAAACCCCAATAAGCAACCCGGAGAGTCCCCTCCAGCCCTGCTTGATAGTCTCCATCCATCCGTCCGTTGTCTGGCCTTCATTCCTCGCCATCGCCAGACATGGTGCTGCATTGCTATTGGTGTTTGCCACCACCACCACCACCATCACCACCACCACCACCACTACCACCATCACCACCACTATCACCACCACAATCGCCACGCCGCTCCGTCTGACCCGGCCTGTCGTCTCGGCCTCGCCTCACAGGTACCACTCGATCCCTGACTCGTTCAAATGGAACTACTCCAACATCGACGGCTCGCCCAAGAGCCCGCTGCTGATCGACATCCTCGCCATCGTCCTGATCATCACGCCAATCCTCTTCAGTCTGCCGCTGGGCATCGTGGCCGCCTACTACCAAGACACCTCGCAGCCCGCCAGTGCCGACTGGATCCAGCGGGCCCACTCGTTCGGCGCCATGAGCGTGTGGCTCCTGCTGATGGTCGTGTGGATGTATTGGGGCCAGCAGTGCATCGTCATCCTGGAGGAGCAGCTCGACGACGCCCAGTCCGACCTTGGACAGCTCTTCCGCGGCGATTCCGAGAGCCACCAGCTGAACCCGCTGCGAGCGCATGTGCAGCGCATGAAGCGGGGCCGCCGGGACGTTGCCTGCCTCAAGGGCTTTGTGATCTCCCACATTGTCGTCATTGGATCCATCTGCGTCTTTGACCTCGTCTACGGTCTCTGGAGCACGGATATGATCGGCCCGAACACGACCATTGACGAGGTCGTTTCTGCCCTGTGGCTGTTGTTTGTGCCATTGATGTCGACGCTGAACCTCGCCGTGATAGCCATGAGGTACGTTGCTGCATCGCGCCACCATGGCCTGCTCTGGTCTGCTCTGGCTTGTTCTGGTCTGCCATGATTCGCTTGCTAATCCAGATGCGTTTGTGGGGGTGGGCGGGTCATCTCGCTCCTGTATCGCTCTCAGCGCCTGGCCCTGCCGGGTCACGGCCGCTGACGTGGGAAAGCGAACCGGAAGTATGCAGTTTGGAGGCTCGTTGCGACGCCGCTCATTGCCTCGACAGCGGTTCCCATCAGCATACCAGTACGGCACCGTGACGGCTGCGGCCCGCAGCGATTCACGATAAGGTACTCACGACTTGGGGCCTGCGGTGATTGCCAGGATCTCCTCTTCCAACCATATCACCCACCACCCAACACTATACTACACGCCACTAGATCAAGCCCTCGGCACCTGTCCGGTCCCAGTGGCTCTGTCGCTTCGTCGTTGCAGGCAACGCAAGCTCCACAACCATGTATACTGAATAAAGGTGCACAATAGTCTACTGTTGATGATAAGGAAATACAGAACGCTTCTCGCTTCCGCTCACTCACTCACTCACTTGATCGATCGAGCCCGCGGTGGCTCGGGGTAGAAATCATCCATGGACAGAGCTTACCAAGTCTTCCGTAATAGTGCCCATCGACGCTTGCACTGTTGTATCAGACTCGATCGATAAAATGTCGTGGATATGCCCACACACTAACAGCATGAGACAGACACCCAAAGCAATGACTCTTGTAACTTGGTCGTTCCCAGCCGAGTGAATGGTCCGATCCAACGATGGCATGGTTTTTGTCCGAAATAACCAATACGTCTCATTGTTATTCAATACGCCGTGCAACGAGCAGTCATCGCTCCTGATAATCTCGCACCCATACAATAGAACAAAACAAAACAGAACAGCGGAACAGAACCATGCAGTGATAAAGTACAGTTTGGCAATCATCGCGTCTTTTGATCAACTTCGGGCAAGCGGGAGGGAAGCCCTTCAGACAGCAACAAACTCGAACGACCACGTTCTGTGTGTCCACAGCTTGACGTCCACAACGGGCTCAGTGAGCGATTCCGGGTGCGTCGTGGGTATTTCCGATGGCCGACCAAAGAGCGTTGATCGGCGCATAACAGCCCGCGGTTTCTGCCCCGTGCTCTGGTCCGGCTGCTCGCCAATGGCAGCGTGCTCCTCGGATCTCTGAGTTCGATGCGTCGAGCTCTTGGAGCTGCCGGCTCGTCTCAGATCCTTCGCCGCTGGTGCCTCCTGGGCTGCTTCAGACAGCATGGCCTGAACCTGGTCGAGGAGTTCCTTGGACGTGTGTCCCGGCTCGTCTCGGTGGCCCTTGACTGAGCAGCTCGACCCTGTTGCGCCGTCATGTAGATCGCCAGCGGGCTCAGCAACGGCTTTGTGGTCGAGCGGGCCAAAGGACGGCGGCGGCAAGCGAATCTGAACGTGCTCCACATCCCACCATGACTTGCGGAAGGGCTGCCTTCCTTTCATGCAATATTCGAATCCGGACGTATTGGGTACGATCGAACCCTCTTGAGCCTGAACCAGAATGCTGGAGGCGAGTCCTCCGGGATTGTCTGAGGCCTTGGTGCCCTTTTGAGAGGCAGCGCCGGCAGCCGGGTCGCTGCCGAGTGCGCTGCTGTCCGGTTTCTGAGCACACGCAGATGAGTCGCAGGCGCCAAAGGACACCTTGGACCTCGAAAGCGATGTTGTTCGCATCGGCTCGCGTTCGTGCGGGCGCCCATGCTCGTGCTCATGCTCGTGCTCCGGGATCGAGCTGCTGATGCACTCGGGCACGCTGGGATCTCGTTTCTCTTTCATGTTGAGAATGGCAATGCTGACCAGCTGGTACGAGTCGGACCTGAGAGACTCGCGATAGGGCCACACGGCGCTGCTGTCACAGTATGCGTGGCACTTGAGGATCTTTTCGATATCGAGGAGCTGTCTGTTATGCTCACAAGTCCGGGCCTCTGCTTCCGAGGTACCATCCCAGCGCGGTGAGTTTGGCGTTTGAGTGCTCGGTGTGGGGGTTTGAGAGCACTGAGGCTCAAGCTCGGCAGACTGTAGCGGCCCGGGAGCCTGGAGGCTCAGCGAGCGAGGCGGCAGCAGCATGGGCTCGCATGAACGGCCATCGTCGAGAGAATGTGGCTCAAAATCGGCGCTCGGGGGCCTTGGGGACTCTCTGCACCCGTCCTTAGAGCTATCGAGCGGCGACGGGAAGATGACCTTGCGGCTCTTCAGGATCTTGAAGCACTCGTTCTTGATCAAATGACGCTGCAGCTTTTCGATGCTGTGGTCGTGAGTCTCGGGCAGCGACTTTGCCTTGCCTTTGCTGCTCTGCTTGCCAAGAGTCGAGAAAATGCTGGACAGACCATGCTCTGGAAGCGAATTGCGGCGACTCTTGCGACGTTGCGCGGAGCGAGGCTGGTCGGACTCGGTACTCTGTCGTGGCAGGTAGTCTTGCGCGTTCTTGGGGATCGCGTAGAACTCAATGTCCTCGCGCAGGACCAGGAGATACTGGATCGGGTGTGGCGGGCGAGTGGGCGCTATCTCGACCATGCTCTCAAGCGGCCTGGGCGGCGGGAGAGCAGCGGGCTCGGCGTGGATGGCTCCAGTGAGGACGCTTGTGGTTGTGGCCGGCACATCAGCAATAGACGGCCCAACCACGGACACGGGTGTGATTTCATTTGCGCTGAGATCAGAGATCGTGTACGCATGTGGGAACCGTTGGGAGATGTACGATACGATCGCACTTTTGGCAGCCGAAATACGCCGGGTGATTCCAAACTGAGTCACCAGGTCCGACCGTTTCGGCGCAGCCGCTGGCTCGGCTGGAAAGCGCTCCATCGTTGAGTTGCGGATTTGAGGGGCCTCGTCAGCGGATGGCGGGTTTTCTTGGGGCAGCATGCATGCGCTTGGATCTGCCTGTGCAGTCTGGGCTGCTTCGGTGAGGATTGACTATGAAATCAGCAAGCGAAGATGTGAGTCAGGTCGTCCGTGAGAAGTACGAGCCACGATCGGCCCCGCTTTGTCGGCTGCCGTGTGATGCATAGGCCCTTTACACCACACCCAGAGGCCCCACCAGGCTTCATGAAGATCAAAGTCTCAGTCGATTCAAGGGCCGGTCGCTGTTACAGTGCACCGGGCCAACTGGATCGCTTTGTACCAGAGACAACAGGCTACTCACGCTGCTTCGAATGGACTCGGCAGTAGCCGGCTCCAGGGAGGGGCCGTTCCCGGCGCTTAAGGCCGCTGCAAGTTCATCAGGCTGCACGGGGCCCTCCTTGGGAGGCTGCTCGTGGGCATCATCAACAACCGGAGCAGCGCTGGTGGAAGGCGGGGCGGTGTTGATCCCGGCCCGAGAGGATCGTCTGGAGGCCGTGCGCGATCCACCGGCAGAACGACGGCGTCCGGAGCGGGTCGTCAAGCTGCGACGCACCATGTCAAGGGCCTTCTTGTGCTCCTCCTCCAGGGCCTTCTTGATTTCTTCGTTCGCGGCAATGACCTGGCGAAGACCATAGGCAATGTACCGAAACAGGGTCGGGTCGAGGTCGGAGTTGACGATTCGCGCCTCATGGAGGTCCGAAAAGGCGCCCTCGAGCAGCTCCTCCTCCGGGTTGCGGAAGGACTCACGTTCGTGCTCGTCGGGGGCTGGGGTGCAGGCCTGACTTGGCTCGGAGCTTGCCGACAGATCCGAGTCGGCTTCGCTTTCGGAATACTCCAGGACAGACTCGTTGTCGGGGTAGTGTTGGCGCCAGCGGAGCGCGGCGGAGCGGGATATGGACGACCTTGCGGCGTTCTCATCGGAGGAGAGGCCTCCCGGCGAAGGCGACTTGGAAGACGACGGAGACTCGGCGCCGGATGGAGCTGGCGTCGGCAGGGCAGCGACCTGAAGGGTGCTTGGATCATCAAGAAAGAGGCCAGGAGGAGTGTTGGTCGCAGGAGGCCGCTCCTGAGGATTGCTCGTGGTAGTTGGCGAGGCCGGCGTGATGGAGCAGAAGGGAATGTAGCCCGAGGGGAAGAGCGACGTGAGTAGGCTATCGGGAAACAGGCAGATCAGCCTGGAAGATATCCGGAAGCGATCGCCACGCAGATTCAGAAAGACAACGGAGTCGCCAAACATGAAGCGATCGGTGGCCGAGCCGGGCGCTGGACTGGGTGGGTTCATCATGAACTGTGGGAGCAAGTCGAGCACGGCCGGCAAAGGCAGATCAAGGACAGGGAGGGGAAATGGGTCGCTGTCGAGATCGAGAAAGGAAAAAGAGCGAAGACCAGCGAGGGCGGGACGAAGAAACGGATCCGAAGAGCCGATGAGGGCGGAAGTGGGATCGAAGACAATCGGAAGCACCGATAGGAACGAGCGGCGGCCGTCGATGCAAGGGCGAGTCTCGCGGACTATATATCAGGGGTATGGCGTGGCGCCGATGCAGTGTCCGTGACGACGGCTGCGATGGACGTTGTCTGAGCGAGCGCCGGTAGTTTGGCCGTGCCGGCGAATGGAAATGGGGACGGAGATGGGATTGATATCCAATGACACGGACAGAGGCCGTAGAGGAATAGTCCAGCGACTGCCAGTGACAGCAGAGAGAGAGCCGAGGATTGATGAGATCGAGACGGAGGTATTGTGACGAGGGTCGGCGTGACGAAGGCCGATGGTATTGACAGCAGCCGGGTTGGCAAGTCGATTCGGCGACGAGTGGCAAACGGGCTCTGCGACGTGACGAATGCTCCGTCATTGGTTGTGTCGGACTGACATGATCCGGACGCCGCCGCCGCGGATTGGCTCACCTGAGGAGAGAGAGTGTGTGTCCGGAACCGATGCTGCAGCGGATCGGGTGGTTGCGATAGGTGAAGATTGCTGCGATGGATGGATGGATGGGTGGATCGATCGAGTGGTTGCGATAGCGAGGACCGCTGCGATTCCTCGCCCGGCAGCGGCAAATGTGCTGCTCCTGGTCATGATTCTGCAAACATGGCCTCGGATCGAGAGCCACGCGCCCATGTCACGACCACGCCCAGCGACGACACTTTGATTTAGCTGCCCTCCTCCTCCACCACCACCAACAGCGTCGCCTGCCTCTGTCCACGATCGCAGCGTCATCTGCTTTCCCGTCTTGCTGCTCAGTCAGCCGCCATCGGCATTGGCGCTGACCGAGACCGTCCATCTGGGTCCTGGGAAACGCAGCCCACCTCTGCCGGCGCGTCTGGTGCAAGTATGCCTCGCTGGCGTGGAGCGACAACGATCCTGGGTCTGATTCCAGGATTGGTGCTGGTTCCGCCATGCGATCTGCTATGCAACCCTCCATGCGATCTGCTATACAACCCTCCATGCGATCCGCTGCACCGCACTGGACTTGCAGCGGCGCCGACCCCAGGCCATCTGCCCTCCACCGCCACCAGGCAGTGCTCAATGCAGCCACACAACGGCCACAGTCGAGCCGCCCCAACACAGCGCCACACAATCCACAAAACCGATGAGGACCCACACAACAGCCACAGCGCAGCAGTCACAATTCAGCAGCCACAATGCAGCAGCCACACCGCTGCGCGTCGGCGCCGCCGCCTGTCGCACCGCCCTTGCGCGCGTGGCGTGTCCCTCGGCGTCGCCACCCGCCGTGCTGTGCCCCGTGCGTTCGCCATTCAAAAGCGATCGATCGCCGCTGTCCGCCTCGTTGCGTTTTTGGTCCAACATCCTTTGCCCTCGGCTTCGCTGGCCATCTGTCTGGACAGCGCTCTCGGCTCTGCAAGTCTCCAGGAGCACCCGTCTCGATAGCCCTTCGCTTCCGTCCAGATCGAGATCCAGATCCAAACTGCCCTCGTCCCTGTCCAATTGCCATGTCTGTCCTCTTTCGCTGGGCCATCGCCCTCGTCCTCCTGCTGTCCCAGGCAGCTGCCGATCCAACCCTGCAGTATCTGCCCCAGGTACGGCGCTCGTCTCTGGAGGAAACACACCCCGCATCGCTTTTGTGTCTGCTGCACTCGACTGACTCGACATCGACAACTGCTGGATGCTGCTTCGTTCGTCACCATCCAGGGCAACTACCAGTTTCCCTTCTACTCCTCTGTGCCCCTCGGCACCCAAAACACCCAAATCAAGCGCCTTGTCTTTGCCCTGCACGGTATGTTCTCTCTCCCTCTCTCCACTGCGGCGCTCTGCCGTACCGGTCGTCTTCCTTCGTTTCTGCATCCTCGTCTCCCAACTTCTGTAGTGACCGGCCTGCTAACGTCCTCTCCGAACCCCAGGCATCGGCGGTAACGCTCTCCAGGACTTTACCACCGTCACTGGAAACTTCCCAAACATCATGTTTGAGACTGCCTTTGTCACGCCCTACTTTTACTGCAGTGGCGACTCGACTGTCGCCTCCAACGCTCTGACCTTCTGCGCCGGCTGGCTTGACGGCACGGCGAGCGACCAAAACAGCACCCTCTATTCCTTCGACATGATCGACCAGCTCGTCCTGCTCGCCAAGAAAAACTTCCCATCCATCAACTACTACATCTTTGCAGGCCACTCTGCCGGTGGCCAGACCATCCTGCGCTACGCGTCCTCGACCCAGATCGGCATCGCCGAGTATCTCTATGCCAACGTCAAGTACATTGTTGCCGGTGCCGGCACCTATCTCTACCTCAACAGCTACCGTCTCAACAGCAACGTCGACCCCACCACTATCTGCCAGTCGCTGGACAACTGTCCCTTGACCCAGAATGACTTTGTGCAGAACTACGTGCCGCCGCCGCCCCGCCAGTCATGCAGCGTCTATGACAGCGGCAAGTACGGTCTCTCTAGCGTCAACGATCCCAGCCAGCCGCCAAACTATGCCCAGCGTGCGACCGCTGACTGGATCTTCAACTCCCTCGTCGAGCGCAACATCACCTACATGGTCGGCGACCTCGACACCGTCGCCAACTACAAGCTTGACGTTACCTGCTCTGCCATGGCCCAGGGCCCCGCCAGTCGCAAGATGCGCTTCCTCATCTTCTCGCGGTACATGCAGATCTTCTTCCCGGTCTACCAGCAGTACCAGAACCACAAGATCGTCCCTGGCTGCCCTCACAGCGATCCTTGCATCTACTCGAGCAAGGAGTTTGAGCTCGAGGTGTACTCTGGCACGACCATCAATCCCCCGGACTTGCCTCCGGCCTCGTCTATCACTGACAGCGGCTCGCTTCCCGATTCCACCCCCGTTGCCAAAGTTTCTGGTAACGGCGGCTCTACCAGCTCGGCCCCGTCGGCCCTCCCGTCCTCGGTGCTCGTGGGTGCATGCACCGTTGCCATCGCGGCGGTGCTTTCCGGGCTCTGGGCTTTGTAATGATCCCGCACATCTTCTCCTCAACCCACGTGGCTCCTCGGCTCGTTTGCTGTGCTGCTGTCATACTCCCACATGTCATCCCATTATACGTTTCCCTTTCTATCTTTTTCCTATTCCCTCAGGTATTGCCCTTGCGCTGCGTCGACTGTGTGTGTGTCCTGGCCTGGCTGCTCGGCACAATCGCTTGTTGCTTGTCAATCAATGCCGACTGCACCCACTTCCGAAACCCGCTGGCTGTTCGGCTGCCCAGAGCGCCGCGAATACATCATCTTTACAGTCAATCCAATAAAAAAACGGGACACCCGTGATTTTGACGATTGATCAAATATTTTGTTACCCAATGCAATCGCGCGCTGGCCATGATCATTCTGTGATTTGAATCAAGGGCGTCATTGTGGGAATCGCTCCCAGCTCGAGATGCGCTGGATGAGTGCCACACCAAGTCCCAAGATCCATGTGTGCTCGGTGAACGAGTTCAACACATCCCAGGTGTGCTCACACTGTCGGGAATTCAAGCGACTCGATAAGGTCGAGCATCTTGATGTCGAGAAACCACATTTTGTCCGGAGCTGTGCAAGCTGCCATACGCTGTGGGATCGAGACATCAATGCAGCCAGGAACATGATCTCGGTATGCCAGTCGATCATCGCCACAGGAGATCGACCGGGTGTATTCAAGACTGTGCTCCCGAAACCAACCAAAACAAAGAGATTGCCAACGAAGACAGGAGTGCAGTGCCATGGCCTACCCGCTGGGCCTACAGTCAGTCAGCGGGCTTCAGATATCTGAAGCCAGAAAGGGAAAGTGTCCCGTTTATTTCTGGACCGACTGTAGATCCGCGAATAGCTGTTCTGGCTTGCATGCATGCGTTTTGCACACCGAGTAAACTCGTTCTCTGCCGCCTCGGTGGATGGCGAGAACCACGGCAACTTTGATGCCGAGCAGTCTCGCCCTATCACCGCCGTTGCCGTATCATAATCGCCGTTGCCGTATCATAAGCGCTGTTGCCGTATCAGCGCCATCATGTCGTGGGTTGTCGTATGACGCGCCGCATCCAATCCACCGGCCGTCCGAGCTCAAAAAGACAAGCCTCGACTGCTGGCCGCAGATTCCTGCCTGCCCTCCATCGCACCGTCGCTCTGTTGGGCTGGCAGCAGACAGCAGCTCTTTGCGCTCACAGACCTCGGTCGTCAGCCTCCTCGGACCATTTGGCAATATCGGCCTCTCGGGCGGCCGCCTGTGCATATTGCCATCCGCAGTCTTTCGAAGAGCACAACAACCGCAATCGCACCCACAATCGCAATCAAAATTGCAGCCATCACTGTACCGCTGCATCTGCATCTCCATCTCCATCTGCATCCCAGTCTATCCACGCCCACTCGACGACACCCGTTGCCCGGCTTGCGCTATGCGAGTGGGTCTGCTCGCATCTCTCTGCCCTCGGCTCGTCCAACAGTCATCCCGCCATTCCCTCATCCAAGCACGCTCAGTGTCTCATCAAACAGCCGCACGATGGCCCGGCTTTCGTCTGCGATCCATCCCAGAGTGGCGGCGGCGACTGATTCTCCTCTGGAGAATGTCCGTGCCGTCGCTCACACGCTCAAGGCTTACCATTCGGCTTAGATCTTCGCCGTGGCCCAAGACGGCCTTGAATCTGTGTCGGCTCGCCGCAAACATGACTTCGGTTGCTGCTGTCTGCGGCTCTCGCACTCTCTTCTTCTCCTTTCGAAGCCCGTGGCTAGGACCGATGCGTTTCCGGCGACAGCAGCCGGCACTCCGCTCATGCTTGGCCCCTTGGCTGTCCGAATTCAGCATCGTGGTGCTCGACACACCGGCCTCGGGACTCTTTCGATGGATCTCGTTCGGGATGCAGTCGCTTTACCGCCTCGTGCGCATCTCCGTGCGTGTCGTCGTGCTGGCGTTGATCTTTCTCCCGGTGGCAGCCTCCTTCCCACTCTGGCTGGTTGTCGACTACCACGATATCGTCAACGGACGGGAGCCTCGTCGTGTCTGGTGGCCATGGATGCTGCTCTATGCTTTTGAGCTCGCCGGACCGACGTTTATCAAGGTACGAATCTGTGTGTGGAACCGGGCGGTTGTTTCACTGGGCGAATGACCGAAGTTGCGTGATTGTCTGGCCGTTGCGGAATGGTCGGCTCGACTGACTACTCGCTGGTTGCAAGAACATCAGCCGAGCGTCGTGCCAGCCTTCCATCTGCCCTGATGCATCTTCTTTGACGAGCCTGATCGGCCATCACTGCGCCTATGATATGCACCGCCGCTCACGATGTGCCCTCCGTCCGATTCGCAGTTGGGTCAATGGGCAAGCTCGCGCAAGGACATGTTCCCACCATACCTCTGCGATATCCTCTCGAAGCTGCAAGCCAATGTTAAACCTCATTCAATTCAGGCCACCCGTGTCATGATCCAGCGCGAGTTTGGCCGTCCAATCGAAGATATGTTTGAACTATTCCAAGAAAAGGAAATCGGAGTCGGCGCAATTGCGCAAGTGTATCGGGCTCGACTCAAGAGCAACGACGGATTGTCTGGCGAGGAGTGTGCCGTGAAGGTTCTTCACCCCGGCGTGGAGGAGCTGCTCGAGGACGATCTCGCCATCATGGCCACCTGCGCATCGCTCTTAAGCCTGATTCCCGGTGTGCAGTGGCTCAGCCTGCCGGACGAAGTTGCAGTGTTTGGTGAAATGATGAAGCTGCAAATTGACCTTCGAAACGAGGCCCACAACCTCCGCCAATTCATCGCCAACTTCAGCGACCGCCCGAATGTGCTCTTTCCTGAGCCGATCCTTGGGCTGGACCGCAAGACCGTCCTGGTCGAGACCTTTGTGCATGCCATCCCAATCCAATCCTTTCTCGAAAAGGGCCACAGCCAAGTGACGTCCGTCTTGGGCGAGTACGGACTCGATGCGTTTTTGGTGAGTGGTCAGTCGTGTCAGCTCCGGCGTTTGGACCGCCGCGATGCCGTCGAAACGCTTTTAGATTCTGCTTCAGATCCCTCGACAGCTTCCTAATCCTATCCCGACCCCGTCTTCCTCGCCACAGCACATGCTTGTGCTCGACAACCACGTTCATGCGGACCTCCATCCAGGTAAGCGACCTTTCCATCTGCGGTTGGGCTCCCGTTTTTGTGCAATTATCAGCAGCAACCAGAGCGAGTACTCCCCTTCTGCGGTGTTCAAACCAAGGCTGTATCTGACACACATCGCCATGTTTGTCTCGACATCCCCAAGGTAATATCTACGTTACCTTCCGACGGCCCTCGGACAACCAATCCACCCTCAAGACGCTCTTCCTCCGATACTTTTATCCAAACTACTCTCGTAGCCACGAGCTGGTGTCGGAGGAGTTTCTCCAGAGCCTGAAGGAAGTCTCGACGGAGGAGTGGGCATCCCATGTCGAACAGCTCTATGCCCAGGGATTCGAGCCACAGATGGTGTTCTTCGACGCAGGGCTTACCTCCACGCTCTCGGCCGCCAACCTGGTCAACTTTCTTGAGCTGTTCCGAGCAATCGCCGAGTTCAACGGGCAGCGGGTGGGCGAACTCATGATCGAAAAGTCCAAGACGCCGTGGACAGCGATCGACGCCGAAGGATTTGTGCACAAGACCGAGTCATTTATCCGCGACATCCAGCTGTCCACTTTGAAGCTGTCCAAGCTCCAGCTGGGCTTTATCCTAGGCACGGTGCTTTCTCTGGTGCGCGAGCACCACGTCAAGCTCGAGGGCGACTTTGTCAACGTCGGTGTTGCCGTGATGCTTCTGGAGGGCGTTGGTCGCCAGATGAATCCCGAGATCGACCTGCTCGAGCGGGCTCTGCCGATCCTGAACCGCGCAATCCTGACGGGAAAGAGCTTTGGCATCAAGGTGGTGGACGAAGACCCCTCGACCCTCAAGATCATGGGGGTTGTTGGTGTGATGGTGTATCTGGAGCTGCTGGTGTACACTCTGGTCCACGGATCGCTGCGCGAGCTCAGGCAGGTCAACGAGTCGCTGCTCGAGGGAGGGCTGCTGTATGTTCCTGAATAGAGACCGCTTCGGGTGCAACGAGGTGGAGATAGAATCGAGCAGGGTCTCTGTGACTGTCTCTGTCGAGGAGAGTGGGCACAGTACTGTGCACTGGCCTCCTGGCTCGTCCAACGGACATTGCCTGAGGTCGATCGTCGAGATTGCTCAACGCCGATCGTCGAGATTGCCCGAGGCCAAACGCGCTCTTTCATGGCGAACGAAAGCCCCAAGGCCCCAGAGCTCCCGATCTCGCTCTCACTTCATCGCACACGCCCTGCTTCGTGATCGACCCTGGCGCACTTTGCCCCGCTATCGGCCCTGCCTCAATGTCCCTGGCACACACGGCGACAGTGTCGCCCAAAAGCGCTAACGAGAAACTCACAAAGTTCCTGAAGGACCAGTTTCCAGTCCAGATCGCCTCGATCGCCCAGGCGGCTCGCCTCATCTCCAACGGCCAGGTCAGTTGCCGGCCCACAGCATCACTGATACTCGGCAAAACGACATTCTGGAAGATGGCTACATGCCTCCTCCCTCCTGCTCGGGTGCGCTGAACCAAGACTTCCGTGTCGATTTGCGCCAGGTTTCGGTCAATGGCAAGATCGTCCAGAAGGCCGTCTACAAGCTCAAGGCCGCCGATATCGTGGCGATCAAGACAGCCAAGAAGGGCGAGGGCAGTCGCACTGGCGGCCCTGAGCGAGACTTTTTCGCCAAGTTGGGCATTCATGTAGGTGCTGGTGGTTGCGAGCGATGTCGGGGTGTCGCTTCGGGCGGCTGTTGGTGCAGTGCCGTGCAGATCCCTCTGTACATTCAGCAGCCATGCATTAAGCAGCCAGACGCTCCGCACCAGGTTCACTTCGAGAACAGAGATCTGGCGATTGTCTGGAAACCGAGCGGCATCAGCGTTGGCAAAAGCCAGCGCGGCTCCTCGGAGCAATCCATCGAAGCCTCGCTGCCGTCGCTGCTCAGTCCGGCCCCGCCAAGCAGCACCAGCAACGACGATAGCAGCCTAGAGCAAGACGAAGGCCGGTGCGAGCCTCGGTGCATATCTTTCCTGGACAGGGCCACCGCGGGACTCGTTATCTGTGCCAAAACACAAGAAGCCTATCGGATGATCGGCCAGCTCTACAAAGAGGGCCTGGTGACAGAGACATGGAAGGCCCTCTGCGTTGGACATGTGGGCGATACCCGCAAGCTGGCGCCGTTCGAGACGTTTGAGATTACCAACAAGATCGACGGTAAGTGTGGCGCTGGTTATTGGGTGCTGCAACTAGTCCGGAACTGCCGCTGCTTGGCGGCTTGATTCTCTGAGGTGGCATCGCCGGCATTGATGGTCGTGGCGGATCAATCCATGTACTCTGTCGAATGGGTGATGCGGCAGACCCCTCCAACGTCGCTTCAATCCGAATACCTTGAGAGTATCCGCCATCTCCTTACCTATCATCACAACCTCGCCCCATATCCATCCTCGTGGATCACAACTCACTCTCAGATACCGAAGCCATCACCCTCTGCACTTTCCTTGAAGCCACCCGAGCTCGCAACTATCCCGGTGGATATATATCGACGATATTGGCCAGCCCGATCCAGGAGTCAACGCCGCTCTGTGGCCAGGTCCGCCAGCACCTGTCTCAGACACATGGCGGGCACCCCCATGTCCTGGTCGGAGCGCCTCCATCGGATACGCCCACGCCCGCAGCCGAACGAGGGGACTACCTGGCACTCATTGAAATCGAGCTGGACCTTTTGCATCCCGATGGCCGGACCGAGCCCATCCACGTGCGCGCCGAGGAGCCCAAGAAGTTCAAGACACTCAAGAAGCGAGAAGAGGAGACGTGGCTGGCTCGTCGGAACCAAGATCTGGAGGAGCTGAGGACGTTTCGTCTCCAGCACGGCATGAATGGCGAGATTCCCAAGGACGACGAAACCAAGCTGGACGAAGGCGTGCCAATACCATACATTGTCGGTGAGAAGGCAAGTCACCCATCTGGACCTGCCAGTCGGATCGCCTAGACACGCGGCGGCGGATAGCAACCTACCTCTGTGGTCAGCTGTGATGAATCGTACTCTTGGCGACCATAGGTTGCGCCAGGGAGGGGTGACTACTGCCTCGCTCGCTTCTGGGATACCATGCTCACATACTCTGCCCCCTCCCAATATATCGGATGCATCGACCACTCCACACTGTTCGGCAATGACAACCATGGCAAATTTATCAAACGGGAATCATCGCTCGTATCTGTTGAACCTCGTGAAACCCCGGATCTCCTCCAACACTCGAATGCTGAACACTCGGAATCCTTCGAATGGCCGACTTTGCTGGCCGCGACAAGGCGTGCAGGACTTTTTCGGCCTGTCCTTCATCGTCAGCCCCGCGGTGATGATTCCTCGCGTGGGCACCGAAACCTTGATCCAGTGCGGGATTGACGCCGCTATGCGTCTCCGAGGCGACCCGTCGCAGCCTCCCCACCATGCGATCCGAGCCATTGATCTCGGAACAGGATCGGGATGTGTCCTGCTTTCCATCCTGAAACACTTGCCCAACTCGACTGGCCTGGGCCTGGACCTTTCGGAGCAAGCTCTCGCGGTTGCAGCACAAAACGGCCAGAAGATCCTCGGTGCGGCAGGGGCATCACGAGCCGTCTTTGCCAAAGGGGCCTTTCAAGATGTCGCCGCTGTTGCCGAGGCGAGCTATCTGCAGGGACCCAACGACGACAGCCGGCTGATCGATGTGGTTGTGTCAAATCCGCCGTATTTGGCCAGGAGCCTGGTGCAGTCAAATCGACTGTATGCCCAGCAACGCCACGAGCCCGAGCTGGCTCTGGCTGGCGGAGACGATGGATTCCAAGCCTTCCGCGAGATCAAGCATGGACTGGCCCAGCTGGGCTGCCGGGGATGGCTCCGGGCCGGAGCGGAATGTATCATCGAAATCATTGGCAGCGACATGGGCGAGAAGGTAAAGGAGATCTTCCTCGACATCGACAGCCAGCAGACCGGCTCTGACGACGAGACGGCGGCGCAAGGCAAATGGAAATATCTCCAGATCCACAGCGACCCCAAGGGCATCCCGCGGTGTGTTTCGTTCGCCTGGCGAGCCAAGAAGCACGGCGTGTAGATGGAGCCGAACACGCGGCGATAATAGCATTGGATAGCCCGGCGCGCCTGGGACTTGCTCGATGATCATGTCTCGCTGATCATGTCTCAATGATCATGTCTCGTTCATGATGCATCCCACTCTCAACACGTGCGCTCGTTGCTGAGACGCATCCTTTGGCACGTTGTCACACAGCATTCCCACAGCCTGGTGCGTGCTGTGCCGTCCGCGTGCGCGTTGGCGGCGTGATCTCAGGTTGAGTCACCGGAGAGCTCCGTATTTCAACTCGCCCTGGTCTCGCCCACCACCTGCATCTTCTTCCTCCTTCGCAAAGACAAAACCAGTCGATAACCGTCCCGCCGCAATGCTGCCGGGCAGCCTGTCCCTATCCCGGCCCTGTCGAGGCGTCTTGGTGCTGCTCGCCTGTGTCTTGCTCCTGGCTTGCACCGTCCTCGTGGCCCGTCCCAAGAGCCAGCCACATGAATCCTCCTTCGTCAGTACCTACATTACCAGTTTCGTCAATCCATCGCCGCCGCCGGTCTCTACCGATGCACCCGTATCTGCGCCGACGCCAGTGTCCACTCCCGTCGCTGAGCCGCGCATGTCCTATTTTGAGCTCAACGTCACCTTTGGAACCGGCAGTCCAGACTGCGTCGACAAGTCCATGTTCTTCGTCAATGGCGTCTTCCCCGGCCCGGCCATCCGAGCCCAGGTCGGCGAGTGGATCACCGTCGTCGTTCGGAACCTGATTCCCTCCGAGAACATCGTCGTGCACTTCCACGGCATCCTGCAGCAGGGCACTCCCTTCTACGACGGCGGCGGCACATTCACCCAAAACCTGATTGCGCCCGGCGAGGCGTATCGCTACCGACTGTTCATGGACCGCCCGGGAACCTTCTACTATCATGCCCATCATGGGTTCCAAGACACGAGCCTGTATGGTCCCATGATCATCGAGGACCCCACCGACCCGGCCGAGATTGGATACGACGACGAGCGCATCCTCATGATCGGCGACTGGTGGCAAAAGCCTCATTCCCAGCTCGAAAACGAAACGCTGTCATCCGTGGGCTTTGACTGGAAGGGCGACTCCATTCTGACCAATGGGAAGGGCCTCTTCCAAGGAGCCTGTAGCTCGCCTGGGCACTCACTCGAAGTTGTCACCGTCGACCGCAATCGTCGCTATCGCTTCCGGATCATCAACACTGGCACTCTGCATCAGCTCGCCTTCCGCATCGCCCAGCACCGCATGCATATTGTCGAGGTCGAGGGCCAACTCGTCGAGCCGCTGGAAGTCGACTACCTCGAGTTGTCGCCGGGCCAGCGCTACTCGGTCCTTGTGACAACCGACCAGTCCCCAGGGGACTATTGGATGAACTCTGTTCCACGATATCTCCCGATGGACAATGTCACAGGCCCGTCGATCCTGCGGTATGTCGGCGGCGTGGAGACCTTGGAGGCCTTTGATCTTCCAGTCGCCAGCTCACTGCCGTCCTTCCCGCTCGAGAAGAACAACTGGGTCACGGCGCAGTTGACAAGCAAGTTCTCTGCTCGTCGGCCCATGCCATCTCAGCCAGATCTCACCCTGGTTTTTGAAATCGGCTCGTCAATCAACAACGTTTCATTTGCCCCACCTGCACCGGGCGAGCTGCCCCTGCTGGAATATGCCTACCAGAGACGTCTCCCAGCGAACCAAGCGTCACGATGGATCGATCTGGGCAACAACACCGTTGTCGATATTGTTCTTCAAGCCATCGTCAATGACGTGGGCATCTGCGACTCGCACCCCTGGCATATGCACGGTCATGGCTTCTGGGAGCTTGGCAGCGGCAGCGGCAAGTTTGAAGACGGCCTGGCCGAGACACCTGCAGCTCCAGTATTCCGGGACACCTCCGTCCTATACGCATATGTCGATCCCGAAGAGCAGGGCCGCCTGGTCGAGGGAACGCCATGCGGATGGCGCCACATTCGGATGCTGACCAACAACCCCGGACTTTGGGCACTCCACTGCCATATGACCGTCCATGTCATGAAGGGACTTGCTGTTGCCTTTGGAGTCGATCTGGAGCACTTGCCGCCGAAGCCAGCAAGCATGCTGGCGGACTGATTCGCAGCGTGGGGAGCGGCTTATCAGCCGGAACATTCGGCTGCTGCAACCATACCACACATGAACAGAGCGCTGTCACTGACAGACAAGGCCGCATATCGGTATCTCGAATTCTGCGGACCTATCTGCTGCATCATCCCACGAGCTGAAGCAGTCAACTACCTGTGCGATCGTATTCTCTCTGCGGTCGCCCTCGGCCACAAGACTGATGCTGCTGCTCAAATGCAAACGCCGCAACCATCCGCTTTCATCCCGTCAAAAGCAGCGGGCCAAGGTCACAGCCCGAGAAACCCCTCTATCGCATCGGCATCCTCAGAGCTCACTGAAACATGTCCAAAACCCGCGCCTCGGGACGGCCAAATAGATACTTTGATGACCTTTGTATTTTCCTTGGCAGCGTCTGCCTTTCACCTCAACTGATTATGCCCGCAATACAATAATGCCGGTGCAAGAGACCCAGACCAAACTGCTGCAGACTACCTGCCAACTGTTCGCTCGATGATGTTGCGGGCTCCTGAAATCACCACGATGGTGCCCGCAAAGCTGACGATGCCACTGTAGATCCACACGAGCCGGTCGCTGATCTGATAGAGCGCAAAGGGGCCGAGGTATTCGACCGAGGCGACACCAAGGATATGCAACAACGGAGGAGAGCACGACGAAACCAGTAACATCGTGATGATGGCCGACGACGATGGAATGCTCGATGAGGACTTGCTCTCGATACCCAGGGAGAGCCGAATCATGGGGACCAGCTTCGAGATTCCCACGATGGCGGCACCGAGGACAAAGACCATCGAGACTATCCGGGCGGTCAGAGTGGCCGCTGGCAGGAGGCGGACGATATCGGGGTGATGGGTCAAGGTGTAGATTAGCTCTTGCTCCTCGTCAGGCAAACTGGAGAGGACAAAGTCCGACAGGGATTCGTATGCGCCCAACAACATGGTGGAGCTTGCCGGCACTTCGGCTGCCGCGTGCCATAGATCCATGAGAGCTCGGTACAGATCCGGATCGGCACCGACCTTGGAGAGAAACTGAAGCTGAATCCACGCCATGGTCACCAGAAAGGCGAACCAGACAATCAGCAACAGCACCGTGGCCACGGCTAGTCGCCAGTACGGCGAAAGATGCCCGAGCTCCTGGCCGATCTGCTGCCGCTCAGATTCCAGCCGCTCGATATGTCGCCACGATTGAACAATCTCACGCCGAAGCAGCCGGGTGGGTCGAGAGTACATGGTGAACTTGGGCTGAGCGGCCATTGCAGAAGCTATGGTGGTGGTGGTGGTGGTGGTGCTTTTGTGCCGTTGCGAACTACCCCCAGCAAGCGCAGATAAAGCCTGGGACGGCGTTCGCTGGGGGTTGTCGAGGGTCTCAAGCTTGCTCGAGAGGTCGTGCAGTCGGTTCTCAAGCGATGCCTTGGCAAAGTCCAGCTCAAGCAGCCGCTCGGCCATACGGCTGTTATGATCCAGAGGCAGCAGCAGATCCAACGGCTTTGTGAGAATGGCCAGCATGCCGATGGGGAGGGCAGCCAGGGCGAGCAAGAGACCCAGAGTCGAAACCACCGAGTTCAACAGTAGGCTTAGAGGTACGTCGGTGCTCTTGAAGTATGACGACTGGACAAACGTGAAGGTGCTTTGGCCGAGATAGATGAATCCGTAGAGGAATATCCAGAAGATGAAAAGGAGGAGGGATGTTTCTCGGAAGCGATGCGACCAGGGTCCGAATGATTCGTTGAAGAAGTAGGCGAAGGGACAGAAGAAGTAGATGGAGAGTTGGATACTCCACAAGCTGTAGCTCCACAGACTAATGGTGATGGTGATGGTGATGGTGATGGTGATGGTGATGGTGATGGTGATGGTGATGGTGATGGTGATGGTGATGGTGATGGTTCAATGCAGCCATCCAAAGAGGCTTGGGTTAGAGTCAGCTGTGGGAACTGGGCTCATCCATTGACAGAAAGAGAGTCGTCCATCTCTCACCTGGAAACAAGATCCCAATCGAGCCATGCCAGATCCAAGGGATACATGCCCGGCTGCTCGCTCTGCGCAAGGGTGAATCGATAGAGCTCTGTGGCAGGCAGCAGGACGAAGCAACTTGATGACGACGCAAAGGCAACCGAGGAGACCAGCAGCGTGACGGAGGAATCGACCGACACAGCCAGGATCTGTGAGTTGAAGAGCTGCGAGAGCTCGATCTGCGACAGTAGATTCAGCTTGAGCGAAGAGTAGTTGACCAGGATGATCACCGAGAGGGCATAGAGCACCGAGCCCAACAGGAAGGCCACGATGTTGGTTCTGACGGAGACGTAGAATGGGTCCTCGTCGGCCATGGCGATCCGGATGGCGGCAGGAAGCAGAAGATGCGGAGCCGTTGACGAGGGACTCTTGCAGATCGTTTGCCTCGGAGCAGGCCGTGCCGGGGGGGGGAGGCCGCTGGAGCAGCGTGGGGTTGGCGGCTGATGGCCGCCGGACATGATGTCCGCCCCCGACGCGCCGATGCGAGCCCAAGAACCGACGACCGGCCGACATGGGCAACCAATATCGCAGCCGATATCGCAGCCCATTCTCACGGCGCATCCCGGGCAGCTCCATCGGCAACCAGCAGCAACCCACGGCGCCGCGGTGCGGTCGCAGACGACAGGGCCTCGCTGCTGATATGCACTGGATATGCGCTGGATGTGCGCTGGATATGCGCTGGATGTATGAACACCGCCGATGTGGCGGTGCACGTCCTGCCGGCGTTGCGATCGGGCTTTTCTTGGCCCTTTGGTCCTGTCTGCTCGCCTTCGACCCGATCCCACCCTTTCCCTCGCCATCGACCGTCCTCCGCTCGCTGTTCGTCGGGCCCGTCGATTCAGCACCGTCGTCGGTATCCCTGGTCTCCGTTTGCCCAGCTTCTTCCGCCTGGTGTCGTCTCCGCTGCTCGATCCCACCCAACGCAGCGACCATCGTCCCCGCTGCCCCAGCGACGTCAGCCCAAGCGTTCTCTTCTGCAGCCAGCCAACCAGCCAACCAGCCAACCAGCCAGCCAACCAACCAGCCAACCAGCCAACCAACACCATGGCAGACTCGCAGAGCACCATCCATATCGAAACCGACTCGTCCCGGGACCCTGGCCGCTCAAAGGGCTCCTCTCGCTTCTCGTTCTTTTGCTCCAAGGAGTGGATTGTCATATGGATCCTCGCCTCGATATCGCTGCTGACCTTTACCCTGCTGGTCGTATTCAAGGACAAGGTTCTTCCGCCTCTGATGCAGTTTTGCAACTCTTTAAGGGATATGGGCGTCGGGTAAGCAGCGTTCATGCACTTGCCTTGGATTTCCCGGCAAAGCCCCAGTCGGCTTCGTTGTCGTCGGCAGCGACCAAAGTGCTTTCGCTCCTCGGCAATCTGCTGGGTCTGGGCAGCGGCCTAATCCTTTCCTTCTCTCATCATCCGCAGCGGTGCTTGCATCTTGATGCTGCTCATGTTCCTGGCCTGCTTCCCCCCTATGGTTGGATATACCACACTTTTGTACATGTCGGGCTTCACATACGGATTTGCCCTGGGCATTGTCCCAGCACTCATCGGCCCGCTGCTCGGGCAGCTGGCATGCTTTGCCGTTGCCCGGAAATGGCTGGGCAAGTACTATGGCGAGCAGGTGCTGGTGCACTTTCCAAATCTGCAAGCCATCGAGGATGCTCTCGAGTCCGGCGGTCTCTATGTAAGTCGCTGGGTTCATTCTCGGCATCACCCAGTTCGTCCAACAGGATCCGCCACCGCTCGATCCATCTGGGCAGCCCTGGAGCCATGCTTGCATGATACTGCAAACTCGATCCTTGTCGACTCGTTGGGTGTGCCGGGGTCGACCCGCTGAATGTGTTTTGTCGAACGATGCTAATTCACATCCCCGTCCTGACCAACACCTCATCGCAGCTTGCCGTCATGATCCGCCTGGCCCCGTATCCGAACGGGATAGTCTCGGTGATCTGCGCCGCCACCACAATGCCATTCAACCGGTATGCGGTCGCATCCTCCATCGCCATCTTCAAAAACATCCTGTATGTCTACATCGGCTCGTCCATTCGCAACCTAGCCGAGGCAACCTCGCCAACACCTGCCCACATCGCTGCGGTTGCTGTCGGGTTTGTGATTGGTATTGGTGTCTTTGTCTATATGACCTGGAAGTTCCGAACGATTGTCGCCCAGCGGCGGGCACTCAACGCAAACAACGACTCGAGCGAGCTGCTGGTTTCGCACGGCGATGGAAGCTATGCTTAGGCGGCGACAGAGCCCTCGTATAGACTCCAAGACGAGGATGGTCGTTTGTGAGACCGATGGGACGACAATTGCGTTTGTCCAGGCAAATACACATGTGCCATCCACCGATCTTCATGTCGGTGCAGCCGAGAATGCGGTCGCGGTGCGCAAGTCGACTATCGCTCATGGAAATTGACCTGGTGTATTGGCGACCATGCTATCGAAGCAAGCGAGATGCTCCTCCGATCCATCTCGGGGAGCCTGTGTGCGTGGCTGGGTCGCTACTGGATAGTCTTGGAGGCGAACTGATCGGCCTTGGTTTTATGGTCAATCCAATAAAAAATGGGACACCCGTGTTTTTGACCATTCATCGAATATTTTGTTACCCAATGTTATCGCGCGCTGGCCATGACCATTCGCCAGACAGTGTGGAATCGCGACGTCAATGCGGCGCGCAACATGATCACAGTGTGCAGGTCGATTGTGGAGACCGGAGAGCGACGTGAGGTCTTCACTCGGAGGCTGCCAAAGTGATTTGATTGTATTACTTATGGCTTTGCTTGACGCAAGCACATCACATACTACATGTTCATGGAAGCAGCTGTGTTGTCACGTTTGTTTCTGAATAAAGTGTATGGTCCGCCGGGTTCGCTGCCAACTCGTAGATGGTGATGATGGGGTCTTTGTTGACCTGTGCGATAACAGTGTTGATGAATGTGTTATCGATCGAGCCGCACTGCATTGCTGGTGCTGAGTCGCTCTCGAGGCTCACCTCGGTCCATTCGCCCTTGAAGCCAATGTATGTGATGGTGGTGGTGTCGGCCCCAAAGTTGCTTGGGAAATACAAGGCCAGGCTGCGAACATTCGAGAACTTTGCCATCCTGCGGGCCGAGACGATCAAGTGTGCGCATCAGCTTTGCAGCATCAGTCATGCAGCATCGACCGCGCCGCATCAGTCATGTCGCATCAGCTGCATTGCATCCCAGCCCGGCTTCCTCAACCGACCTTGTTGGATATTCGGGCAGATCTTGACCAGGATCCTCGACCAGCTCCCATTCCTGGTCAGGCTTGGTGCTGTCCGCCGAATCAAAGTCAATGTCCTCTCGGTTGATGAACCTACGGATCGCACTCCAAGGATTAGCCGCATGTCCGGCCTCGCTGCTTCGACGTCGAGCTCGGGCGCTTACGCTTTCATGACAGATGGTCCAGGGCTGCCCAGGACAGCGATGGACTTGAGCTTGACGCTCCCGGTGAACCTGCATCAGTTGGAGAGTCAGAGGCCAGAGCGTGCATCGTGTCTCTCTCGGGGATGAAATGCAAGCGAGGGATGCGTACGGGATAATAAATATAAGCTGTTCGTCGGCATCGCTGGTAACGGCCTGGGAATCAAGCAGAGTGCTGTTGTCAGTATCAGGGGCTCGACGAGCAAGCAAACGGGAAGGGCGTTCGTTGCTGGCGCTGTCCTCGGCATCGTTTCTGCAACTCATCACCGATATTGGCTGCGTGGTAGATGCCCATGTATGTCGGAGGAGGGCTCATGCGCGCTTGGGTATGCTCGTAAATGCGGGGCAGATACTCGCAGATGCCTCGGCCCTTCAGGATTGTCTCAGAGATCCTGCACCAGCATCACTGCAGCAGGGAGCGCACCTTGGATGTGTCGAAGCGGTCGATCCAGTGCTTAAAGACGGCTTTTCCGGCGCCATCGACGGACTCGTTCAGACATCGGACATGCTCAATGTCGATCTTGTTGAAGAGCGATGACTCAAGTCCCCTGTCGGGGCCGTCATGATCGTGCTCATGGTCGTGGTGATGGTGGTGATCGTCATCGTGGTGGTGGTGTCCGGCGTCCTCTTCGCGGCAGTGGGACATGATCAACTAGCAGTGACGTCGAGCGATTGCGATGGTGAAGGTGGTAGATGCAAGGCAAGGCTGCCTCCGAAACAGAGCGGCGCTGATGGAAGCCAAAGCGCGAGGCAGGCTCGCCGCATCTCCAAACGGGACCATATCCAAACCGACATCCATGTACAAACCGATATCCCGATTCCAGCGAGCGTGCGCTAGTGAGCAGGTCGTCACCGCTGCCGCATTGTCGCTCTGCGACAGCGCCTGTCGATGTGGGGTGTCGCTGTGTGCTTGCGAGCCCCCTCCCTGGCCGAACCAGCATCGCCCATGAGCCCCCCGTGCCCGTGTGTGGCCAGCCTTACCGCAGCCAGCCGCGCTCTGGCTGCGTGGGGCTTAGATGACACGTGACCGGCGCCGCTGCACCACGGCTCGCGGGCGCGGTCGATATGGGCTGCGGGCATTCTGTCTGTTTTTGGGTCCCTCCTTTTCGACGTTATATCTTACTCAAGGGAAACGTTCATCCAAAATGGTACAGACCGCTGTGCAGCCCCGCCCTCGTGTGTCGCCCTCCGAGGCTAGATGCAAGCCGGGACGTGCGGATGGATAGATGGATGGATGGATGGATGGATGGATGGATGGATGGGATGGATAGATGGACAGCTGGATGGATGGATGAACACCTCGACAAACGGAACACGGAATGGATGCCGGATGGAGCGCTTGCGACCGACGACAGAATCCCGAATCCCGAAGCAACCGACTCGGATCCACCTGCCCCCGATGCAACAGTGGTCGCCAGTCGCCGTGTCGAAGCTGGCTCTGTCTGGATGGCCGCTGCGATCCTTCCTTCGATCCGCCAAGCCCTCCATCACAGCGCTCGACCCACCCATCAACCCTGCTGTACCAGCGTCACGGAGGAGGCCATGACAGCGGCTCGCGACAATCGGCGTGGCATTGTGCTCTAGACGAGCACGAAGGACTGGAAACCCCGCGGGATCGGCCGATCCAACCGAGTCCGGCACCAACACCGATGCGGCCGGACGCCTGACTGATCCGTGTGGTCTGCCTCCTCCCTCTCTTTCAGGCTGACGCTATCACCATTCGCACCCGCAAGTTCCTCAACAACCCTCTCCTTCAGCGCAAGCAAACCGTCGTTGACGTCCTCCACCCCGGACGTGCTGGTATCAGCCACAAGGAACTCCGCGATAAGCTCGCCAAGCTCTACAAGTCCGATGTCGAAGTGAGTGTGTGGCCCCCAGGCCGATGGCCGCACGCACCGGGCGGATGTGTGCGAGGCGAGTCCTCGCTGTCTTTTCGGCCGATCCGCTGACTCACCGTGCGTCTCTCTCGACAGAACGTCTTCGTCTTCGGTTTCCGCACCCAGTTCGGTGGTGGCAAGACCACTGGCTTCGCCCTGATCTACGACTCCCTCGATGCTGCCAAGAAGTTCGAGCCCAAGTACCGACTTGTCCGCCACGGTCTTGCCGAGAACAAGAAGGCTTCTCGCAAGCAGCGCAAGGAGGTGAGCGATCGATCGATCGGCGATGCATTGCTGGATCGGCTGTGCGGCTCTGTGGGACTCGTGTGTGCAGCTGCTGAGTCTCTCTGTTTGTGGGTTATAGAAGCGCAACCGTATGAAGAAGGTCCGCGGTACCAAGAAGGTCAAGGCTGGCGCTGCTGCCAAGAAATAAGGTGCGTGCTGCCACACTTGTCAGGCAGAGCTGCGATCGATGGGATGGGTCTGCAACCCTCGGGCACTCTGCTAATCTGTCTCTGTTTCCTCTGCAGCACCCTACCATACGGTCATGTAGATTCTCTGGAAGCCTGCCCCTCGCGCTTTCCAATCGGATGCTGGTGGAGATCCGGCTCATGTTTCCACCAAAAGATAATAACACGAATTTATCTTGTGTATTCTCAACGCCCCTCGACAATATCCCCGCGAGCCCCAGCTGGGTCTCGTCTCTCTCGAGCAAACCGATGGACGGTGTGGAAGCGAGCGAGCGTGCGTGCGAGAGAGAGCTCATTTATTTCAGTTGGCTCGGGCAGCGCCTGGGGTCTGCCGCTGTGATGGAACACTTCCCCCAAGTGCCCCGTGATGGATAGTTCTGACTCAGTTGTGCCAGTGCCGCGAGCACTAGTGCTGGATGTCCTCCCTGTGAATCGGAGCCACGGAACTGTGAGTCAAAGCCCGGATAGTGGATCGCTGCAGCCGCCGACCGATCAGCAATGTCGGAACAGGAGCGGCACCCCGTACCAGTTCCGGCCCTTTGTGTCTTCCAGGTCGGTCGCGACCGTCGTCTTGGAAAAGTAGCCAGCGGCGATCTTGGCGTTGATTTCGACTTGCGAGTCCGGAGGGAGCATGCCCTCGGGGATGGGCACTCGCTCGAGGATCGGAATGCCCGAGTCGACGATCGCATCGTATTTCTGTCGCCGGACCAGTTCATCCCGTCAGCACCGCCATTAGTATGGTCATGAGCACCGCCATCGGCAGCCAATCGACTGGCAGTGCTCGAGCGGCTCTTGCATGCGGCCACCGCCGAGTCAGGCACAGAGCAGCACACCGGATCGTGTATGGCACCTCCCCTCATACCATGTTGCTCATGCTGATCATCTTGTCGATCTTCTGGATGCCCAACCAGTGCAGGACGTCCGGCATTGTCGCCTGGAATCGCATGTCCTTGACGCCCGCGATGTTTTCGGTGCGTTGGAAGTACGCCGCAGCGGTGTCGCCGCCCTCGGCCCGCTTCCTGGCGTTGTAGACCAGGTACTTGGTGACCTCGCCGAGGGCTCGGCCCTCCTTGCGAAAGTACACAATCAGGCCGACGCCGCCCTCCTGGGCCGTGCGGACACACTCCTCGATACCGTAAATCAGATAAGGACGGCATGTGCCTGTGCAAGGCGGGAAGGATCGCTTTGGCAGTGAGAACGCAAGGCGGCCCAGCAAGACAACCGAATTGCTCGCAAGCATGGCGGCAACCTACAGATATCCGAGCCAAAGACATCGCTGCCGTTGCATTCGTCATGCACACGGAGCGTGAGCTTTCGCGAGGGATCGGCCAGGAAGTCCGGGTTGCCAAAGATGTAGATCGAGAGATTGCCGATGGGTGGCAGGAACACCTTGAGATCAGGGCGGGTGACCAGCTCTGGGTACATGCCGCCAGTGTCTTCGCTGGAGACATCCCAGGCGACATGGCCAGTCGAGTACGGAATGGCATAACAGAGCAGTGATGAGTTTCCTGGTCTTGGTCTTTCAAATAGTCCGTGGCTGCCAAAGCACTCTTATGGCGACTCGAATCGTTCGTCGAGACAGTGTCTCAAAAGCAGCCAGCCATCCAGACCGCTCAAGCGGGCCTCAATTCTATGCGGCTCGGCCTACCCGGAGTGGTTCACGGCACGGGCATATCCCGTCGCAGTTTCACCGGCCCAGCACGAACATCAGATATCTGATCCCGGTCGATCGTTACCAGATACTCCCGCGCATATCCGAGAGTACTTACAACAAAGCGCGCCGGAGCGTCGTCTCATCGACCTTGAATCGATCGGCGATCCCAGGGAGGTACCAGACAGGCTCCACGGCGCCCTTGACGACGGCAAGATCACCGTCCAGTCCAAGAACAACGGTTCCGTCCACCTTCAGACTGCCCTGCTGGACAAGATACTGGATTTCGGAGACACGCATGTGTGCCTTGGTGATGGCTATGGTCGGGCGGACATCCACGCCGGCGTCATGGTGCTTCTTGAAGATCTGCGAGATCATGGCGCCCCACGGGTCCAGCGATACAATCTTCATGGGGTCGTTCCAGGAAGGGAAGGGCCCGATCTGGACGACGGGGTAGGTGTTGTGGAGGTTGGGCTTGTGGTGGGGCTCGAGCTCGCGGATGGCGATGGCGAGGGCCCGGTAGACCGAATACGAACCGCCATGTGCGCCGATGGCATTACGGAGCTTGAGGGACTCTGGGATTCGGGAGCAGACGATCGGCCCACGCACCTCGGGCTCGCTCGCGCCCCAGATCAGCGGGATGGGATTGACGCCGACCTGGCCGGGGTAAGTGGTGAGCACGATACGGTGGTTGTAGAGGAGCAATGATGGGTTGGCCAGAGCTGGTCTGTCGGCAGGCAGAGCGACCCCTTTCTTGACTGATTCGTCGGTCGCTTTGGATTTGTCGGCGTCAATCGCCTCATCTGCCCAGGAGCGATACCCGTGAGTGGCTATGTAGTGCTCTCATGATGCAGAGGCGCAAGATCAGAGCAGTGCAGGCCCACCGCCGATGCACCCACACTTACTGCTCGAATAGATGGTGTAGAAGCCATCGCTCGAGTGAGAGAGGGCGCGGGCAGGCAGGGAACATTCCTTGCAGTGGCTGTCGATCTTATCGGCGAGGTTGCGGTAGTCGGCCCGAAGGCTTTCGATGGCCTGCAAGAGGCAGGGCAGAAGATTGGGGTCCTGGGAACCGGCAGTCATGGCTGGACTGGACTGGACTGGACTGGACTGGACTGGACTGGGCTGGACTGGGCTGGGCTGGGCTAGCGATGGAGTTGGGAGGAACGGGATCAATGGAGGAGCAGGATAAAGATGGCCACGACGGGGAGTTGTCGCTTTGGCATGCGATGGAGTGCACGGCTGGACAACCAAGCTGCAGAACCGATGTGAACATACGAGATTCCGAGGGCGGGTTGAGGCCAGGAGCAACAGGGCGGCACACAAGCGGGACGAGGTGGAGCAACTGGCTCGGCCTTTTGAGGGCTGAGAGAGGGTTACTGCGGAGACTAGTTGGGAGGGCACTCACCGTCGATTGATCGACTGGTTTGAGGGAGATGAAAAGGGAGACCGGCGAGGGGCTTGGGAATGCGGGCCGGACAGACATGCGGGCAGGGAGTTGGCGCCAGCACCAGTAACGCGCGGGAAAGCTGTCGGAGACCACTCCGCTTGCTGGGATGGCAACATCAGAGAGAGGGATTGCGGATTCGATTGATGTCGGTCTGGCAACGACCTGCGAGATTGTGCATCGAGCCGCAGCTGAAGTGAATCGATCGCAGCCGAAGTGAGTTGATCGCAGAAACGGCTTGAGTAGGATTGCCACGGGACTGAGGAGCACGGCGGGACATGGGCTGGGGGTCTGTGTCGATGGGAGGGTCAAATCGCCCGGCAGGAACTGGGCGGGAATCTGGGCTCGACTGTCCCTGTCCCTGGTGGACCAGAGGCCAAGGCGGGGAGGCCGAGCCGAATGACCCTGCAGCTGACCATCGGAGCATGAGCATGGACCGTTGGCTGTCGGGGTAAGGCTGTCGGGGTAAGCCGCTGGGATACTCGATCGTCTTCACACCAGCTTGATCGTCTTCACACTAGCTTGATCGTCTTCACACTAGCTTGATCTTCCTCACGCCAGCTTGTCCGCTTCCATCTATTTGGCCTTCCTCACGTCGCCTTGTCTGTTCACAGCATCACCATCGCTCTCCGTATCGACACCTATGGATTCTTCGCTCTCCGCCAAGGTGGCCCTGGTCAACCACCCAGTGTTTCTGCACAAGCTCTCGCTCATCCGCAAGGCCGAGACAGACACAGCCCAGTTCAGGCAGCTCATCCACGAAGCCGGGCTGTTGCTTGCGATGCAAGCCACCTCCGATCTCGACTTGATCAGGACTACCCAGGTAAGCGCAAGTCTGGGCGACGGCTCGGCCTGGCGCCTGTTGCAATCTTTGCATCGATTGACAGGAAGACGGCCAAAGCCATGGATGTGTCAAGGATTCTCGATCGGCACTTCGTCTTCAGCCCAGTCAACGCCCCTGATCCGTCTCTTGGCCCCGGATGGCTTCTCCTGGGAGTGCAGCAGAGGAGCCCGATCGATTATTACCAGGGTGTTGAGATCAAGGACAACGTAGGACTCTTCCCGATCCTCCGTGCCGGCCTGGGACTAGTCGATGGTAAGGACATTGATTCAGTCGCTCGACTGCAAGAATCGAGGTGAGGCGGGGCACCCTCGCTTGCGACGGCGACGGCGATATTCACGATGGCATATGATCTGCTGGGTATGTCAAGCATTCCGGGTTATGGTTCCCGAGGCGCGAGTTCACCATCTTGGTCTGTATCGAGAAAAGGTGAGCGAAACGGGCTCGCTTGTGTCCATCGATCCTGCGGGATGGATGTGGTTGTGGTGCTGGGTCATGATTTGCAGCAGAGCATTCTGCATCATCACAGCTCGGCGCAGAGCATATCTCGGCCACGAATTCTCACGGCCGTGCTCCGATCGTACATTACCCCCCGTCATTTGCACTCTTCCCGAACCAGTCCACCCTGCTTCCTGTCGAATACTACAACAAGCTGCCGAGCAAGTGCACCACCCAAATCGGCATCGTCCTGGACCCGATCATCGCAACGGCCGGAACAGCCATCGCCGCGATCAACATCCTCAAGGACTGGGGGCTGACCAAGATCAAGTTTGTTGCCGTGCTTGGCAGTCGGCCCGGCATCAGTGCCCTGCAGCAAGCCCACCCTGACATTCAGATCATTGTCGGGGAGATTGACGACGGTCTCAGCGAAGACGGCTACATCATCCCTGGCCTGGGCGACGCCGGCGACCGGTATGGGCTTTGTCGGTGCCTGAGGCTTGCCGCTACTCTGGCGCACTGGATAGCAGCAGCACGCTGGGGGACAGCACATTGTAGAGAGCACGCTGGCTGGGCGGGGAAAGCGTTTTGCGGACGACTGGAGGTGGGAACCGATTGCTGATGCCCCGATGACTGCGATAGGCTCTTCGGGACGGTCCACGAGTAGATCCATGCGGACAGCAACGACAAGAACGCTGGCTGCTCGACATCTGCGTATCTCAACATGCATCGCCCGGACGAGGACGCTGTGTACCGCTTGAGTTTCCTCCCCGGATCGTCAAGGGCCCAGGCAGCTGTGTTCAAGCATCTGAATACACATCCGCTTTGCGCCATCGTCCTCTGCCATTCCGTCGCGCTCTGAAGCAGATATGCGCGTAGATTCGGCTCTGCTGCTTCCAGGGCAAGGCGGGTGTCCTGATACATCATGTTCGGAACCAAACAGGCCTTTTCTCTGGCATCAGGATCCTGAAGCTGTTTCGTTTCGGATACGTGGCATACATTGATGAGGTCGGCTCGCTATATTGGCATAGCATACGCAGCGGGGCAGTGACAGTGCTGCCATTTGATGCAGCGACACCTTCATTCAGAATCCACTCGCTCATACCAGAACTCGCTGGCTGCCCCGAGACCGCCATGTTCTCGGCGACTGCGTTCTAGCTCCTTTGCAAAGAAGTCATGTGCACAGGCAACGGTATCAGGGGTTGTGGTTATTCCGACAGCAGAGACTCGGATTCAGATCGCGGGTCGGTTCTGGTTGAGCCCTCATAGTGGGCAACCCATGCAGGGCCGTTTTGACACTGTGAGAAAGAAGATATCGGGGCAAAGTGTTGGCAAGGCAGGCTTCGCGGAGATTATGTGGATTGCTTGCGAAGCGACGAGAGTATAGGACGAGTAGGACGAGTGGGGCGAATCAAGCGAACGATCAAGCGGCGTTGCCGCATATGCACTCACCATGTAGACGCCGAGCAGCCCCAGCAGCGACAGGAGCAGAAAGATGAGCCCATAGAGTCTTGTGTGGATTCCAAGTTCCCACAGATAACCGGTCAGGGCCGGACTGATGGTCCTTAGACCCGCTGCACAGGTGCTCGCGAATCCGTGGGCAAGTCCCAGGTTGGAGCCCTTGGCGCCCTCGGTGATGAGCATGAATACGGACAGATAGGCCAGGGCCTCGCCGGTGCCAAGACAGGCCATGATGACGGACAGCGTCGGGAAGGACACCAGGCTCGAGAGCGAGGGCAGCCCCACGACCAGCAGAAGCGTCATCATGCCGATCATGCCGATTTGGTAGGTCCGATAGACGCCGACGATGCGGTGCAGTCGCGAAAACAAGAAGAATTGCACAACGAGCTTGGCGGCCGGCAGGATGGACATGAACGAGGCGGCGAGCTTGGGCGAGAGTCCCAGGCCGCCAGTCTTGGGCGAGGCCGAGAAGAAGAGCGACAGCGCCGTTGCATAGGACATGTTGCCAAAGGCGATGATGCAGTAGATTGAGATCGGGAAGAGCAGCCGCGGGGTCAGGAGTGACATGTATGGCGACGGCGACTGGGCGACAAAGACCTTGCCGTCGCGGGGTTCGACTGCAGACATTTTCAAGATGGAGGGTTCACGGGTCGAAGACGACGATGATTTGCGGTTCTGTGGCTCGAACTCATCGGACGCCTTGGACGACTCGGGCTCAGGCTCGGGCTCAGGCTCGGGCTCGGAAGGGACGGGCTTGCGGGTCGGCGCGCCCGAGGGAATCTGGGTCCAGCCAAGGATGCTGACGAGAACCATGCCGACGCCGAGCATGCATGGGTAGTGAATCGGATGGGGATCGTTGGGATCCAACAGGTAGCCACCGATGAGTGGGCCGACGATGCCGGCCACGCCGTAGACGGTGCCGTACATGGCATATCCCCAGGCACGATCGGTCTCGTTGGTGAAGATCTCGCCGAGCATGCCCTTGGCGACTGTGGAGCTGCCGCCAAAGAAGCCGGCCATGAACCGACACATCCAAGCTACCCAGAATGACGAGGTTGTGCCGATAGTGAAGGTGCAGATGCCGCAGACGACGAGGCCGATAATCAGGACGGGCTTGCGGCCGTAGCGGTCCGAGACGCCGCCCCAGACGAGGTTCATGAAGAGCAGCGGGAAGTAGAATGCCGAGCCGAGCAGGCCAACATAGTATCCGATATCGGTGACAGAGTCTTTCATCATGGATCGCACCATGAAGGGATAGAGCGGGATAAGCATGGCTTCGAGAATGGCCTCGGGAACGATAGTGCCAAGCACGCAGAATGTCTGGAGAACCTCTCTGCGCATCGTGGTGCGGCTGGGAAATGGGAGCTGGGAGAAGGGAGATGGGGAGATGGGAGATGGGGAGATAGGAGCACGGACGAACAACAGCAGGGCTGGTGATAGGGACTGAGGGTTGATGGAGCTTAGGCGATGAGGACAAGGATGGTGGAAGAGAGCGACGGGGAAGGAAAGGAGCGATGCAAGACGGATGGACGACGAGGGCGAGAGGACGGGCCAGGGCACGGGACAGCGCCACCGATATCGATGCCGGGAGGGATGGGCTGTGGCGGCTGTGTGTTGTGTGCCGCCATTGTCCCTGTGCCCCGCTGTTCCCACTGTTCCCGCGCCACAGCAGAACAATGGCGAATCACAGATCTGCACAGGACGATACAGCGCACAACCCAACTGCACAAAGCAGCAATCCACACAGTGTGCCGAATGGCCCCGGTGCGACGGCGCCGCGGACAAGCGCGCCGACAGTCGCACACGCACCCGCGACAGCCCCCGCGCCCTCGCGCTCGCATGGCGTCGGGTCCTTTCCTTGTCGGCGTCGCTGGACTTGCCCTCAAAAGACGGCCACTCGCTCTGTCCAGCCGCTCTTCTCCCATCTCATCGCTCGCTGTACCTTTTTTTTTGCCCTCCTCCCCCGCCTCCCATCCATCTGCCAGTTTGCTCGCTGCCCCATGAACCCAAGGCCGCCTCACAAAAAGATCACCAAGGCCGACATCTCGCCGCCGACCCCCATCGCCGTCAACCCGACTGCCTTCCGCGCCCTTGGCAAGACCCGCGACGACCACCCGCAGGTCCTGCCGCAGTCCGCATCCGACACCCAGCTGCATCTGCCGCCCCAGGGCAAGAAGGCGGGCGGCCTGCTGGCCGGCAAGGTCCACGTCTCGGCATCGGTCGTCGGCGGCCCCAACGACCCCAACCTGATCCCGCAGCCCCCACAGACCCTGCAGATGCGCAACTACGAAAGCTTTGTGCAGGCTTGCTCCGTCTTTCGGATCCAGATCGAGGCCATGAGCAAGGCCACCGAGACCTTTGTCCGTGCCCTCGAGGAGATTGCGTCGTTTGTCCAGCCAGGTACTGGTCTGTCTGGGTCGTGTACAGGCCTGCCACCTGTTGTTCCGGCGCTGTGTCGCTCCTGATGCTCGTTGCTCGATGTCGGCGGCGGGTACTCTGCACTATCGCACTGGCAGAGACCCAAACGAGCCCCTGCTGTCAGCCCAGATTGATCCAACGGATCGGCGCTGCCTCCCCCCCCCATGTCGATCGACTGGACAAAGGCTCTGCGGCACCTTGCGGGACAAGCTCCCGATGAACCTGTCTCATCCGCACTCTCGCCACTGACCACCGACCACTGCGCCGCCTCCGCTCCATTATCAGGAACTGTCACGGATGAGTTCCTCCTTGGCGATCTCGAATTCCTTATCGACAGCACCACCCTCATTGCCAACTCGCATCAGATCTGGGTAAGATCTGGATTCAGTCTGGTCTGCGCTCTTCTTCCCTCCCGACTTGCGGCTGACAGCTCGTTGCGGTCGACCCCGGATCTGTCCATCACTCCGTCTCTCGCTCGCCCCTCTCCTCCCGCGTCCTTCTCTCTTCTCCCCTCCACTCTCTCGTTCTCTCTGAACAATAGGCCAACACAATCCAACAGGAAGTCGAGATTCCTCTGCAAGCCGATATCGAGAAACGCAAAGAGTCTGCCAAAGTGAGCCAACGGAGTTGTCGCACCGACCGTCTGCTGTCATTGCGAGGATTGCATGAATGCGCTGCGTGCCCCGAAGGTGGCGAATGCGTTGTGCGTACCCACCCACATGCGCCTCTCCTGACAGCATTATTTTGCTCCGACATCCTGTGGCTGATGTTCCCGATGCAATGGCGCGCATGTTCGCAGAAAATACAAGACGAAAACAAAACCAAGCTCAAGGATCTCATGGAGTCACTCAACCGAGAAACAGACTCGTCGTACAAGCAAGGAAAGAAGAAGCAGCGTGACCTGACAAGCCTACAGAATGTAATGCTGCTGTTTGGCCGCTCTCGCACTCGCAGTCGGAGGAGGAGGATCACTCTGTGCTGTCCAGGGGACACACACCCATCTGGCGCGCTGGCTCTGACAATCACACATGTATGGGTGGCGTATATCCTGTCAAAAGTCCATGAATGTTCGCATGGGTCTCGCCGAGGACATCAAGCAGCTCACAATCCAGAACCAGACCGTCCACGATAAGCTTGCACACGAGGGCATGTCCGTCGTGCTTGCCAAGTGCTCAAACGCCGTGAAAGCCGAGCTGGAAGTGTACGACACCATCAACGAGGGACTGCGAAAGGTATAGCTATGCCATGGGCCGCACGGCTGGACACAATATGCATCCATCCATCCGACTGAGGACAGGCTCGGTGCGTGGCGATTATGGGCCGAGGTTTGACCCCTTGTTGTCGGCGTCGTTCCAACAGCTCGGCGCTTACTCGGAAGGAGAGGCGCCGCTACCCGTTGGTGGTCGTATTCGGCGGCTGTCTCAGTACTCGATACGACATCAAAGTCCAATGGGTGTCTCCAAGGGTCCTCTCGCAATAGGAGCACATCCAAATCACGGCACAGGAAACATCAAAGGGAAGGTCTTGGCAGGTGTACCCGAGGAACCGAATTGGCTCGAGCAAGGCGACTTTGACATCGAGTACATCAAGCAAGCGCTACAACGACTCAACTGAGGATTCGGTCGGTCTCGCCAGCGAACCTGTGACCCCTTCTCTGTGGCTCCCCGTCCCTCCAGAAGAATCACTTCCGCATCGCCACCTTCCTAATACTCGGCTGCCACACGGCTGCCGCTCCACAAGCTGCGGCACTCTGGATCCGACGCTCGCCCTGGCGCATGAGCGTTTGCGCTTCCCCATGACCAAACTCCATATATAGATGCCCTGCCCTGCCCTGCCTCTGCCCTGCCCTGCCTCTGCCCTCACCCCTGCTTCTTTCTGACGCCGCTCGTATTCTGCGGCATACTCGACCCACCGCGCTGCACACAGGTCGGTTCCTTCCCATCCTCCCTTTCTCCTCCTCGTTCGTCTCCTTCCCCGCCCAATATAGACTGTGCAGCAATGGACGCCTCTTCTATTTGCTTCCTCATAAGTCCTTCCTTCCCTCGGTTCATTTTCATTCGATTTTCCTATCTTTCACTTTCCTTTCTTGGTTTTTGTTGCCTGCGGTCGACTTTCATGCTCGGACGAGCGTGGCAAGACCTGGGCTCCCTCAGTGCCCTCTTGAATTCTGCCGACGGCTCTTGGACCGTATTTTGAAGGGGAAACAAACCTGGGCCAGGCTGCCTCCCCCTTTGATCGTTCTCTTTCGCTTCGGTCGCTCCTCCTCCTCCTCCTACAAAATGGCATCCACAATAAAAAAGGTTATTATTTGTCCAAACACCAAGGCCGTCATGCTTTGACTGTGCATGTCTTGGCGAGCTCGACAGCGGCGACTGACGGTGCAACGCGACTGCATCTGGATGAGACTACATCTGGATGAGACGCTGATTCGTAGACATTGACCGCTTATCACAGCTTGCAATCTTGCCTTCTGGGTGCCCTGTTCACTTGTGGAATGACTGCACAAACGTCCGGCTCTGTTCCAGGAGATCGTAATCGGTAATTCCCATCCCCAAGGTAGTCCAAATCTCCTGAGGGTTCACAAAGTGGATCGTCAAGACCAACTCGGACCACATGCACATGCAAATGGAGATCCGCACGGGCCCTTCTTCTTCTTCCAAGCACTCTATATTGAGCTCTGACGATACAGCCAAACACGTCCTTGGGATCGATTAGCGGTGGAGCAGTCGGCGATACTAACCCGCGATTCAGATCAGCACCACATAGCGGGTGTGCCCTCCACCGCGGACCTCCTTGACGTAGCCCAAGTGTCGCAGGCTGGCCAGCAGACTCCGGCCCAACGGATCGAGCCGGAACCCGCACCCCGACCAGTTCTCACGCAGATCCTTCTCGGTCAGGAACACCTTGCCCTTGAGCTCCTCGGTCACCAGCTGTTTGTGCTCCCAGAATCGGTCTCGCTGCTCCTTTGTCATTTGCCCCTGCGGAAGGCGCACCATGGTCTGCTTTTCGATGATGGCCTTATTGAATTCAGTGATGGCATCGTTGAGCTTGTCGCGGGTAAACCGATTCACTGAGGGAATGTCGAGCGAGGAGACGATCGAGGCATGGGATGAGTCAACCGATAGGCGGCACCAGCGATAGTCGAGGAACCGGCACAAAATGGACATCGATGGGCAACAGAATGCAGTGGAAAGTCCCACTCATGACAATATGCGCTGGGTCCTTGGGTGAGCTGCAGCTGAAAGCTGAGTCCATGAGGAGCTTCGCTTAGGGCTGCAGATTGATCCGGTGGTCCGATCTGGCTCCCTGGGCAGCGCAAGAAACTACAACAGCGATACGTACCGACGTATTTCGGTATTCCCTGGAACTGGAGATGAGGAGGATCGATGTGAGTTGGTGCTGATGCCATGATCGACGCTGCGATCTGATGGGCTGCAGGCGCCGTCTGGCGGCTCAGCTCACCTCGGCAACGGTGATCGGCGGTAGCTGCGGCGGGCCCTTGCTGGTTTTTTTCACCGCTTGGGCGGATGATGCTTTGTCCTGGTCGGGTGAAGTGGGTTCGTCCTGGCCAGAGCTGGTTCCAGAGGGACCCATGTGGTCGATGGCAAAACGAAGCTGCGGTGCCGAAGCCATCCTGGGCAGGGTTGACCGGGCCGAGATCGTGGGAGCCGCCGGAGCCGCCGGCAGGTGTCGGGGCATGTTTGCGAGCATGTGTTCCAAAACCAGATTCTGATCGTCAAGCTCCTGGAGCATCCTGAGGCCCTCGGTCTGAAGCAGGCGCTTCTCCTCGGTGAGGAGCACGAAGGTGGCCTCGATGTTCTTCTCGAGCTCGGCCATCAGGAGCGAGAGCTGTGTCTGGGAGCTGCGGATCGAGCCGGTGGGCACCAGGGGCTCGGGTGTCCGCAGCAGCGAGAGCTGCTTGAGCTCGTTGATGCGGGTGCAGAAGGAGTTGAGGAGATCGTCCATGGCCGATGCGGGAGAGGGAGAGGGAGTGAAGCGCGGCGACTGGCCTCGGCCCTCCTGAAGTGTGCACCACACGACAACCCGCCAGAGCAGCTGAGAAGACCGCCCTTGCTCTCGGGATCTGTTGCCCACGGAAGGCGACTGACTGACTGACTGCTGTTTCAGCGGAGCGCACGAAGAGCGAACAGCCGGGCTGCATGGGACCATGTTGAATGCGACACCACCGGGAACGGCTGCGGCGGCCATCACAGTACAGCTACAGCAACAGCACAATGGGGTCGCTCCCAACCAGCGACGCCCGGCCTTGGGGGTCGTCGTCTCGCTTCGTCCGGCCAGCGTCACCCGTCGCGATCCCCGTTGCTGGTCCCGTTGCTGGAGGTGGCGAGAGGACGAACCAATCGTCCGGATGGGCTTGAAAGTACTTTCGGCTGGGAGGCGCTGCACCAATCCGCCGTTGGGGGGGGGCTGCAAGAGTGTCCGGTGGGTGCAAATGTCAGACGGGCTGAGCCAGAGGGTCAGTCGGCCGGTGGGCATTCGGCTGGCCGGAAGGTCGCCCGACCGGAGGCAGCATCCGTCGCAGCAGGCCAGAGAGTCGCCCGCATGCTCGGCGATGGATGCTTGCGGGCCACGCTGCGTGCTGGGAAGCAGACCAGGCTGCTGGTTTGTCGAAGGATCCGAGTCTCCGACGATTTGAAAACGAACCACAGCCAGAAACAAGGGAGGCGATTGCGTCTTGGCGACTGCTCGCCCCACGGCATGCACAGGGCTGCTACGCTGGGCTGCTGCACTGGGGGGCGCTCGCGGACCAGCTGCATCCCGACAAAGAGCGACTGCAGCCTCGATGCCAAGGGCCGAAGCCGACTCGCAGCTTGAATCGCAGTGCTTGCGATTGGATGCTCTACTTAGATGCTCTACTTGTAGTTGGATGCTTTATATGCAGTTGGATGCTTTATATGCAGTTGCAGTCTAATAACCCACTTGCATTCCCAAGCACTCATTCTACATTCCCAAGCACTCGTCCTGCATTCCCAAGCACTCATTCTACATTCCCAAGCACTCCATCCGAGCCACTGCCCCTCTTTCAAATCCACATCCCGAGAACCCATCGCACCATTCCACCGCACCTTTGCTGGCAGGATCATCGCTGCCGCGCGCGGAGGCGTGACTGGCTGCGGCCGCGTGGCTCCACTCGGCGGTGCCCAGGTGACCTTGGCGACGTTCATGGCATATAAGCTGTCCGCTTGCCCCCCTCCTCAACCTTGCTCTGCGCTCCCCCCCTCGTCGCAACCTTGCCCTTCTTCGCCTCGTCTGCTTCTGCTCTATCGCAGCCTCCCTCCATGTTCGCCGTCAAACCTCCATCCGAGCCGTGCCCCGAATGCAACGGCTCCGGCTATCTGCAGCACGGAGAACTGCCCTGTCTCCGCTGTCCTGGCCCGTCGCTTTCCCACCACCTGCCCACGCCTGTCTCGCGCCGGTTCAGCACCTTCGAGCCTTCGCTGGTCTCGTTCCAGGCCAACTTTGTCCACTCCATAGACTCGCTACTGACGCTGCGGGACCGCCCCAGCTCCAACCCAGATTCCGATTCAGACTCGGACTCGGACTCGGATGACTGGACACTTGCCCCGCCAGACGATCTCAACCCATCTCTGTTCCATGTCGCCGACCCTCCTCCGCCAAAGTCACTTGGCCGGCGGTCCTCCAAGGCCATTGCGTCGTCCTCCCGTCGCCGCAAGCATGCTGACCGCTCCGTGCGGCTGCCACTCGATTCTCACCAGACTGCCCACTACTCGCCCAAGAAGCATCTCTCGGAGCCCATTCTGTCCCTTGCTTCGGCTTGGAGAGACGCTGGCTCGCTGCTGGGATCCCTAAGCTCCTCCCGCGCCAGCAACAGTCTTGGCGTCGAGGCCGTCGCCGGGACTTTCGAAAAGCCCAGCTAAGCCCGGACAGCAACCGTCGCCCAGTGCTTTTGCCACTCGCCATTCCCTTCTGCCCTGTTCCCGGTTCCGATCGTTCACTGTGCTTTCAACGTCCCGTCAGCTCGTTTCGCCATCAACATCCGCCACTTCAAAGCAAAGTACCGGCATATCCCGGTCTCCAGCAACATAAGGCCCTACGCACACATCCACATGCCCACACAGTCGCTCGCCCTCGTGTTTCCCATTCGATCTCATGACCTCGATGCCTCAGCTCCGGCAAAGCCATTTCAGCAAGTGTCCGCTCACCGGTTGCAGTCCTGCTCGGCGCGGACGGTGCAAGTCGGTTGATTTGCACTGTCCGGAAGGCGCTTCGCCGATCATGCGGCTGTGTCGGTGTCCACCAGAGCGGCTGCACCCCCATGGCCTTCTGGAAGGTTCGAGAGTCTGCTGCGCGTCGCAGCATGCCCACAATCCACTTTGCCGCTGCCCAAGATCCCGACTATCACTATCAATTCCCAATTCCCAATTCCCAATTCCCAATTCCCAATTCCCACGCCTTGCACTTCGTCGTTCGCTTCAACACTCCTCTGATCCTCGTTCTCTTCACAACCCCCGTGGCACTGCTCCGTCGCATAGCATAGCGCACTGGCGTTCGCAGCCTCTCTCTGTTTCTTGTCCATCCTGTTTATATTCTCTTTCACTGCATCTCGTCGCTTTCCCTCTTCGCCGATCCCGCCGAGAACTCTCCACGCGTTTACTGTTCGATCCTTCTTTGATATGTGCTCCTTGTTTGCAGCGCTATGGTCTGAACCATCGTCCACATGCCGGCGCATTTGCACTCGATCCATTTTTGTGATGAAATAAAGATGACACGGATTATGAAATGAGATATGCAGACCCGCCAAAGAGCAAACAACCATGGTTGCGAGCAGTGGTTGGTGGCCCGTGCATTGCTTTTCTCATGGCTCTGAATGTACCTTCCATTCAATGCTGCAATCCCGGCTGCATCTCAGCGTGGAATCGCGATGCCAATTCGGCGCGCAACATGATCACTCTGCGCAGGGCGATTGTGGGAACCCGGTGTCTTCACTCAGAGGCCGCCGAGACAATCCGTTTGATTTCATATGGCCTGTTGGACGCAGCCTGTCTCATACCTCGCTGCCGAACCCCAAGTTGGCTGCATCCCGCTTGATCCTGAGGCAGGTTCGGCACTCTTTCGTTGGAGCACGCCATCCGTCCCCGCGTGGCTCGAGCCGCGGTTCCATCCGCGCGCCGCCTTGCCTTTTCTTTGCGAGATTCTGCTTTGCCCTGGCTCTGCCAAGATCCCTGACGCAGCCAACACCCGACGAGAAACCGCATCGGTCACTTCAACACCATGAGTCAGTATCCGCGAGTGCTGTGCATGTTTAATCGTGAGCCCCATGCTCTGTATGGCCGTTGCTGTTCAAGCCTGTGCCCGTTGGCAGCGATCACCATATGCGTTTCCTCAGCGACCATGTCTCGATCGCTGTCCCGATCATCGTTTTGATTTCTGTGCCGGCCTTTCCTCCTTCGCAGGCGCACCATTCAGCTTCAATTCAACAAACCCATCGGGTGGATCAGGTAACCGACAAAGCATCCTATAGCTCGGGCCATCCTTGGTCTCTTCCGTATCTCTGACTTTGCCCTGGTCCTGGCTGGCCAGCCGGTCCGGATCCACACTACGGCATTCCTCGCCATGGGCAACCCTGATCTTTTTTTGCTCAAACTGCGTTTTGTCCTCACGCTCCCAATGGAACGGTGCATTCCTGACCCCCCCCGATTCTGGTCGGCTTTAGGTGCTCCCTCGGGCTTCGGATCGGGCGCCGGCACTGGATCTGCCTCCACTTTCAACTTCGGAGGCTCAGGCACTGGGACTCAGGGCTCTGCGACTGGCGCCTTTGGCTTTGGTGCCGCTTCTGGGACTTCGGGATTCGGAAGCGCCACGCTCCCTGCATTCGGAAGTACAACAGCTCCTGCGTTCGGAAGTACCACGGCTCCTGCGTTCGGAAGTGGTGCTCCTGCTGCAGCTCCTGCATTTGGGAGCAGTACCGCCACCACAGCTCCTGCGTTCGGCAGCAGTGCAGCTGCAGCTCCCGCGTTCGGAAGCGGTGCTGCTGCTTCATCCCTTGGTTTCGGTGCTGCACCTTCGACGTCGGCCACGACGGCTCCCGCGGTTGGTGCTTTTAGTGCACCCGCTGGCGGCTCGATCTTTGGAGCTTCCACAGCACCAGCACCAGCTGCAACCGGATTTGGTGCGGCAGCAGCGCCGACCTCGAAAGGTCTGTCCTTTGGAGCGGCGGCACCTGGTACTGGATCTGCCTTTGGTGGATTTGGCCAACCGGCTGCCACAACGACTACAGCGCCAGCGGCCGGGCCCACAGCCGCTCCGACCGGCTTTGCGCTCGGTGGTGCTGCCGCCGGATCTTCGTCGGGCAGCGCTTTCACAGGCGGCTTTGGTGCCGCACTCGGCGGCGCCTCGAACACCACTTTTGGATCAACTACCACCACCACGTCAGCCGCTGCCCCGAGTTCGTTGCCATCCTTTAGCGGCATATCCTTTGGGGCTTCGACCACGCCTGCCCCTTCGACAACTGCCGCCCCGTTGACCGGCTTATTCGGAGCCGCTGCTTCTTCGACAACTGCCGCCACAACCACTGCCGCAGCTCCCTCCAGCTTGCCCGCCTTTGGCTCCGCTACAACGGCCGGGGCACTGTTTGGAGGCATTAAGCCCTCGGCCAACCCATCAACCACAAAGCCTGCAGTGCCAGCAGCAACGTCACCCTTCGCTTTCCCTGCGGCTTCTTCGGCAGCCGCTGTAACTGCCGCTCCAGCTACCACAGCCGCAACTGCCCCAGCGCCAGCGCCGGTCGGCGGATTTGGCTTCAACTCGCCAGTGACTACAACCAAGCCAACCGCAGCGTGAGTGGTTGTCCCGCAACCAGATCGGGCCAGATTGGACGAGACCTGATTGGACTTGATTAGACTGGACTAGATTGGACTTTGATTGGGTTGGGCCAGACTTGATCGGATAGGATTGTATTAAACTGGATGCAGACTCTCTTTTGTTCCTGACACAAGCTTTGATTGTTTCCGCCACACAGTGCAACACCGGGACCGCTGCAACTTTCGGATCTGACGAGTAAGTCGACCGCCGATCGTCATGCTTGCTGGAGCAGTGTCCCGAGTTCCCTCAGTGCCCTGCTGACATCGGCTCCTCTATGACTCCGCAGCAACCAAGCCATCGCCTCTCTTTGGTGCTAAAGCAGCAACCACGACCGCCCCGTCGGCTATAGCCACAACTACTGCAGCTACTGCAGCTGCGACTGCAGCCACGGCCCTGTCATTCGCCTCTGCTGTGCCGACGACCAGCTCCGCTGCCGCCAACACCACTGCCCCTACTGTCGCACCGAACGTACCCAACCTCGCCAACCTGAAAAATAAGACCCTCGAGGACATTCTCTCCGACTGGGCCAGTAAGCTGGACGTCTGCACTCGAGAGTTCCACAAGAAGGCCGTAGAAGTCGCCATCCTGGACAGAAAGCTCATCGAGAACGGCTACCAGGTGCGCTGGCCGCCGGGCATGTGTTTGCAGATCCTGCCTTGGAGCGTGGTGTGGACCAAGACAGTGTTCGAACATGATCCCCCCCCCTTGAACGGCCACATCAGGCGTCCCTCAACCAGCAAGCGCTGTTGCGGCTGTCCAACTTATCACTGCGTGTACTGTATCTGTTGACAGATTAATCGCCTGCACGACGAAGTCAAGAACGCCTCGGATCTGCAGGCCAAGATCAACCAGAGCCTGGATGCTATGGAGAGCCAGCAGACCGACCTCACCAAGATCCTTGAAAAATACGAGAGCGAGCTCGTTGGCATACTGGACGGGGATAGCAGTGCTCAGGCCAAGTAAGTTGCTCACTCAGAAAGGACATATGGAGGCGCTGTTAGCTGGATCCAGAGAAATGTGCTCGCATGGGTGTGCTGTACCGAATGGATGTTTTGCGAGCGGCTGAGTGCCGATGGATGCAGATATGCACTGCGCTGGCATGTGGCCGAGATCGGCGGGCTGTTGCCAGGATAGGCAACCATGAGACTGAAGAGCACATGAGTGTGTTGGCGGAAGCTGCTTTGCGCAGCTTGGCCGTGTTCGAATCGCTCCACTTACCCTCTGTCTCGGCCGGGCGACGCAGAAACACGCCTGCAGATGAGGAGCGAGACAAGGCATACATGCTCGCGGAAAAGCTCAGCAAGGACATGGATGTCCTGGAGCAGCAACTGGGCTCCATGATCGACGACCTCAACAAGCGCACCCAAGGCGACGAAAGCGAATCGACGATCCATCAGATCACGCGCGTGCTGAACCACCATCTGTCTGCGCTGCAGTGGCTTGAGCAGAGCACCAACGAAGTTGCCCACAAGATGGACCAGCTCTCACTGCGGGCCAGCAGCGCCCGCGAAGGTGCCAACCGGCTTCACAGCTTGGGCGGTAACCAGGGCACTGCCGCCTTCTCGCCAGGCAACTCGATCGGCACCAGCCTCGGATTCGGCAGCAGCTGGAGACAGTGAGCGACAGGGCCGAGATATCCCAGCCAGGAATGTGGCCGTCCCGCGAAATAAAAGCATATGTAGCTTGACTATTGGCCAGCTGCCCGAGTATCGTTGGTAGTGCGAAACCGCAGACATGGCCTCAGGCGAGCGAGCCTGGCGACCAACAACAGCTTCCTCAAGACACCCCCCCTCTGGGAATGCTGGACTTGAATCTGGAGCTGCGAGTGCTGGACGCACCCAGTGCCCAGCCGGCGCATTGATATTCGAACGATGGCAACAACCCAGACGACGGACAGACACCCGCAACGCCTGCCGAACCCCTCTGACACGGACAAGAACAAGAACAAGAGCAAGAACAAGAACAAGAGCAGCAGCGACAATAAGACCAGTTCCGCCCCACTCAGTCAAACTCGTTGCCCAGAAGCTCGATAGGCTCGCCCTTGGCATTTGTCCACCGCCTTCGGAATGTAAACTCCGTCAGCTTGTTACAGCCATAGAGCTTGGCGAGCTTGAGTCGCGGGCAGTTGCGGAAAAACTCCTCCAAGAGCTCGTCCTCCAGATTGCGCACCCAGGATAGATCCAGCACCTCCAGCATCGGCAGCTTTGTGGCAAGCGCCTTGAGCGAACGCTCGGTCAGGTCCTCGAGGCCATTCAGCAGCAGCGTCTGCAGCATGTCGCAATGGAGATTCGAGAGCACAATCAGCGACGAGTCCCCGAGCTGGGTCACCCGCGACAGATCGAGTCTGCTCAGCCGTGTAGAGCCCTTCCTCTTGAAGACGTTGAGGAACTGCTCAAAGCCCTCGTCCGTGATCGACTCGCAGTTCGCGATCGAGAAGAACTGCAGCTGGTTGCAGATCGGGGCGATGACGTCAAGCAACAGCGCGTCCTTCATTTGGCCGTATCTGCCCAAAGCGCAGGAGGTATCAGTAATGCATCCGCATCCACATCCACATCCACACCGATAAAGTACCATTAGCATAGCTCACCCGCTCAGCGAAAGCACGCTCAGCTGCTGGCCGATGGTCTGGATGATTCCGCCGAGCGCCTCGTCGGATATGGCGCTGCCGAGGTAGTTGAGCTGCAGTTCCTCGACACTAGTGAGGCCGCCAAGCGCCTTGATCTCTGCATCGCCGACCGAGGTGCACTGGTCCAGATGGAGAGATTTAAGCCTTGGGCAGTTCTTGACAAGAGCCGAGAGGCCTCCAAACCCGAGTTGGGCTGCGCTCTCAAGCCGGAGCTTCATGAGCTTGTCTCCGAGGCTCTCGAACAGCGCGGCAAAGGCCTTGTCGGTGACCAGGTAGGGGCCCCGGAGTGTCAGTGACGTCAGACGAGGGAAGCTGCGTGCGTAGACTTGGATAACATGATCTGGGCGGCGACAGGATCGACGGAGCATATGCACCAAGCCGTTTGAGGATTAGACACACGTTCACAAGTGCAAGCGGTCCCGGGGATGGGTGGGCGGCTTACCATTCATGCGGCCGCACAGCGTCAGATTCAAATGGGTCAAATTTGGGCAGAAGCTCGATATTTGTGTGTATCCGTTCTCGTCGAGGACTATGGTGGATCCATGCATAAAAGCGAATATGTGAGTAGCTGTACTCAACAATCACAGGGGGGGGGAGGGCTCGTGGAGCATGCCAAGCAACGACCAGCAGCGATACATACGAGTGCAATCATAAAGATCAAGGCTGGACTCGTCTGGGCCGATGAACAGACCGAGCGTTTGATTGTTGAGCACACGAGAGCGCGAGATGATGCGGGAGATGGTTTGCTTGGACTCATACGATATATCGCCGAGCTGTTCGATATCTTCGATGTAGTCGACCAGGATCTGCAGCGGTTCGATGCGCATACGCACACAAGCAATCAACACATTGCGCCAAGGTGAGTGGGTGGAAGAGTGCTTGCGTCGATTCCTATGTCCAACCGAATCATCATGAAGAACCACTGGCTCCGTGAAACTGGCACGCCGCGGGACTCACCTTGATGCACATAGACTTGAGCGACAAGACCGAGCCCTCCCTCTTGAGAAGCGGATCCATGACGGTCTTAGCCTTGCGCTTGATTTTGTTGGCTCGCTTCTCGCCATGGAGTGTAAAGCACGCCTGGCAGATCTGATCACCTAGGTTTTCCAGGACAAACTTGCGCTGGCAGCGATCGCAAAACCGGATGGCTCCGATGCGATCCTCCCTCATCTCGTCCATCTGCTCTTCCAGCCGCCGGTTCCGCAGCTTGGAGTGCTGCGATCTCGGGGCAAGCTTTTTGTCCACCTCAAAGAAACGGCTGTTGATATCATCATTGTAGTCGCCGTCGTTGTCGTCATCGTCGTCGCCGTCGCCCTTGCGCTTCTGCTTCTTGGAGGCCTCCTTTTTCGAGGTCTGTCGGGTGGTCTTGCGTTTGAGGGATGGGCTTTGCTGGGCGGACGACGATGATGAACCGGGTTGGGCTGCACTTCGACTGGGTGGCTCAACGTCGATGTCGATAACAATCACTTGATCTGCGAGATCCGGGCGCACAACTCGGCGCATCTCCTGATTGCCACTGTCCTCGGGGTCGGCATCGTCGGTGCGCTCTGGCTCTTGAGCAGGAGCTGCAGGGGTCGCAGTTGCCGAGGCTGGTTCTTCGGGTTGATCTGGGCCCCCTTCCTCATCCTGTGTGGCTCGTCTCCGGCCATAGTGCAGGCGGGGAGCGACGATGCCCTTCTCTCGGAGAAAGCTGAGCGATTGGATAGGCGACAAAGCGTGAGGCCAAGACGGATGCCCGGATGATGGCCCAGTCGACGGGGCAGCCCGATGGGTGAGTACGATGCGGCGGGCCGACGTACCTGGAGAGGGCCGACGTTGGCCCTTTGACAGAGTTGCCCGACATGCTGGCTGGAGGGTGCGATCGGTGCGTGGTTGGCTGCTGCCTGGTCCGTTTGCTGCCTCGATGGACGCCGGGCTGTCTTGGAGACGTTTTGGGCGGAGGAGCGGAAGAGGCAGAGCGGCTCGCACCGCCGTTTTTCCGACCCAACTTCGCAGCTGTCGCGCGTGGGCAGCCGCCGCCACACCCCCGTCTGGGGCGTGCTGCGATGTTGTGTTGTGAGCATCGGGTTCAACACCGCTGGTGGGCTCTAATGGGTTGCAGGAGCCGTATGAGTTGCAGGGGCCGCATGGGTTGCAAGGGCCGCAGTGCCCGAGCCAGCGCAACTGAGAGCGACACGGGGACAGACAAGCGACGACGCATGTCCAGCGCACCAGTTCAACGAGGCACAGCAAATGAACGAGGATCTACTCGCATGTCGCTGCCAGGAACTGCATATTTACATCTTCTCGTAGAACAGCATGTACACGAAAGCCGCACCGTGGCCAAAGACCTCGTCCTCAATGTCCCGCACGAGCTCGACCTTGTCGTCAGAGATGCGGAACCACCGATCCGACAGCGAGCCGTGGTGATGACCGCCGACCAAAGTTCGTGTGCGGGGCGCCGGAGGCTTTTTGGGGGCAGCCGGAGACTGCTGTTTCGCCCCGGCTTTACGATTGCGGAGCTGCTTTCCGCGCAGTCCACGGATCTCGACAGCTTCTTCTTCTTCTTCGACGCTGCTTGTGGATGTGTGTCCCGCTTCGTCACTGCTCTCGGTGAACTGGTTGGGTGATGGGGCGCTGACGCGGCGGTAGGTAACGAAATGACCCGAGTCGTGGCTTCCATAATGCAGCACAACGGCCCGCAGCTGAAACAGATTGGCGTTGCGAGCGACAGCAGGCGTCCGGGCAGGCAGCTTCTCGTGCTCCGATGCGTCCGTCTCTTCCGGTGGTGGGCCATCTGAGCTGGGCCCGTCTTCGGCTCCTGAAGCGTTTACACTTTCCAGCAGAGGTCCGTCTTCAGCGCTGTCGTGCGCATCGACTCCTTGTTCTTTGCCGTTGGGCTTGCCTATAGCGAGTCCGCCACGGCTGGTTGTTGGCGACGATGCATCCTGTGCCCCACCCTTCAGTCCAGGGGTACCTGTCCGCATTCCCGCCGCTGCAGGATCGGCCTCGGAGCCACAGATATCCATCGTTTCGCTTTCGGTCATGTTCTCGGCAGCGGTGGTGTCGTCATCAAGGTCTGGCTCCGTAGTCAGTTCGCGACTGGTCAAGCGGCGACGATCACTGGGCTCGCTGTCAGCGTGGCCGTTGAAAACCTCGCTCCTCATGTCTGTGTCCGTATCGCTGCTGTGGGTGCTTCCGTTTGGTATCGTGTTGGGTTTCAATAGATTCATCGACGCCGTGCCGTTAACTGGATGGGCCGACGGTACACCGTTCGCTGGCGATAGCTTTGGTTCAGCCGGCGACCATGGTTGCTGTTGAGAGGTGCTATATACAGAGGCGCTCTTGAGCTTGGATGAAAAGCCGCCAAATCCGGCCTGGACAATGCGGGCGTCTTGAAGCGCACTGGAAAAGTACATCCCTGACCCGCTGGTGCCGGTGCTGAAGGGCGTCAGGTCCAGAAAGTTGGAAAACAGCACCCGGCAGTTGTTCTTGACAACAGCTCCAGTCGGCAAGAACACGGACCGCTGCATATGCAAACAAAGACTCTGTGGCGAGTTGGCGATAAGGATTTGCTTCTGGGACAACGGAGAGGCGGCCTTGACCCGCTTGATGTGGTCGGGCTGGAGTCGGAATGAGGGCGAGAACGAGGGTACGATGAGAGTTTGGAATCGGCAGTGAGAGCCGCTCCGACTCCCAGTCGAGCCACTTGCCGCAAGCTCATGGAGGCTGATCCCTTTATCCAGCAAGATCGTTCTGTATATCAGCCTTTGGGCATCCGCCTTTGGGCACCAACTTACCAGCTTGCCCTCGACGTCGCTCTTGATCAGCTTTTCGACCAGAGCAAGGTCGCTTTGGAGCTGATGCATGTGATCGAGCTCACTTTGGAGCGTGTCCTCGAGCTCCTGTCGGTGAGCTTTGGAGGCAGACTTTTTCTGCCCGTCCTTCTTGTTTGATTTTGCGCGAATGGCTTTGAGGTTGCTTTCGGCAGAGCCAACAATCTGCTTTTGCCGTTCGAGCTCACGCCCGATCCTTGTGTAGGTGGCGATTAACGAGCACTTGTCGCAGATCCAGTCGTGCAAGGATTCGGGAGATACGTAGGCCGTGAGAAGGCTCTCGATTGAGCACTGGGGCTGGAGGAGAGTGACGTGGTTCAGCACGATAGACGGTCGATCCGATGGATGCGAATGAGCCTGTGTTTCCCTTGCCCAAGTTTGCAAAGGACATCAACACCGCCCCGCTTCAAGCTGAGAAAAGCCGTACCTTTGCTGGTACCGCGAGTGAAATGTTATCGAAGGTTGCATGGCGGATCGTTGACTGGTCACATATTCGGTCAGTAAAGGAGCAAGGCGATTGGAGAATGAACACATCCGCAGAATGGATTCGATGCGGGCGATACACCATAAACCAAGTCGGTGGTATCGCGCCGATGGCCGGGAGGGAATCGGCCATTCGTAGCGGAAAGGTTGTTGGAGAGACCGGATAAAGCCGTCAATATGGCTCGGCAGTCGTCGACGGCGTCGTCGTCGAAGAGCGACTCTTGGCGGGTGATCGAGCTCATTAGAGTCACGATGCTCACAGAGGTCCAAGTTAAGGAAATGCAAGGAAGGACCGATGTACATACCGCATATCCGCACTGCATGCACGCAATGCGATGGGCTGTCAGCCCAGTAAGCGGATTCCGGATCTGACGCTGCTGGAGGTACTCGATGGAATGGCCGAGATAGACAAGATTCACCGTCGACTGGCCAGGGATCCCACGCGGAGCCACGTTCGTGGCTTGCTCGGCGTCAAAGAGCGAGACTACTGAAGGAAGTCCCGGTACTTCTTCGCTCGTCAAGCTGCTGGAGAGCACTTGCAAAAACTCATGTGCATCCTGTGTCGCAAATGAAGTGCATCAGATATCCAAGCTCAAGCAGGCGCTCGCTTCGGTTTCTGGGATCCAGATGCAACAGCTGTGTGGCGTGGGAGACGCAGCGACAGCACGACGGGTGAACCAGGAAGGAGTCGCACGGCTGCTCATACTTGCTGATCGTAACACATGAGTCGCCTATTCCCGCTCTTGGTCGTGAGGGCATTCATGATGTTGCTTGGACGGAGGACTCGCTTATTCGGCAGCATCTCATTGAGGGCTAATGTGAAAATGCCGCTCGTCAAGGCTCTGCTTGTATCCCAGACAGAGAGCATGGATGTCGCTCCATGTTGGAGCAGATGCACAGGAGCAGATGCACTGGAGCAGATGACTCGTCGTCTGCGTGAAAATCCAGCATTGCGCATGCGGAATGCTCTGCCGCACACACGCACCTCTGCAAAGTTCCAGTAGCGCTTCGGTGACGATGAGGGGCGGTTTGTCGCCGGAATCGAGAGGAGGGACCAGATCCGAGTGATAGACGTCTGTCCGCAGTTTGATATAGATCATGATGCTTGGTAGCGATGAGAGAGCCTGTGGCGTTTTCCCGAGCGCCGAGTTAATTCGGAGCGACTCGGCATTGAGCACGCCGGAGAGGGGATACCAAAGTGGATGTGCCAGCAGCGGAGGCCAGCGAATATAGGGGCCTGTTGGATGTCATCGGCCCTGCAAGCGAGGCACAGCCGACGACAGCGATGGGGACACCAGAAGCCGCACCGCGATCGAGCAACAGACGAGAGAAAGCGCCTGCCCTGCCCAGCGTACCGAATCGCCCATACCTGGAGCACCGAGTTCATGAAGCAGGTATTGCCCAAGTTGTAGAGCCCAGCGGGGAAGGCCGCCTCTGCGCAATCACGGTTATGCGAAAATGGCGTCAGCCGGGTCATGTCGAGTCGCAGGAGATGATGCCGGACCGCTGACTTCTGCACAAAGGGTGTGGTTTTCGAGCCACGGCGAAAGGTATGCCTTGCCGAGGACGGCCTTCGACGTGGAAGGGCCAGGCTGGCTGCCGATGATACTGGGAGCAGACATCCAGATCCCACCGATACCCATCCATGAGCTTGAGGACCGACCCACCTTTTAGAGCGCCTTTGCTCCTCTTGCCCCGCTTGCCGACACGAGAGCCGGACCGCTTATATGTCGATGGTAAGGTGATGTACCAGAGCGAGACACCGGCGAGGACGATAGCCAGGCCGGCCCCGAGCTGGAACGGAAGCAGGTTTTGGGTCGCGACCACCGAATTGGATGTGGGCCCGGTATCCCACAGGGCGTTCATCATGGCGATGGGGGCGGAGGCAAGCGTGCCGCGGAAAGTCGAGCGAGGAGCCAGGATGAAGATCGATGCCTAGGAGCGAATCGGCCGGAGAAGAGCCGACGCCGACAACAAATCAAAGGACTGGATGCCGCCGAGGTGACGGAATCGAGACGACGGACGGCTTGGTCGAGAGGAGACAAGCGGGAGAAGCAGAGTGGGCCGCTGGGAGATGGGCGCCGGCAGCAGTCGTTGGACAGGACAGGATGGCTGCACCCTGAGGACGCTGGGATGGACAGGAGCCAAGGGAGGAAGACGTGGGGCGACGGGACAGGGCACCACGGGGCTGGAGAAAAAAAGCCTGGTGCAACCCGCCATCACATGTGGACAGGAGGACGGACTCGTTGGTGGGCCAGATATACACAGATATACACAGATATGCACCAGATATGCACCGGTATGCGATCCGGTCGAGTACTATGCTGCTATTCAGTCGTCGGCGTGATTTATATTGGGTGCAGTAACCCCCCCCGGCGACTCGAGCGACAGCACCAGCAACAGATCAAAGCCATGGCTAATCTACAGCATCGTGGTGATGTCGATATCGTTGCCCTTTCGCAGGAGCTTCTTGAACCCGGGCGGCATGATCATCTTGCCCTCGCTATTGAGCAGATACCGGAACGGCATCTGGACAGTTTCGCGCTTCGAGAGCACAATCTCGGGATGGTCGATGAACTTGAGCTCGTCCAGCGGGATGCCCTTCTCGAGAACATGCTGGGAGGTCATCACGGCCGTATCGGTGGTCATCTGGACCGGGCCCAAATGGCGTCCCTTGAAGCCCATGACTCGCAGCTCCTGCAGCGACACGGGAGGAGCAAGCTGTTAGAAGCCCAGAGGCCGAAACGCCATCGGTTGATTGCCCGCCCCCCTCCTCAGCTCCGAAGCTGGAGCCATCAGCATTACAGAGTACTTGCCTTGGTACGATCGCGCGGGGGATCGTCGCCCTGTGGTAAAATACACGATGATAAGTTCAGAAAATCGGCGACATCATGCCGACGCAAGGAAACCTCGCCACAACGACGGCATCCACAGCATTGTCATTTGTTTCCCGAATGGCGGCACTGACAAGAAATGGGACCGGAAAAGCCAACAACGACAACAACGACAACAACGACGACAACAACAACGACAACGACGACCACGACAACAACAACGAATACGGACCAAAATACCGCCAAAGAGCAAGAACTTGCAGTTTTCGGCGTCCGACGGGCTCAGAGGCTCCTTCGCAGCCGGATCAAGCAGGATGCAGTTGTCGATGGTGACACCCTCGATTTCCAGAACAGATTTGCCGGTCACAACGACGCCCTCGAGCTTGGTCGGCAGATTATCGAGCACACTCTGGTGCATGTTCGACAAGATCAGGTTGCCTGGCGAGATGCACGGATGTCGACAGGAGGAGGTCAGCGAGGTCGGATCCTGGTGAGCTGTTGGGTAGATATCCCCCCCCGGCTACACGGCAAATCGATATATATACCTTCGCCGACATAGCTGAGCATATGGCTGTATTCGAGCTGTGCAGGGAGTCGCCCCAGCATTAGATCCGTTCCAAGGTGATACCCAGTCAGCGTCGCGGATGTCCATGCAGTGTAGCTTGCGGCCAAAGGCGATGCAAAAAGAGCAGATGCGATGTGGCAGCGAGGCGAGCAGACAATCGAGGCTGGCTCAGAGGCAGACCAGGCATCGACGAAAGCCGTCTGATCCGGCGGACGGGTTGTCGAAAGAGCCTTACCTCGCACCACTCCTCGAGACCCTCCTCGAAATGCTCGATGATGTACTTCATGCTGAGGACTCCAGATGCAGGATCAGGGTCAGGCGCATCGAGCGGAGACAGAAAACAACAGGAAAAAAAAGCGCACACGTGTTTTGAGCTCACCACACAACAAAGCCAGGGTTGGAATCCCGTATGGGAATGGACGACGTATGGGAATGAATGCTGTATGAGAGTGCTCATGGAGTGACGTATGGGTTGGAGTGCAATACAGGGATCTCATAGTTTCCTGTCGTCCGGAAGCTGTCGGATCTTGGAGCCGACGCAGTGCAGCAACAGATCAACGTCCGCCGGCCGGCTCAGGCGGTGATCCCCTCCCTTGACGACGTTGACGTTGATGAAGGATGGATGCTGGAGGTCCAGCAGGGCGAGGGCCTCGGACACCGGCACCACCGAATCTGCGGTGCCGTGGAGGGCCTCGAGCGTGCAGAAGACGGGGGCGTCGGTACTGATGTGATTGTCGGGATTGTTGCTGTCCAAAAGAGCGCTGCTGAGCCGATAGAACCCGCCTGGAGCATACGGCGAGGGCAAGTGGAAGCAGTGGCCCGAGGGTGTCTCGGTGCAGGACAGATGTTGAGCCGCCCATCGTCGGGCTGGATTGACGGCACCACCGACGCCGACAATGGCCTCGATCCGACCAGGGCGACAGCAGGCGGTGAGCAGGGAAAGATGCAAGCCCATTGATGCGCCGACCATGACGACACGAGAATCCTTTGCGACGACGCTGTCAAGGACATGGAGGCAGTCGCGCTTCCAATCCGACACGGTGGCGGTCTCGAGCGATCCAGCCGATCGACCATGACCAGAGAGATCCAGGGCAACGAACTGGGTCGACGGCAACCTCCTGCAGAGTTGGGCAAGCTTCTGGGCTTTGACGGAGTGTTCGAAGGACGATCCCAGACCAAGAACGAGCAGCACGGTTGACTGTTGGATAGACCGAGATGACTGCACCGGCGGAGAAGACCAGCAGGAGATGCGATTATGGAGGAGGAAGCGCATGGTCGCTGGGGGGACGGCGATGAGAAGAACTGAGACCGGGGCTGTGTCGAATGCAGACCAAGGGCTTGGTGGAGATTGTTGGCGATGATGGGCGGGAGCGGGTCGATGGGAGCGAACGGACAAAAACCAAGACGACCGAGAACGGACAACCCATCCAAGATGCACGCCACGCAGTCTTGCGACGGCACTGCGACGGTCTCACGGACGCCGATGCTGGAAGCTGATCATGGAATACCCGGTGCACGCACGTCCGCCATCGCATAGGACATGGATGCCTCAATGGTCAATCGCCAATCTCACAGTCTCACAGGGTCGCCATGCATGAAAGGTACAAGGGGGAGAGTGGTTCTCACCCCGATTCAAATTCTGTTATGAGAAAGGAAAGAGGACAAGAATTACAGGCCCGAGCAGGCAAGTCATCGCTGATTCTACATCAGGGAGGATGGCAAACCGAGTACACGGAACGAAGGGGAGTCACAAGAGCAAGAGCCGGTCTATTGTCGACGAGATGATATACACGATCTACGGTTCCGGGTAAGGAAGGGGGGGGGAAGCGGAGTCTCTCATCGACAGCTCAATTGATATCTAAGACTCAGGTGGTTGGAGGGGGGGGGCAGTTGGTACGAGAGATGGAGGGGAGGAGGCGAGGGCGATCAATCGATCAATCAAAAACAAGGGAGGTAGCGGCTCGAGGCATGCCAGCACTAAGGAAGAATAAGAAACACATGGGCATGTATCTTGGGCCAGGATCCGATCCGTTCGCAGACGGGAGGAGGTAAAGCCATGCGCCTCGTTTAGAGGGCAAAAACGGCGCCAGCAACAGCGACGATGACACCAGCAAACAGAGAGGCGGAGAGGGTGGCGGCAGCGCTCTTGTTGGAGTTGCCGTTGGTGGGGTTGGAGCCCTGGTTGGGGATGGACGAGCTCGATCCAGTGGCGACACCGATGCCGTAGGTAGCGTTGAAGACGGCGAGGATGGTGGCGGGGGCCTGTGATGTTTGAAGCATTCGCAAGTGCCGCCGAAACATGCGTCGGCGCCGAGTCGATGCCGATACCGATGCCGATGCAAGTGTTGGGTGGAAGATTGCAGCGCCAATGGACAACAGACAACAGACAACGAGCAGTTGCGGCAGAGAGTTGGTGGTTGGTCGATGTGTATGGCCGACATTTGAGGGTTTGGGAGTAAAGCGACAAATGAATTAGCAACCAAGACAGGGTCCGGCGGCACGACCAAGGGACCTTGAGGCTGGCATAGCGACATACCTTGGCAGCGTTGGTGCCACAGTCAATCTCGAGGTTGGTGATCAGCTTGGTGGAGGGAGAGTTGGAGTCGGAGGGCGAGGTCTGGAGGCACTGGATGCACTTGGTGGGGACAACATCACCCATGCTCAGGAAGGGGCAGATGCACTGGGCAAGCTTGGTGGCGGCGGCGGTCCACTGTTGAGGTTCGACAACGTGGTCCAGGTTCATGGTGGTAGTGGTGATGATGATGGTGGTGGTGGTGGTGCGTTAGCAGTGGAAGAAAGAGCCATCTGGTCCCACCAGCGTCGAATTACAGCAAACAGCGGCTGCCAAGTCAACGACAGCAAAACGCACATCATCAGGGGTCTGCGGGGTGGAGCTCTGCTTGCAGGTCAGGATGTTGTTGAGCACCGGCTGGCAAGCGGAAGCGCAGGTGGTGGGCAGGACGGGCTGCTGGGCCTGGGCGAAGACCGCGACGGCAGCGAAGAGGAGGGCCAGGCAGAGACGGAGGGCGTTCATGGCGGATCGAGGGCGAGAGGGCTGGATGGAAGGCGGGCGAGTGTCAGAGGGCGCTTATACCCAGCGGCGAGCACAGGCGATGAAGAGGACAAACGGACCAGCGACTCGAGGCAGACAGGACGGGGCGATGGAACGATGGCGGCAAAGGAGAAATGCAGTCGGACGAGGGAAGAAGCGAGAGGGGGAGGGACCGAGAGCCGCCGGCGAGAGCTCGCTGCAGCAGTATCTGCTACTGAGGGTGTGTCCAGCGAGCAAGCAGCGAGAGACATGGTGGCTCGTGGGCACGCCCTGGGTCGTCAGTGCTGGCAAGAAGGAGCCGGGAATGGAGGCGCCGTCGCGAGGCACTCGCGGCCAGGAGCGCGTCCCAGGACAAGGGTGCGGCTGCGCGAGTGGGCCCAAACATAGCGCAGCACGCTTGTCTGGAGAGCCAAATCGGGGCTGTCGTTGTTGGCGCTTCGGGTGAGCACAGCCGCTGCAGAGCTTCAGTCGACACACACAATGGGGCTGCTGCAGCCGCGCAGCATTGGCTTTGCAGTCACTGACTCTATTGACAGACTCTGTGGACCAGCAGAGAGCACACGCGCGCCGACACCGGCACAGCCCGACGCCGCCCTTGCCTCTGCACACACAGAGTGAGTCAGGCCCGCGGCGCAGCAGCCAAAACAGGCTGTGCGCGTGCGATTTGCGGGCGACACCGGTCGCACGTTGCCGCGTCGGCGGCGAGCGTGTTGCTCGCACCGGCACAGGGCTGTGTTGCGATGCACCAATCGGCGCACGGCCAGGACCACGCGATGGCCGACCAGCCGCAATTATCGCGCGCCTTCTCACGTGCAGCCATCCCAGCCTGGCTCGAGTGGCCTGGCTCGAGTGGCTGGATCCAGTCCAGCCAGGGCGAGAGCGAGAGGGAGAGAGAAGGAGCGAGACGCCCCTCGCGACGGGCACTCTGTTTCCGTTTCCGTTTCTGAGCAGCACACGATTCCACGGAGACGGCGAGCATGGACATGGACATGGACATGGATGATTTCTTGCTTCGACCAGGAGCCGAGGCCTGGCCAAGATGAGCAGACCTGCCCCGCGGTCTGCAGGGCGGCAGTCCGCCAGGCTTTATTTTCGTCGGGTTGGTTCAAGAGCACGACAGCCAACAGTCGGATCCGGGCCAGATCCACTGGCTCGGCCACCCGCGTCTCTGTGCCATGCATCGCACGCTCATCAAGCAAATGTGCCATTCACATCAGCTTCTGCGACGATTCGTGCCCGAGACATGCTGCAAGAAAAAAAAAAGTGCCCGAAAAAAATACGGAAAAAAACGGGCCAGGGACAACCAAAAGAGAGCATACGAGAAGAGGAAAAATGAGTGGGAGAGAAAGAGAGCATGCGAAACTAAGGGGAGTTATGCTACATAAAACGGTGGTCAAGTCAAAGCGGCAAGGGGAACGGAAACGAGCGAGGCAATTACTAACACAACCTGAATAAGGTCAACTACAGAGCAGCAACGAACGGATCGAGCGGAAAGGTGGATTACGGAGCGGATAGAGGGCATGCACAGGGGGGCGGCGGCTTGGTACTTGGCATCCAGCGCGGAGTAACGGAGGGGACCCGAGGGCGCCTCCCTCCGATGGGGCTTGTTCAAAAAAAGAAAGAATAATGCCTGCCACTGCGTGATCGAAGCATCGTGGCGGCTACGCTGGTCGGGGTTGGGATGCCACATCAACCGCTGGACCCAGGTCCCTCGCGAGGGAAAGATGTAGAGGAGTACTCGGACGAGCAGAGCCTGTGTCGCTTGTGGAGCTTGTGGAGGCGTCGTCGGGCAGAAGAAGCACCGGCTTACTCCGATTCAGAACCCGAGGAGCTTCCGCTGTCCGACTCTTCGTCTTCGGAGGAGCTGGAAGAGGAGTCGCCATCGTAGCCGCGCGAGCGGCTGGCAGCCTTGGCAGCCTTCTTCTGGGTGGCCTTCTCACGACGCTCCTCCTGGCGGACGGACTTCTTGACAAACTGGTAGAGCTGGTAGAGCGTTTCGGGATCGAGGCTGTCAATGTCGATCTCGATTTCTTCCTGGGTGTCGCGGAGCTGCGGCATGGCGGCGCGCACAATCTCGATAACGCCCTGGAGACGCCGCTCCGGCAGCCGATTGATCAGCTCTGAAAGCTGTGTCTTCTCGGTCGATGTGATGGCACGCGGTAGCTCAGCCGCCCCGGAGGAGCCAAATCCTTTGCCCAGACCAAACTTGGGCGCCGATTTGCGCACGTAGGCCCGGCCCTCCATCTTGACAGGCTTGTCCGGCAGTTTGCCGTCCTGAAGGATCTTGCCGCTTCGCCATTTGACGCCGCAGCGGTTGCACAGAGTCCTGGGCCCTGTCGGGCCTCGACGCCACATTGGGGTCTCGGAGGCGCCGCAGTTGAGGCAGTAGCGCGGAGTCGGCGGCGGCGCAGGTTCGACAGGGACAGGTTCGGCCTTGGGGGGCACAGACGACGGAGCTGCTTCCGCTGACGCTTTGGACTTTTTCGGCTTGCTCGCCGGCTGCTCGGTTCTGGGAGAGCGAGACTCCTCCAGGGCCGACAGCGAGGTCGGTGCTGAGCTTGCAGGGACAGCAGTGCCGTTGGCATTCTTGCTGCGCAAAGGCTTGGAGCTTCTCTTTGACGACTTGGACGGCGGCTTGACCGTGTTCTCGGGCTCTTCGTTGTTCTCGTTGAGGGCCTTGGGAATCAGCAGCGCCATCTGTCGGCTGACGGTTTCCAGACAGGTGTTGAGCAGTGCGATCTGTTGCTGAATTGCTATCTGGTCTGCATCCAGCTGGGGCGCTGCAGGGGCCACGGCAGCAGGGGCGACGGCAGGAGCGATGGGAGCGGCCTTTGGCGCGCGGGACGACTTTTTGCGCTTCGAAGGCGGGAGATCCTCTTCAGTCGCTGCAGCGGGCTCCGGTGTGGCACCACCAGCACCACCAGCAGCAGCCGTGGAAGGCGAGGGCAGGGCAGTGCGCGAGGATCGCTTCTTTTTGGAATCGGGCTCGACAGGAGCAGCCGCTGGTTTGGGTGCTGGTCCAGATTCACTGGCTGCCGACGGAGCACTCAGGGTGAGCTTCACCTTCTTGGAATCAGTCGGGGTGTGCGTATCGGGTCGCAGCGATCTCTTGTGGCGTCGTGCATCGGGGACTTCGGGCTCGTCGACTTCGAGGCCGATGTGCCTCTTGGCCTCTGTGCGCGAGACTGCAGGCAGCTTGTTGGTGAGGATGAAATCAAAATGATGCTCGAGCGACCGGCCGAGCTTATGGATATCGTTTTCGGGGGGATTGTATGCAAAACATGCGTGAAAAATCAGCTCCAGATCGCCAACAAAGGCAATGCAGGACTTGTACTCGTCGGCATCAAACTTCTTGGCGACGGTGGAGAGATCCATGGGACGCTTGACGACATCGAAATAGTCGGGTGCGTCGGAATTGATCGGATCGACAGGGACAAGAAAGGGCCACGAGCTGGGGTGTCGCTTCAGCGACAATAGGACATGCTGACAGTTGGCTTTATCGCGCTTGGTGAGACCAAGCGAGGCGCCGGCCTCAGCAGACACAAGCCCCGCCGGTGGGGTGCCGGAGGGAATGCTCGGTGCTTCGGAGGGGTTTGTGTGCTCGGGATGCTGTGAGTCTGTGGTTGGGAACGAGAGTGCCCGCTTCGGCGAAACGGGGTGCTCGGATGGTGGTGATAGCGGCAGTGTCGAAAGTGCCGACTCGGGTTTGGGCTCGATCGAGGCCGGCAGAGACGCAGTGGCAATGTCGTGGGAACAGAACGGCGGAGGCGAGGGATGGGCGAGGGACATTGTGGAATGCACGAGCAGATGATGGTCTGCGCCGGCGAAGGAATCGAGGAGACCGGAGCGAACCGGCGGCATAAAAGATGCATTGGCATGAGAAGGGTTGAGGAGGGATGAGAAGATAAAATGGAGACGGGAGGCGAGCAGAGACGTGAGTCGAGGCGGGCGACACCATATACGAGTGCGCAGATGCAAAGAGGGTGGGGGTGTCGGCTCATCAGAGAGAGCGCTGGGGCGGCGGTGGTGGTGACTCAGCGACGAGACAGACGTGGCTCGCATGAACACCGCCATGAGCACCAGAGGCGGCGCGGCTGGACCACCCGGCGACGGCCGCTGTGGCTCGGACGATCACAGGGCGACGCCAGGACAGAGGCCGGACAGGCCGGCAAGGCAGACAAATGCGTACCAGGACAGCAGAGGGCGATCTTGGCGTCGGCTGGATCGGCGGTGCGGGAGTGCGAAAAATGCAGCCGGAGTGCGAAAAATATAGCCGGGACGGCAGCGGGACAAGCCAGCGTTATATAGACGCACGGAGGGAGGGATGAATGAGGGAAGGCGGCCAGCCGAGGAGCGAGAGCGAGGACGAGACAGACAGGACGGGGGGTGAGAGGCACGACGAGACGGACAGCTGGAGGGGAAGCGAGAGCGAGGCGGGAAACCGGGAGGCCAAGGGCGGCGGCGATGACGTGGCCCGGGGGCGGAGATGCGTCGGCGGCGGGTTTTAAAGCCGCGGCAGTATCTGTAGCGAGCGCGTGTGTGTGTGTGCGGGCGGACGACTCACCTTGCGGAAGCAATTCGAACGGGGAGGAATGGCGGCGGGGGGCCTCTGCGTTCTTGGGGGAGGGCGGGCAGGCGTATTTATAACGGGGGAACGGCGAGGTGTGCTTTGGCGGGGGGCGTGCGCAGCAACCCTAGCCAGGGGCGGCCGCGGGTTGCCTGTTGTGGACAATGCGCCGCAGGCAGCCCAGCCAACCAGAGGACACGCGGCGCGGATTGGCCGCGCGCGTCGCACCAGCGAGGGGCGGGCGAGGGACGGCGAGAGACGGCGAGAGGTGCTCCGCAGACTCCCGGCACAGCGTCGCACAGTGTCGCGCGTCGCATTGTGTCGCCGGCCGCTTTTGGGTGCTGTGCTGCGCTGGGGGTGTGCGCAGCGGCCAATGGCATCGCCACACACACACACACACACACACACACACACACACACACACACACACACACACACACACACACACACACACACACACACACACACACACACACACACACACACACACACACACACACACACACACACACACACACTCGCCATCCAGCCGCCATGTTCCGCAAGTTCCCACGCATGCATGGTCGTCGCGTCAGTACATTCGGTCTCGGCCAGCCCCGAGGCCGATCTCGCCATGTCGCGCCCGATGCATCCTGCCTCCACGGACCGACATGAAGCAGCCCTCACCGGCAGTCTATCCCCGCAGTGCTGCTCGATCGTGCGAATCAGCTTGCTCGACATATCTCTCCCGCGCCGGTGTGCGACCATATCTGTCGTCCTCCCTCCCATATGCTCGCCTTGAGAAACAATACCCACTCTCTCGTCGCTTCACAGAGACCAAAGAGAGCCCTGTTCAGCTGTCTATGGAACAATGCGTATCGACAGTCCAACCAAGAGCAAACATTGTTTGCATATGGTCATATTCACCCACACCAGCTTCCCGTCAACGTTCTCGGCCGCCATAAAACGGCTGTTATCCATCTCTGCCACCTCGTCTGCTTGTCCTGCCGTCTCGGAATCCCATTCGCCCTTGAGTTCGACTGCATCAATTCAATACCCAAACCACAGTCGGTATCGACATTGACATCGCCATCACCATCACCATCACATCGACATCGCCATCGACATGTTCAAGCCCGCTTCGTCGCTGCCGCCCGAGATCCTGCACGAGATTTTTGGATACCTCGGCGACTGGTGAGTACTTCGTTCGGTTTCCTCATCCCGAGTGAAGCGGCTGCAAGTCAGTTTTCTACTCTTCTCATCGGCGACTGATCCCCACCCACGAATTATGCCCGCTCTTGCAAGTCTCTCCCGGTCCTGGCTACGCCGCACATAATCCACCAGCTCGACTATAACTCACAGCCATACTCTCCGTCGCACCAGGGGCCAGTTCATTGCCCACAGAGATCCAGAGGACATGTTCTACAATGCCTCGGATAAGCTACGCAAAGCCGCCAAGAGCCATCTTGTCGCATGTGCCCTGGTCTGTCGTCAGTGGGCCCTCGTTGCCATCCCAGAGATATGGAAAGATGTTACTTTCGACCATTTACTGAGGATCTCGGCCGACAGTGTTGTGTCAAACTTCTGCTCCGCCCTGGCCTCCCGCCTACGCTTCTCCTCCCCGCTTGAGCCGAGTCTGCCTCTGCAGCGTTTCCTCAACGCACGCTTCATCCGGCACTTGACGGTGCGTCTCTTTTCGCTACCATCATACACCAAATCACCATCGTGGGAACTGCCCTCGGCGCTGATCAATTCACTTCGGTCGCTTGAGTCGCTGCGCATCGATACCGACTTTTCCGAAAACAGTCACCACCTCAACCTGTTTCTGAAGAACCTCGTTGGCTTTACCCCAAAACTGCGTCAGTTTTTCATCGTCGGTGGCTCGCGAATGTCCAACCCGATGCTCATACAGATTGCCATGAAATGTCCCCGACTCGAAACCTTTCTGATGATCGGCCACTTCCCCAACATCTCCTCCCGGGCGATTGCCCGCTTTCTGACACTCTTGCCGCACCTGAAAGCCTTCAAGTTCGGCGATCCCGAGCGCGTGCTCATCCGCAACCTGTTTGAGGGCCACTGGCTCGGTGGCCTGATGGACATTGGCCCACCCGGCGATCACGCCGACGACTTTGCCGACCTTGCCCCCGATGCCGATCTTGCATCTGGTGCCAACTCACCCGCCCCTCAGGCCATTCCTGAAAACATGATCGGCATCACCATCGAGTGGGACCACGACGGAGAGGGTATCCATGTGGTCAGCACTCCGCCTCTCCCACCACACACCCTCGGTATTGGACAGCAGCCCCAGCCAGACTCGCTACCAAATGGCCCCGGCCAAGTGCCCCCAAAGGACCCCATCTTCGAGAACCTGGCCTTGCGCACCCCAAATTTGGAGACGCTTATGTATCTGGAGCTTGATTTTCTGGACCCGGCGGTCGTGCGCTCGGTCCTGGCGTCGCACGACCACCCCTTCCCACGCCTCAAGGCCATCATCGCCAACGATGCCTCCGAGCCCATCCTCGAGCTCATGCGCCGCTTCAAGTCGGTCGATACACTCGATCTGCGCTGCGTCACCCGAAACCATATCATCAGCCTCCTGGAATGCATGGCCGAGATGCCGCCCGACCTTGCTCTCCCCCTTACCTCGGGCGGGCCAAGCATGACGACGCCATCGTCCGCCGGCGGTATCGCTCACGTCGTGCCTCCGCACAACCTTGGCAGTCGTCTGGTGGCTCTGTCGCTCAAATTCTACATCGGCGACGACGGCGACGACGGCCTCTGGCTACGCCAGGCTCTCCGTATCCTGTCCAAGCTGTGTGTGCGCCTGCAGCATCTCAAGATCGATATATGGGCATCCGAGCCCAAGGACGACCTCCTGGATGACGAGATGTGCGTTGCCTTTGCCCTGAGCTGCCCGAACCTGACCCAGGTCTCTGTATCGCTGTCGTTCCTATCGGGATCGGCCTCGTGCTTCTCCGATATCTCCGTCGACGCCTTCTTGCGGTTCTGTCCAAGACTCCGGCACCTCGAGATTCGCCGAGGGCGCTTCTCCTCGGGCCTGTTCTTGGACGACCACCAGCGCCGCAAGTACTCCAAGACGCTGTCGCTCGAGACCCTCATCTTGGACTCGGTCGAGGGACGTGTATCCGAGCTCTTGGTCCATGCGCCTGCGTCGCTGCGGTACCTCGAGATCTTTGATGCAACGCAGTGGACCTGGAAAACTCTTCTGCCAGCGCCGTCGCGTGCGCCGTCGGCCTGGCTCACACGGCGACTCATCCAGAGACGACACGGAGGTTCGTGGGGTGGATCGTTGGCCGGCCAGTCGCCGTCTTCGTCGCCAGAGTCTCCGCTGCCATCAGCTTCTCTCGAGGCGACTACAGAGCCACCGCCGCATACTCCGGCATCGCTGCGGCTCTGGGAAGCCTTCACCGACATGGCGGATACGGATCCAGCCCCCTTGAAGACCCCTGGCAGGTTTTTGATTGGCACGGCTCTGGCCACGATCAGCATCACCGCCATCGTCGCAGCCATGTTTGCTGTCACGACTCACTGACCTTGGGAGCGAGACCTCAGGAACAGAGGGCCAGCCACAGTGACATGCCGCCACACTCGCTGGACACGCCGAGCATTCGTGCGTATATTCATGATTCAGAAACAAACACAATAAATTTCATCGAAACTGGGCACCGCCGTTTCGTTCTATAATGGCAGATGGGAAAGTACATGGACTCGCGGCCCAACAGCGGTCCGGCAAGCAGTGAAGGCGAGAGCGCAAGTGCAAAGTAGATGAGAGAGAGGGGAGAGGGGAAGTGGTGCCCACAAACCTATACAAAGTGTACAACAACGAAATCCATGGCTGCTCTGGACCCCGGCAAAACCAGGCAACTCTGTACGAGACTTTTCGACGCTGGGATATTGCCAGTGGCTGCTCGAGCTGGGAGGACCAACCCGGCCAAAGCATGCACACAACCGCCACACTAAAGCAGCGTCTCGAGCTGTCTCCACGACTTGTTGTTCAGAAAGTCGTCGACGTCGGTGCTGCTCCAATCCTCCGAGTCCAAGAAAGAGGCGGTGGCGCCTTGGCATCCGACCGAGGTTTCGAAGCAGCTAAAGCCCTGCTTCTGCAGGTCCTTGGTGACCTTGGTGACCTTGGACGCTGGCGTGTCTGAGGCAGCGATGCGGGAGACGGTTATGCGGGGTTAAACCTCGGTAGCATCGAGGCATACCGGCCACTCATCTTCCTCACATCAGTATCGTGTGCACGACGGTTCCGCTTACCCTGTCTCAGGAGGGTGAGAGCACATCCACCGCCTCCGGCACCTGTGAGCTTGGAGTGGAGCCCGTGGCCTGTGGTGATCTGGCGGACCAACTCGAGTGTTGGGTGGCTCACACCGGCGCTCACGAGAAGCCCGTGGTTCATATCGATCAAAGCCTTTGATTATATGGATTGTAGAAAGCCGATGAGTTTGGCCGAGCGAATGGACCGGCGAGGCGACTCTCTCTATCCAACCCAATCCTATGACTGCAGCAGCAGTGGCTGCCACAACAGCATCAGGGGCTGGTTCTGGACATACCTCGATATCCTCAAAGATGGCTTGTGTCAAGTCCTTATTGCCAGCGCTGAAGAGACTCTTGAAACGGTCGCTGACGTTCTGGATGGCGTCGATGACGTGCTGCATCAGCTCCGGAAACTGGGAATAAGGGTAGCGCATGACCAGCAACACGGTTCGATGGGCAAACGGATATGCAGATGTAGCGTTATCGATGCTGTTTCAATTTCCATACCAATGCTGCAATACCCATACCAGTGCTGCAGTATCCATGACGATGCTGCAGTATCCATGTTGCTGTCGCCCACGCAGACATACCTTTTCTTTTCTGAGCCGCACGTTCTCCACCTGCACCTTGGTGTTTTTCGGGTGGTTCGTGTTGGTGAGCAGGAAGCGCAGCGAGGTGAATCTGTTTGGCGAACACATTGAGTCAAATGTCGTCCTCATTCCCGGGAATAGGCCGCTTCGACCTCTCTACGGATTATATGTGGTCTGATCATTTCTCTGCCTCGGCTTCACTGAGCAACTAGCCCATCGGTCGTCATGGAGACTGCTGCTGACGAGTTCGATGCAACTGGATGGCACCTGGACGCTTACCCGTCAAGAACTTTCATGCTGCCTTTCGTATACATCTGCGCACCGCCTAGTAAGCAGAGGCCGCACGGGTCAGCGATGATGAGCGATGATCAATGATGATCAGCCCCGCGCCTGAAGCAACTGCACCATCACGACACCAGTGCTCAGATCTGCTCGTACCATAAGTACACAGGGCGTTGTCAATGCCCGACGGATTGCCGTGCAGGATCTTCTCCGACAGAAAAGCCCAGTCGTTGATCACCTTGCGATTGTCGAGCGACAGCTTCACCTTGAAATCTCCGAAGGACTGCATGTGCTTGTAGTGCAGCAACAGCGCAGTTGAAACGCACACGCTGAAGGAGGCCGATGAGCCGAGCCCAGCACCGACTGGGAGCGACGACCGGAAGGCAATGTCGATTCCCTCTTGTCTGCACAGGGTTCAGCGACGAGATCGAGATCGAGACGCTGATGAGCCCTCCAGACCGGAACCGACAGCTTGGGAACTTCCCGAGGACTCTCCGGACCAGAACCCCATTCAAGCCCAATGGGAGCGACGATATCGCCAGGCGGACGGATCCAATGATGATCCACCCAGGGCTGGATGACAATGAGGCGCTCACAGATGCAATACGATGCATACCTCTCATCGCTCAGGAAGACAAACAGGTACAGAAAGGCCAGTACGGCCTGGATGGCGTTGTGATCGGTAACTTTGGTCAGCAGCTTTGCGATCTCGTCGCGGATGGTCGGGTCGATCTCGGACGTCGATGCACCTTCTGTAAAGTTGAAAGCGGGAAGTAAGAGGTCATGTAAATAGGCGGGCGAACCAGATCGGGACATCGACGATACCGCAAACGCCGCAACACCAACGAGCGAGCTGGGGCAGTGACTCGGCCAGCGGGTTGTCGGGATATGCGCACCTTTGCTGGCCAGAGCCTTGATGGCGACCAGATCGCTTCGGGACCATTCCTCCTCCAGTTTGAGGTCTGGGAGATGAAGCCGGATCTTCTCATCCGATCTCTCGTTAATGTAGAGATACGAGCGAAGACCGAGGCTCGCAGCAATAGCCGTCTGGGCGGTTGCATTGAGAAAGGGAGGAAGGTGAAAAGGAGAGGTGCCGTTTCAGCCGCCAAGTCGTTTCAGCCGCCGAGCCGAACCGAGCCGAGCCATGATGAAATTAGTTCATGGACAAGGGTCGACTACGGAACATTGGCCACTGCAGAGCGAATACTCGGGATGGTGCGGAGGCCCACCTTTCCATAGACCACAGCATGTTCGCCAAACAGGATGACTTTGCCTGGGGCCGACACGACCAGGCCGGGCGGGGTACGTTTGTGCTTGCGGGAGGCCTTTTCGGAGCTCTGGACGACCGAGGCGACGGGGTTGGAGCGAGTCGATACCATGGCGGTGGTGGGCGGATTGGCAGTCGAGACGTGGGGTGTTCGTCGTTGGCCCAGAGGAGGCGGGTGGGAGGGTTTGGTGGGGCGGATGATGGAAACGAGGGAACAGTGGCGGGCTGCCAGAAAGGCAGAGCCGAGAAAAAATACGGGGCTGCCGCTCACCCCATGCTTCCCACAGCATCCGCAAACGAGGCAGCGCACCCGTATTCGCAGCGAATGCTCTTTTTTTTTTTTCCCTGGGATCCCGGATTGAAAGCACGGCCGGTCGTCGCTCACGATGACCATCCACACCCTGGATATTCGCTGCCGTCAGGGTCACTGATCCGCGGGACAGCCGCTACCCAAGCCCACCAATTAACCAGCCGAATGGGACTGCCTGTCGCAGGACCGGCGATCGAGAATACGATAGATGCCAACTGCGGGCGGGGCGGGGTCGTGGATATTGCGACAATGAAACATAGGCTCTGGATATCGAGTATTTTTGTTTCCTATGCACGGGCGTCTCGCTCAGAGGCCCTGGAGTGTGCTCTGCTTCTGTTTCGTGCAGACGACGACCGTCCAGAGCGCAGTATTCACTCGAACTCGACCCACTGATAGGCGATCGGCCCAATGAATGGGAGTTGGTATCGCTCCAAGTTATCGGCGCCGATGGCGGCCTTGTAGCTGCCAGCGGCAGCAGAGATGAAATGGGATGGAGTGAGATGAAATGGGATGGAGTGAGATGAAATGAGAAGAGACACCACTCGCTGATTCGCGACTAAATGGCAGCAACGCCGCTGAAACCAAGACTCGACACAGCGCAGACTTACCCAAGCCAGGCAATCAGACCAATTTCCGCAAAGAAAAGCAGCCAGCTCAGGCTGCTGGAGACAAAGGAGAAGACAAACTGCAGGATCTATATGTACCACAGGCAGTTAGCTAATCCATGCCATGGCCGGCCAGCCCATCGAGTGTCTGCACCGAGCCCATGGTATTCGCTCGATACAGATGGAGAAGGGTATACGCACAAAGTACGGCGTGAACAGGAGGCAGGATTGCCAGGCATGGAATCTGGAACGGGGATTACCGATAATGACACATGCGGTGGTTAGCCTCTGGTGCAGAGGGTTCAGTTGCATCCAGCGAGACCCTCTCGGTCCGATCGTCCGGCTCAGCGCCCGGGCAGTGCGTGCAGTCATCGCTAGGCATCGATCGCAATCGATGGAGCACCCCCCTCCGGGTTGATCGCTGTGGAAACTGCCGTCGCCACCGGTCACTGTGTTGTTACCGGACATAGTCGTTCTTGGTTTCCAGGATCAAAAGCGCTACTCCTGGAGGGGAAAGAATGGACGAGTCAGCGCATTGATGTCCCTACAGCTCATCCACGGACTTGTGCGGTACCCGCAAAAGCTGCAGGGAAGCGGCATGCATCCAAGTATCCAGACACCTCTGGAGGAAGGCAGCCAGAGGCTCTCACTGTCGGACCAAATCGGCTGCCTTGCGGCATCGACCTCGTACCCGTGAATGCACCCAGGAAGTAGCACAGTGCTGCCTCGATATCCAGGCGAATGGGGAGCTGCGTCTCGTATTTGTTCACTCGCTCGGCTTGATCGAGGCCCGAGGGAGGGAATCCGGTGAAGGAGCTGCTGTATGAGCCGAAGCCCTCGACGGTGACGGAGGCCGAGGCGGCGGATGGACCGATGCCAGAGGCCGATGGATCATCCTGCAAGGGTCTATAGGAGCCGGACATGACGACGGTGGTGGTGCTAGGAGATGCAGGCAGATGCAGGCAGATGCAGGGAGATGCAGGGAGATGTGGATGCAAAGGCAGGCAGGCACAGGAGCACGCAGATTCCGCCAAGCCATGCGAGCCATCCACCGGACGAGCACCACCCCGGCTGGATCGCTGCTGCCCCGGCGAGAGGCCGCTGTTCTGGATAGCGGCTGGCTGCTGCAACGGGCGGACGGCCGACAAACCACCCACGGCAAGCGGCCGCAGATGCGGCTCTGTGCATTGGGAATCCATCTCTCCAACATCAGCAGTAACGGCAACGATGGCGCGATCTTGGCTCTGGGCCGAGCCAGAGTATATATTGCCACAGGCCCTCTGCAAACGGCCGGCGGCATGCTTCCTCTCGCTCACACTATTCTGTGGACAGCACCGACTCCCTCTCGGCAATCACTTGGCCAAAGAGAAGGTCTTGGGAATGATCTCGATCCAGTATCCGTCGGGATCGGCGGCGAAGGCGATGCCCTTCATGCTGCCTGTTGTCGGATATCCGCAGGTCAGCATCTGCGTGAATGGCTCTGATCTCTTGCAAAGTGCACTCCCCTCTACTAGCGCTGCAGCAGCATTTCCGCTCCAAAGCGGGCTTTCTCAAGAACAGCTACCTTGATCCGGCTTCTTGACAAACGACACTCCTTCAGATTCCAGGCGAGCGCAGGCAGCATCGACGTTGTCGACCGTGATGCAAATATGCCCTGTTGATTGCAAGTGTCGGTCACCAATTCATTGTTGGTTGCATCGGTATTGTGGAACCATAAAGCAACCCATCTGTCGTCAAGACCTACCGAATCCTCGAGGTTCCTTGTTGCCGTTGTGATATCCGGCAAAGCTGTCGTCCGACTCGGTGCCCCAGTTGCTGGCAATCGGCGAGCCAACGAGTGAGCCAAGGTCGATCCAATCCAGCGACTCTCTCCAACGGCCCGGTGTGCTATGGTGATTGCAACGAGATCCACCGTTTGCTTAGCAATTCCACTCGGCAGAGTCTTACTGGGTCAGCTCGAGAACGCCCGGACGAGAGAAAACGTAAGCCTTGCGGACGCTCTCGTCGGCTTCCAAGACTTCCTTGGGGACGTTGTATGCCAGGAAATACAGCGTGAACTTGCCCTGCTCAAAGTCCTGGCGAGTCACTTGGCTGCAAAGCGTTTGACGGTCGAGTCAGCAGGTTGCATCGTCGGGCGGTCCAGCGACGGGGGATGCAGCATCGGCACGGCGCTACAGAGGTCAAATCTACCTCATGCCGAGGAGTCGAGTATAAAAGTCCAGCGATTTGGCAGGGTCTCGGATCCGGAGCATAGTGTGGTTGAACTGCAGAGATGGAACCGACAAACACCGCATTGAATCGGTGAGGCAAAGGAGCAGAGTCAGCAAATGTGTGCTGGGCTCGGTGACGACGCATCCCACCCGCCCCCGCTGGTCCGGAGAGCTGTGCGTACATCATAGGTTGCGGTGTCGGTCGACATGGTGGTGCTGTTGCGAGCGGGATGAGCGGGACGAGCGGGATGCGAGAGGGCCTGGTGAGCGATGTCGAGATCGATGTCGAGGGCGATCCGGCAGGCCCAGCCGCTCTTTTTGGGGCGACTTGGATCGGCTCGGATTTCAAACTCGTCTCCGTTGCTGGCTGCCAAATGCTGCGTCGGTCGAGCCCGAGCTGGTCGAGTCGTTCGCGCATTCGGAAACACACTATATTGCACATCGGCGACAGCTATCGCCCGCTCATGACCGCAGCGCCAGCCGCATCGAGCTCTCGGCAATCAAGGTCTGGCAGAGGGTACCCTCGGCATCGGCCAGGGTCAGATCGGCACCGCTATCGAGGAGCAGCTGGGCGATCGGCGCATTTTCGACCGTGGCTGCGAGGTGCAATGGTGTCTGGCCCTCCCGGTCCTGGGCATTGACGTTGGCTCCGCGGGCGATGAGATATTCGACGAGCGGCTGGTATTCGCGGTCGCTGGCCCAGTGCAGCAGCGTCATTCCCTGGCGATTACACCCAAAGGCGCCTGGTTAATAAAGCGCACCGGCTGTTGAGTCTGAGGAGTTGCTCCAAATCGGCTCACCTGCTCGTCGGTGCCATCGATGGGGGCCCCATTCTCGATCATCTTCTTGACCCGCTCGAGATTGCCCTCCTCGGCCCACTCAAAGATTGTTTTGTCGGCATCCCTGGCGATGAGCAGCGGCGGCGTGAGCTCCATCAGCTTGTCCGTCGCAGCTGCTGACAAGCATGCTTCGTCGATGCATATGCCTCTTCTGTCGACAGCAGCGAACACTTACGCAATTTCGGCCCGGTGTCCGCCCATGGTGCTGACAGCAACGCCGGTGCCGCTCTCAGAGCTAGCCGAGCCTGAGGCGCCGTCCTGCTACATGACATGAGGGCATCAGCAGCGATGCCATCTCGGCCAATATTCCGTGCGCTTCAAGGATGGTAATCCTGCGGATCTTGGCGGTCGCATACCTGCAGCGATTCTGTCGCTCCACCCCTCACTTCATCGACGAGCTGGATGTATAGCTCTTGGGCTTCCTCCTTTGACAAATGGCTGTGGCTCTTCCAGGCATCCCACTGCAAACACAGATCCAAGCCGGGGTCGTGGTGAGACGGAGGTGATGAGGGAACAGAGGGAGCAGATGGAATGGAGGGACCAGATGGAATGAAGGGAGCAGATGGAATGGAGGGAACGAGGGGAATGGAAGGCTGTTGGGCTCCATCTCCATCCCGATGTTGTCGTGCGTATGCGTCTACGTCATGAGCAATCCTTAGCATGAGTCGTAAAAGGCGGCGCACACCTTGGCTCGTCCCGTAAAGTCAAAGTAGCCCGGCTGGGGAGTGTTGTTCGGGCCGAGGGTGCCGACTTTGTAGAGAGCGTAGATCTTCAGCAGCACCGAGCGCTCGAACTTGAGGTCCTTCCGCGAGGTCAGGTACTCAGCGGCTTCTGTGAACAGCTCCTGGGTGTCCATGCGGTGCAGCTGCAAGGTCTCAACGAGAGGGAGCAATGGGCAGGCGGCTGGACGGGTGCGGGTGGCCAACGAAGATCGGCAAGGCGGCGAGATTGAGATCGAGACCATGTTCTCTCGACGAAGCTGCCTGATTGGGACCAGCAAACCCCACCGCCCGACTCATCCACGGCTCTCGACCGATCTGCGACTCTGGTTCTGCCGACACCAGCCCCGCACCGAGACACTCGCCATGGACAGCCAGAACTCGCTCAGCGTCTCGACCGGAGGAAAGATCAATGCCTATGTGACGCAAGCCCAGGGCCATCTGGAGGTAGAGAATAGCGATGGATCAGGAGCCGCCAAGCACGCCGATCGTCCGAGCGGATCATGAGCAGCCTTCGGTCCAGCGACTGCCATCGGACTTGGGCGAGCCCTCGACCGAAGCTCTGGCTCACGCCAAGCAAAGGTACTTCTTGCCTATAGAGCCGGCATACTGATTGTGTTGGGCTGTCCCCAACCTCCCAGACTTGTGGATCGGTGGTGATCGTCGGCAAGGCCAAGTCGATCAGCAAAGCCGTCACTGTCGCCGAGATCGTCAAGCGCCAGGCTACCCAGGATCTGACACAGGAGACTGAAATCAACTCGGTGGAGACCGAGCCTGGCTCCGAGAGCGCCCAGCGGTAGGCCGGGATGACTTTTGCTTTCATATCTGCTCCATGCGGTTGCTGGCCGATTCTTGCCGTGGGGTCAATCTACCGATTTACCAAACGACCAGCAATTGCGGCGCCCATCCACTCAGACGAGACCCGGCCAACGATATCTTAGCTACAATTATGCCTCGCACTCGTTGTCCAGGTTCTCAACCCTCCCTGTGATTCGGATTACGCTCAAGCCTGCTGCTTAGCATATCGATCGGCGCGCATCATTCGGCCCATCATCCATCTTGGTGCCGATGTGCCCGGGGCGCATGGCATGGCATGGCATGGCATGGCTCGGACCGATGAATAGAATTCGCATGGCCCTCGTCCATGCCTCCTTGGGCATACTATCTCGCCATCGCTGGGTCTCTCGACACCATGACTGTTCGCTGGCGATTGCCTCTTCACTCCGACACCAGCCATGTCTTGGCCAGGGTCGTCGATCTGCTCAATCGGATCGGCTGGCCGTTGCCTCTTTCATTGCATGGCGCTTTTCCCGCCCAGCGCCCGACTCTGCCAATGAGACCAGCCACGGGCCTGCTTGCAGGATCGATCTGGAGGAGCCACCCGTCGCGAGACCGACTTTGATCTCATGCCGACGAAATGGCACACGGCCCCAGGCTCATGCCCTCTGATCGCGGAACGCTGCCGAGACTGAATCTCTACCAGCCGCAACCGCAGCCGCAACCGCAACCGCAGCCACCATCACAACCACCATCGCAGCTGCAGCCGCGGCCGTCCAGCATCGGCGGTGCCGAAGAATGGTACCCCGAGGCCGAGGGTGATATTGATAACTACGAGGCCGGTGATGATGGCGCAAAGGGTCAACTGCGCGTTGTAGTGAGGTACTCCAGCATTCCATGCGACCCAGGGCCCGGGCGGACACTCCAGCATGCGAGCCTCTGCAGACTCATGATGGCGTGAGGACCAAAGTGCTGCGTCGCTGTGATATGAGGATCTCCCTGACTGTGCGGGTCCGCTATCGTACCAGGCTACGGCCCTTCAACGAGATCGAATACAACCGCGAGGGCTTTCTGGGCAGCTCGCATCCCGGCATCGGCTGTCTGATGGATCAGCAAACACTCAAAGTCGGTGGGCCCTGCATCCCATGCTTGGCGGACATCTTGTGCTTGTTGCGTCTTTCGCGAGCCTCGTGGATCTCTCGTTTCGACTGCATTCCCGAGGGCCTGTTGCATCGCATCCCATCAGTATCGATTATCCTCTGTCGGGATTTCCCTGTTGAAGTCGCTCGCATTGACCACCGACGCTCCACCGACGACACAGATCTCGTCCGGAGACGGCAAGGAGCGTTCGCTGACGTTTCATCACGTCTTCCCCGAGGACACGACCCAACAAAAGATGTTTGATGAATGCGGGATCAAGGAACTCATCGTTCAAGCAATCGACGGGTAACGCCTCGGATTTAGCCACGACGCAGCTGGCATTCTGAATTGCGAATCGGCCATGGCGCATGGGGCAATCGCACCGCTGTCGATTCGCCATCAAGCAAGCAATCAACATTCCGCTCTGACATCAACTGCCCCAACAGATACGCTGTGACTGTGTTTGCTTTTGGCCAGACAGGTAGGCCTCGAATGTGCCCGCTTCACCGCAAGCCAGACATGCTGTTGTGCTGAGCGCTGCGGGCGTTCTCATGTTTCGCATGGCCATTCACACACATTCCCAGGCTCCGGGAAGACATTTACCATCACTGGCGCGGAGGAAGAGCTGGCGCCTCTGCCTTCTCAGAGCGAGGGCTGGTTCAGCGAACAAGCCGGTATTGTTCCGCGATCGCTGCGGTTCCTGTTCGAAGAGATTGCCAACAGGACCATGTCGGAGTCAGCATCGTCCGAATTCTTTGTCAATGCCGCCTACCTTGAAATCTACAACGAGCAAGTGCAGGATCTTCTCAACCCAGGGACTCCTCCGCTGCCTGTCCGCTGGAGTCAGGACAAGGGATTCTATGTCGAGAATCTGCTGGTGGTCGAGTGTGAGATCCTGGACGACTGCATGGCTGTGCTGGAGGAAGGTATGTAGCAAAGCCGATCAGCATTCAGCATGGGTGTTGAATGGGGTCTTGGAGGGAATTCTTGAAAGGGATTCTTGAAAGGGATTCTTGAAAGGGATTCTTGAAAGACATTCCTGGAGGGGGCTGTTGAAACAGGTGCCAGTACATGAGGTTTCGGCTTGAAGGGGTCGGCGGGATGCGAACTGGCTCGTCGACTGCAAGCTGCTCATTTGCATTTCTGGTCCAACGGATGACAAGGCTTGCGGAACAGAACTACGGGGTCGCATAAGCTCAACGAGCGATCAAGTCGAAGCCACAGCATCATGACCATATACATCGACAGCGAGACAGTTGACCCAGAGGACGACTCGAGGCTGCGGAAGCACGGCAAAATCAGTTTTGTGGATCTCGCAGGTGGGGATTCGCAGAATAGCGATAGCGGTGCCCACAAATGACGGGCGCTATCTGGTCGTATGTTTCTTGTGGCTCCAACAGGCAGGCTCCGTGGTGCGGCATGCACTGTCTCGGCTGATGACAGCTATTCCCCTCGTCGCTGCAGGCAGTGAGAAAGTCAAGGAATCCAAGGCATCGGGCGAAACCCTGACAGAGACCCTCAGCATCAACAAGAGCCTTTTGACACTTGGTCAGTATGGACTGCTTGGCTGGATGCCCTTGCACATCCGCTAATGGCTTGGCTGGCGAACTAAAGCCCAAACTGCTGTCGGATTGTCTGCACAGGAAACTGCATATCAGCTTTGTCAAATGCCAGTCGCCGCAAAACCCACATCCCATACCGAGATTCAAAGCTGACCAAGCTGCTTTCGGATTCGCTGGGAGGTCACGGACTGGCCCTGATGATCGCGTGCATCTCTCCAGCCAAGCTCAATTTCCAAGAGACACTCAAGACGCTGCGCTATGCAAATCGGGCAAAGCGCATCCGCAACAAGCCCATCGTTCGGGTCGATCCGCGCGAACGGCTGGTCATGCAACTGCGAGAGACGATCAAGGGTCTCCGGCTCGAGAACGAGGTGTTTCGGGACTACCTTGGCCCGCAAAAGTCCTCAGCTGCGCTGGCGCTGATGAGCCGCAACCAGCTTCGTGCCCAGTCGAGGCTATCTCAGAGCCACCTTCCTCCAATTCGGGACCCTCGGATGCGGGGATACTCGAATCCCGAACTGGCGGTATCGGCCGAAGGCAACTCGATCGCCAGCAGTCGCCTGTCGAGCAATGGTGGCCGGACATCCCAGACGATGCGCCGGTACTCCAAGAACGGGACTGCAACGGCGACTGTCATTCCCGACGAGGAGAAATCGTACTGGGTCGAGGCTGTTGAAAACTTGCAGTGCGAAAACAGCGAGCTGGTCATGGCCAAGGCTCGAGCAGACAAGTCGTATGCGTCGCTCTTGAGAGAGAACGAGCGTCTGGCCAAGGAGCTGAGGCGGTATCAGCAAATCGATCTGGAACCGGCCCGTCGAAGTGCCAGCATCGCCGAGGCTGAAGGCGGCGGGTCTGAAAGAGCAATTGTACACTCAAGCTTGCCAAGTTTCCATGGCGACGACGAGGCGCTGGTACATCGTGCCCGACTGGGCAGCGCCGACCATGAGTATGACCGCAGCATATTCCCACGCCCACCGGCCTCTGTGCCAGTCGGCCGCCATATCCCAACCGCACCCACCAGCAAGATTCCAAGCAAAAAGACCAACCGGGGAAGCCAGCGGACCCGCCCGTCGTAAGTGCATGATCGCTTCATGCACAAGTGAGTGCCGTGTGCTCGCAACAGGTGCTTGTCCAGCCGAATGGAGCCGAGTGGAGCCGAGTGGAGCCGAGTGGAGCCGAGTGGAGCCGAGTGGAGCCGAGTGGAGACGGCGGTGCGGCCGATTCGGTGCTAACACCATCGCCGTTGGTCATGCAGATCACGGAGTACACATGCGGCTGCGTCCAGATCGACATCTAGCATGCAGGTCCACCCCAAGTCGCTCGAGTCTGTCGACGATCGGCTGCTGGCACAGGTGACAGCCAATCGCGAGCGGCTGCAGCAGGACATTGATGCTCTCGAGGCAGAGATCCAGAGGATGCAGCAAGATGCACAGCAGCAGCTCAGATAGCCGGGACTTGTCTGCGCCCACGGAGCCGATGCAGCCAGCTACGACTTCCCTTGGGATGGGGCACACTCTCGAATACATCCCATCGACGCCGATCCGCTGGTGGCGGTTGTTGCGAATGATGGACGTGCGGGTATCATCCAGGCTCAGCACAAGCGGATGCCCGAGAAAAGTGCAGCCGGTGGATACATTCGGGATCCATGGTCGTGTGCCCAGCGCCCTCAACGAGATGCCCTGTTCCACGTCGGAGGCACCAGTATTCGCCTGCGGGTCTGATCGGTCGCCCCATACCAGCGCCGGCAGATCAGCTATCGGCACCGGTCCATACAGCGTCCGCTGGAGAATCCTGCTGCCGCCATTCATCCCCCCCAACTTGCCCCTGCTCCTGACAGAGCCCGCGGCACGCTGCCGATGCCGTCCGCTGGCGACATCCGGCCATGCCGGCGGTGACATGCGATTGCGTCGCGCCCTTTGCCAGCAATCGCTCTCGCACATGCATTTGTCAGAGCGATTTCCAACCCCATGTGGATCCGCTGGCGCGACCGCGGCTGAAAAAAACCACGCGGCTTTGTCCTTGGCCGCGGCAACCGTCGACTCGACTTGCGTCCCAGCCGCCCAAGATCGGAAGCCCCAGCCTCCATCCTCTGCAGTCCTTGGCCCGCAATCTACACGCTCCCAGTCGACAATCCACAACCTCCAACCTGCAATCTGCCTTCGTGCCCCCTGTCTCGCCGACGCCATGAACCGATCCTATCCCATCCGCTTCAAGAACGTGGCCTATCTTGCCGGCCCTGCTCTGGATCTGCTCGAGAACCAAACAATCGTGCTCCAAGACGGCCGTCTCCGCTGCTCCGATCTGCCTGTCGGCCACCACGATCCCGACTCGGTTCTCGACGTCGACGGGTCGGGATATGTGTTGCTACCGGGGCTCATCAATGCTGCGATTGAGACCTCCCTCAAGTTTGCCGGACTGAGCTCCGTTGACCCCGACGAAGTGGTTTGTACCAGCAGTCCCTCCGTAGACTTGTTTCCGCCTCATCGGCCTGTTTCCGCCATGACCGAACATGCTATCTTCGTCGCAAGCGCCGCGATCTTTGGCCCGAAGGCCTAATCGCATTCCCCTTGGCTCCGGCGCCCGTATCGGTGTATCTCCTTAGCTCGACATCTTGGCCGACTCGCTCTCCAACTCGGCTCGCAACGGCACAACGACGGCCGTCGTTCTGAACGAGGGCTTTGATTTGCAGAGCCTGTCTCTTGAGTCGGCCGCACATTACTCTGCCCTGAGGATCCTGAGCTCGCCCGACGATCTCGCTCGCCTGCACACCGGATCTGCTGGTATGTCAACCAAACCGAGGATGCCTGCGCTCTCTTCCCACCGCTGTCGATATTGCGCTTTGCGACTGGGTCTTGGCGGCGATCGTGGCTTTGGCCCGTATCTCGACTGCTTTATCCTGGACTCGCCTTTGGCCAGCAAAAGCCTGTCTGGGTCTGCCGTTTCTCTCGGCCGAGATTTAATGCTTGACTGCGTGCTCGCGCTCGGCCGTTCCCCGCTGTTTCGTCGTCTGCCGCTGTTTTGCTCCGAATTCCGGCCACAGCCCAAGCCCCCATCTCACCGCCCCATCTGGTCGCTTTGGCTCTGATAGAGTCTTTGGGCTCAGGCAACGTATTTGAGCACTCCACCAATCTCTGGACGCTCTTGAAGACAAAGGCGCAGGCACTGGCTGCGGTGTGAGTGGCCTGCAGCAGCATCGCACCGAGACCGAGTCGTCCGCGAGCTTTCGATCGCGCCGCTTGTTCGGCCATCAGCGTCGGGTGCTCTCAGCGGGATTCGGGCGCTGCTGAATCGATCAGAGGGCTGCCACTAAAACCGACCGACTGTTTGCAGCGGCTCCCCCTCGGAAGATTCTCTCAAGGATCTCTTGCGCTCGGTCACGTCTGTTCCTGCGGAAGCCCTTGATCTGAACGCCGGTTCTATCGCGGACGGCAAGGTCGCAGACGTGGTCCTCGTCAAGCTCAAGCCGTACTGGAAGCTTTCCACCAAGGAGCTTTTGCATGCACTCCTCCTTTCGGGGAACGATCCAGCGGTCATCCATGCAGTCTTCAAGTCCGGAAACCTGATCCACTCGTCCGGCTCGTTTGGCCAGCTGTTCCAGTCTCTCCTCCTCTCCAAGTACTATTCGTCAGCCAATATCCCCATTGCCGCAGACTCCGATGCCGGGCGGCACTTTGACTCTGTCGAGGATGCAATCGAGGAGTTCCGTAAGTAGTCGTCTCGCCAATGCGTGGCGCAGATGTGCCATGGAAACATGCTGGTGCATCGTCGAGTGCCACTTCGCCACTGATATGGCCATACGCGACCAACAGGCAAGGGAAATTTTGTCATTGCCGTTGACAACGAGGATCGTGAGAACGAGGGCGACTTGATCATAGCTGCTCAAGATGCCACCATGGAGAAGATGGCCTTTTTGATCCGCTATTCGAGGTAAGCCGACCGGGGGTGCCTCCGAGCCTCCCATGGATATCGGGGCTGCTTGCTGTCGCAGATAGGAGGTTCAGGGCTCCGGTGATTGACAAGCCATCCGATCCAGCGGCCTTATCTGCGCCCCAGCTCCAGACGAAGTCCTGAGCAAGCTTGAGCTGCCGCTCATGGTCAAAGATAATCGTGACGCATACAGAACGGCCTATACCATCACCTGTGATGCGACAAAGCGTACGTTGAGTGACTGCTACGATTCGCTGCCACTGCTACGATCATGGCACGGATCGTGGCACTGGATCCGGTCGCGGGCCACCGGCAAAGCAAGCTCCAGATTGATCCTTGCGGGGTCGATATAGCGCGTTTATGCGTAGACTTGCGAATCTTGATGGCCTGTGTGCGCAGTGCTCGGCCGCCGTCATCTTTGTACTCATGCGATTCGCTCTTCGTCCAGGCACCACCACCGGCATAAGCGCATCCGACCGCGCTCTCACCCTGCGCACTCTTGCATCGGCTTCGTCGGTGGCCAGCGATCTCACCCGGCCCGGACACATTCTGCCCCTCCGCGCTGTCCCCGGCGGCGTGCTGAAGCGTATAGGCCATACCGAGGCCGCCGTGGATTTGTGCAAGCTCGCCGGCAAGGCCCCTGTCGCCGCCATCTGCGAGGTTGTCTTGGACGACGGCCGCATGGCCCGTCGGGACCATCTCCGGGTCTTTGCAAAGAAGTTTGGCCTGAAGCTCATCACCATCCAGAGCCTCATTGACTATCGGCTCAAGCACGGCCTCGGCGAGGAATGGTAGACTTGTGCGGTACTCGCTGCGCGCCGGTCAGATGGATGTACAGGATCGCGCGCACATCAAGAAACTCACCGACGTCGGGCGGTCCGCATTCGTGTCCGCATCCGTGTCCGCATTCGTGTCTGCTTATATCAAAGCATTGGGTCTGGGCTCTGGAGCGGGCACTGTGCTCGAGCTCAAGCGCAACCCAGATGCCGGCGATAGCCTTTGCTCCACCTATCCCTCGCCCACCCCACTCCTTTCGTCAAATTTATCATCTTCCGTCTGCTCACGATCTCCCATCGCACCATGTCCTCTTTCACCCTCCTTCCCTATTACTTCATCACGAGATTCCATTCCACTCGGCCCCTGGGTCAAAGCGCCCTGCTACTCGTTTTCCTCCGCCTTCATCAGGCACAGAATGTGTTCGCTTGATAGAGATAGCATACCGACAGAACATAATCGCCATTTGCAACACTCAGGATATCGCACGCTGCGCGGATGGGTCGTTGTTTTTTTTGATCGATCCAGTGCGTGAGGTTGTCTATTATTCGTAGTTGGGGGGAGGGGATGCTGGACCGAATGCCAGGAACGGATGACGTTCGCCATCTCGCACTCACTGCCGCAAAATCGAGGCAATCCTGTTCTTGGCCAGACTCAGCTTGGTCAAGCCTTCGTTCAGAGCGTGATCGTGGCGGTGGTTCGGCAAGATGCGGCTTGTGAAGGGCATCTGCGGGGCTTGCGTGCAGCCTTGGAGATTGTGGCTCTCAACGACATCGCCGCTGATCGAGATGAGAGCATATCCCTGATTTTTGATGCTTTCGGAGAAGAGGCACTGGTCGATCGTGAAGGCGACAAGGGCGTTCCCACCAAGGGCGGCTGTGTGGGCTCTTGCTATAGAGTACAGCTCTGCCAGGAAAATGTGGGTGAAACCGCCCATGCCGCTGCTGCCGACCCCGGACTCGTAGATCATGGTGGCCTCTTTGATAAAGTGCATGGAGATGCGGCCGAGGAAGCGCTCGACCTTGGCGTTCGGGAGCGATGGAAGCGGCGTGATCTCGATGAACAGCGACGGGTCGATGGCGCTGGTCGGAAGGGGAATCGCAGGCGCGGTTGTGCTCGAGTCTGAGCGCACGTTTGGGAGTGATGGGCGATTGTTCAGGCCCACAAGGTTGCTCTCGGCCTCGATCGAGCCATGGATCTCAGAGTCCACCTCCTCGATGTCAAAGACCATTGCCTCGTCCACCGAATCCGTGGATGAGCGGCGGGATGCGAACGATGTCTTTGTGTTTTCGCGCGCTGGTGCGGGCATCGGGCGGATTCCCTCGTCCACATCAAAGCCTTCGGAGGACGACATGTTGTCGTCGGTTTGGTCCGCACACGGCAGGTATCCCATCGCTATGGCGTTGAGGCATACTTGCACCTCGTTCTCCTTTGGAAGCTGCACGTCGTAGGTGATTCCCGAGACTACGCAGGTAGAAAAGTACGACAGCTGCAGCTGCAGCTCCTTGTACATGTTCTTGAAGATGTTGGCAAATTGCCGATTCGGGTGATGTGACGACCGATCGATAAGGGACTGCTTGACCATGGTGATCATTTGGGTGTGGCATGCGGACTGGCCTGGGCCGCCATTGCTCTCGCACCCGACCAACGACCGCACATTGTTGAGCGAGAACGTCTCCGGAAACTGCGCATCCAGGAGTAGTACCAGGTCCTCGTCGTGTTCGTCGTCAATCTGGATGACCGTCGAGGTTCGCTGACGCGCCGTGGCCTCCTCTGGGTTGTCCTCGTCCGACTCCAGGGAGCTATCCGAGTCTGAGTCGCTATGGTTGGTGCTCTGGGCGCGTCGGAGTCCTGTTGGGCCGGCGGCAGGGGTGCCCGGCTGCATCTCGCTCTTGGGTTTCTGAGCTTCGGCCAGATACTCAGGGAGGGTGCTGGTGCTTGCAGCGCGTTCATGGGCGGGCTCGGCGGACTCGGCGTTCAGCACCGCCTCAATCTGCTTGCGGTTATACTCGCTCTTGAGCATGATTTGACGCTGTATCTCCAGCAGTCGTTCGTCTTCAGCGTCGACGACGTCGAGGTTGCGGAACACCTTCATCACAGGGGGACTTGGGAGCGCCTTGACAAAGACCGCTGTTCCCCTGGCCGTGGCCGTCATGAGCGATTCTCCAACGGTGAACTCGATCTTGAGGCCAAAGATGGCATTCAGCCCGTAGATCCTCAACTTGTACATCAGCTGCCGATGGATGTCATACTGGGCAAACGGAAGCGACTCGCTGATGATGCTCGCCCGGGAGTCGCCCACTCGGCTTTTTTTCTGCCGCAGGACTGGCCGCAGGAAGCCCAAGTAGCAGTCAGAGTATGCCGCACAGGAAACAAGCGGTGCCGCTGCCGACGACTGCGGCACGTGCATGCCGACCAGACTACCAACTACTGCCTTACTCACCGTGCGCTTCGATCAACATCCCCTTTCCGATAGTCTCGAGTTCCATCAGCGGCTCGACTGTCGTCAAGAGGACTTCTGGAACAAACCTCTTCTTGCAACTCGCGCACTTTGTGAACGCCATGGGGAAGGGCGAGTCTTGGCATCGATACGATATGTGTGCGCTCTGGCATTCTGGACGTGATATGAAAAGGCGGGTCGTCAGTTGAGTCTATCACTGCATCGGGTTTCTGGCAACGCGATACATGCTTGTATGTCCGGTATCTCCGCGAGGTCGATCCAGTTCGTCGTTCAGACAACATGACTCGATCAATCCCCGACGATTTAGCACAATCACGAAGCTCGAGGGGAGGAGGCTCTCGAGATCGATCCAGATCCTGTCGGATCGCAGCTGTGGACATACTTGGAGATCGATGTCTGTGCTTCTTTCGGAGAAACAGCTCAACCTGGGCAGCCTCTTTAAAGGAGCTTCCCAAGAGCGAGACTTTTGGAGTTTCGGTGATGCTGGGGCTTGAGTACAAGTCGGACGACCCGGTGTTCTTGCCGCCTTTGATGTAGATGCTGCTCTCCAGCACCGCTCGGTCGGCAATAATCGACGGCCGCTCTATCTGCGACACGGAGTGGCTGAATCGGTCGTTGAGCATGGCTGTGTCAAGGACGATGGCCGTTCCGCTGCAGTGCAGGACGGCAACCTCATCGGTGATGCTCACATGTTCGGAGTATCCAACAACAAAGGCGCAGCCCAAGGTCCGGGCGTGGCTCTTGATTTCTTCCCGAAGCTCGGTCCACCACGACTCGCGCACTTCCTTTTCGTTGTTTTCGATGATCTTCACCGAGGTGGCGCTGACTAGGCCACCCATACCCAAGATGCATCCGGGCGGGAACTCGTGTAGGGTGAGAATCTGTGGGTCGCGGTAGACCTGCGGAAGCTGGGGCACCACGGGGGTCGGATTGGCTGTCATGTCTCGATCCGAGGGCAAAGTCGGGAGGGCTTCGTCTCGGGCCTTGGCCAAATCAAGTGGATGCATTCGCCCCCCGGCGGTATAGACGGCGCTGCCGCTATTCTGTACAAGATCCAAGGACTTTGTTGGATCGGATGCAGCCGATCGCACAGAGGCCAGCGACGAGCGCCGCTCGACCAGGAATCGCTCTGGCGTAACCAGTCGCACAGCGGTGCCTATTGCCCGTGCCGTGATGGTTTTCTCCTTGGTTTCCAAATCAAAGTACTGCTTGAAGCCAAGGACAGTGTTGCCGTTCATTTCAAGGACTTTTTTGCCGAGCTGGCGTCGCAACTGACCGCTGAGTTGGAACAGGAGGCGCGCTCGGGCTTCGTTCGACGTTCGGGGCGTCCGGAAGCTGTCGTTCCAGTCCTGTTCGAGTGGTTGGCCATGGCCGAAAACGAGACCGCCGGCAAGCCGACGCATGAGCACAAATCATCCAGATGCTCGGTATGCCACTGAACCTGGTCGCCCGACTCGGGGGCGGGCTTTGATCATGCGCGCATGCAAAACCCGTCCTGATGACCGAATCCCCAGGGTCTCGACTCAAGCGCAGGGAGGCATTGGCCGGGTGCATGGACTGGGAAATCGCACGAGGGGCAGTGTCTCAAAGATGCAGAGCCTCACGACAGCCGAGACTCACATATTCAGGGTCGTTTTGGGTGATGACTGCGCTGACCAGGCCACAGACCGAGACAAGCTGGTACGGCGACGGAATCGACGGAATCGAGAAGAATTGCACGCCTGCCGAGCTGTCTTTGAAGGGATTGATGTCTCCAAAGAACTGCAGCTTGATTTGCGCATTCAGTTCGCCACGGACGCCTCTGAGAGTATCGAATCTGAATCGCATGTTGGCCATGCACCAGGGAGTGAGCTCGAGCTTGTCGGATGAAAGAAGGGACACAGAGCGCTACAAAGACAACACTTGACAGACCGCCCTGCGTTCGCGCGCAACGCAACATGCCACTGCGCGGCTGAAAGGCGGAGACGAGCGACACCTTACATCGGAAACCAGCCCGAAATGCAGGAGTTGGAGTCCCAGCTCAGCAGTGGATTCAGGTCGATAAACACGGTTCCAATGGCGTCGTTGTAAGTGATTTGATCGTAATCCATCACCTTGATTTCGAGCGGCTCGTTCTGAAGATCGGCATCGTCGCTGATTTCCTGGTGTCGATTCAAAACGCAGTCGATTGGCAATCGAGTAACTACAGGCCGATCGGGCCAGTGTCGTTGAGATTCATAGGCACACCTGAGGCCAGCAGCAGCCCCAGGAGCCAGCAGCCAAGCCAGCAGACAGAAGAACCCAGGATATGAAGGAATGGGGCAAGCCACCATCGTTCCTCCTCCTACTACCTACAAATCGAAAATCCTTCTCCCACACCGGGTTGAGGGTTCGTCGGCAGATGCTGGTCTTCTGGACCTCAAGATCTGAAAACTTGATCTCCACGAATGCATCTTGGGATCGACGTGCACAAGCAAGTCGAGTTACAGAGCTACGGTGAGCCGACGAATCATGAACACAACCAGAGCGCTCGTGTGGATGCTGGGAGTGTTGGTGATGCTGGTGCCGTTGCTACTGGTGCCGCTGGCTTCTTTCGATGGGATACCTGTCAGCTCGGTCGCCCGGTCCATGACTGGGAGATTGCGTGCCGAGACGATTCGGACTTTTAAGATGCACGGCTGGGAAGGGAAGCGGGGTCGACGTCAGCACCGAGACCACCACGAGCATCAGCCGGGTCTGGGGATAAGAGGGAGGTGGAGAGATGCAGGCGCTCACCATGGCTGCGTTTGAACAGAGCAGTCCAATGGAGTAGTTGGATCGAATGCCCAAGCGCCAGGATGGCCGAGGCAGATCGAGGAAGAGCCAAGGGCAGCGCCGGAAGAAGCCCAGAGCAGCAAAGGCCCGGATCCGGATGGGCGCGGCGTGGCTGGGTTGGCCCGCGACTTGCCGACATGGCCGATGGACTGTCCCTGGCCGGCAGCATCGACGCTGCCGACATTGTGCTCGTCCAGCAACACCAGTGCTGCCAGGGCCATGCATGGTCGGTTGCGCTGTATCCCCGGCGATAGGGTCACCGACTCGGCTCGCTGGTGGCCGTCGTGCTGCTCGGGCAGTGATTCACGATGACCCGCCATCCAAAGCTCGCGTCCTGCTCGTTCGTTGTCCTGCTCGTTCGTTGTCCTGCTTGCTCGCTGTCTTGCCTGTCGTCCTGTTCATTCTTCGCTGACGTCGTCGCTCCTGGAGCACCTCGCTTGGCTTGTCTGTAAGTTCTGGTGAGCATTCTTCACAACCATTGTCCGCGGCGCTGACTTGGTCGGCTGGTCCTGCCGCCGCTTCATTCACACATCCGTGCCATCCGTCCTGTTCAAAGGAAACGACCATGTCCGGCACAACCAACCCCCCGCAGAATGCCTCTTCTGCTCCTCACCACGAGAAGCAAAGCGTCATAGCCTCTTTCATCCAGGTCCTTGCCGGCGGGACGCTGGCGGGTTTCCTGACCGAGCTCGTTCTGTATCCGGTCGAAGGCCCTCTTGTCGACCAAAAGCCCATCCAGGTCCAGCCGACAGGCTCGGCGGCCTCTGCTTCGCCTGCCCAAAAGCCTACAATGCTCCGGAGCCCTATGGCAGCACTGCGGTACCATCTGGGCATTAGCCCGAGCATCTCGCTCTCGTCCATGTCGCTTTCGATCCTCAAGACCTGCGCCGTTCGAGCACCGGGAACAGGCCTGCTCATGGCCTCATACGAGTTTGCAAGAGAGTCGTTCGAGCACCAGCTCCGGCGCACCGGCTGGGTTGGCTATGGATGGGCTGTGGCATTCTATGCCGGCCTTGGAGCCACCTTGGTTGAGGCCACGCTCCTTGCTCCCATGGTTTCGATCCGGGAAGCCCTCGACCTGGCAAAAGGTTCGTTGCTTCATTGCCTGTGGCTGCCTCGCACCGGATCGCATCGCATGCTCTCTCTTACCCCAGCGCTTCCTTCTGTGCTCGCGCAGAGTCTGGGTCGGCAAAGACAGGTGTCCAGGTCGCAGTGTCGGCTTGTGGCCCGCTCCCTCTTATGCGGCAGTTCTCGCACATCGTCGTCACCACAGCCCCGTTCGTCTCGATGTACTACGGATTCACCGACCGATATATTGCCATGCTCAAATCCAAGTACCGCTCTGATTTACCTCCCTCATTCTACAATGTCGTTGGCGGAACCCTGGGCGGCGTCACCGCTATCTTGATTGCCACGCCGCTCGAGTTTCTTCGGCAGAGACTCATAACCGAGTGGAACATGATGCGGCACACCGCCGAGGTGGTTTCCAAGGAAGGCACTTCCAGTGCCAAAGCCATTATCCAAGAGCGCTGCCGCCAGGAAATGCGCTTCAAGATTTTGCACCAGACGCCCCGATTTGCGTTTCGCCGGGCCTTTTACGGCACCGTCAAGGGCGCCGTCTTCAAAATGGCCAAGAGAACTATCCGTCGTATTTTGTAGCCGTCGACACTTCCAAGGCAGCGCGGGACATCATGCAGATTTCAGAATACAGCCTGTTGGAACCAAACGGGACAGTATGTCACTGAGGATCCTTCTCATTTTGTTGGTTTGGGGAGGGGGTCGCAGTATTGGATACATCCAGCCTCCTGTGGCAATGATTGACTGGTATGGTATGATCATGTTCTGAGAAGCATTGATAAGGCGATGCATAAGTATGGTGCACGCATTGTAAGAGCTGAACAGCTCTGTGGGCGATCGACGGGGTGTGTATTCAAGATCCAGAAAGTAACATCAGCTGCACCATCTGCACCGGCTGACGATCATAGCCAACGCACAGTGTCCCTTTCCAACACAGCATCGATCAAAACTAGGGCCCTGGCTATTCCGAATACGAATCAAAATGCTCTGTACTTTGATTGTATCCCTTCACCTCGCTGGCTCAAGCTGGTACTTTCCCACGCATCCATTTGCTTGGCTCGCGATGCGAGATGCTGCACTGCATCATGATGCCATCTGCATCATGATACCATCCGCACAGGACGACCTGGAGGCGGACTGTGCCTTTGCTATTCAAAGCATTTTGTTGGAGTGCCTCGGATCTTGTTGGGCTGGTAGCTGGTCCACTCCACAGGCGTCACATCATCCACGCTGTGAGCATCTGTCAGCGGCTCCTCGACCGCAGCCTCGGCCAGAAGCGTCGCGGAGCTCGCCGGGACTTTGGCTCCTTTGGCCTTGAACTTGAACTGCTTCCCTCCAAAGAACGAGCCAACGGAGCCTCGCGCCGCGACTCCATCCTCGCCGCCGTGGTCGACGCTTCGAACGAATGCTTGGTCGCCCGGTCCTCCCAGCCTCCGTGGAGCACGGGTGCTGCTGTTGTGGTGATCTGTGCCTGCGTCTTCAGCCGTGGCATTTACTCCGGGCATCATGCCTAAGAGATTGCCGATGCTAAGTTTGCGCTGGAGAAGCGGCTGGGGAGTACTCCTATGGGCTGACTCTGCGCTAGTCGGGATTGGCTGCTGCAACGGACTCGCACCAGGCTCCAGGGAATGGGTCTCAACCAGAGCTCTTTCCAGCGGACTGTGCTGGGAGGGCGGGATGCCTTCTCGCCGACCAAAGAGCTCCTTTCCAATCGCATAAATCTCCGAGATGTTCTGCGAGATGCTGCTCGATCGCTTGGGCCGCGGCGTCGAGCTGGGCTTGAAGAGTTTGGGAGGCTCGGCGGACTGCACAAGACCGCTCGCCAGATCACTGTGCCCCGATGGGCTGACCGAGATTGATTCTCTCAAAGTTACGTCCGAGAATCGGTTCTCCAGCTTCGGCTGGCTGGAGCCGGGGATGCCCTCGTGCTTGGCAGTCTGGTCCAGCATGCTCTGAAGCACATTGCAGCGCTCTGTTGCTTCCTCTTTCTCGAGCATCAGTCTCTCGATCTGGGCTTCCAAACGATGGACATCTGCCTGGATGGTCTTGACACACCGAGTGGCCTCCTCTAGTCTCATTTCCTTCTTGGCATTCTCGAGCAGCAGCATCGAGTTTCGGGACTGGAGCTCAGCAACCTTTGCCAGCAACTCGTCGTGCTCGTCGGTGTCGGCATGCCGAGCGCCAGCCTCAGAGTCAGTCCTGGCTTGCGCACGCTGGTGAGGCTCCTCGATCAGGGCTGTCTCGAGAGCCGAGAGCTTTTGCTGAATGTCACGGCTCGGGGGCGAGTGAGACCTGTTTTCCGATCGAACAGGACGGTGCTTCCTTGGGCTTTCCTGAGTCCGTGATGCCTGGCCCTGGGGCACTTTGAGGTTCTGGATGAACTGTTCGCCGCGCTGGATTGAGTGGGAAAGCTTGCGGGAGATGGTCTCGGTTTGGGAGTTGAGTGCAGCCGTCGTTGTAGTGACTGCAGTCTGCAACGTATCCACAAAGTCCGCAAGAACAATGCTGCTCATCTTTGGAGCTTTCTCGTGAACAAACGATTTCTGAGAAGCGGCGAATACCCAAGGCATCATCAGTACATGTGTCGCCAGAGAGAGTGTTGCTGCAACCTGGGCCGACTGACTATTCTTGCAGCCGGGACCGTTGTCAACGGCAGATCTGGGCATACGAACCATCTCACTGGACGGATGATATTTGGTCGCTGTGTCGACGAGAGCAACGGGTTCGACAGACTCGATTCCCTGGAGGCAAGTCACTTGGGCGTATGCTGGCGAGAGAGGGTCTATATCTCTCGATTCACACACTCGAGCAGGAGGAGCTGCGAGACGGCAAGAGCGCACAACTGGCTGCGAGGCCGGTGGGTCAGATCAAATCCAGCTCGAGTCTTCGGCGAGTTCTCACAGTCTCGCCAATCGATAGTCCCCCCCCCACCAATCCAGCACGACGATCTTGCGTTGTCGCAAGTCTGACGAGGGCAAGATTCAAGGAAGCACCGTGTGCTTGGCCATGATTGGGGAGGATTGCGTCGCCCGGGCATGGCCGCTTGATAGCGTTCGCAGCCCGGACGAGATGCTGCGGTTTCGAGTGTGTTCTTGCTTCCGAGTCCATCGATATTCGACTGCATGGTCGTGGTGTACGAGTCGATCATCGCCCATGGATATCGACGAGCAGGAACTATGGGCACGCAGGGGCCATGGACATGCAGGAAACAGCAACGACTGGCGGCAACAACGGTCAATGTGCTGATTCAAGGAGACCACATCTCGATGGGGCCGACATTGATGGGCCTGTTCGCAATGGCGGCTCTCAGCCTCAGAGTCTGGATGATCCGGTTGCTTTAGAAGGATGGTATCCTGAAGAACCATCTTCCTCAACCTCAGCTGCTCACAAAACACTTCATTATCTCTCAGCCAAACCAGTGCTCCTCCGCATGCAGAGACAAACCCATGGATATCCAACAGTGGCTGCTATTGGCAATCGACTCAGGATGTTCTGCCCCACTATGGATGTGGTCAATCCGGCTGCGGCTTCCTTTCATTAAAAGGCAGTGCGGTGGTGCGTCACACCGTCGTCACAGAGAGTCGAGATGGCAGACATGCCATGAGATTCTGGCTCAGTCGCCAAACCCAGCAGCCGATCTTCCCAGCGCATGCCTGGACTTCACAGAAATCCCTGTGGGTAATTTGGTTGATGAAGGGGTCGGCGATGCTCAAGATCGGAGCTCGACAAACGATTTGGGAAAGATCCCGGTCTTGCCCCGGAGCTCTCCGCGATACCAGTTGTCGTCGACTTGATTGTTCGAGGGCAAAGCGGTGTGAGTACAGGAAGACAGGAAGACAAGATGTAGGTGAGCACGCTAATGGCTAGTGGATGTAGGTCATCGCCCCGACTGAAACCGCAGCTTGTGCAAGGACGTCGAGCAGACGAACGTACCATCCTCGACAATCGTGATAAAGTCGCCTACTCGGAACGGCAAGTCGCCCGTCTCTGTTGTCTCAAAGTCGGAGATGGCGATGGCCAGGCGCTTTTGCGGTGCGCTTGAGGCGGTCTTGCGAAGGCCAAGGCTGTTGATCTGCGAATTGACATTCGAGCTCACGCTCTGGGACACACTTGCGCTCGTTGCAGCACCAACCTGGCTGCCAACAAACTTGCCGACTCCGGCAGTGTACTGGCCAGCGCCCTTGATTCCCAGGTGCCCCATCCTTTCGTTGAGTCCAACGGTGACGCTCTCGGAGACTGCGGCCCCAGCTGCAGCCCCGGCTGTCCGACCGATGGCGCTCGAGACGTTATTGATCCGGTCGTCAAGGTTCGGGCTCTTGGCGGCCGAGGTCGGCTGGCGCGAAGGCAGCGGCGGTGGAGCACCAGCGCCAGCACTGGCACCGGCACCGGCGATTGCGCTGTCGCCGGTTCGCTTCGGTAGAGCCGAGGAACCACTCGGGGCACGGCTATGGGACTGGCCGGAGCGGGTGACTGCGGCATCGAGGTTGAGAGGCAGGCGGTGCGAATCAAAGGTATCCAGGATCAAATTCAGTGTGCTCTCGGCGATCCACTGATTCTTGAGCAGCGCTTTGGCGCAACACAGGCGTGAGGGGAATGGTGTCAGCCAGGAAGAGGTTTGCAGCAGGGCAGGCTCTGCAGGCTGGCAAGGGGACGGAATAGAGATGCCTGCTGCTGCTGTTGTTGTTGCTGCTGCTGCATCGATGGCCGAGCAATGACAATTGTCGCTGTGATGCTGCACTGCCGGTTCGCTATCGGCAAGCCAGCACGTCCAGTACGTCCAGGCCGCCCAGAAACTTGGGGTTGCGCTTACCCGTAAGACTGAGAGAGAAGTGGTCCAGAACATGGTCCTGGAACTCGTGGTTGGTTGGATCGGCTCGGAAGTTCTCGGCGGTGGGCTTCTTGCCGATGAAGGCCGACACGCTCGACGTCAGTTTCTTGCCGAGACCGGACATGTTGGTGGACGCTGGATGAGGGTGGGTGGGATGCGAGATGCAAGGGCAGGTGCAGGGGGTGAGGAGATGGAGGCAGAGCAAGTCCAAGGGCATGGCGAGGCCGGTTTCCGCGGCGAGAAGGGAGAAGGTGCTCTCGCCGTGCGTCGCCACCCGCCCCACGACTGAGTGCTTCATTGCCAAGGAACCGACTCGACACAGCGCAGGAGCCTCAAGCGACAGGGCCCAGAGGCCTGGGTGGTCGTCACGAGCGACGAATGTGTGTATTTGGGCCCCCAAAAAGCGACATTCAAAAGCAAGCCGGGGTGGGTTCCGTCTCATGTGGGCCCCGTCTAATGCTTCGTCAGGAAGTATACTGCCAGACCCACTCCCACAATCAGGAGGATCAGGCACACGATGATGATGCACATTTTCTGTCCATCAGATGCAGCAGGGAGCCGAGCGTGTGGTGATGGCATTTCCATAGAGAGACATGGTCAGTGCGGGATCGGAGGCAGACGGGACCATGCTGGTCTCGGGTTGTTGGTGGAGCACGGCATCCCAGGTCCGGTGTCGCAGCAGCTCTGCTACTTCCACCCACCTTTCTGGATTTCTTCTGCAGCTTTACGGCCTGGTGCAAAGCCTTGGCTCCTTGGTCCGTATGGTCCTTGGCATTTTCCACGTGGATTTCGATTTGGTTGAGCATCTCGCCCTGTGCTTGGACGAGCACAGCCATGTCGATAAACAGTTGTTGTAGTTCCTATGCGACCATGGCGAGAAGATACCATCAGATATTGCATAGCGCGGCTGCAGCTGCAAGCGCATGGGGATCGGGGGAGTTTGCTGGTCGCAGCCAGGCTCGCTGTAACATGAGGCATACAATGATGGACTGCTCGATCTTTTGAATGTCGTGGTGTCGATCTTGAATGTCTTGCAAGGCCTTCTTTGCTTCTGCTTTCTGTCCGCTGTGCATGATCTAACATGACGTAGGATGAGAATGCTCGCTCGTTTTGGCATCGTGGCTGCTGCCGCTGAGAGCCGGGGAGCAGACCATACCTGCTGGGCAAAGACGGGGCCACTGTCTCCGTCCATCATTTTTTCGACTTCTTCTGGTGTCGCCCCGGGTTTCACTGTTGTATTCCGATGTCAGATGGTGTGGTCATATTGTCCATATTCCCCACAAGTCACGCAAGCCGCACAGGCTTGCCGGAGAGACTTGCCTATCAGGAACTGGCGCTGCATTCGTTGCTTGTATTTGTCCTGGTACTTCTTCTGAATGTCCTTGTATTCGGTCATGACATCGAGGAACTTTTTGGCCGCTGCAGAGTGCTGTTATGGATGTGTACCGGTCGGCCGCCATTCGATCAGTCCCAAGTGTCTCTGCAGAGATTCAAGCGCTCTGTACTCTGTCCTGCCTTTGCTCTCGCCCTCTCTGCACTCCCTCCGCCCTGCATCTGCGTTCCAAAGGGCAGGTGCGTCGGTTTAGAGCGAGTAGGCTCTTGTGACGGAGCGCACCTGGTTGATGCGAATGCGGATGTCGCTTGATCCGGGATTCTCGACCGACAATTTTTTGTTCTTCGCATCCATCGCTGGGGTATTGAGGCACCGATATCAGCCGTATGATTGCGGTGGCCAGCAGCAGCCCGGTCTGCCCACGGAGCGACCGAGAACATCCAAGACCGAGAACATCCAAGACCGCATACATGCTTACTGACCTTTTAGTCTGTTCCGGATATCGGCCGCCAGCTTGTTGGTCTTGTCCATCCATTTGTCGAGCTCCTTGGCGTTTTCTAAACAAGAGCGGCGGTCATAAGTATGAGACAGCTGGTCTCCCGGAAGAATATACCCGCCGTCCGGCATAGCTCCGGTCAGATCATATCGAGCGCTTTGCGCCAACACGCACGGGTACTCTGATCTTCGCTGATGGTGTTCAAGGCCTTGTTGTGGAGCGCCTCGATCTGCTCGATGTTGTTCTTGATTGTCGCTATTGAGTCATTGATTCCGCCGATCTGGCGGATACATGTGGAAGCCATGGTGAGCACTTCTACGGACTCTCCATATGCTCCGTGCGAAAGGGTCGCGATGCTCGTCGCTCTGTGTGAGGTACCTCGTCGAAGAAGCCGGTCATGACATTATCCTGTGGCTCTCCACCTTGGGCTCCTTTCTTCTCTTTGTCCTTTTTCTCTGCCTTTTCGGCCTTCTCAGGCTTTTCGCCGGCTGGTGCTTTACTACCACCATCGGGAGGGTTCTGCAGGAGATTAAATCACGCAAGCAGCACATGAGAACTCGTCCCGCGAATCCCGGCTTTGAGTGCGCCTGTCCGAACAAATTGCAGCTGCCTGTTGCCGATGCGTCTCAACCGGATACGACTCCTCCATACATTGTTGAGGTCTTGAAGTCGGTCCCTCATTTCGAGATTTGTGCTGGTCAAACCACAGTGTATTGATGGGCGTGATAGTTAATGAGATCCGACCCAACGAGTCCACTGGATGGAGCGCGAGGGAGCCGAGAATCGATAGATTTGATGAGGAGGGCTTTTTGGCTGCCCAGCGGACTCATTTTGCAACGGGACACTTCAACGCACGGATTGACTGGTGTTGATCGGCTGCCTAGCTGAATGACGTCGATTGGCGCTCCGGCCTCAATATAATCCGCTTGCTGAGGCTATCCAACGACTCTGCTGTTTGCCCTGTGCCTTCCCCCTCATCCCGGGCATGACCTCCTGCTCTGACTTGTAGCGACTCGTTTGCCCTCGTCGGACTCGTTCACCCCAGACATCTCCACGCTCACACAGGACACTACAGACCAAATCCCAGGGAGGAATGGCCAGGGTCCCGCCTCGGATCCACGGCGGTGAAGGATCCATCTTGGGCAGCCGGTGTCGGCACCACAATACCCACACGGCCCGAAGTCACCGACCTATCTCTCTGGGGAGTGGAGCCAAAACTCAATGGGTGCAGTCATTTTCCGACATCAGCGACACAAGTCTGCCGAACTTCAGTAGGCTCCAGTGGGCAAGCCATGCGATTGTTTCCCGTCCTGGTTGGCAATCTCTTTGTGTGGTGCATTCACTCGACGTGGGAGTGTGATGCATTCACTCGACTCTCGGGACAGTTCCATGGTGTATTGATATCAAGATGCTCGGCCTTATCGAGTCGCTTGGCTTCCCGGCACTGTGAGCACACCTGGAGATCGAGTCGCTTGAATCGACGTTGCCTGGCTGGTGCCTTTCGCTTGCGGGGAGCCATCTGAGCGAGAAAGCGTCCTTGATTCAGATCCAGAAACACATCACTGAACGGTCATGGCGAGCGTGCGATGTGTTGAGGGAGAACATTCATCAAAATCCGGTGTGTCCTATTTCATTGAATCGGATGTAATTCCCGATCAGCGAGGTTGGATGGGCTTTGTGTCCTGGGCCGTGGACTCAACGGAGCCTGGACATGGGAGAGTTTCCCGGCGAGATAGAGCCATCTGCTTTGATTTAAACGGTTCGATGTATTAGCTCTCCTGGAGTTGGCGTTGCACTGCTTGCAAATAGCAACGTCATTGTCACAATTGATGCGGCTGTATCGATGCCAAGCAACTCAGTGATCCGCCAAGTCAGTCGCGCCGGCCACAGATGACTTGATAGTCGACAACCGTTAAAAGTCAAGTTGCTTTGCCTTCATGTCAAGACCGGCCGCACATCCTGTCGAAGGGACGATGTTTCTGGAGACGCTTCTGGCGACTGATGAAGTCTGATTCTTTGGGAGATCCGTGCCTTTCGACTTGGATTCCCGTTCAGCAGAGTCCCCAGCTTCAGGTGGGAGGTGGAATGGTTCAATTAAAAACCGTTTTCGGCGCACCTTGAATGCCAGGGAGCGCACTTGTGATTCTGGGAAGCGGGTCGAGTGTGATAGCGAGTTGAGTCGGGGGAGGCGGATGGCATGGATAAAGCCATGATAGTCCGATGTGTAGGCCGTGTTTATAGTTTTGGGTGAACCTAGAGAAGGGGGAAGTATGATAGTGGTGCGCTGGATTAGAAGTGGTTGTTCCGATGTGCAGAGCAATATCCAAGGGCCCACAGTCACTTGGCAGCGAAATACGAGCCCCCGTAAGGCAAGCATAAGCTTGAGACGCACCAGCAAAGGACTCGATTTCGATGACGGCATCACACATGTGTTCGATCCGGCGGATGACTGGGTTGGAGGTGACGCCATGATAGTCATTGTAGAGATGTGCGGGGATGGTGACGAAAGCGGTCGAGAAGGAGAATCGTACGAGTCCCCGAAGACGATGGAAAAACCGAAACATAGCCTGCGATGGTGGGCTCGTTAGCACCAGGCGAGCAGATCACTCCAAGGGTGTGATCATCATCCCATCGCATGAGGTTACTTGCCTGTGATGTCATCGTACAATCCTCCATTCCCCACATTGGGGAGCCGATTGAATGAACCCCGATTCGGAGGGCATCTCGAATCCCGGATGGCGGAGGTGGGGCGGTTGGCCTGAGGAGTGGACGACGATGTTGCCGTGATGAGACGGACATGCACAAAGGCCTATGCGAGGCTGAAGTCTTTGAAGGTCAAGGTGGAAGCGGCGAAGGATGGGCTACCACTCATAAATGAGCAAGGTGATATCAGAAGTGCCAGAAAAGATGAAGGGCGAGTCACACATGAATGTGGCAGAGACTCCTTGACCATACCGGAATCCTCCAGATTCGATAAGGTCCTGGATGTTGTTCAGCAGTCTGTCGTATTTGGACGTGACATCGTCATTGGCCCAGAGACCAACATCAAGCATAGTCATTTGGTTGTGCATATCTCCGAGCAGCTGGGGTGACATTTTCCTGGTCAGATCGAATGTTGCGCAGTAGGGTGGATCCGGAAGCCTGCCAGAGGGAGAGGGCTGAGGCGCTGGAGGGACGAACATGGAAAGATGGTCGTAGGGGCGAAAAGATAGAGGGTACGAAACGATTAGAGAGGGCTCGTTTGGGGCAGATCTGGCGGATCAGTTGAGAGCAGGACGGACCTGCAGAAGGGCTCGATGCAGGACTGCGGGGTGTGCCTGCTGATGGAGGGGCCTGTCCTTGATATCGCCAGGCAATCTTGAGCTTGGAGTCTCCGTCGGAAGCCTGGAGGGAAGGGGCATTTTTGATCTCGCCATCTCTGGAGGTGAGGACGGCATCATCTTCTCCACCCTTGCCCTCAGAGACACCCATGAGACCCTTCCGGAAGGTTTCGGTGCCGTTTTCGTCGGCGGTAGCAAGGAAGATCGGATGGCGAGCGACGATGCCTTGGGCGAGAAAATACTTGAGGAGAATGTCGGAATAGCCGGTGTATCGATCTTCTTTGATGAGGATAACAGATCCGATGGGCAAACCGCCGCCCAAGACGTCGTCGAGCGACGGGCACCCGGTCGAAAGGAGAACCTGGCCGTTGTGAGCGGAGACCTTGGTGGCAAGGGGGAGTCGAGCCTGGACCGGGGGGCAAGCGGCGCTTGAATGAACTCATGAGGAAGGCAGGAGGACGACAGTGTTGAAGGGCCGATCAAGGATGATGTTGCGATCTGAGGAGCGGAGCCAAGAGAAAGCTGACCAGACGAGACCAGATCGGATGGAACAAGGGCGAGGCGGAGGGGACACTGCTACACACGGACCATCAACGACTGGGTGACGATCGATAGGCAGTGAAAGTCAAAGAGTGGATGGTGGATGGCAGTCAGGTTGGTGACTGCAAATGCCTCGGATACTATCTATCCATGTGCAGAGATGGACGGCGCAACTGTTGCTGGCACAGATGCGATGAATATACGATGCAGCCTTGGCTGTGCCCTGGTTGCACCCTGGATGCACCCTCGACACATTCCCTTGGAATCTTCCTCCTCCCTCTCCACCACAGTGCCAGCGGCGTCGCTGAAGATCGCAACGATCCAACATGGCATATCTAGAACTGCATATTGATCCTCTGCACCCATTGTGCTCGAGATGAACGTGAGGAAACCAACCAACAGAAAAGAGCGAACAAGATCAAAATGAACTGAAGATGCAGCAGGTGTCGTCAAATTGAGCCGAAGATGCGGCAGGTGTTTGCGAAGCTGGTGCTGGAATGCTCGCAAATGCGTGCCAGCCAAGAAAACGAAGAGCGTGCAGATGTGGAGGATGAATGCGCTGTAAAGTGGTGTGGTCTGCAGATGATGAATGTGCTGTCAAATGGCATGAGATAAGACGTGTCCATGAAGAAGGAATGTGTCCGTCAAGATAATGGCGATTCTCGGGATAATGGCGGTTCTCGGGATAATGGCGATTCTCAAGATAATACCGCGACGGATCCGAGACACCAGAAGACAGGGCCAAGGCTTGCCATAGCGCCTCGAATGTGTCTTTCGTTCCAAGCCATCCGACCCTGACACAAGATCCAGGCTCTTAATGGGTTCGGGTGCGCGCGCCCGTCGACTAAGAGGAAGGCGGTTCAGTAGAGGGTGCGTTCAACAGCGGGTGCAGTTCAGTAGCGGTTGCGGTCCGAAAGCGGTTGCGGTTCGATAGTGGACGTGTTCCAGACAAGCAACGAATCAAGCAGCAGGTGAATCGAGCAATGGTTAGCCTATTGTTTTCAGAGACCCCATAGCGCGGTGCTCTGACACAAATCATACAGTGGCATGCTAATGTTCTGTGGTCAGGCCACCCGGGATTTGCTTATGAATACACACGCTTACCAGGCGGGTTGGGAACATCATCAATCCCTGGATCTCGCGTGTATACTTGACTGGCTTCACTGGAAGACCCCATAACAGCATTCGTTAGTGTCCAAGACGAGACCCGGTTGCTGTCCAGTGATGCTGGACCGGCTCATCGCGCACCACCGGTGGGCGATAGCGCAACATAGCCACAAAACAGCGATCGAATACGCCCGACACAATCCTTCGCCTCCATGTTACGTCAATTGCCAGCAGTAGTTGGGGAGGGGCCGAGTGCTTGTCAGTAGAGCCACAAATGCCTCGTGCTCATACGGTTTGGTGGCATCATAAAGCTCTCGAGTCCCTCTCATTCAAAGAACAAAGCGTTTGGACACCAAGACTATCCATAACAAGTCGCTTACGCTTCTGCAGGATGTATCTTCGAAGTGCAGAATAGAGAAACAGGTAGATTCCAAATCCAACAGCTACCAGAAGCCACTTTGGGTTGAGAAGGTAGGAGCTGTTCATAAAGACTATAGCGGTGGGTATTGCAGAGTGAGTATGGTTGATGATAAGCAAGATAGCCGAGACCGACCACAAGCATAGTTTGCACCACGCACACCACGCACACTTCTGTATCAGCCATCGTGCCAAACACACATCATCAACTGACTCATCAGGGTTTGTTCGAACAAATCATGCGCATATAATAAACAGCGCCATTTCAGGTAGCGTTGCTATCTCCCCTCCCCTCCTGGACCGCGGGTAGCTGCAACAGGCAACTTACTGTTGAGGGGTGGAACATAGACAACAATGGCTCCAACAGCGAGCGCGCCTAGAACACACCACCATGTCGATGTGTTTCTATTATTGAAGAGTTTGAATGCTGAATTAATCAAAAGTCCCGTGGTATGCAAGAGTCTTATGTGTCACATCGGCATGCCACATCGTCATGCCACATCGTCATGCCACATCGTCATGTCACATCGTCATGCCACGTCGCCATGTGATATGCCAACCACTCCCCCCTGATGCTCCTGGACATCGTGCACACAGGGTGTTGATGTCCAGGTGGAGCCCGCAGGCTCCAACTAGAGCTCGTAGTTCAAGGAGAGCCCGCAGACTCCAAGTAGAGCTTATAGTCCAAGGCGAGCCCACAGACTCCAAGAGGGCTCATAGTGGTCAAGGAGAGCTCAGAGCCAAAACTTGTTCGCAACGCCAATTAGCTTGTCACAATAGCACTCACTTGAGCATATGCATCCCAAATGGAAGCTTCAGCTTTGCTTTGCAGGCAAATAGATTGAAGACTTGGGTAATGAGAACCGCAGCATAGTACATTGACTGGCCTCTTCTGATGATCTCATATTGCTGGCTACCGGTCTGCAAAATAACAATGCAAAGCGTTAGAAAAACCGTCTGGAACAGCGTAGTTGACAATTTTCATGAATGAAATATCCATAAATATCAACTCAATCGTCCATGCGCTTGAGTGAAGGCGTATTTAGTGGATAGCTATTTCAACTCGACGATACTCGTGGCCCTTGGAAGCGATTATGCTCCTTCAATGCATATCTATGTCAAAGCAGTGACAGGGAGAGACCAAACCAGCCATGATCGACAACACCGCGATTCCTATATTATTGATTGCATTAAAAATCAAAAAAAAAGTATGTGAATTTGACTTACCAAGGTGACCCCATTCAGCAAAGTGTATGGCGGAGAGTTGTTATTGTTGAAGTACCCGTTGTTGGCTACGGCGGAATTACGAAGGTCGGCAGGAGTAACTCCAGCCTCGTTCATGACCAAGAAGAATCCCACAAGAGCTGCGATGGTTTCGATAAAACCAGCTTCAATGTACGCCCATGAGAGGGCTTCTCCGTCGACCAGGATTTCCCCTTCGTCCTCGTTCATATCCCGAAGCCACTTTCCGTTGAATACCGACTTGATTTTGTAAAGAGCCATACCACCCTAAACGCATGCACTGTTAATAGATGCTCATTTCCGCGATCTTCAAACGCTTTGGTGTATAGCAAATGACATCTTCAGCGTCTTTGGTACTGTTTCCTGCATCCAGGTTACGAGCGAAGGGGTGGGGTGGGGTAACTCCACATTATGCGAGCTTATATCCGCGAGCTATTTCCAATGGAGGTAACAACAAACCTTCGATATAACACGTTGCTCGGCCATAGGGTTTGCGGGATCAACAGGCTCCACTAACTTGGCCTGCTGAAGCTCCCTGATGTTGCGGCGCAAGCGCTCCACGGATCCCACAGTGACAGGCTTTCTAGGCGGCATCAGCATCAGCCCACCTTCGGTACCCTCTGGCGGCTCCCAGGCATATGAAAGCGATGCAAAGAGCTCAAATCCAAGATCGACAAACAAGATTTGAATCGAGCTGATGGCCGCAGGCAGTGGAACCACAACCGACAGGAGGAAAGGAATAACTTCGGGAATGATGTGCGTAACTGTGTACTGGATGCTCTTCTTCAGGTTGGCAAAAATCAACCGCCCTTCTGCAATTCCTGCAACAGTAGACGCAAAGTTGTCGTCCAAAAGAATCATGGCGGCAGCTTCTTTTGAGACATCTGACCCAGAGAGATTCATCGCAATTCCCAGATCGGCTTTCTTGAGCGCAGGAGAGTCGTTCACGCCGTCTCCCGTGACTCCAACAATATGTCCAAGAGCCTGAGCTCTCTTTACAATTTCAAGCTTGTTTTTGGGTGAGGTGCGCGCGAAAATAATTTCGTCCTTCTGAAAGATATTATCCCAATCTGCGTCTGTAAGCTCCGAGATCTGCTCTCCATGAATGACAATTGCGTTGTATTCTTCTGGGGCGATAGATTTGACTGGCCGTCCTGTACGTTTTGCAACGCGCTCCTTGGTTTCACCGAGCATTAAGTTGATTTTTCGTCCAATGGCCTCGGCTGTAAGTGGATGGTCTCCGGTAACCATCATGACTTTTACGCCAGCCATGCGGCATTTTCCGATCGCCTCGCGGACTCCATGTTTGGGAGGATCTTCCAAGCTCACTAGCCCGACAAAAGTCAGTCCATCAGTCGGGAAGTTCTTCTTTTCCTTGTCGAATGAAAACCCCTTTGGATACTGGCTCTCAGACAGAGTGAGTTGCGCAAACGCGAGCACACGATGGCCCTTTCCAGCCATATATTCGTATGATTGATCAAAGGCCTTTCTGTGGTCTTCTGTTAGTTCAATCGCTTGTCCGCCGACGAGAATCGTAGAGCATACTCGCAGTACTCGCTCTGGAGCACCCTTCATCATGATCGTGAATATACCTTGGGGATGGGGCTTTTCGTTGATGGATAAATGCCATTTGGTCTCTGAGTTGAAAGGAAGTTCGCAGACTTTTGGATATTCATCCAGAATAGTGTCAATATTGGGGAGTTTTGCCGCCGAAAAGCGCAAAAGGCCAGATTCGGTGGCGTCGCCACTGATTTCGCGCTTGGGGATGGGCAGGTCGGTTCGGTTGAAGCGTGCTCTGGTACACATGGCCGATATCTGGGCGATCTCGAGAACACCACTGGCTTTTTCGTCTAAGCAGACCTCAGTCTCGTCCAGTCCGTCCGAGGTGGTTGCAACGTTAAAGAGCGTCGAGTTGGTCCATAGGTTTGTCACCGTCATCTGGTTTCGGGTGAGCGTTCCAGTCTTGTCGGTTGCCAGAAGGGTGATGGCGCCCAATGTTTCGACTCCTTGCAAGTCCTTGACGAGTGCATTTTTATCAGCCATTCGTTTCGCAGCGATTGTAAGAAGCATTGAGATTGTCGCATAGAGGCCCTCAGGGACCCAAGCGACCAAGGTTCCGATTCCCGAGTTGAGACCAAAGTTGACACCGCCCTCCACACACCCGACGATGAAGAAAATGACGGCCGTGGTTATAGCAAAGACTGTGATGATCTTGACAAAGATGTCGATTTCTTCGGATAGAGGAGATCGCCGTTTCTTTTCGTTGGATGTGAGGTTGGCAATCTGACCAAGCACCGTATTGTCGCCAGTTCGTATAACGATACCAAAGCCTTCACCGGCCACAGCCATCGAGCCGTTGAAAATCAAGTTGGTTGCTTCCAGCGGGTTGCTGTGTGTGTTTGTTGTCTTTCGCTCTTGCGGATCGGACTCGCCGGTAAGCGATGAGTTGTCAACCTTCAAATCCAGGACCCAGAACATTCTGACATCTGCTGGAATCTTGTCGCCCATGCGAACAAATACTACGTCGCCAGGAACAAGATCTGCGGCCGGGATGTTCACGATTTGACCGGCTCGCATTGCATTGCACTTTGATGGAATCATATTCTGCAAAATGTTGAATATGTGAGTGGTTTTGCGACCAGTGAAATGATGCTGATGACTAATTGACCGAGTAGTGAGTATAGTGCATGAACCAACATACTAAAAACGATTCCAGGATTGCGGCACTCTTTTGATGCTGATAAAACTCAATGGCAGCATTGATGAAAGCGACGCCAATCAAAATTCCACCAAGATAAACCTGTGTAATTATCCAAGGTAAATAATTGGTAAATATGGGTCAAATCATAGTAACCACGACTTATTTTTCTATATCCACGCAGTGGCGATGGAGTTTCACTGCTCCTAATTACTTATAGCAGCACGGCTTGTGAGCAATATTGCACAATGAGCCAATGGCAAATTTTATCGATGTCACGGATAGTCCATTATAAGGCTTATAGAGTAACCATCTCCTTTCCTCTATAGACCTGTGATAAAATGTATAATAGCTCGAAAGCAAATTCCGATAGCAAGGCTCTTACGTTGGGGGCATTGTCGATCGGATCGATGATGTATAGAACGTAGGTTGCAACGCCAGCAACAATGAGCATCACATTGAACAGTCCTGCCAACATCTCCAAGTAGCGGATTATTGGGTGCTTTTTCTTGGGTGGAGAGAGCACATTTGGTCCAAACTCTTCGAGTCTCTTCACCACTGTATCGTTGCTGAGACCCTGGGAATTTCTTGGTTTGGTCTCATCGACGCTAGTAGTATAGCGTTCGCAGACCTGAGGCAAGGTCAAATTATGTTCATCCTTGTACAAGCGGGGGCGGGTAGCGTTTTCCGAATATGAAAGTGTATGCACGTTAGCAATCAAGCCAGCCTGTGGCATAACTGCCAAATATAATCGAATAAACAGGTGAATCAAAGGACACTATCGTCATCGGTAGCACTGGAACCACTAAGTGCGGAGATCATTTCAAAATCACAAGCGATTATACTGTACAGTTTCTTGCTGTAAAAGAGTGTAATGTGATTCAAATACAAATAATATATATATATCTAGTAATTCACTGGGTACGATGGTGAATGACAACGCCGAGACGCCGCGACTGGACGAAGCCCAAAAGGGAACAAATCAAAATACGGACGGCTGGCCCCTCCGTGCTGGATTTATAATCAGCAGTAAGAGTCCATAAAGCTATATGGTAGCATATTTGCATGTGCTTATCAACATGTATAGCTACATGAAGATAACGATATACTAAACTAATTGAGTGAATACACGCTCAAGGTTGGGATCTAAGGGCGGTTTATGATATAAACCGACTACGTCTACTTGAAACGCCCATGCCACACGCGATAATATCGCTCAAAATACATGGTGATGAAAGACATAGTGACCAAAGACGTGCTGACAAAGACAGCGACAGAAGACACGAGTGGCATGTATCAACTAGATTCTGGTTACAACGCGGCAAGTATAACTTACAATGTCTGCCTTTTTTTCCGATCCATTTTGGGGGGGTTTCTTTGTCATTACTATACCGTCGGCTTTACTACGGTCACTGGTAAAGGTTTATTGGCATAAATTCAATACGTATCAATATTTTTGCCAGTGTAGTGCGCGGGATCGTATACCTGAAGCGCTGATCAGCTACCTGCTTCTGAGCCGGCGCAAGTCAGGCTAAGCTAAGGCTACTATTCCGTGACTAATCTATATCTAAGTGCTGGTGTCAGAGATACTTTCGCCTGACGGTGCCAGTTACATACCGAATATAGCTAGAGAGATGATCAAAGAGCCTGATAAATGGCGGAAGGAATGTGGAGAAGGGTAGAACGTGAGGAAAGTAAAAAAAGCGAGTGGGGCGTTCTCCCCCTCCCCGCGTTCGCGTCTTATGGTGTTCGTGGTCCTGGTTCACTTCGAGGTCAAGCACAAGCAAGCCCAAAATGGCGCCAATGAATAAAAAGATGAGGTAAGTCTGATGATTTCGATCCATTTCTGGCCACTCGGGTTCTTTTGCGCTCAGATTATGGATCCGCCGATCATGCTGGGTACGTAATCGCCAGATAAAGCGAGCGCGCACAGCTCAAATGCCCACGTATTTAAGCTAATCCAGTGCCGCCGAAACTGAATACCTATGTGGTTGTACAATAAGGCAGCCGATTATTGATCTATTCGGGGTGTAGGCGTGTCGGCGTGTCGCTGGGATGACGTTGTGTTGGGTCGCACGGCGACGTCACCCCCTCCTCGATCCGAATTTCGACCAATCGTACACAAGCAACAAGACGGAGTGACGTTGTTGATCCGTAAACGGGGGCTTACTGTAAATTGTTGGCACGGAGACAAGCTTTGATCGGGAGCTTTCAATCAGGATCAAGCTTGACGAGAGACGGTTCACGAGGGGCAAATCCGGCGAGGGCACTGGCTTGTCTCGCAAGGGAGGTGGGCATGGCGTCGATCTATACTTGCATTCCTCTGTCAATTGGAATTGAATTGGAATTGAATTGGAATTTGAATTGAATTGGAATTGAATTGAGCGCCATCCAAGGAAACGAGCCAATTTCTTGATCTGGCCTGCTCAAAAGCTCGGTTCATGTCTAAAAGCCCTCTATCAACAACGCCATCAGCAGATCGATCGCCACCCCCTGGAGATCAACCCCATGTCTTCAAACGTGTCCCTCCAAGACGAACTTGTCGTCAGCGACCGACACCAACTGTAGTGGTCATCGGCCAATCGCTCGCCATAGATCACCACCCCTGGATCGCTGCCACATGCCGGGACAACAGCAACCCTCAATGGAATTCAAGTTTGATATTCATTCTCAGCAGCGATTTGGCTGATGTCCTCGTGTTTCCTCTGGCAAATGATAATTCAATTCTATGCCTCTTCTATCTGGTTTCGTCGTCTAAGTTTGGCCTCTCACGGATATCCGACCATTGGTTGGCTCGCCGGTCTTCGTGTCATTGGCATGGGATTGTCGCCTGTCGCCTGATTGACTGGTCCTCACCGCGCTGCCCTTCACGCTCTTCGGTGCTGACCCGAATGTTGATGGGTTCATAGTTGAGATTGGCTCAACTGGCTTTCCCCATAGTTTTGATCCTAGCACAAATATTGATGCCCCCATTGTTCCCAAAATATTCATCAATGCACGAAGGGTAAATATTCCACTTGGATCCGAGAAGGAGTAGTTGAGAGGATACAGAACCACAACAACTTGCACCCAGAAGGCGATCTGCAGATTCACCAGAGGTCACAGTGAGTATGGAGGTTTACCGTGCCCTGAATGTTCCCATATTGGGCAAAGTGGGCATGGAGTTGTTTGACATGGCCTCGTCGGGTCGCCACAAACGGCGCCAACGCAAATGCAGCTGCTCAAGGCAGTGCATTCGCTCCATATCCACACAGAGTCGGTAGTTCTGGACGAACGACAAGAGACTGCTCAAGCGGGGATCGACTGGAGCAGGCGGCGGTTGTGCCGTTCTTACCGAGGATCTCAGGTTTTTCCCCTCGTTGTACTGCGACGGAACATTTCGAGTTGAGTGCCCGATCCAGAAGCTGGTCAGGAGGATTGCCATGAATATAAAGAAGATCGAGATCGGGAATGGATCAAAGCTCAGCGTGGTGGAACTTTTGCAGAGCCCAGACGACTCGATGCTGTTCCCGAACGAATCGGTGTTGATGATGGTTCGGATCCACTCCAGGGGCGCCGTAAAGTTCCAAACGAGAATAATGCCCTGGTGTTGCGGTTGTCCCGTGTGTCAAAGGCGTTGCGGGCAGGGGTTGGAAGTGTGTCGTGACGAAATCCATGGTGTCAGTTCGAGCATGCATCCAGGCGAGCATGCATCAATGCGGATACACTCCAGCAGCATCAGCTTGTACCCTTGCAGTCCATCAAGCCCATCCAGCCATCCAACCACAAACCCATCGACACATCCAACCACAAACCCATCCACACGAACATTCGGGCACCCGCCCGCCAACACATACCAACGACACCAGCATCGGAGCAGCCATCGTGAAGAAGAGTTCGTGCGGCCTGAAGCTGATGATCTCGGCCTTGGGGTTCTTGAAGATGCGATAGATGCGCCACATCTTGATGAGCAGTGCGCCAAACATCAGCATCATCGGCAGGACAATCACATATGGCGTCGCCATGCAGGCGGCGTTGAGCGTATTGGCGTCCTGGATGACATTGTCATCCATGCCCATCAGATAATTGCCACACAGGGCGATGCTGGCGCTGAAGCCCATCAGCACCAGAAACGTCGGCGACCCGCCCTTGATTTGGGGCTGTTCACGGTTGAGGATGATGAGGAGGGTGATGCCAAGGGTGATAACCTGGCTGAGGGCCGTGATCAAGAATATAACGATTCGTAGACCCATCGAGATCAGGTGGCGATTCTCGTAGGGAAAGACGGGGTTGAACTGGCCCATGGGCACGATGCCCTGGAAGTACGTGTTCAGCGTGTTGGTGAAGGTGAAGTTCAGGCAGTCGTTGGGACCGATGATGGTGTTGCCGTTGACCTGTGAGTCCCAAATCGGCACGACAAGGGTTGTAAGCACCACGGGCAAGCTGACTCGTCGCTGTGGACGGTGCGGGAGCTGCAGACCTTCTATCCTGAGCAGACTGCTGGCAACGACTCATGCGACACCCCATCGTTACTCATGCGACACTCCATTGTCACTCATCTGCACTACTGCCGCCAGCTTATCTCTGGGTGTTTGGGTCGTGCTGTATCACTTACATCATAAATGGGACCGCAGTACCGGGAGTTGTCCGGGAGCGACTTGAGGCGGGCAACTTCGGCCTGAATGGCTGCCACTTGATTGACGTCGAACCAGCCAGAGATCCCGGTGATGTAAGTAAGGCCGCTGAGCAGGCCAGAGTTGACCATGGCGGTGTCACTGAGCGGCACGCCGTCGATGTAGTTCTGAACGAATGGTCCAAAGATCGTGATCCAGTCAAAGGAAGCTGTCGCCAGAACGCGGTTGCCATAGTCGCCGCTGGGATCGGTGTTTGCGGCAGCGATGTAGGATCCATTTGAGGCTGCATAGGTCGCCGGGGGCGTGAGCGGGCGATTGGGCACAAATCAGCAAAGCTCCATTATCGTTTTGCAGGATGGTGTCACGGAACTGTGTCCATACTCACTGAAGACAGCAACAGGAATGACCGTGTCGGTCTGGTATCCAAGGACCTTGACGCCGTCGGCCAGGAACTGCTGCGAGACTAGATGTAAGGCGTGTGTGAGCTAAGTGCATCGCAAATGAGTGGCCGAAGGATTGCGTGCCCACCTTGGGTTTCGGCAAATGGATAGTAGAATGTGCCGATGCTTCGGGTGATCATTTTCGCTCCAGGAATGGCCTTCTGCAGACCCAAGAGAAACATATTGGCGTGGATCATCGTTCTTGGGACCTCCATTGGAAGTAGATACCCAATTGGGATGTTGCCATTTGCGAAGCTGACGTCCGACCGGCTCTTGGCAAACAGACCAGCAGCGTATCCAGTCAAGTACTTTGCTTCCTCCTGGCGCAAGGAGTACCAGCGCGTGTTGGCCGGGATGGGGTTGATGTTGGAGGTCGTCCAGGTGAGAACCTTGAGGCTGGGAAAGTTCTGGGTCAAGGTCACGGTGAGATTGAGCTGCTGGGAAATGGTCACTCCCAGGATGGCAATGTCGATGGAGTTTTGTTGGATAGTGTCGTGAATGAGCTGGTAGTTGGTGTTGAAGCCAATGTTGAAGAGCGTGTAGATGGATATAGAGCTTCCGAACTGAATCTTGAGGTTATTGAGTCCAACGTTGAGCGAGTGTCCGAAACCAGAGTCTGCGAGGTGCAGCATGGCAGTTCGCTCGGGTTAGTGTCGTAGCCGGACCGCGAGTGCTATCGCAAACGGGCAGAGTAGGGTGTTGAATCAACGGCAGCTATGGGTGGGCTCGCGAACGAGACTGCACCTGTTGGCGGACTCGAGCAAGTCAGCAGGATGTTGATCGGTGGGCGATCTACAAGCATCGTGGATGTGGCGAGTTGTCAGTGGCATGGCAAGCACAAGCAATATGAGTAAAACTACCGACGCCATTTGTAGCGACATCCACGGCCGATACCGATCCAGATACCGAGGATCTGGTCGAATGTGTCGGTGTGCACCATCGCTGCGGATGAGGCTCGATGGACATACATGTGAGAGTGTAGACGAGGCTCAGGTCGTGGAAGGTCTGCTTTCCGTCAAAGGATATGAGGGCCTTGGCCTGCTGCCCCAGAGACACCTGTGCGATGCCAGCGTCGGTGAAGCCTGTGAGGGTGTTGCCACTGAGCTGGGCAGCAATGTCGTAGTAGCTGGAGGCATTGACCACGCTGACGATGCGAATGGCGGGGGATACGTTGGCCAAGGCGAGCAGATTGTTGGGCATAGCGGGAAGGGCAATGATGACTGTGTTTCCGCCGTTGGCAAGCAGTGAGCGAGCGTTGATGCCTTGGCCCTGGGTGGAGGCTGTAACGGCTCCGCTGAGACGCGAGGCTGTCGAGTGTATCGGGGCGATTGTAAGTATGAGCATAGGAACGGAGCTCAACAGCTCGTGACTGCAAAATTACGACGTGCGATGGTGTGCACCGCTGGCTTATAGCGGCACCTGCGGTGGAACAGTGTCATAGCGTGTGATCGCATGCAACTGACAAAGATCCCCACGGAGATGCCAGCAGCAGAGTGGCTGCGGTGTGTGCGAACAGATTCAGGTGCCTGGGTATCAGCAAACCCAGATGCCCGAACAAGGCAGCGAGATGGAAAACTCACGATCGTAAACCAGCAGAGAGTCGACGACACCCGCGCTCACGGTAAAGCCGTCCGTGACATTGAAAACGCAGGCGCCTTCGTCCATCGCGGGGCTCTGGAAGACAACGGCGGTGGTGTTGACGTTGCCGCCAGTGCTTGCGGAGCTGAATGTGGCCGTTGCGATGGAGCTCCGGCCCGTGGTAGGGTTCCAGACGGCGACGCGGTAGGTTCTCGAGGGATCATAGTAGCCAGCGAGGGTGAGGCTGATGGTTGTGCCGCCGGCAATGGGGAAGATATTGGGCGAGGCAGAGAGGACAGAGAATGCAGCTGCATATGCAGCCAGGGCCAGGACGAGCAGGCACTTGGCCAGCAGCCGGCCAGTCGAAACAACGGACAGCATTGTCGCGACAGGCATCATCGACACCATCGACATCGCGCAAGGCCGAGTATCGATGTTGGGGTGGAAAGGGCGATGCGGCCAAGTCGAGGGATTTGTACTGCGGCGGTTTCTGTCAAAGCCATCGACACATGCGACACTGGATCACGAGCAGGCTGGTGGGTGATGTCAGGCTGGCAAAACGAGCTGCGTGCTGGGCCAGAGCAACCATCTGCCGGGCCTGCAGTGGATGCATTGGATTCAGTGATGCAGTGGACATTGGATGCATGTCATGCTTATGAACAGCAAAGTCTGCCCAGGACGTGTGAGTGCGAAAGCAGTGCGAATGGCGCTGATTGGGAGAGTCCTCGGCGCTGATTGTTGTCCATGGGGTCAATCTCTGGGTGACCACGTTTGAGGTGACCGCTGTATATGCCCCAGAACCATCTTCTTCGGGAGCAAGTCCATGAATACAATCGGGACGCCCACGGAGCACCCCCAAACGCGTCGCTGAGGATCCAGCGCAATCACGATTCCCAGCATGCTGACTGAATTCACAACCCGCCAAGTCCATGAGCAGGGCGGCCTCGGTATCGGGTGTCCTCCATTCAGCGTGCAACAGCCAGGCGGTCGCCACGGCGCTATCTATTCCTGCAGTACAGTCAATCCAGAAAGAAACGGGACAGTCGTAGGCTCCAGTGGGCAAGCCATGCGATTGTTTCCCGTCCTGGTTGGCAATCTCTTTGTGTGGTGCATTCACTCGATGTGGGAGTGTGATGCATTCACTCGACTCTCGGGACAGTTCCATGGTGTATCGATATCAAGATGCTCGGCCTTATCGAGTCGCTTGGCTTCCCGGCACTGTGAGCACACCTGGAGATCGAGTCGCTTGAATCGACGTTGCCTGGCTGGTGCCTTTCGCTTGCGGGGAGCCATCTGAGCGAGAAAGCGTCCTTGATTCAGATCCAGAAACACATCACTGAACGGTCATGGCGAGCGTGCGATGTGTTGAGTAAGAACATTCACCAACGGCCAAAATCCGGGGTGTCTCGATTCATTGGATTGGCCGTATCTCGCCCGTCCGCAACAGCAGACGCGGTATCAGCCCTTGCCCGTTTCGCCGCTGCGGCTTGGCAGACCGCGCGCAACAAGGCCGGTGGCTTGCCTGGTCGGTATCCACCTGGCTGCGCACGCTGATCTGGTGGCCGTGCAGCTCACGCAATCCAGAAATGCGGGCTGGTGTGGTGTCACAGCGTACCGTTGCGCCTCGGAAGGTTGCGAATTCTGGCCAATCGCTCCCACGTGGGCCCACGAATGAAACCAAATAAATGCCCGGGTGTTTGCCCTCACATCGCCGCCAGCATCGACCCAGCATCCACCACCCGCCCACCATCCAAAGCACTCGCCGCTTGAGCCGGGCGCTCGCCACCCGCTGCCCTCTTCCGTTTCATTCGTCTCAGTCTATATCCAGATGAAGTTCCCCACTATTGAGTCCAAAGCCGACCGCGGCACAATGTCTCGGGATGCCGGAAACAACAGGTCGCGAACCAGCCTCGGGCTCCAGGCCGAGCGCGAACCGACCTTGGAGATCATCCCGGTCTTCCGAACGCTCTCCGTCGAGATCAAGAACCCTGCCAAGAAGAAGGCCCAGGTTGCCAAAGGTGAAAAGGACTGGAAGAAAGAAGACATTCATATCATTCCGCTCGAGGACCTCTACAACCGCCTCGGTGCCCGCACTGTTTATGACGGCGGCATGCTTAGCGCCGTCGCTGCCCAGAAGCTCAAGTTCAGCGGCTCCAACACACTCACGCCCGTCCGCGAAAACCAAGTCCTCAAGGTGCTCGGTTTCTTTTTTGGCGGCTTCTGCATGTTGATGTGGTGCGCCGCCATCATCGTCTTTCTCTCCTACTGGCCCCTCCCCCAGCTCGACAACCAGGCCCCGAGCATCTACAACCTCGCCCTGGTCGTCCTCCTCTTGGTTGTCATTCTCTTCCAAGGAGTCTTCTATGCCTGGCAGGATTGGTCCTCGAGCTCGGTCATGAAGAAGATCCACGGCCTCCTCGCTCAGGAAGCCATTGTCTTCCGCGACGGCAAGTCCATGGTTATCCCTGCCAGTCAAGTCGTTGTTGGTGACATCATCGAGCTCAAGCTCGGCGCCAAGGTTCCCGCCGACTGCCGCATCATCGAGTGCTCTGGCGACCTCGCCTTTGATCGCTCCATTCTCACCGGCGAGGCCATTGCCGTCAAAGGAAACGTCGCCAATACCGACCCGTCCTTCACTGAAACCAAGAACATTGCTTTTATGGGAACATCCATCGTCAACGGCAGCGGCAAGGCCGTCGTCGTCTTCACCGGCGACAACACCATGATGGGGCACATCGCCTCGCTGACGGCCAAGAAGAAGGTCGAGCAGACTCTTCTGCAGAAGGAAATCATCAATTTTGTCACCTTTGTCGCCGGTGTCGCCTTCTTCTGTGGCATCGTGTGCATGCTCATCTGGGGCTTTGTCTTGAACAAGCAGCCAAAGCCCCAGTACGATCTTATTGGCATGCTTGGCAACCTCTGTGGCATTATTGTTGCCTTTGTGCCTGAGGGTCTCCCCATCTGCATGTCCGTGACGCTGACAGTGATTGCCAGAAAAATGGCCAAGCAGGTAATGTCACAGTTGGTGTAACCAGCAACCAGACGAATGCAGGTTCAAGGACGTACATTATGCCCTTCGTCCAGATGATTTCCCCCAAGGAGTGGCGAGTCAGCGTTCTAATATTGCTCTCTTCATGACATCTATCGCATCCCGACACAAATAGAACGTCCTAGTCAAGAACCTGACGACCATCGAGACCCTGGGCGCCGTCTCTGTCATTTGCAGCGACAAAACCGGAACTCTCACGCAGAACAAGATGACCGTCACTACTGTGAGCTTTGGTGGAGACTCTGCGACCAAGCCTTCGCCCCGTACAGGCCAACTTCTCCACCGTATTGCCGCCCAATGTTGCGACGCCAAGTTCCAGGACCCAGACACGGTTCCCCTTGACAAGCGAACTGCCTCTGGCGACGCCACAGATATTGCCGTGCTGAAATACGCTGAGGCACAGGGCTCTGTTGCTCAGATTCGCTCGTCGTTCAAAAAGATCTTCACGATTCCCTTCAACAGCCGCAACAAATGGATGCTCACAATGCAGGAAATCGGCGACTGCGAAGTACCCGAGCTGTGTGGCTCCACCCTGTTCATCAAGGGTGCTCCCGATATTCTCTTCGAGAAGGTGACCCATACGATCACCCCGGACGGATCCATCGTTCCGTTCTCAGGAGAGATTCGACAGAATATCCAAGCGTCCCAGCTCGAGTGGGCAGGACAAGGAAAGCGTGTCATTGCCGTGGCCTACAAGAAAATCGACGAAGCCCAGGTGCTGACCGCTGCGGGAATCCAAGATGGCCTTGAGCCCTTCGCCTATGCGTCAATCGGTGATCTGACCCTCGTTGGTCTGCTGGGTATTGTCGATCCACCAAGACCTGAGATTCGTGGAACCATTGAAACCTGTCGCAAGGCGCACATTCGTGTCGCCATGGGTACGTTGATTTGGTTGAGAGCATGCAAATGGATACTGGGGAGTTTTGTTCCGAGCCAGCAGCCAATGGCTAGACATTTTGTAACGCAAATGCGCTGCTGACGAGCGCGGAGCTATCCTACTGCTCGGAGTCAGTGTGTACATCACGCACTAATCGATGTCATGCTGTTCCATAAACTTCCACCAGTCACTGGCGATTTCTCGTCGACCGCGGTTGCTATTGCCCGCGATGTAGGAATCGTGACTGCGAGCAACGTGGATACCATCACCGACCTCGACAAGGCAGTGTCTAGGATCCACAAGGATCCAAAGGGCGAGCGCCCATCCTTGCTGGACCGCGTCTCCATGGCCTTTCGAAGAACGTCTAGCAACACCACAAACCCAGCAAAGAAGAGCGCATATCTGCGCGCTGAGATTACCGAGATTGAGAATGATGGTCGTGCCATCGTCATCTCTGGCTCTGAGCTCTCCGCACTGACGGATGAGCACTGGGACAAGATCTGCAGTTACCAAGAGCTCGTTTTCGCTCGTACTTCGCCCGAACAAAAGTTGATGATCGTCGAGGAGTTCAAGAAGCGCCAGGAAATCGTTGCTGTCACCGGCGACGGTGTCAATGACTCGCCTGCACTCAAGGCTGCGAACGTCGGAGTTGCCATGGGTGGAGGCTCCGAGGTCGCCATGGAGTCTGCTTCGCTGGTCCTGGTCGACAACAACTTTTCGTCACTTCTGGCTGGCATCGAGAGCGGCCGCCTGTGCTTCGACAACATCAAGAAGGTTATCATGTACTTGATCCCATCCGGATCATGGTCCGAGCTGTGGCCTGTTCTCCTTTCCGTTTTTCTCGGCATACCCCTGCCCTTGAATGCCGCTCTCTGTCTTGTGGTCTGCTGTATTACCGATGTCTTTCCCTCGATCGCTTTGATCTACGAGTCGTCCGAAAGCGATCTGATGACCCGCCCCCCTCGAAATCCCAAGAAGGACAAGCTCGTGGACGGCCCGATGTTTATCCACGTGTACTTTTTCATCGGCATGATGGAGTGTGTGTTTGCACACGTCATCTTCTCTCTCTACTTCTTTGAAGTCACCGGCGTCGGTTTCAAGGACTTTGTGTTCCAGTACGGCAACCTCACGAACGACCCGATCTTGTTCCCCAACGGAGTGAGCCTGAGCCAGGCACAATACCAACAAGTCCTCTACTCGGCAAATTCGGTCTATTTTGTGGCTCTTGTTGTGATGCAGCTCTTCGGAAACATGTATGCGTCGCGCACTCGATTCAACTCGGTCATTCAGCAAAACCCATTCTGGGGTCCCACACGCAACCTGTACCTGGTCGGATGCACCTTCGCCTCGCTTGCCTTTACCGCGATATTCGTATACACCCCGGCCTTCAACAACTTATTCCAATGCGGTCCGATTCCTGCCAAGTACTGGTTCATCCCCATCGGCTTTGGTATGATCATCATCGTGATGGATGAGCTACGAAAACTCGCCGTTCGAATCTATGGACACGATTCGTTCATTGGAAAAATATCATGGTAGAGCAGAGCATGGGCATGGGCTCTCAAATTTCATTTGTCACTTTTGGATACCTCAGCAAATATAGTACAAACACAATGGTTGTCAAACTGTAGTTGACACATAACATGAGGCAGTCAGGAGTACTGGGAGACCGACAGTCCATTGAGGGTTGCTGTTGTCCCGGCATGTGGCAGCGATCCAGGGGTGGTGATCTATGGCGAGCGATTGGCCGATGACCACTACAGTTGGTGTCGGTCGCTGACGACAAGTTCGTCTTGGAGGGACACGTTTGAAGACATGGGGTTGATCTCCAGGGGGTGGCGATCGATCTGCTGATGGCGTTGTTGATAGAGGGCTTTTAGACATGAACCGAGCTTTTGAGCAGGCCAGATCAAGAAATTGGCTCGTTTCCTTGGATGGCGCTCAATTCAATTCCAATTCAATTCAAATTCCAATTCAATTCCAATTCAATTCCAATTGACAGAGGAATGCAAGTATAGATCGACGCCATGCCCACCTCCCTTGCGAGACAAGCCAGTGCCCTCGCCGGATTTGCCCCTCGTGAACCGTCTCTCGTCAAGCTTGATCCTGATTGAAAGCTCCCGATCAAAGCTTGTCTCCGTGCCAACAATTTACAGTAAGCCCCCGTTTACGGATCAACAACGTCACTCCGTCTTGTTGCTTGTGTACGATTGGTCGAAATTCGGATCGAGGAGGGGGTGACGTCGCCGTGCGACCCAACACAACGTCATCCCAGCGACACGCCGACACGCCTACACCCCGAATAGATCAATAATCGGCTGCCTTATTGTACAACCACATAGGTATTCAGTTTCGGCGGCACTGGATTAGCTTAAATACGTGGGCATTTGAGCTGTGCGCGCTCGCTTTATCTGGCGATTACGTACCCAGCATGATCGGCGGATCCATAATCTGAGCGCAAAAGAACCCGAGTGGCCAGAAATGGATCGAAATCATCAGACTTACCTCATCTTTTTATTCATTGGCGCCATTTTGGGCTTGCTTGTGCTTGACCTCGAAGTGAACCAGGACCACGAACACCATAAGACGCGAACGCGGGGAGGGGGAGAACGCCCCACTCGCTTTTTTTACTTTCCTCACGTTCTACCCTTCTCCACATTCCTTCCGCCATTTATCAGGCTCTTTGATCATCTCTCTAGCTATATTCGGTATGTAACTGGCACCGTCAGGCGAAAGTATCTCTGACACCAGCACTTAGATATAGATTAGTCACGGAATAGTAGCCTTAGCTTAGCCTGACTTGCGCCGGCTCAGAAGCAGGTAGCTGATCAGCGCTTCAGGTATACGATCCCGCGCACTACACTGGCAAAAATATTGATACGTATTGAATTTATGCCAATAAACCTTTACCAGTGACCGTAGTAAAGCCGACGGTATAGTAATGACAAAGAAACCCCCCCAAAATGGATCGGAAAAAAAGGCAGACATTGTAAGTTATACTTGCCGCGTTGTAACCAGAATCTAGTTGATACATGCCACTCGTGTCTTCTGTCGCTGTCTTTGTCAGCACGTCTTTGGTCACTATGTCTTTCATCACCATGTATTTTGAGCGATATTATCGCGTGTGGCATGGGCGTTTCAAGTAGACGTAGTCGGTTTATATCATAAACCGCCCTTAGATCCCAACCTTGAGCGTGTATTCACTCAATTAGTTTAGTATATCGTTATCTTCATGTAGCTATACATGTTGATAAGCACATGCAAATATGCTACCATATAGCTTTATGGACTCTTACTGCTGATTATAAATCCAGCACGGAGGGGCCAGCCGTCCGTATTTTGATTTGTTCCCTTTTGGGCTTCGTCCAGTCGCGGCGTCTCGGCGTTGTCATTCACCATCGTACCCAGTGAATTACTAGATATATATATATTATTTGTATTTGAATCACATTACACTCTTTTACAGCAAGAAACTGTACAGTATAATCGCTTGTGATTTTGAAATGATCTCCGCACTTAGTGGTTCCAGTGCTACCGATGACGATAGTGTCCTTTGATTCACCTGTTTATTCGATTATATTTGGCAGTTATGCCACAGGCTGGCTTGATTGCTAACGTGCATACACTTTCATATTCGGAAAACGCTACCCGCCCCCGCTTGTACAAGGATGAACATAATTTGACCTTGCCTCAGGTCTGCGAACGCTATACTACTAGCGTCGATGAGACCAAACCAAGAAATTCCCAGGGTCTCAGCAACGATACAGTGGTGAAGAGACTCGAAGAGTTTGGACCAAATGTGCTCTCTCCACCCAAGAAAAAGCACCCAATAATCCGCTACTTGGAGATGTTGGCAGGACTGTTCAATGTGATGCTCATTGTTGCTGGCGTTGCAACCTACGTTCTATACATCATCGATCCGATCGACAATGCCCCCAACGTAAGAGCCTTGCTATCGGAATTTGCTTTCGAGCTATTATACATTTTATCACAGGTCTATAGAGGAAAGGAGATGGTTACTCTATAAGCCTTATAATGGACTATCCGTGACATCGATAAAATTTGCCATTGGCTCATTGTGCAATATTGCTCACAAGCCGTGCTGCTATAAGTAATTAGGAGCAGTGAAACTCCATCGCCACTGCGTGGATATAGAAAAATAAGTCGTGGTTACTATGATTTGACCCATATTTACCAATTATTTACCTTGGATAATTACACAGGTTTATCTTGGTGGAATTTTGATTGGCGTCGCTTTCATCAATGCTGCCATTGAGTTTTATCAGCATCAAAAGAGTGCCGCAATCCTGGAATCGTTTTTAGTATGTTGGTTCATGCACTATACTCACTACTCGGTCAATTAGTCATCAGCATCATTTCACTGGTCGCAAAACCACTCACATATTCAACATTTTGCAGAATATGATTCCATCAAAGTGCAATGCAATGCGAGCCGGTCAAATCGTGAACATCCCGGCCGCAGATCTTGTTCCTGGCGACGTAGTATTTGTTCGCATGGGCGACAAGATTCCAGCAGATGTCAGAATGTTCTGGGTCCTGGATTTGAAGGTTGACAACTCATCGCTTACCGGCGAGTCCGATCCGCAAGAGCGAAAGACAACAAACACACACAGCAACCCGCTGGAAGCAACCAACTTGATTTTCAACGGCTCGATGGCTGTGGCCGGTGAAGGCTTTGGTATCGTTATACGAACTGGCGACAATACGGTGCTTGGTCAGATTGCCAACCTCACATCCAACGAAAAGAAACGGCGATCTCCTCTATCCGAAGAAATCGACATCTTTGTCAAGATCATCACAGTCTTTGCTATAACCACGGCCGTCATTTTCTTCATCGTCGGGTGTGTGGAGGGCGGTGTCAACTTTGGTCTCAACTCGGGAATCGGAACCTTGGTCGCTTGGGTCCCTGAGGGCCTCTATGCGACAATCTCAATGCTTCTTACAATCGCTGCGAAACGAATGGCTGATAAAAATGCACTCGTCAAGGACTTGCAAGGAGTCGAAACATTGGGCGCCATCACCCTTCTGGCAACCGACAAGACTGGAACGCTCACCCGAAACCAGATGACGGTGACAAACCTATGGACCAACTCGACGCTCTTTAACGTTGCAACCACCTCGGACGGACTGGACGAGACTGAGGTCTGCTTAGACGAAAAAGCCAGTGGTGTTCTCGAGATCGCCCAGATATCGGCCATGTGTACCAGAGCACGCTTCAACCGAACCGACCTGCCCATCCCCAAGCGCGAAATCAGTGGCGACGCCACCGAATCTGGCCTTTTGCGCTTTTCGGCGGCAAAACTCCCCAATATTGACACTATTCTGGATGAATATCCAAAAGTCTGCGAACTTCCTTTCAACTCAGAGACCAAATGGCATTTATCCATCAACGAAAAGCCCCATCCCCAAGGTATATTCACGATCATGATGAAGGGTGCTCCAGAGCGAGTACTGCGAGTATGCTCTACGATTCTCGTCGGCGGACAAGCGATTGAACTAACAGAAGACCACAGAAAGGCCTTTGATCAATCATACGAATATATGGCTGGAAAGGGCCATCGTGTGCTCGCGTTTGCGCAACTCACTCTGTCTGAGAGCCAGTATCCAAAGGGGTTTTCATTCGACAAGGAAAAGAAGAACTTCCCGACTGATGGACTGACTTTTGTCGGGCTAGTGAGCTTGGAAGATCCTCCCAAACATGGAGTCCGCGAGGCGATCGGAAAATGCCGCATGGCTGGCGTAAAAGTCATGATGGTTACCGGAGACCATCCACTTACAGCCGAGGCCATTGGACGAAAAATCAACTTAATGCTCGGTGAAACCAAGGAGCGCGTTGCAAAACGTACAGGACGGCCAGTCAAATCTATCGCCCCAGAAGAATACAACGCAATTGTCATTCATGGAGAGCAGATCTCGGAGCTTACAGACGCAGATTGGGATAATATCTTTCAGAAGGACGAAATTATTTTCGCGCGCACCTCACCCAAAAACAAGCTTGAAATTGTAAAGAGAGCTCAGGCTCTTGGACATATTGTTGGAGTCACGGGAGACGGCGTGAACGACTCTCCTGCGCTCAAGAAAGCCGATCTGGGAATTGCGATGAATCTCTCTGGGTCAGATGTCTCAAAAGAAGCTGCCGCCATGATTCTTTTGGACGACAACTTTGCGTCTACTGTTGCAGGAATTGCAGAAGGGCGGTTGATTTTTGCCAACCTGAAGAAGAGCATCCAGTACACAGTTACGCACATCATTCCCGAAGTTATTCCTTTCCTCCTGTCGGTTGTGGTTCCACTGCCTGCGGCCATCAGCTCGATTCAAATCTTGTTTGTCGATCTTGGATTTGAGCTCTTTGCATCGCTTTCATATGCCTGGGAGCCGCCAGAGGGTACCGAAGGTGGGCTGATGCTGATGCCGCCTAGAAAGCCTGTCACTGTGGGATCCGTGGAGCGCTTGCGCCGCAACATCAGGGAGCTTCAGCAGGCCAAGTTAGTGGAGCCTGTTGATCCCGCAAACCCTATGGCCGAGCAACGTGTTATATCGAAGGTTTGTTGTTACCTCCATTGGAAATAGCTCGCGGATATAAGCTCGCATAATGTGGAGTTACCCCACCCCACCCCTTCGCTCGTAACCTGGATGCAGGAAACAGTACCAAAGACGCTGAAGATGTCATTTGCTATACACCAAAGCGTTTGAAGATCGCGGAAATGAGCATCTATTAACAGTGCATGCGTTTAGGGTGGTATGGCTCTTTACAAAATCAAGTCGGTATTCAACGGAAAGTGGCTTCGGGATATGAACGAGGACGAAGGGGAAATCCTGGTCGACGGAGAAGCCCTCTCATGGGCGTACATTGAAGCTGGTTTTATCGAAACCATCGCAGCTCTTGTGGGATTCTTCTTGGTCATGAACGAGGCTGGAGTTACTCCTGCCGACCTTCGTAATTCCGCCGTAGCCAACAACGGGTACTTCAACAATAACAACTCTCCGCCATACACTTTGCTGAATGGGGTCACCTTGGTAAGTCAAATTCACATACTTTTTTTTTGATTTTTAATGCAATCAATAATATAGGAATCGCGGTGTTGTCGATCATGGCTGGTTTGGTCTCTCCCTGTCACTGCTTTGACATAGATATGCATTGAAGGAGCATAATCGCTTCCAAGGGCCACGAGTATCGTCGAGTTGAAATAGCTATCCACTAAATACGCCTTCACTCAAGCGCATGGACGATTGAGTTGATATTTATGGATATTTCATTCATGAAAATTGTCAACTACGCTGTTCCAGACGGTTTTTCTAACGCTTTGCATTGTTATTTTGCAGACCGGTAGCCAGCAATATGAGATCATCAGAAGAGGCCAGTCAATGTACTATGCTGCGGTTCTCATTACCCAAGTCTTCAATCTATTTGCCTGCAAAGCAAAGCTGAAGCTTCCATTTGGGATGCATATGCTCAAGTGAGTGCTATTGTGACAAGCTAATTGGCGTTGCGAACAAGTTTTGGCTCTGAGCTCTCCTTGACCACTATGAGCCCTCTTGGAGTCTGTGGGCTCGCCTTGGACTATAAGCTCTACTTGGAGTCTGCGGGCTCTCCTTGAACTACGAGCTCTAGTTGGAGCCTGCGGGCTCCACCTGGACATCAACACCCTGTGTGCACGATGTCCAGGAGCATCAGGGGGGAGTGGTTGGCATATCACATGGCGACGTGGCATGACGATGTGACATGACGATGTGGCATGACGATGTGGCATGACGATGTGGCATGCCGATGTGACACATAAGACTCTTGCATACCACGGGACTTTTGATTAATTCAGCATTCAAACTCTTCAATAATAGAAACACATCGACATGGTGGTGTGTTCTAGGCGCGCTCGCTGTTGGAGCCATTGTTGTCTATGTTCCACCCCTCAACAGTAAGTTGCCTGTTGCAGCTACCCGCGGTCCAGGAGGGGAGGGGAGATAGCAACGCTACCTGAAATGGCGCTGTTTATTATATGCGCATGATTTGTTCGAACAAACCCTGATGAGTCAGTTGATGATGTGTGTTTGGCACGATGGCTGATACAGAAGTGTGCGTGGTGTGCGTGGTGCAAACTATGCTTGTGGTCGGTCTCGGCTATCTTGCTTATCATCAACCATACTCACTCTGCAATACCCACCGCTATAGTCTTTATGAACAGCTCCTACCTTCTCAACCCAAAGTGGCTTCTGGTAGCTGTTGGATTTGGAATCTACCTGTTTCTCTATTCTGCACTTCGAAGATACATCCTGCAGAAGCGTAAGCGACTTGTTATGGATAGTCTTGGTGTCCAAACGCTTTGTTCTTTGAATGAGAGGGACTCGAGAGCTTTATGATGCCACCAAACCGTATGAGCACGAGGCATTTGTGGCTCTACTGACAAGCACTCGGCCCCTCCCCAACTACTGCTGGCAATTGACGTAACATGGAGGCGAAGGATTGTGTCGGGCGTATTCGATCGCTGTTTTGTGGCTATGTTGCGCTATCGCCCACCGGTGGTGCGCGATGAGCCGGTCCAGCATCACTGGACAGCAACCGGGTCTCGTCTTGGACACTAACGAATGCTGTTATGGGGTCTTCCAGTGAAGCCAGTCAAGTATACACGCGAGATCCAGGGATTGATGATGTTCCCAACCCGCCTGGTAAGCGTGTGTATTCATAAGCAAATCCCGGGTGGCCTGACCACAGAACATTAGCATGCCACTGTATGATTTGTGTCAGAGCACCGCGCTATGGGGTCTCTGAAAACAATAGGCTAACCATTGCTCGATTCACCTGCTGCTTGATTCGTTGCTTGTCTGGAACACGTCCACTATCGAACCGCAACCGCTTTCGGACCGCAACCGCTACTGAACTGCACCCGCTGTTGAACGCACCCTCTACTGAACCGCCTTCCTCTTAGTCGACGGGCGCGCGCACCCGAACCCATTAAGAGCCTGGATCTTGTGTCAGGGTCGGATGGCTTGGAACGAAAGACACATTCGAGGCGCTATGGCAAGCCTTGGCCCTGTCTTCTGGTGTCTCGGATCCGTCGCGGTATTATCTTGAGAATCGCCATTATCCCGAGAACCGCCATTATCCCGAGAATCGCCATTATCTTGACGGACACATTCCTTCTTCATGGGCACGTCTTATCTCATGCCATTTGACAGCACATTCATCATCTGCAGACCACACCACTTTACAGCGCATTCATCCTCCACATCTGCACGCTCTTCGTTTTCTTGGCTGGCACGCATTTGCGAGCATTCCAGCACCAGCTTCGCAAACACCTGCCGCATCTTCGGCTCAATTTGACGACACCTGCTGCATCTTCAGTTCATTTTGATCTTGTTCGCTCTTTTCTGTTGGTTGGTTTCCTCACGTTCATCTCGAGCACAATGGGTGCAGAGGATCAATATGCAGTTCTAGATATGCCATGTTGGATCGTTGCGATCTTCAGCGACGCCGCTGGCACTGTGGTGGAGAGGGAGGAGGAAGATTCCAAGGGAATGTGTCGAGGGTGCATCCAGGGTGCAACCAGGGCACAGCCAAGGCTGCATCGTATATTCATCGCATCTGTGCCAGCAACAGTTGCGCCGTCCATCTCTGCACATGGATAGATAGTATGCAGGTCTTATCCGATTAGGCGTCTGTGTTTCCGCTCCGGCGTTCTCTCGGGTTCATCCCCAATGTATATTTTCGATCGCAGTCGGATTCCACTCAGTCCCAATCAGTCATTTCCTCGTATACCAGCCTTCGCACTGCTCTTGCGATCACCCATCAGCGGTGCTTCGAATACCTTGATCCATATCGGTCAGGCGAGCCTCTCCGACTCGTCCCGCGATTGTATCCCCCGTCGGATTCGTGTCTTCCCCATCTGTCTCGCGAATCACTCCATCGTTCCTCCTTGCTGGACTCGCTATAGGTCGATCGCCGTTCTCGCTTCAGATATTCCTCGTCACGAGCGCGCTTTGGTCCTCGTGCATCATCCGCTTCTCCTTTCGGGGTCTCTGTGACGTTCTCAGGGGCATTTCTTGTCATTTGCTGCATTTGCCGCGATCCGGCCTCCTGTTCGCTCCTTGGCTCGGCCTCGCCGGCATTTGTGGCTTCCACCACTTTTTCACGGATATCTTCCCTTTTACCTTCGCCTTCGAAGTGTGGAGCTACCTCAGTCAGTAACCGTCCTATTCGTCCCATGAATCACCTTGCCCACCCACGCCACCCTCCGTGCCAGATGTAGTGCTTACCCCCTTGTTTTTGGATCCGATATTCAATGTGTTGGAACAAAGTTCGGTACTTCGATTGATCTGTGGCCCCGACCGTCTCCGAGAGCGATTTTCGGTACTCTAGCAAATCCTTGGCACCAGCTACAGATTCAATCATCAGTAAATGTGGACAGACTGCTATTCGTCAAGTCCAATGTCTCTCCCGATGCAACTCACATGGACCAGAGCTCATTACCGATGACGCATGAGTGGCGAATGCGGAGGTCATCCTGTGCTTTTATGTCGTTGATATTCACCGACTCCGATCCAAAGTTCCGAAAGCTGTCTTCGATCCACAGCGCTGCAAATGCAAGCACTTGCGGTGGATAGAGCAGTGGCAGGTGTGTCGCGAAGCTTCAAACATTTCAAAAGAGTGCCATGATTTAGTTGGGTTTGGTTTCTTCGTTTCGTCGCTGTTTCTGCTGCGATCGACTCCCTAATGTGGTGCACGCCCTACCATTTGTCCACCAGATCCCAGGCGTTTGCAGCGATGCTCTGCGGGACTGTTCAGTACAACGGATCAAATAATGGATTGTTGTCGGTGTTGTTCAGTGGGTGCTCACAGATATGTTGAATCGGCCGACCCACCGCCAAGAACAGGCACAAATGCCATGCACCGTCATTCAGTTTCGTTTCATATACCTCCCAGATGCTTTGCAAACTTGATGACATATGTATGTGGGTAAATAAACTCGAAATCGAACCCAGAGATTTCCAGAAACCGCTTCTCGATCAGGAATGCTTGGCGCTTGTGATCCTCGATGGCCTTCGATTCATTGTCGGTCGAGATGAAGCCAGGCTCGTCAGCTACCCACATGTCTGCGTGGGCTTCGCGAACAGCGACTTGGCTCCCTCACCACCATCCAAATCGCTCTCGCTCGTTGCATCGGCGATGTCTCCTGGGCGATCGCAGCTTCGTGTTGGCTACTCACTGCGGCATCCAGGTCATCCATCCCAGCGATCGCTATATGGACTGCTTGAATGATGTCCCTGATCTTCTTGACAGACTCCTCGAGTTTGGCGGCAAAAAAGACGCACGATATCATCACATCCTGGATTGACACAGCCCAGCGTTGTGTCAGCTCTGCAAGCGACTCCAAGCGGAGGGAAAATGCAATTGCCTCGGGAAACTGACCTCCAGCTCGCTCTGATAGATCGGATAGAAGAGACAGTAGCGTCGGAGCATATGCTTCTCGGTTACGATCGTCGACCACGGGCTGGTGCAGAGGAGGCGGCATCAGTCTGTGCCGCGGCTCACAGCATCCCCCTCTCCCTCGGCTCCGGCCATCTGTCGTTTCGGCAGACCGCCGTCGTGCTCAAGGCAGTGCGGATCGCTCACAAGCCAAGGGACCGGGAGATGTGCTCGAGAAGCTGAATGTACTCCTTGAATTCGTCCTCGTTTATCGAGCACAGGCGGCCCAAGGCCTCCCGGGTGTAGTATCGGCTCGGTGCTGGCCGGCTGCTGGCTTCGTTTTGCGCTTCGTCCATTTTGCAAGCGATCAGTCCAGAGCAATGCAGCTCCCCGAGCCGCTTCTGAGCGGCTGCTGTCCCTTGTCGTTGCCCAGTCCACCTGACCAGCCCCGTGACCCGACCCAGAACAGCGATATCGATCCAGCCCAAGCTCACGAGCGAAATCGACCCTGTTTCATGATGTCCGGCTCGACCAGAGAATGCGGCCACCCCTGTCCCGACTTTGCAGATATTTAGCGCGGTCGGACGCCCAGCCATGTGGATCTGCTCTGATTCTTCCCATTCTCGTTCGTAGTGCCATGGTTTGGGCCTGCAGCGCTCACATACTGAGCAGAACACCCATCGAGATCAATACCCCAAATCGCTTCCATGCCACGATGAAACCGTGCTCATCCTGGGCGACAGCCGCATTCCTCTCGATTTCGGCATCACGCACCGAAATACAACATACGGACGTGCGGTCAGACAAGTTCAACTTCCTCAAGATGGCCAAGCGCGCCATACATCGGTGACCCATCCAGCAGAATGCGCAACTCAGGAGATATGACTGCGTGTTTGAGCCTTTGGGCTGCTTTCCCACTCCGGACTTGTTGCTGTCGTCAGGACCGGTAGCTGCTCCTCAGAGTTTGGCCAGCACACTCCGCGACGGTGACAAACCGTGTGAAGTTGAGGCTGCGCAGATAATCGATCATTTGCTGCGTCCATGGGCTCACGGTGCTGAGTGTTGTTGGATTCAAGTCAATACTCGCCGAGGCTAACCAGAACCAATGCAAGCAGAGCATATGCCCCGCCCAATGCTTGTGCGTCTGCGGATGTGTAGCGATATACCTCTGGTACGGATCGTGATTTAGAATCACAAAGCTGTTGGTGGAGGCGTTGGCGCTTGTTGGATCGATGTCACTCCTCAGTGCCGACATATCCTTTGTGAGATCGCCTCCTGTATCTGCGTCTGTCGGCGAGTTGTAGGGCGGAGCAGATGTTAGGATCATAACAGCAAACTCTTGGGCTGTTCCAGGTCCGTCCCAACTGCAATTCTATGAAGGCATGCCAATGCATCAGGAGCCTGCCCCAGAAACCGACCGGTGCTGTATGCGTTCCACAACACGAGATACTTGTAGCCCAGCTTGGCAAGGACCTTCGTGACGACATCGTTGTAGGCACCGTATGGTGGTCGCATGTAGTACGAAGTCGTTGCAATGATGGACCGGATAACGGCGTCGTTGTCGGTGATCTCCTTCTCGATCTGGGCCTCTGACAGCTCCGTCAAGTCCGGGTGCGTCATGGTGTGGGAAGCGATCTGTCCATGCAGACGTCAGCTCAGAGTGCAAAGCGGACATCGAGCACCAGCCCAGCGGCACTCGGGTGAGCAGCGAAGGAGGAGGCGAGTAGCAAGACACCCACCTGGTGACCTTCTTTGTAGGCTCGCCAGATGTAGTCCCGGTATGGACTCACCGAGGCGTTGACCCAGCTGAAACGACGCAATACGGCATGGGTTTAGATACTCGATAGCGCTTGTATATGCGCCGACACTGCTCGATCGGAGAGGCGACGGAGATACACGCGGGACATCAGCACTTACTTCATGCCGTTTACAAAGAATGTGGCCTTGATGCTGTTGCTCCTCAGGATATCAAGCAGCTGGCCAGTAAAGTTCATGGGCCCGTCGTCGTAAGTCAGGGCGACCATGCCGGGCTGGACGCACTGGCTGAGGATTTGGACGCTCGACGCTGGGGCCTGGGGGCTGCTCGAGTTTTGGGCCGAGAGCGAATTTGCTTTGAGGACGAAGCCGGTCCGAGGCTGGCGGGCATGGAATCCGCCAACAGGATAGGAGCAAGCGGCGTGGAGGAGCACCAAGGTCGCCAGGACGACCTGAGCAAGACGGAGACGGCGATGCAGCATGGGAGCAGACCGATCGCAGACAGTTGCAGATGGCGAGCAGATGGCGAGCAGATGGCGAGCAGATGGCGAAGGCTTGCAATGTTCACTCCTGGGCTCCAGGCCGATTGTGCGGATGGCCCCCAAGGTTCCCGAGCAGGCCAGAGATACTGCGGATGCGCCCCGGGCGCTGCCGACGGAGCGGCGATGTGTTTTATGCATCGGGGATTGCGGACGAACGGATTGCTCTTTTCTCTATCCCCCGGTCGCTGCGGCTTGGTCTTGCGTCTTGCAGAGGCCCGAAACCCTTGCCAGCGACCGACGCCCTCTTCCGATGCTGTTGCTGCAAGTCGATCCCCGGCATCCCTCCGCTGCTGTCCCTGCCGCCTGCCGCCTCTGTCTTGCTTGCTCCCGCTGGCCGGTTGCCCCGCTGGTTGCCCATATCGGCCCTGGGCCAGCCCATTCGACGCGAGCCACGCCCTGGTCGGCGCTCGGAGCCCCGCCCAGCCCACCAGTCCTTTCGCTTCATCTCCTTCGCCTGGCTCGTCTGGCTCGCCGCAGCTCCCGATCGCAGCAATGGTGTTCTTCCGAGGGTCTGTCACCGAGGTTAGCATTTCGCCGATCGGCTCTGGAAGGCACCTCGTCCAGACCGACGGCCAGTCCTTCCACTCGCCCGCTACCAGGACCAAAGCTGCCCATTCACTTGCACCGAATCAAGCGATGTATGCTCGAGAGCCCCCCCCCTCCAATTTATCCCCACCCCTCATTCATATGATGTCTGGCACAGGCAATTCAAGCTGTTAACCTGGCCCAGGGATTGAAGCTCTTCTGTGCCTTCATCAGTGGTAAGCGTCGCTGATCCTGCAATCGTGGCGACGGGGAGACTCTCAGCCAGACGCCAACTGATGCCCTCTTGAACCGGCCAGATGCCAGCGAATCAAGTTCCGCCATGAAGACTCTGCTGCAGGAAGATGCCCTGGCTCGTCTGCTTGCTTCCAGCACCGTCACCATCGAGCTCATGAAGAACACGCCAGATGCCGCCCTGTTTGCTCAGATCTGTGGGTATTATGCTCCCTGCGAATGACCTCTCTGAACATCCCCAGCATCCTACCCAACCTCCGTCATCGGCAACAGAAACTGCAGTCGCAGGCTACCGCAAAGTGGCTTGAGCATCGTCACCGCTAACCTCGCCATCGTTCCTTCGCCACCCAACCTGGCCGCTCCAGACCCGAGTGAGTGATATGCTCCACTTGCTGGCCAGAATGCATAGCAATCTCAATGCCAACGACAGCTACTGACCATCGACATCTCGCTCTAGTCTTTATGCTCCCTGCTTTCTATATCATCAAGGCCGGAGTCTGCGTCGATGTCATCTTCTCTGGAACTTCTGGTGCCGAGATTCTCCAGAGAGTGGCATCAAAGATTGACTCTGCGCCGACGCCGATCACCCCAGCTGCAGCCGCAACCGAAGCGACACCAGTAGAAGCAGCCCAGCCGACCGTACCTCTGCAACGGGGTGATACATCGCCTCCGATTACCCACAGCCATGGCCTGGTCCCAGTCATCGAATCCCATGTTCAGTCCGAAGCCGCTAGCTCCAGTGTTGATCCAACGGTCGATAGAAAGCCCAGCACCACTGCCCTTCATGGCTCGGTGAGGGATGGCTCTCGACCAGATGAGAACAATCCTATCCAGACAGCCGAGCGTCCCGTTGGAGCGGCAGGGTCGACCCAGCGACCCGAGAACGCTGCGACTGCTGCTGAGCAGGCCGAACACATTGGGACCAGCATACCAAGCGCTGGCTCTGGGCCAATCCAAGTCCCGGAGGCTGTCATTGAAGATCCCTCAGCCATCACCATATCCCAGCCCACGGGTCATCCCGATATTCTCGGCGTCAATAGCCCTGCCAACGACAAGAACATCGGCCATGCACCTGCACCTGCACCTGCACCTGCACCTGCACCTGCACCTGCACCTGCACCTGCACCTGCACCTGCACCTGCACCTGCACCTGCACCTGCACCTGCACCTGCATCTGCACCTGCATCTGCACCCGCACCCAAAGCCAATCCAGTACCGTCCCCTAGGCCTGTACAGCTCCCGGCTCCTGGGCTCACTGGAGCCCAACGACCAGCCCGCCTTGAGCCCAAGCATGGCCTGCCAGACACTGGTATTACGAGCAGACCACCCTCAGCAAAGAGTACTGACCGCTCGCTGCTGGCGATTCGACTCAGCGATGGAAGCACCGTGCGAGAACAGTTTGAGTCCAGCCAGACGCTTGGCGATGTCAAGGCATTCATTCAGAGGGTGAGCAAGCGTTTGATCATTCACCGCTCCACGCGATTGTGCAAGAGTGCATGCATTTCACTCAACGGCTGCCAACATACGTGCGTGGGTGTCCCGGCCTCGCCCTTCTGCATGAACTCACTCGTGGATCAAACTTTTGCCTTCCAAACCGACTCTGATGCCTCTCGGTGTAGACGGCGCCGCAACAGGGTCCGTTTGTGATGGTCAATTCATCGGTCCTGCCCAGCACCGTTCTGGACATTACAGGTAATTCATGTGCACTGCCGGCAGGCGTTCGACGATTGTTTCGTTCTCCCCGAGCAGATCGTTAACTTGCTCGAATGCGCAACCAGACGAATCCAAGACCCTTCTGGAGCTCGATCTCACCCCCTCCGGAACAATCACCCTGCGTCCCGGTCGCAACGTGGCTACGGCCTATGCGAGCAATCCAGCTACAAACGGATCGGCTTCTGGCCTGCTTTCGCAGTGGATTAGCTGGGTCTGGGTGTTGCTGATGTCGATACTTGGCTCCTTCTCGTCAAGATACACTGTTGCCTCGGCCCAGACTGCGACTCAGACTCAGAGCGCATCCAGTCCCTCAGAGGCAGCAAAGGGGCTCGCTGGAGCAGCCCGATCAACCCGCAGATCGCGAGGCAACCCTCGAATCCGAACCCTCTATGACAAGGCCAGCGATGACGACAGCGAGACCGACGACGAAAGAACATACAACGGAAACTCAACTAACCAGCAGTGGTGAAGGCGCTTCCCACGCCACCGCAGACATCGTACGGCCATGCAGCGGATGAGCAATGCGCCTGCGATGATGTTGTACAGCTCGCTCAAGGAACATGGGTGATCAAGGCTGGTGCGCTTGGCTGCGGCAACACCACTCTATCGTGCTGCTGGCGCATCTTTGTTTCTTGCCCTCAACACAAAAGTCGGGTAGCGATGTTCTTGGGCATACTGTGTGAATGTATTCATGGCCGAGACAACTTTGGTCAATGCCCTCACTGCCACGCCCCTGGCTTGATTTTTGCATATTGTATAGTGTTGGGGAGACACTCGCTCTAAAGCACACCTGTGTCGGACGAGTCGACCCGGCGGCGGCGTTTCAGGTGAGCGGCGGCAGCGACAGCATATTTAGTGCCAAAAGGGAACAACAACCAGAAGATCCAACAGCAGCATCTTGAACCCGACAGCCCAAAAGCTGGCTAGCGAATCAATGTAGCGTGGGCTCTTCAGGAGATCCGCCCACATGCTGAGTGACTGCAGAGTCAAGCCGTGAGCCAGCGGGGTCTGATCCGTTTCAGAAGCCGCCGCCCAGCCTCTTCCGGCCAAGATCTCGGCAACGGTGTTGATATGGATGGTGAGAGCGCAGTACCAGCCCATGACAGAGACCATGCGCATCATGTGCTCCTGATCCGAGCCCGTCACGCCGAGAGCCTCGTCGACGGATCGCAAGAGATCGTTCGTCTTGAGCAGCAGCAGCATCTCTCTGGGAAGCTTGGCCAGAATCTCGGCCAGGGCGATGTAGAACCGGCCAGAGCTGGCGTTGTTTTGGATGCGGTTGACCTCCCCGCGAGTGCGCACCGTGGCTAGCCCAGTCCCGCTGCCCGAGATGACATCCCAGGTGCGTCCGGTCAGCATCGAGGCGAACAGCCGGTGGTGGGTGATGTCTCCGTCGGCTCGCTCGGTAACATGGCGGTCGTACTTCGTGAAGATCTTGTACGAATACTCCTCGATCGCGTGCTCGTCGCCTCGGATGCAGGCCGCCCAAAGATGGGCATAGTCGAGTCGGAATTCGCGGGAAAGGGTGCGGTAGAGACCGTGGTCCACTGGGAACGAGTAAAGGAGCCAACGAGAGGAGTCGGTACGGCGTCAGAAGGTTGGCGTCCCCAGTATAGCCTTGGGTCGCTCGCAAGCACAGGGCAGGGCCGGAGAGCTGTGCTCAAGCCCGACCTTCGAGGAGCATCACAAAGCATGTGCAGCACTTACACAGGACGATCTCAAAGTTTTCAGGATTATGAGGGGTTCGGGCAAAGAACGAAAGCCAGGTGCGCCGGGTGGCAGACTTTGGACGCACAAAGAGGTTTCCGCTGAAGAAAGCATTAGACATGGCTCGCATTAGCACTACCCACGGGCGCAGTGTCGGCAAGACTGCTCGACGCTACCGGTGCCCATGGCATTGTCCATGTTGTCGCTTGTGCCGTCGTTCTTCTCATCGTCACAGCCTCATCCCCACCACTGCAGTCGCACAGTTTCGCTTACGGATGAGGATCGCAGTGGACAAATCTGGCATGGATGGATCGAGGCATAAGTAGGAGCTGGACATCATCGAGCAGGAGAGCCCGACCCAACGAGCAAGCGACATGTACACGGCCATGAACCTACCCGTGCATAAATATCATTTCCGAGTACAGCCGGGTCAGGGCCGCGGACACACGCACGGGGTTGATGTTGTGCTGGTTCATGTACTTGAGATCGTCGATGCGGGAGCCCTGGGCGACTGAAAACGAGTGCCGCCAGTGTCTCAGTACAGGGGACCCTGCGCAAGCTGCTGCTCAACATGCCGACCCACGAGCCATGACGGCTGGACTCACACTCCATGATGAGCACCCGACGGCTCGCCCAGTACACCTCCGGGATCATGAGGATGGGCTCGTTTGCAAAGTTCTTGGCGACCTGGACCGAGTTTTCCATTTCATGCTTGAAGTCGAGCTCCTTGGGCAGCGACAGCTTCATCTCTGTCGCGAGCCAGTCGAATTCAAACTCAGGGAAAGCATACTTGATCCAACTGTGCAAGCAAGTAACGGATGCACGGCCAGAGCAGTCCCGCAACGCAGGTGACGAGAGAACACGAGCAAAGCCCGTTGTGAGCAAGAGCAGAGGAGAAACGGCCATGCGGGATGCGTGGACGACCTAGCGTCAATGGTATCGATCGGCGGACCAGCAAGAAAGCAGCATCCCTGTGCAGATCCGCAGGCCGGCCGGGCTGAACCAAGGCGAGCAGAGTCGTTGGCCGAACCAGATGTGCCAAACATCAAGCCGCCCCTGCCCCAACCACTGTGATAGCTTACCTGACGATGCCAGCGACGCCCTGGATGTCGATGTTGACAAACTCGTCGAGCGATGGATGCTGCAGCTTGACGGCCACCTCGCGACCGTTGGATCTGAGCCTGGCCTTGTGGACCTGGGCGAGCGAGGCCACGCCGAGAGGCTTGGGGTCAAACTCCTCAAAGAGGTCCGCAATCGAGGAGCCCAGGTCCTGCTTGAGCATGGCGTCGATTTCCTCGATGGACGATGGCGGGCACTGGTCCTGCAATGGCTTCATGGTCTCGGTGTACTCGGACGGCAGCAGAAAGACCAGAGCCGAGATGTGTTGACCCTGGAGCCATGGGACATGCGAATCGCAGGGCCGGGAGTGAGCAGCAAGTTTGCCGTCCACAACGACAGCATCGGCACTGCATCGGTGTTGGGTCGGTATTGCATCGGTATTGCATCGGCATTGTCGGCATGTAGGTTCAGACAGATTCGTGCATAATCTCTTCCCAAGGATCCGCAGGCGACGGGACTTACCAGTTTGATGTAGGTGCCTCCCTGGAGCCGGCACAGCGCTAGGAGCTTCTCGGCCGAGCGCTGGTGGACCTGCGACTTGAGGTCGGAATATGCATCCCAGCCGATAACCTCGGGCTGCTTGTCCTTGGACAGCGTCGATTTGTAGTCCCAGACGATGGAGATGACCGAGGCAGCGGTGCGGTAGGATCTCAGGACCGCGATTGCTGCGTGCTGGCATCCGACGGGATCGTAGACGTAGTATCCCAGGGCGCCGGCACCAATGGTCAGCAGCGAAGCCACCCGCAGTGACATGCCCTGCGGCTTTCGGGCTTGGGAAGACCCGGCGGCACTCTGGGCAAAGGTCCTCGACGGTCCTGAGCGAGTGCCGGGATGCCAGCGGCCGGGCCATTGTGAAGGGGAGGGCAGCGACGGGGCAATCGACCGAGCTCTGGCCGCTCCCGACCAGAGCTGTCGCAGGGCCAGTCCAGACATGGTTCGCTTGCAACGGAGGGGGCGACAGAAGACAGACAGCACAGCCAGCGGAGGACAGGGGTGCTGACGAGGGATGCCCGAAGGCGATTCGGCCTGGAGCTGCAGGGCTTGGGATTGCGATGGGAAAGCGGGTCAATTTTTTTTTTTTTCCTGCTTGAATTGCGGATCTGGAAGCACAAGGGATCCGCGCGGGCCGATGCTCTCTGTCGTCGATCTCGCCATCGCTCGCCTCGCCTTGGCATACTTTGTCGTCGGCGATATCAACATTGCATCGCATCCCGGCAGCCATAACGGACCAACACGAGCAGACGATACCGGCCAAGCGGCCCGAGACAGGCTCGCCTCCCGGGCCCAAGCGCCTCAAATCACTCGCAGCGAGCCTGTTGTCGATCGAACCGATATCGACTCCTGCGGATGCCAGCACCCACGACGGCGTTGCTCAAAGCGTCGTCCTCCACAGCCCCGATGGGCAGCATCGCATTCCTGCTGAGTCGGACCCAGCCCTGGATCTGAGGTGCTTCAACATCAGGCCTATCGTTTCCAATCCAGAGATGCCCCCAACGGATGCTCCTCAGCTCGCTGGCATCGACGCAGATGCCGAAATCGATCCCGTGGCCCTATTTTCGTATCAGCAGCCATGGCCGCAGCCGGGCGATCCGCTCTGCTGCGTCTGCGGCCGGTACGGCGCATATATATGCGATGTCACCGACCACGATGTTTGCTCGCTGGAATGCAAGGCTGCCGATCTTGAACAGTATCTCCGGACGATTACAGCCCATCGCTCTGAAGCGCCCGGACAGAGCCGCAAACCGCCGACACCACCCGTGCGCCGATGGAGAGAGCCCCCGCTCCCTCCTCCGTCGCCTGAGCTGAGAGTCAACCGCTCGCACCTGCTTCGGCTGATGCGACAGTCCCGGGGCGGTCCTGCTCGAACTGCTCCATGGACACAGATCGCAGCGCTGGTCGAGCCATCCGGGATAACTGTAGCATATGAGGGAACAGAGCCGCTCCCACTGCCAATCGCAGAGTTCAGTCAGGCCCCTGCCTTGCCAGCAAAGCTACTGAGCAACATGGCTCTCGCTGGTCTGAGACGACCAGGCCCGACCCAGAGGATGGCGATTCCCTCGATCATGGACGGATTAGACGTGCTCCTGACAGCCCCGAACGACGGAGATCGTAGTCTATGCTATATCATTCCGGCCATCTCCTTCTGCGCTGCCATCTCGACGTACCTCTCTGCAGCCAAGTCGCCAATACCCCAACACCAGAAGGGTCCCTATGTCCTCATAATGGCGCCGACACGAGAACACTGCGTCCAAATCGAGGATCGCATCAAGGCGCTGGCAAGCGGAATCGAGCGTCTCAAGACCGTCCTGCTGGCAGGAGGCTGCCCGCTGCCGAATCAGCTGCACCGCCTCGAACAAGGTATTCAGATCGCCATCGCAACTCCAGGAAGGCTGGCATCGCTGCTTGCATCGGACTCGGGCAAACCTTACTTTGAAAGCCTTGCGTTCATGGTTGTCGACGGCACGGAAGGCATGATCGAGGGCAGCACCAAAGAGCAAATGTCGACGGTTCGCAAGCTGCTTCCAGGATCCAAGCGCATCCGAGTCTGGTGTGCGTCGATGGCATCGCCGGGGGTCCTTGACCTCTGCATCAAGCCTGGCCCTGGCAAGAAACCCAAGGCCGGCATGGCCAAATCCCACGCCACTGAGACACATACCCTCTGGATCCACCTTGGCGCGCAGTTGCCGACTATTCAGAATGAAGGCGCCAAAGTTGCAGCGTCGCATGAGATAGTACCCGATATCCCCGAGAGCGTGAAGCACACGTTTCTGTGGGTTGAGACCCCATCGAAGCCGAAGCAACTCATCTCCATCGTCACAGACACAAAGTACTTTCGTCCGCAGCAGCAGCGACTCTTGGTCTTTGTGGAGTGCAGAATCGGCGCCGAGATGCTCGCCAAGTGCATCAAAACGCAGTCCACCCTCAAGGCCGTTGTGCTCCACGGCGAGAAGACCAGCCGGGAGCGAGAAACAGCCCTGGAACAGTTCACGGAGGGGCAGCACGGGATCTCGGTGTGCGTGGCGACCGGAGTGATGGCACGCAGCATCGCCGTGGAGGCCGATCTGGTGAGTCTGCTGCTCGCCTTGGCACGTCGGTGACGCTGAGTATGGTGGAGAAGCATCGTTTCTATCTCACGGGGTAGTAAGCGTGTGTGTCGACAGGTACAACCGCGATACTCACTACCCGATATGCGCTCTTGTATTGTGGAATAGGTGCTCAACTACGATATGGCACTCTCAGGTAAGGCCCAGTGCACCAGGAGTGGCTGCTTCTTGGAGGTACCTTGAGCGAAAGCACCACCACATCTGCTACGCAATGTACTGACCCAAACAAACCATGATGGCCCTGCAGTTGCAAGCTACATCCATCAAATCCGGCGCTGCCGACCAAGCAAAGATAAACTCGGCTGGGCAATCACATTCATCAATAGAGACCATGAGAAGCTCATCCCTGAGCTCGTCGCCAAGCTTAATCAGCTCCCCGCCGGAACCGTGACACCGCTGCCTGCTCAGATGAAGCGACACCAACGACCATCATGACCCGCACACTCCTGACTCGCCGACAAGCAAATATACCTCCAAGCCAATCCATAGTCGATGGCGAGTTCGTGTGGATAGCATCTCTGCGTATCTCACTGGGCTCTGGCGACAGATGGTGCCGGTGGACATACTGGCCGGACCAGCGTGCGCTCAGGATCCAGAATGGGGCGTCCACTGGCCTTGGTCAATCGCTTGTACACTGTTATTGGATCGCCTTACACTTTATTCAGAAAAAAACGGGACAATATAGCCGTTTCCATGAACATGTAGTATGTGCTGTGCTTGCGTCAAGCAAAGCCACAAGAAATAAAACAGATCACTTTGGCAGCCTCCGAGTGAAGACCGCCGGTCGCTCTCCGGTCTCCACAATCGACCTGCACACTGCGATCATGTTGCGCGCCGCATTGACGTCGCGATTCCACACTGTCCGGCAGCTGGGATTCTTGCAGCTCCTGACAAAGTGGGAATTCGCAACACTGGGCGCATCGAGTCCTTCCAACCGAACTGGCTCCAGGCACTTGGAGCACACTTGCGAGGTGTTGAACTCGTTCGTCGAGGCCACCTTGACGCTTCCATGATGGTGATTGGGACGGCGTCGGTGGTGCTCGAACTGCTCAAAGTACCGAGCAAATCGCTGCCTCCAAGGGCTGGATGCATAGCCCTTGCCCTGTCGCCATGGCGCATTGCCAAAGGCGATCACCACATCGGTCCGTATCGGGGCGTGCTTCAGGACGGCCTTGCACATCCTGTCGACGGCCACTTGGCGCCTCTTGTGGCCCGTGAAGCGATGGTGACGGGCCTTCTTGCCAAGGTGGAAGTCGAGCTGCACTCGTAGCTCCGGTCGCAGGACATGGGTGAGATGGACCTTGAAGGCCTCCGAGGACTGCACCTTGGGCGAGGGGGTGGTCGACATCCAGGTCTCGATGCCGAGTCGATACTTCATGGTGTTGTGCCACTTGGTGTTGGACGTATGGCCACACATTTGCTGGTAGTGGCCATTGGAGAATGAGACCACCTCGTCTTGGTGGCCCGGTGCTTGGATGACCGCCGTGAAGATGGAGCCGACTCCAGGATCGATGCCAATCCAAGTGGTGCGATCGGGGTCTGGGTCGCCGATGTGGGCCTGGATACGCTGCTCGGCAGTCGGAGGAGGCTCAATGGTCTCGGTGCGATCGGTTCGAGGCAGAAACTTGACGAGACCGATGGTGCATCCAATGCCATCGGTGCTGATCTCGTAGTTGAACAGCTTGTGATTGATATCCCGGTCACGGAAGAGGGAACTACGCAGCTTGAAGCAACTGCGCCAGAGACGATCCTGGTTGTTGACACCGTCCTCACCTTCTTCCTTGAGCTTGTCCCTGGTGAATCCAAGGCGCTTCTTTGGACCCAGGAGTTGCCAAAGAGTGACCGTGTCGATCTTGACATACTTGGCCCTTGCAGTACAGAGAGGGACCATCGTGCATACGGCCGGAGGAGTGTCCAGAGCGAGCTGCTTGAGTGCCCACTTGAGTCTGGATGCCAGCCTGTTGATCTTGGACTTGGTGGTGCCGAGCTCAGACTTGGCCGTGGTGAACCTCTTGTCGTCGGAGGGAATGCCTCGGGCAGTGAGCTCGTCCAGCTTGCCTGGCGCTGCAGCTCGGTGACTCGGAGGGCGGGCATGTCGGAGTCGATCCACTTGTGGACATTGTCGACCATCTTGTCTCGGGCGAGGATTCTCACATGGTGTGAGAGGCGATGGAGGGCCCGGAAGCGGTCCTGGTCGTTGCTGTACCGAAACTCGTCCAGGACGTGGCCAAAGTCTGGATAGAGGAACTCGATATCGGCCTTGGGTGGAGTCTGCCCTGGTTTCTCGAAGAGCTCGAGACAGGCCTCGATGGCTTCGTGCTTATGCTTGTTGGCTGGGAAGACGGCAGCACAGAAGCGGCGAAGGAGTCGCCAGTAGGCCAGGTCGAGGTGGGTGGTGCAGTTGGTGGCATAGGCATTGACAGCCAGTGTGAGAAGCTGACTGTGAGCACCATCAGGCAGACGAGGGGCCGGAGGCAGGTCTGCGTGCCGAGTGGTCTGGTAGTCGCGAAAGGAAGCGACCAGATGCTCGTTGTATTTCTTGGTGTCCCCGGTCGGGGAGAGGGCACCGGCCTGGACGATCGTGAAGCATTGGCGGATGAAAGCAGGTGTGGACTTGGAGATGACGGGGACGGGAAGATCCTGCTCGATGCACCGGAGGATGTGCAGGTTGAGCAGCCTGGATGCCTCGAACTGGATCTGGGTCATGGCCTCGACGGTGGCCTGGATCTTGTCGCGGAGAGCGGGATTGAGACAACAGCCATCCATGGTCTGCTTGAAGCAGCTGAACTGAGGGGCGGATGACCTTCCATCCACGAGTGGGACGACAGAACTCTTGAGGGGCCGGTATTTGGGACATTTGCTAGTGTTGCTTCGCTCGTGGTCGGTACCGTCGCACTGGCGACATCGCTTGATGGGACCAGATGAGGGACCAGATGAGGGACCAGGCTCGGTGGGATCGACATCCATTGGATCTGCAGAAGCAGTGGTGGTGAGCGACGGAGCAACAGACGACCAAGCATGCGTGGGGTCAGAATACGAACCAGAGACAGGCTCCGACTGTGACTTGGCTTTCTTGGGCCTGGGTGGCCGAGGCTGGCCATCACCGGTACCCTTACGCTTCGGAGGCATGGGGGCAGAGGATGCTGGATGCCTGCCAGTGGTACTGGTCAGAGCAGAGACTTTCTTTATCGTACAATAGCGCGATGATCCGATCAAGGCGAGATGATGGAAGAAAGCAGCAGGACGAAGGTGGGACATTTATACCCGAGAGCAGGAGCCCGTCTTTGCGGGCTGGTTGGGGAAGCGACCTGTTCAAAAATCGCCGAGAGGTTCAAGCCAGGGATTTGAGCGTGAAAATGGCGGCGTGATTGGGGAGCTCAACCCCAAATTGGAGGAACTCAACCCCAAATCGGTGGGGACTCAACCCCAAAGAAGTTCTCGATGGGATTGAAGTCGGGCGAGGCAGGTGGGGTGAAGATCACTGACCATCCTCGGCGCTCGATGCAGTCCAGGACAGCCCGTGTCTTGTGCATGCTGACATTGTCCATCACAATCACAGAGTCGTCTGGGAAGCTCGCTCGCTCAAAGAACTCGACCATCGAGTGTGTCTTGAATGATGTGGGGATGTACATGCGATGCAGCACACCAGAGTGGTTGATGGCAAATGCAGCCGAGACAGACTTGTGCTTCATGTGATTGCGCTGGCGAAGCGGAGCACCCTTCGGTGAGTATCCGTAGAGAGGGAAAATGGATCTCCTGAACCCTGTCTCATCGACAAAAACGAATCGTCGTGGGTCGATGGAGCGGACCTGGTCCCTGAACTGTGCCACCCGCTCATCCAGTCGCTTGGACTTGTAGAGGTGTGTTGCCCTCTTGTGTGAGAGACCTGCTCGGTGGATGGCAGTGTGGCAGAGTGAGAGTGATACTTTCCTCTGGAGGATGGACTCGAGCTTGCACCGCAACACAGGACCTGTCTGGAACGGGTCCTGTTCAATCAGGGTGCGAATGACTGGACATGCCTGCTCGAAGAAAGTGGATCTGCGAGCTGGGACCCGGGATGGGTCATCCAGCTTGCATCCTCGGTGCCATCGATGGATGGTGCTTTTGGACACATTGAATATGGAGGCGACCTTACGCAGGCTATGGATGAGGGCGTAGCATCGCAATGCGGCGGTGCGAAAGTCGGATGTGTGGCGAATGGTCATGGCCAGCGCGCGATAACATTGGGTAACAAAATATTCGATGAATGGTCAAAATCCCGGGTGTCCCGTTTTTTATTGGATTGCCTGTAATCTGCGTCCATGCAAAGATCAGAAACCAGCGTGCACATTTTACAGCGAAACAGGGCACTCTGTTTTGTGCCAGGACTGCTGCTTTTTTTCTGGGACCTGGATACACCCATGCATCGCTGTGCTGCGATACTGCAGTTTCAGCTACTGGACGATGTGGAATCGCCAAGTCAATGCGGCGCGCAACATGATCACAGTATGCAGGTCGATTGTGGAGATCGGAGAGCGACCGGCGGTCTTCACTCGGAGGCTGCCAAAGTGATCTGTTTTATTTCTTGTGGCTTTGCTTGACGCAAGCACAGCACATACTACCTGTTCATGGAAACGGCTATATTGTCCCGTTTTTTTCTGAATAAAGTGTAACTCATGTGCGGAGCTCACTCGCTGCGCTCCAGACCAGCATCGGAGGTGTGTGAACACTGCCGAGACTCACACACATTACTGTGCATGCTACAGACAGCGTTGATTGGGCAGCCGCAGATGCCAGCGTATCGACCGACGACGTCGGCTGATTGACCCAGCGGTGACGTGATGGCAAGATTGACAAAAGCCAAAATAGCAAGTACGAGAGGGATCGAGCAAGCGCAGGACCGAGAGGCAATGTGGCGGACAGCCAGGTTCGCCCGTCGGCCACATGCGCATAGTGTCGCTCTGCAGACTCTGGCCGAGGAGAGAGAGAGGAGAGGGAATTCTCCGTTGCCGTTGGGATATAAGCAGCACTCGTCCTATGGCACACGGCCATCGCCTCAGTCCCTATTGCTGCACTCTCCTTCGCCCTTGTCATCTATCGCCGCACATCCCGGACTCTGAATCTGCCCTCCCCCCCCCCGACAACAGACCCCGCCGACGCTACCAAGCGAGTGCCTGTCTGGTCCCAGGAGCAACTCATCTCTCCGGAAGCCAAGTAATCCAGCTTGATGACTTCGATCGAACAGCTCCCGCCGCTTCGCCCATCGGCTAAGCCTCCGAGCGAAACCGCACCGGTGACCAAAAGCCCCAGGAATCATCCGGGTGCATATGTCTCTCCAAAGGCCGCTAGCGGGGCTGCGGCTACCAGGGCTGCTGGCGGTACTGCTGCTGACGGCGCTGCTGCTGGCGCTGCCAAGGGTGGCTCAGTGGGCGACACTGCTTCGTTCCTGGCCAACCGTCCGCCAATCCAGAGGATGCGCACCAACAAGCATCTCAAGGGCGAGATTGTCGAGAGCTTTGGTAATCTCATCGGCGCTCCGGCCCACAAGCATCTCTCCCCGAGCAGCTCGACGCTCGAGTATCGCCACTACGTTCCGTTCCACCCAACCTGCAACAAACTTCTTGCCAAGCGATGGGACCGGGCCGCCAGAGACCTTCACCTCGCCAAACTGCGGCACGCCCGGCCCACGATTGACAATGCCCCGCCCAAGGTGTATCCGCATCTGGAGATGAGACTCAAGCGCCTCCAGATCCAGGAAGGTGAGGGCCGATGGCTTGAGCGACGCAGCGCTCGAGGATATGCAGCAGTAGCAGCGCTGGGCTGAAGGAGCTCGGGTCTGTGCCAACCCATCGGGAAGATGGGCCCCAGTCGCCATGGCGGTTAAGCTTGTTTCGGAGCAAACGGCCTGCTGTTCCCACGGTCGCAGCGCATCAGTGCAGCCACTGTTTTCGGCCTTCGCCACCGACCCAACCCGCAGCCGACCTGGCCCATAACTCTAATCACCGGCGTTTCTTTCGACTGAACACAGAGAGATTGCACGACATTGAGCGCAAAAACCACAATCTGCTCGACCGGATTGCCTTCCAGATGGTCAACCCATCAGAGGTCTCGGGCCTGGACGCATCTCGGCGATATTCGACCGCCCCTTGTCCTGGTGGACAGGGCCCGCCAGGAGAAGGGTCGCTGCATGCCCCGAAGCGCCGCCGGGATATGATGCAGATTGCGGTTGAAAACCTGGTGAGTGGCTCGCAGCTGCTGGGTACAGATGCCGCCGCGGGTCTGTGGTGGACGGGATCCGATGTGGTCGAGAAGCATGCGCGGCTCTGGAACTCGCACACCTTCGAGCCCTGCTGTATCCACTTGACTCGGTTCCGCCGCCTTTCTCACTCGTCCGGAACCGTCCCATCCCGATCAACAGACCATCCTGCAGCGCCTCGAGGAGAAGGCTCCCTACTACAACCGACTTGAGTGGCTGGCCCAGCGGCACAAGAACCTTGGCTACCTCCTCAACATTGCCCAGTATCCGGGCACATATCGCCAGCTTGTGGACGAAAGCAATGCATACCAGTGCCCCGTGCCGCCGAAACTGCGCGGCATCACCCGTGGAATGCAGTTCCACCGCAAAGGAAACGGAGCCTATGCCAACGGACGGCCCATCACCCGACCCTCCAAGAGCGGTGGCAAGGGGCCGCTAGAGGAGTACTCGGAGCGATCCGAGTCGAACGCCTCGGACCACTCGCTCTCTCCGGCGGTGCTGCCGCCGATCCAGTCCGTCCATTCCGACGCGGACCCGCACGGATTTGAAGCTCGGGCAGCCGAACATGGCCACGACTATCACGAAGACGGGTATACCCCGCTCCCAGACAGCTACAGCGAGGCGGACTATCACGACGAGCACTTTTACGCATCGCAGCAGCACGAAGATCGTTATGAGACGCCAGAGCCGTACCCAGCCCCAGAGGAGCATCATGACGAAGCCAGTCCGATGCCAGCACAGCCAGGCGAATCGGCAGCACAGCCAGGCGAATCGACAGCACAGCCTCAACCAGAGCTGGCGCCGTCGCATGCCGAGCCACTGGAGCACCAAGTTGCGGCTGGAGAGACTTTGCCTCGGAATGAACACCACGACGAGTATGCATTGTACGATATTCACAACGATGCACACCAGCCGGACGGCCCGCCTGTGGCGCTGGACGACTCCAACCAACAAGAAGACCAACGCAATCTCGACCAGCACGGAGACCAAGACCATTCCGAGTATCAGCAAACCAAGCCATACCACGAAGAGTACCATGAAGTCGAGTCACAGGCCCCACAGAGCGCCGCCGCCGATCAGGACAAGCTCGAGCACGAACATGAGCACGAGCATGAGCATGCTGTGGGCGAAGCAACTCAGACGTCTGTCTCGGAGAACCCATACGAGACTACGGATATAGAGCCAGAGCAGGCGGTTGTCGAGCCCGTGGTGGTCCACGACGGGTCCGATCCAGACCACACAGAAGCGCGGGAGGGCGAGAGTGGTGCATCCGAGCCTCACGCCATCAGTACGGGTGTTGAACATGTGTATGGTGCTGAGCCTGCTCATGATTCTGAACTTGCAAATGAACCTGAAAATGCACACGGCGACGGATCCGAACTCTTGGACACGGAGCCAGCACACCACAAGCCAGCCTCCGGTGCCGACGTCAAGGCAGCTTCAAGTCACATCAGCGATTCTCCCATTGTGGAACAAGCCCGTAACGACCAAGAAACGGCTCCTGCCGACAAAGCTCTGGAAGCGCCAATGCAACACGACGAGCCGATCGATAAAGACACCACTGCTACAGAATCAATGGTGGACCCGTCTCAGATTGGTACCGGCGGCGAAAGTGTGAGCTACGATGAGCCCGACCAAAATCAAGACCCCGCTGCAGAGGTTGATGCAGATACCAACACCGAGCATGTGTCCGCTGAGCTTGCTTCGGCACAAGTCACGCACGAGGATGTGAACGAATCGGACAATACCGTCGACCCGAGCGATCCAGCACCAGAGAGCACTGAAGCACCACACGAGCAGCCTTTTGAAGTCGAGACCGAGTCTGAAGTGCACCAGGTGAATGCTGCTGCCGAAGCCGCCGAAGATTTGACAGGCTCAGCTGGCCAAGAGCCTGGTACAGATGAGTCAGTTGAGACTGCGGCAGCTGCGGAAGAGGTCCCGATTGCCCAGGATGAGCAAGCCGTACAAGTCGAGCCAGCGGTCGGTGCAGACCCAGCTGCCGAACCAGAGCAGTCGGCTGGCATAGAGCTTGGACAAGACGAGAGCTCTGTAGAGCCGGCGGCCGAAGTGCAAAATGATACAGATGCTCAGGCCCGGGAGCTTGTCGAGGAGACTGCCCAGGGCGAGCAGGCGGACGTTCAACAATATCTGGACGAAGCCCTCGTTGATGGCTCCGCGAACGAGACCAACGAGACCGTGACCGAAGCTGGCGTTGAGCCTGCTGCAGATCTTGCTGTCGAGCCGGTTGCTGTCGAGCCGGTTGCTGTCGAGCCGGTTGCTGTCGAGGCTGAGCCGACTGAAACTAGTATCGCCGAATCACCCGATGAGCCAACCACACAAGTCGAACCAGCGGAATCAGCTGAAGCGCCTCAGTCAACCGAAGCGGCGGAGCCATCTGAACCTGCCGAACAAGTGCCTATCGAACAGCCCGGGGCAGCGGAGTATGAAGAGCCAGAGCCTGCTGAGTCCTCTGAGCCCGTGGAGCCGTCTGAATCCATTGTGCCATCCCAGCATGAGGCTCAAACGCAAGACGAGGCTGGTGAACAAACCCAAGCACCGGGCCCAAATAGGGAACTGACCCACGACCAACCGCACGAGAGCGATACCCAAGGGCACGACGAGAGCAGTTCAGGCAACAACCCGGCCGATGTCGCCGCGGCCTTGAGCGAGGCTCCAGAGCCAGTTGATCTCGAGCCATCGCCTGATCAAGACGAACATCAAAACAGCACAGAGGCCACCACCCAGCCCGAGGAGGCATTACAGACCGATGCCGTTGCCTCCGCGGATGACCTCGGCGAGTCAGGGGAGCCTCCTCGAGAGTAGTCTCCATCCGTCGCGGGCAGCCAAGCTCGCCTGGAAGTGGGATCCGTGGATCTCTGCAAGCGTTTGGAGCCAGAATAGACGGCAACGAGCAACATCACGCTCCATCCATCGATAGATATCCCTCTGGTACGTTCACAGCGCTGTCGATCACGAGAGCCCACCCTCCGGGGAATACACAGCCTGCCTGGGCTCGTGGCTGGCTGAGACGGTCTTGTTGAGGAAATGGATACTTTGCACTTTTCTTTGTGATAGTCCCGCAAAACAGCCATTCTTTGCCGATTCGACACATGCATGTTTGTCTCAATCAATATCGCGCCGCTCGCATAACAGTCTCACGCTTTCATACATGAATCATTTTGTTGCTATCTCGAGAGTGCCGGTTGCTTGGAAAGCTCTGGGTATCTGGGTGTCTGGGACTTTGCCGAGATTGCTGTGCAGCCACACTGGGCTGTAGCAAGCGCCATCTTGGGGTGGGACGAGATCGAAACCGATTTGGGGGGAGAGGAGCAAGGATTGTCTATTGGGCGATCGATTTCAATATAGACTTGAGTGAAACGAGGCTGCGACAGATCCGACATTGACAAGATACCGAAAGCGATTGGTAAACAGGCCCACGACCAAAGACAAATGGCCATACAAAGGTTGGAAGGTGAAGAATGGGACGAGTAGATCACTGCTTTAAGGACCAAACACAAGTCGATGGCGCGGGAGAGCATCTAGAGCTGCTAGAGTAACTAAAGCCACATATATGTGTGCTCAGATGAGGGCTCCGAGGGAGAGAGCCATGGCAAGAGCTACAACAGCGATGGAGACGTAAGCAGAGCCGCTGGAGCCGCTGGAGCCGGTGCTCGAGGGCGGAGTGGTTGTGCTCGAAGAGTTGGCCCAGATGTAGCGGCTCGAAACCTTGGAAAGGTCGGATTTGAAGGCAGACAGGACAGTGGTGTTGATGGTTTGGCGAAAGTCTCGCAGCACAGTGACCTGCTGGGTTCCAGAAGTCTCGGTCTCTGCGGTATAAGCACGTCAGAGCGATGGATGCGTTAGTGACTCAAATTAGAGCCAAACATGCATAGACCCGACGCTGCCTCTGATAAGGGTCACGACAAGTCGAGGCTCGCAGGTACAAGAGAGCTTACCGTTCTTCTTGAACTCGAAGAGATTGAGGAGCTTGATCTTGGGGAAAAGGTCCAGGAAGGTGCTGTTGGTCATGTACTCGGCCCAGTACGACTGCTGCACAGCCAGCTGACCGGGGCCAGGGGAGAGCGGGACACCGTTGCCGATGAGATGGATGGCCGCGGCAGTCTCGGAAATGGCCATGGGCTTGTTTTTGCCGGAAGCATAGGTGTTGTAGAAGGGATAACTGGGATTGCCGCCCTCCGTTCCACCGCCGTTGAGGATCTGGATGAGATAGTTGCCGACGCAGAGCATATTGGTCTCGAAGGGCCAGGTGGACGCCGGGCCCTTCCAATAGATCGACATGCCGACCCAGTCGACGTACTCGTCGCCGGGATAGTAGGGTCCGTACGGATCATCGCTGGAGTTGACAACACCGTCGCCGTTGGTGTCCATCAGCTTCAAGTCGGCCGCACTGAGGTTTGCAACGATAGTGTAGCTGCGGAGGGGGGGGTGGTAGTATCGAGTGAGCGGATTGCAATGGGCTGCACGCAACATGTGGCTTATCGAAGTAGCTGGAACAAGCGCAGCGAGAAAAAGTGCCATTGGTGCGAATGAGGATACTCACGGGTAGCCGGCGCTGAGGTTGGGCGCCCACATGAAGGCCGCAGAGGGAGCTTTGGCCTTGACGGCGTTGTAGACCTGGATCCACTGCTGTCGATACAGGGTGGGCTGCTGGCCGTACTGCATCCAGTTGCCTGCAGGAGAGCCGTGAATAGCGACTTGGGATGTCAGAGCCCTGGGCACTCTGCAGACGGCAAACAGCAACCGGTCCCAAGAGTCAGCCCTGATTTGGGGTCGCCGAAGCCAACCCAATCCGACCGAGTACATGGCGAAATTGGCGTCACCAGATGTCCTGGGAGCCGCTCTGCGCTCGGGGCGATCAACGACTCACCGTTCATCTCGGGCCCGAAGCGAATCAAAAGACGGCGGTTGCTCAGGGTGGTGATGTTTCCGGCCTGGTAGGCCAGGTCGAGGATATCGGCGTTGGTCATGGTGCTGAAGTTCGGGTAGACGGTGAGGTAGAAGATGGCATCGGTCTTGGTGAGCTCGATCGAGGTCAGGTTGCCGGTCTGGCGGGTGCCGAACGGATCAACGGTGACGGGCATGTTCTGGGCATCGTGGAAGGCACCGGCGTTGACACCAAGGCGGGAGTTGAAGGACACGGGCGAGTCCGAGCCGTAGGGACCATTGGAGGTATCGAGCCTGGAGCGAACCGAAGGTTAGGCACAGGGACACAGACGGACCTGTTCAGGAATCGGGCGAACGGCCAGACGGCCCTATCGAAAGCGAAGCGCTACTGGGAATGTCTCTGGGAGGTTGCCCAATCAGCAGTAAGACTGCACAGGAACAGACAGGCATGCGACCGGGACAGCAAGCCGGGACAGCGAGAACGAGCATACCAGGCGCTGAGGAAGAGTCGGCCGTCCTGGGGCTCCAGAGGAGCGCCTGCCTGGACCAGGGCGCAGAGGCTGGCTGCCAGCAATGAAACTGAGAGCTTGACCATGGCGGGGTGAAGAACAGCAGAGAAGAGCGATGCGCTGGCCAGCAGAAAGCCAAGGGTCAAGGGGGAGTTGGCGATGCAGGAACGATGTTTGGCGAAGCACGGAAGGTGTGGGAGGGGCAAGGAATTTGTGGACCGGCGGCTGGGATCGATGTGGCGCACGGGGGACGCGCAAGCCACGACGCGGGCGTGGTTGGTTGCTTCGCGCAAACAGCGGCAGTGCAAGCGCCCATTGCCACAATGCAGACAACTATGGGATGTGCGGCTGCTGTCTGGGGTGCAGGGGGGACAGCGAGAGTCGCTGTGGGAAATGGAGCTCAAATTGCAGTGCAATGTTCAGTGCAATATTCAGTGCAAAACAGTGCAAAACAGTGCAAAATCCAGCACGAGCCGCAATGCAAATCGCACCCTGGGATGCGACGCGGTCGCGGTGCGCAAATGCACCACGTGTGTGCCGCACGTGTGGCGCAAAGTCGCACAGAAGCCATCTGCACCGCCACGGCACCACGGCGCACAACAGCCACGCGTGACACGTGATCCAGGCGCGATCTCGCCGAGAAGACACCGAGAAGACGCAGAGAAGCAGGGGCAGTCCTCGCTCTTGGCCATCAAGCAAACACCACATCCATTGCATCCATCGCATCCATTGCATCCATCGCATCCATCGCACCATTGCATCCATCGCACCACCGCATCCATTGCATCCATTGCACCATTACAAGCCAAGTCACTGCGTCTGCGACATGGATCTATCCTCCGGCTATGTTCCTGGTGCCCAGAGGGCTGCCCGCAGAATCTCCATCGCCTCGCCGCTCCGCTCAACAACCATCACGGCCTCCTCGGCTGCATCGGCCCAGCCCGCAGCCGACTTTCTGCTGTCCTCCAAGCAGCAGCTCCAAGAGCGCGCCAAAGACCTTATCACTGTCGCAGCGGTCCTGCCGCGTTTCGCCATTGTCTCCTCGGGTGCGTCCGAGGAGCTGGCCAAGGTCAGCCGTCAGACGGCCTCTCTCGACCCAGCCCTGGAGCACACTCAGGCGTCGCTCGAACGCATCAAGCAAGGGCTGGCCGAGATGAAAGCGCGGTCTGTTGAGATCAAGCGAGGACTGCAGCTGTCCGTCCAGGATGTCTCAGAGCTGCTCAAGTTGTAGCGGCTTCGTTCGCCGTCGATGTCGGTAGCGAACAAGACAGGGATCCGCGCTGAATGGCGAGGAGTGCAGCCTGGCTCGTCCTGGGTCTGAATCTGTAGCTATCCGGGCGGAGAATCGATCTGCTGAGAGATTCGCACCCCGTCTGCATGTTTGTCTCTGTGAATAACCAGACGCCCAAGTTGGACAGCAACACAGACGCATTCTGCACAGGGAGCAGCCGCATCGCCAATGCTCGGAGCGGCTAGCCGTCGACCTGTCGCAGTCGAGTACCCTGTCCCTGAGACTCAGGACCCTCGTCTCAGTGGTTGCGGATACGATTCGTAGGTCAGACCACAAACCTCGACCGTACTCGTTGCTGAATACATCTCCCACTTTGTCCTTGCCGAACTTTGCCGTTGGAGAAAGCGCCCTCCTGCCAACAGGCATGGCCACATCCGAGCGTCTTCCACCGGCGTCCGGGATATCGAGCGGGTGGTGACGGCGCTCTGCCACCCCAGACCCTTCCGTATCTCCCTCCGGTCGCGTCCGCCCTCTCCATCGCAGCACTGCCAAGTGAATGCATGGCACACAGATATCGCTGCTGGCGCCTGCCATCATCGTGAGGCGCTCGTCCTTGCGCTTCCTTGGATTCGCCCACAGAAGCCGCTGTCGGTCGCGGAAGCAATGGTCATCTCCGTCTGCATCCACAATCTTCCGTACCGACTCGCCACCGTCTGCGGCCCGGTGGCCTTCGCCGACGGTCCTTCGCTAATGGTCCTTCGCCGTCCATGACAGCCCATGGCCTTCTCTGGTGCAGTGGCGCAGCGGCGAGTCACAGAATCACCGCGCTTGACCAGCCACCGCATTCCTCCCAGCGCCGATCTGCTCAGAGTCCAAGGTCTGGGCTCGTCTGCAGCTACGCATTCCGCCAGACTTAAATAGCCGGTGCTCCTCTCTCCGATCGCTTGGGTGTCGCAGTCAACCAGCAAAACAATGAGCGCCACTGAGAGCACCAACCCCGAGCAGCAGCAGCAGATCGACCCTGCCATCCTCCAGGATGCCTCCATCGAGAGCATCGCCAGCTTTATCGCAGAGCAGCAGCCCAGGAACATCATCGTCATGACGGGCGCTGGCATCTCCACAGCTGCAGGCATCCCAGGTTCGCCCGCTGTTCTCCCCACAATCAGCTGGACACCACCTGTTGCTTCGCTATCGCTCGTGGCCTAACAGGCCCGTTGCCACCTGCCCGGCAGATTTTCGAACTCCTGGCACCGGTCTCTACGACAACCTGCAGGTATGTATGAGTGGCACTCACCACAGGGCCATCCCCCTATCAGCCCCTCTGTCTGCTGTACTGCCGATATGCGCCATTCTATATCCGACGCTTTCTCCGTCGCCGCTGGTGCTGAACCCACTCCTCTCCCATGTCAACTGCCCACCGCCAGAAATACAACCTGCCCTATCCGACCGCCGTCTTCGATATCAAGTACTTCCACAAACGGCCCGAGGCATTCTATGCGCTTTCAAAGGAGCTCTATCCGAGTCTGTTCAAGCCCACGGTCGGCCACTACTTTATCCGCCTGCTTGCCCAGAAGCAGCTCCTCCTCCGCAACTACACCCAGAACATCGACACCCTCGAGCGCATCGCCGGCATCGACCCTGAGCTGCTTGTCGAGGCCCATGGATCCTTTGGCACAGCTCGTTGCGTCGGCAAGCTTCTGAAGACGGCCGATCCCGTCCCAAAGCCGCCCGGCGAGGCCGGCGGCGAATCGGGCGACTCGGATGATGAAGATCCCCGGCTGATTCCAGGCCACTTTCAGCCTCCCTGTGGTGCAACTTATTCGAAGGAATGGGTGAGTGGTGTGCTTGGGTGGCTGTCTCTTTCAACACCAACCGCTGACCTGAACATGCGTGCATAATGGGTGACCGGATATATGGCATGTCGTCTGCATTCTCCGCCGGCGGGGCTGTTCGTCGAGCCTGAGGCAGAGCTAACACCGGGGTCTCCTGCATGCTACCCGCTCTCGCCTGCAGGTGTATGACCAAATCATCGCCGATGGCATTCCCAGATGCACCAACAACGGCTGCGGCGGTCTTGTCAAGCCCGACATTGTCTTTTTCGGCGAGAGCCTCCCCGACCGCTACGGAAAGCTTGTTCCCATCGACTTTCCCAAGTGCGATCTGCTGATCGTCATCGGCACCTCGCTGAAGGTGTATCCCTTTGCACGTCTGATCGACGGCGTCGACGACAAGGTGCCCCGGCTCCTGATCAACCGCGAAGAAGTCGGAAGCTTCGGACACAAAGTCTTTGGGTTCGACTTTGAGCACGACAAGCAAGAATACCACCGGGATGCGCTGTTCCTCGGCAGCTGCGACGAGGGTGTTTTGCGTCTAGCCGAGCTGCTTGGCTGGAAAGACGAGCTTTTGGAGCTGGTCGAGCGCGAGCACAAGGCTCTCGAGGCGCTCTCCGCGCAACATGCTGTCTCCGCCGCACCTGCCTCGGATCGTCCGGCGGCGCAGCCCGTGCCTGGTGAAGGCAGCGGCGCTCGCAACGAGACCACTGTCGAAGCACACGCCGACGAGACCGGTCATGCCGCTGCCGAAGCTGACGCGGAGGCCATCGACGATATCACCGAACGCTTGAGCAAGATCTGAGTCGCACACGGTTCCGCGAGGATGTGAATGCCATGTATTTCCTGATCGTGCAATAAAGAGCAAAGTTTTGATGTTTTCACTGCCTAGAAGCACCCGGCAGCTTCGAATTCTGATGAGGAGGGAGGCGCGCAGCGGAGAACAGGAACAAAGTTGATGTTCATGAAAGCCGAAATAAAGCCGAAATAAAGCCGAAAGAAAGCCGAAACTCAAAGCATATGTGCGGGTGACAACATTGAAGGAAAGGCGAGCGGAAGGATTTGCTGTCCACGCTCGGGATTTGCGACGATGCAGGCTGATTATTCAAACGGACAATCCCACCGCTGAATGGCACAGATCTGGAGAACAGACGCTGTATGGATCGAAGCACAGCGCTGAATGGCTTACGACAGGCGCTGGAGCGGCCGCGAGGTCCTCTGGAAAAAGGCATAGCCCAGGATCAGAAAGCACAGTCCGATGATGACGTTTGCGAGGATGCACATCCATTTGTCTGGGTTGTTCAAGTTGTGGTCTTGGACGATGTAGTCGCCGCTCGTGAAGCAAGTGGGCCCTGGATTGGTGATATTGGCGCTGCACATGTTGAAGGTTAGACCACTGAACTCGTTTTGGTTCAGGGCCTTGTTGGAGTACGAGATGATGGAGATCCTGTTTGGGGTGGCGGTGGTGAAGATTCTCAGCCAAACTGAAGGCAGACCCGAGCCCGGACGGTCTGCGGCCCCACATGTGCGGGAGAACAGCTCGCTTTGACTGCGAGACTCGAGTTGGAACTGCGGGATGCGAGGAGGAATCACTCTGGAACATACCATTGAATCCTTGAACCGCATGGCCACACGATAGAGAAGGCGCCCGCCAGAGTCGCACGGTTTAGGTAACAAAATGAAAGCGGGCTATTAGCAGGGTACACCAGCGCACAACTTAACCACAGCTACCTCGAAGCGAGATAGACTGGAACGAGATGGCCTCGCCCGATTGGTTTGGAGTGCACTGAACACTCCCTCTCCTGCTGCCCCGCACTCACCATCGAAAGACGACCGGGACGTTATCCAGGTTCAGCAGTTGACCGCCAAAGAGGAGAAAGATGGTGATCGTCAAGGGACCGATGATCTGGGCGACAGTCAAGTTTGGTGAGGCGCTACCCATCATCAGCCCCAGGGCGTTGGCGACATTCGAATGGACCACCAGAATCAGGAGAAACGTAAAGTAGTTGGCTGCCAGTGGCTGCAGTCCGACCATCCAGTAAACAGGAAGCTGGATTGGGTATATGCGGAGTTGGCGGTCAGTGGTGGTTGGCTCCCTTGCCGTATCCATCTGCTCGACCACGGTCAGTCCCCGCCAAGGCTTTCGTTGTCGATCGATACTCACCGCCAGAATCAGCACGCCAATAAACACCTGCGGCCAGGTCGATATGACCTTGGCGATATAGGCGGCGCTGGCCCTGTATGCTCCTGAGGCGCGCTCGCGCTTGATGATCTCTCGCTGTTCAATGAACTTTGGGAGACTCGGCATCACCACACCTGTCCAAGAGAGCCAGCATTCGGTATCAGCGCCGAAGCGTGGGAAAACATTCTCTAGTGATGATGGCGACACTTACCGAAGGCTGTATGGTCAGCGGCGATGAATCGAGCAGGGTTCGTTCGGAAGTCGTGGGCGGGTTGGATCCATTTGGGATGAGCAGACCGATTAGATTGGCAAAGTAAACAAGCGGAAACAAGAGACAACAATAAGTCGTGGTGAGACAGACCTGCCGTCGGTCACCAGCAGCAGCAGCATAAACTCGAGGTTTGTCCCAAGGTGCTGACAGGCCAAACCCCGATAACGGGGAACAACCCATGCATCGAGTTGCTTACGGACCCGCCTCCCGCGCTGCGATACATACTCTGGTTGATGCACATGAAGAACAGCACACCGCCGCGGTTCTGGGCCCCGGCCGAATCGAGTGTCACCTTGAAGTAGATGAATCCCATGAAAAGCTGCGGCAACGAACAACGATACCGCCTGTTAACAGTCGCTCAGAGCGACAAATGCTGTACTGCCGACATGCACGCCACAATCTCCACGCCATTGCCTACCATCATGATGATGCCCTGGCCAAAGGTGGCTCCGAGAGTGGCCTTGTCTCGCGAGACCTCCTGCAGGTTGCGGCGAAGCAGGATGCCCAGCTCTCGGAACCAGTTGGGAGGCAAGCGATCGACGGGAGTTTCGATGCCGACTTCGGAAGGCACATTGGTGTTCATGCGGGTTCGCCTTGTCTCCCAAGCCTGCTGGAACTTTTCGATGCGGGACTGGGACTGCTCCGAGAGCTCTGGTGTCCGCTGGTCAAGGGTGATGCTGTTAATCACGAAGGAAAGCAACAGCAGTATTAGTAGTAGTCAGCCACATCATTCAAGTACCAAGCGACAGCCACTCCACACAACACAGGGCAGCCACCCACATGTCCATAAAAAAGTCCGAAGGATTGGTCTTATCGGGGAGGTGATACCCGAGTTCATCAAAGTGCATCAGGGCAGCTACAATCAAAGCCCAAGGTTAGCAGATAGCAGATAGGCCGACCATACTCAAGTGTGCCGGTGCCGGAGACGGGCATCATCCATCACAAGGAAGGCAAGGCTCACCGGCGGTCGTGCCCATCCACAGAGTCTTGCCGACACTGAGGAGAATGACCTTGTCGAGCAGATCCATAATGTCCGTTCGGGGCTGGTGAATGGTCATGACGACGAGCCAGTTGTGCTGCGTCGCAAGCTTCTTGATTGTTTCGACGATGTTGAAGGCCGTGAAGGCATCGAGACCCGAAGTGGGCTATTGGAAGCGAGCGGGCGGGCAAGAACCGGGAAACGAAACGGGGAAGATGGGCCATAAGCTGGACGGCTCTGTGTTTTCGACGCCGAGCGACCTGATGACGGGACAACCTTGTGGCCCTCACCTCGTCCAGAAAGAGAATGCTTGGGTAGTTCACGAGCTCGATGGCGATCGAGACACGCTTGCGCTCGCCGCCCGAGATGCCTCTGCGAATCGTGTCGCCGATGATGGTGTCCTTGCACTTGAGCAGCCCGAGCTCCTGGATAATGGCGATCACGCGCTCGTGCCGCTGCTGGTGGGTCCAGGTTCTCGGGAGCCGCAGCTGCGCGGAAAACATGATGGTCTCGTAGACGGTGAGATTACGGAACATGACGTCGTCCTGCTCGACATAGGCGCACATGTTTCGCCATTTCTTGGCCTCGCGCTCACGGCCGTTGACCAGAATGCTTCCCGACAGCTTGCCGACGTTGGCGATTCGGCCGGCCAGAACGTTGAGGAGCGAGCTCTTGCCGGCGCCTGGTTGGAAAGTAGGGGTGGGGTGGCCGGACGGTGGAGTGGGAATGTCGTGTATCGAGCGCGTGGGAAATGGTGGGAGATGGGATTGCGCACAGTAGAGCCATGGTCAGCGCAAAACATGGATGGTGGTCCAAGCGGCCGGGGAAAACGCAAATGCACGAAATCACTCAGCTCTGGTTTTTGCACTTTTTTTCTTCTTTTCTTTGGGCTGGCTCTGAGTTACCTGATCCACCCATGATCGCCACAACCTCGCCGCTCTTGACTTCGCCGGACATGGCTGTCAGGATGTGGCGCTCGTGCACCTTCTTGCCGATTTTGACGGGGACAGAGTAGTTGACGTCTTGCCAGCGCAGAGACCATTTGGGTGCCGAGCCGCCTGTGCTCGGATGCGGCGAGTCTGGAATCGGAACGGCGACCGAGTCGGGCTTTTCCATGCTGCTGGTGTTCTATTGCAAAACGCGTTGGGTCTGAGGGGCGGGGAGAATAGGCTCGATGAATGGGCAGAGAATCTGGGACGTGACAGGGCCCTTCGATTTCCAGCCGACGCGGAGCGGAAGCCTCATATGAGGATTCGGCGGGAATGGGATGGTGGGGGGGGGAATCTCAGCCGTCTTCTATGCATGCAATAAAAGGGAAGAGAGTCAGGGGGATTCTGGCCCCAGCCGGGGAAGCACCATGGTCATGATTGGCAAGAGATTCTCCATTTATGCATCAGGGGTTTTTCCGTACACACAGAACAAGAAAATGGAAACCGCCTTTGCACTTTATTCAGAAAAAAAATGGGACAATATAGCCGTTTCCATGAACATGTAGTATGTGCTGTGCTTGCGTCAAGCAAAGCCACAAGAAATAAAGCAGATCACTTTGGCAGCCTCCGAGTGAAGACCGCCGGTCGCCCTCCGGTCTCCACAATCGACCTGCACACTGGTCTCGGAGTGCCAGCGATGGATGGTGCTCTTGGACACACTGGCGAATGGTCATGGCCAGCGCGCGATAACATTGGGTAACAAAATATTCGATGAATGGTCAAAAACCCGGGTGTCCCGTTTTTTATTGGATTGCCTTTAACGGGCACGCCGCTGACAGTCGATTTCATATTTGGGTGGGAGGGGGTACGGAGGGCAATCACACCGTCGAGGAATCCACATTAGTTGTGAAGGCGAAATGGGTGTGTCTCGCTTTCGCAAGCATCTACCACGCTATTTGCAATCCAGGCCTCGCCTTGCACACGATGATCATGCTGCATGCCGAGGTTGTTGCATCACAGCGCGGCGATGAGTGGGTCGTGTATTCGGAACCCAGAAAAGTGGCACGTCTGGTTCAAAACGGGGCGTCTCGTTTGGTTTTGGTAAACCTAATTAATCGAACTTGGTTTGAAACGGAACACCTTCACACACGGATCGGTTGATGCTGATCGATCTGGCTGAGCGGCTTTGATCGGTACCCAAACCAGCGATATTGCTCTTTGTCCTGCGGCTTCCTCCCTCATCCCCAGGTATGTCTTCGTGCTCTGGCCTGCAGTGACTGCATCTGCAGCGGCACACCGGTCCCTGTAGTGCCCACTTCACCGGGTGTGTGATATGATCCTACACGCTGTGTTTGAATGAGGCGATGGGTCCCACTGTTTATTCAACACACTGTATTTGCCATGGCCGGTCAGACACAGGACTTTCAAAGACTCGATGCATTCGGTTGTGAACGAGGGACTGTCCCCCGCTCCCCAGCTGAGTAAAGGGAAGAGCGGATGGGTCCCAAAACTGCCACACTCAAAACGAACCCAACCCACTCAGAACCCGGCGGCGGTCTTACTGCCAGACTTAGCGAGAGTCGCCCTTCAGCTGGCGCTCGATGCTGTCAACGCAGACAAGGGAAACCTCGCCACGCTTCTTGCCCGAGTCCTCGGCAAGCGCTTCGCGGATCGAACTGACCAAGTCGGCGGGCAGCTCTTCAGGGAAGCTGGTCTTACCCGACGCTCTGCTGTCGAGATCCAATCGGAGCAGGTTCCACCACAGCAACATCACCATGAGGAAGCGCTTGACCTGACCGATCGCGGCCACATGGGACATGTCGCGAACGCCGGCCCAGTTGGTCTTGGTGTCGGGCTCAGTGGTCGCGGCACCAAGCAGACTCGCAACAAGCGGATCCTCGGGGGCAGCCGGCTGTGCAGCTGTGCCGACGGAAATGGCTCGGATTCGATGCAGCGGCTTGGATGCACTGTGAGGTCTGGAGGAGTGACATTGGTCGCACTCGTCAAAGTCGAGACAGTCGAGGCAGTGCCACCGCGTCCGACCGGCTCCGATGCTTTGCTCGCATACATCGCAGTGATATTCGAGAGAACCGGCGTTGATCTTGAGAGCGCTGGAGCGGAGCGAGAGCAGCGAGGCCTCGATTTCGACAGGTGAGTGAACCAGGTTGGCCTTGGTATTACTGACGAGCACGCTCCAGTGGCTAAACTTGGGCGATGTCGATTCTTCTGCTTTGTCCAGATCAAAGGGGGATGATACTGCGCTGGAGGTCGGGATGGCGAGTCCGAAGGTGGCTGCTGCTGCGGGGCTTCCAAAGCTCATTGGGCTAGAAGCCACCGCAGGCGAGGTGAGCCTTGCCGATCCTGGGGCACTACTACGACTTCTGGCGCCTCCTCTGGAACCAGATCCAAATGCCGCGCGAGGCGCTGCAGCCATGACTGGTCCACCAAAGGAAAATGCAGACGAGCCTAAAGGTATTTGCCCCAGCCCGCGCTTATATGGTGCCGAGTTCGCTGAGTAAAGCGTAGAGCCGAGTCCAAAATGTGCCTCGGGCCGAGGTACAGCCCAGCGGGGAAGCTTTGGCTCAGCGGGACGATGGGCTCGATCGATTGCCGGTCTGTTGAGAGTGGTTTTGGCCCTACCGAGATAGGCCGTTGCTCCCGAAGGCGACGGAACATTGAATCCAAAGGATAGATCGTCCTCGATGCGCGAGAGCAGATGCGGCGAGGCCACCGATGTGTTGATGGCCTGATCGGCGGCCGTCTTGGTGACAGTCTTGAGCCACTCGTAGGCGAGCGCCTGCCCCATCATCGGCTCATGCGCGAGCTCGACGGCAACGGTGGTGAGGGTCCCGTTGACCTTGAATCGCAGTCGGGTCTTGAGCTCTTCGGCCGGCAGCTTGGAGATCACGTACAGCACCATTTCGTCGCCGGCCGAGATGTCGCTGAGCACCGTGCCGGCAAAATCGACCTCGGAGACGTCCGGCACGTCAAAACCGCACTTTCCAACGGTTTTGATGCGCTCGAGGGCCAGAACTTGGAGGCCGTCGAGAGACTGGGTTCCCAGGCGAGGGTGGTTGACGACAACCGCCTGTGCATCGACCGCGACTTTGCTAGGACAATGGCGAACAGCCTGGATCCACGCAGAGAAGCCGCGCCGGAAGACTTTGCTGAGACCCTCGTCGCCGGGCGCGAGAGCCTTCATCGAAAGCAGGGCAGGGACAGTGCCCAGCAGCGAAGCCACCTTGGAGGCACACTCCTGGTCGACCCAGGCGCCAAATCCCGTCACCACGCCGTTGCGGACATTGCAGGTGTCGACGAGCGAGCGCACGGCGCGATAGCAGTACTCTTTGGAGCCATTGTGGCCGCCGTCGGTGTCAAAGTCGACAAAGGTCGTGGTGACGAGATCGCCGAGCTTGGTCTTGAGCCTGTTGGCCTCGGCAGTGTACACGGAGTGGAACTTTGTGACGGCATCGTTGAGGGGCACATCGAAGCTGGTTCCGCCAGAGGGCTTGAGGCCGCGAATGTCCTGGAGGATACGGCGAATCCGCGAGGCGACCGAATCGCTCCCAGAACCCGTTTTGGCAGTCTCGAGAGTGGCCAGATCGATCGCGGCATCCAGGTACTCACCCACAACAAAGGTCAGGGTGGTGTGCTTGATGACGCTGTGGTCAAAGGCAAAGAAGGCGTCCGTCCAGATGTCGTGGCGGCGAAGCAGGCCGCTCGACACCAGCAGCGGAATGGCCTCGAGTCGCTTGATCAGACGGGCCTCGGCGATCTTGTTGAAGCTTTCGCGCACGGTCTCGAAGGAGCCTGGGGTGGAAACCGCACGGGCACCGGTGCTGCCGGAAGAGTCCGAGAAGACCATGTTGAGAATGAGCCGGGTCGAGTTGTCGGCAAAGCTGGTTGCGCCCGGCGCCTTCAGCTTGAGACGGAGCAGCGAGTCATGGGTGCCCAGTCCAGGCATGGACACTGTCAGCTGGCCGGCGTCGCTTGGCTCCGGGACCCAGATTGTGGCCGAGGCCACGGGAGCAGGCGGCAGCTCGTTCGGGACGACGACAAAGTCGTCGAGATCGGGGTTGGTGATTTGAAGCCAGAACATCAGCGAGCAGGGCTTTGGCGGGAGCGTCTGCCATGTCTTGGAGAAGCCGATGGCGGCGGAATCGCGACGGATGCTGGTTTCGGTGACGGCAATGACGCTGGAGGAGCGGAGCTCGCTTTCGTTCAGGAGATGGCGGAAGGGCAGCGGCGACGACTCTGGCGAAAGCAGGGCCATGTGGCCCGGAGCATTCATCGACACCGAGAGAGTCGTCTCGCCAGACCGATGGCTGAACTGCGCCCACGGCAGAAAGACCATCAGCGGCAGCAGCTTGGTCGAGCCAATGTCGCTGGCGGCGGGATCGGTGCTCATGGCATCGTACGAGTGAAGCGTGCGACACATGTAGCCGAGGATGACGCGGCCGCGGGAGGCGATGGGGCCGATCTCGACCTCGACGGCTTCGTCCGAGAGACTGGCACGGCCGGCGGTCTGGCCGGCATTGGGGTCGCTGAGAACGGCGGTGACGACGGCCTCGGCAGTCTGGCTATACGAGATGGTGGTGGAGATGTCGACCCACTTGTCGTCGACCCACTCGTGGAAGACCGTGGAGACCAGGTCCAGCGAGCCCTGCTGTGAGACCATGGTTTTGGCAACCTTGAGCTTGACGACCATGGACTCACCTGGGTTGGGGTTGACAAACTCGCAGGTCTGGCGGACCAGAAGGCTTTGGTCGGAGGTCACAGAGAGATGGCACTCGATGGCCGACGGGTAGATCTCGGCGGGGGGTGTCGACGACCAGCCGGCGGTGGCAGCCGACGACAGCAAGACGGCATTCAGCGACGCATACGAGACGGCATTGGGCGGCGACAGATCGTCGCCGGGGCTTGGAGAGACCTGCGAGGCGAGAGCCAATGCAGGGTCTGGGACATCGTCGAGCCCGCGGAGGCTGCACAGGGCAACGTCGGTCTCGGTGCTGGATGAGAACAGGAACAGCCGGCTCTGTTGAGCGAGGGCGGACGAGTTGGCTTCCCACTTCATGGATGTGCGAGTTGCGAATGAAAAAAGAACGAGGGCCAAGCAAGCCGGGCGGCCGGCTGCCCGCTTTTATATTCGGCGCCCTGGTGCTTCGCCACTCGGTATCAGGAGCTTCGACTCATGGTTGGTGGCGAGACGGAGGCTCAGCAGCAACAGCAGCAACAACAAGGAGCAGGGTATCGCGACGGCCTGGGTATGAGACTCTGTCGGTCCCGGATGGTGGGTCTCCGATGGCTCATGGCCCATGTCTTGCTTCGCCCATGGAAGAGTTGGAGATAGGTCTGCGGGGCGGCTGTCGACGTGGCATGCAATCACTGGGACATGCAAACAGGCAATCCGCCAAGCCAGCCAGGCCCGGCCACTTTGACCACGCATCGCTTGCTACAAAACCCGCCGATCGTCCACCTGGAGGGCCCGCATCGCTTCCGTACCTGCCGCCATGTTGCCCCTCCTCCGCCATTTCCCGGCCTCGTTCAAGTCCGCAGCGACCCGGACCGCCTGCCTCCATTCCTCGGCCCCACGCAACTTCCGCCCGCCGCCCTTTCGGTTCGAGCAATACGTCAACGACCTGGGGCGATCGGCCCCGCTCGGCAGTCGGCTGCACATCTCCTACGGCATCGGCTGGGGCTCGCTGCTGCTGATCAACACAGCCATTGCCGGGCTCGATGGGCAGAACAAGATCCTCGTGGCCGCAGCGTCGTGCTTCTTTGGCCCGCTCGTGACGCTCTATCTCGCCTTCACGACCTCGAGACACCGGCATCCATCGGATCTGGAGCGTCGTGTTTGGGAGCTCGAGCGGCGCTCCTAAAGTCAATCCAATAAAAAACGGGACACCCGTGATTTTGACGATTGATCAAATATTTTGTTACCCAATGCAATCGCGCGCTGGCCATGACCATTCTGTGATTTGAATCAAGGGCGTCATTGTGGGAATCGCTTCCAGCTCAAGATGCGCTAGATGAGCACCACACCAAGTCCCAAGATCCATGAGTGCTCGGTGAACGAGTTCAACACATCCCAGGTATGCTCACCTTGTCGGGAAGCCAAGCGACTCGAGAAGGTCGAGCATCTTGATATCGAGAAACCACACTTTGTCCGGAGCTGTGCAAGCTGCCATACGCTGTGGGATCGAGACATCAATGCAGCCAGGAATATGATCTCGGTATGCCAGTCGATCATCGCCACAGGAGATCGACCGGGTGTATTCAAGACTGTGCTTCCCAAACCAACAAAACAAATAGATTGCCAACCAGGACGGGAAACAATCGCATGGCTTGCTCACTGGGGCCTACAGTCAGTCAGCGGGGTTCAGATATCTGAAGCCAGGAAGGAACTGTCCCGTTTCTTTCTGGATAGACTGTAATCCGCTGGCAAGGGCGGATACCAAGCAACCCAAGGGTCCGAGCCGCAGCATCCGGACGTTGCGAAAAGCATGCAGCCAATAGCACATACAGATTCATCAGACAGGGCAGAGCCCAGCAACAGCACCCCGCCCCTGCCATCGACAGAGACGCATCGCACGCGATCGCACATATGCTGTAATGGAAATCATTGGGTAACCGCTTTATAACGACGGCGAGTCGACAGAGATAGCAGTCGCCCGATGCGTCCGGCCAAGATGCAGCCGCATTATGGGGGGGAAGGGAGGAGGGGTAAATGGGGTGGCGGGTTGGGAGATTAGCCGAATATACAAGCTCAACAGGTCGTGTAGCTGTTGTGAGGAAGGGGGCGCAAGACATAGTGTTTTGTGGTTCGCCGAAAAGAGAGCACCAAATAGGGCAGAAGGAAATAAGCCCCAAGGGGGGAGGGGCAGAGTGGAAGGCAGAGGGAATCTCCAGTTGATCCACCACATGCCGCCGAGACGACGGCGGTGGCAGCTGCAAATCCCATGGGCTGGACAAATGGGCTTTAATCCGGCAAAGCTCAGTGGTCCTGCATGTGGGACAGCAGCCCAGACTTGGGAGTCGAAGACGTTTCCTGATCGTTTCGTAGATCAAATGAGGAATCGACGTTTTGAGAGGGGGCGTCGCCGGCCGAGTTGACTTTGCGGGCGCTGAGCGGGGATGGCGGCGACGAAATGCCTCGCGAGGCACTCTCGGTCGCAACGGACTGCATTCTCATATCCAAGGCACGCAGCGCCAATGCCCTGCAGCGACGCGCAGAGCACGAAATATCAGCCCCAGAACGAATGACAAACAACCAGAGTCAATGAGTTGAACAGGAGCCGCCACAACCAAGTGCGTCAGATGGACATCAAAAAGCATTCTTGCAACGGTCCGAGATCGGTGAGAGGCGGCCATACCTTCTGCGCTCGGCATCCGCCAGTCGGCTGTTGAAGTCGGCCTTGGCGGCGGGCTTGGACATCGTCTTGCCAACCTCCAGATCATCTCCGTTGAAGATCTCCGAGTATGTAGGCATCAACGGGGCGCACACGTGGATGGACACCAGCAGGTTGAAGACCGAGTTGGAGATCGGGTGGATGATGACGCTAAGGGAAAGGCGAGTAGAGTCGAGACGAGTGAGTGGCTCGCCCTGTCTATTGTCCGGTCCAAGAATTGCGCCGCCAGACACGCCACCCCGCGCCCGCGCCCGCGCCGGCAATGCTTGCTTGCTTACTGGAGGAACTCGGGGAAGAAGCTCGCAAAGGAGAAGGTCTCGCTTCGGTCGCCAGCGATTCCGTCTTGCTTTTTGTAGAATCGCAGGTAGATCCAGGCCGTCAGGGTCGCGTACAGAGCCACGTAGTACTGGGTGTGCAGGATGCCCAGCACAAAGAGGATAAAGTAGGCAAGCAGGACGATCGACGGAAGATGCTGTAGTTTCGGAGGATGCATCGATGGTGACATTGGCGATGGGACAAGACAGTTAGTGTTGGGCAGCGAGTGTCAGTCGGCGGGTTTCCGTCGGCGGGTTTCAGGCGCATATTGCTGGGCATGCTGCCAGGCGATCGACAGCACGGGCTGCACGCACCTTGGCGCGAATCGAAATGACCTTGAAGATTCCAATAGAATACTCGGGGACCAGCTGGCGCGAGCGGTGACGAAAACATCAGAATCAGGGCTGCCAGGAAAAGCATAAACACCTGCACAAGGCTATGCAGGGTGTGCCGGGTGCGTAGGATGAACCAGGTGCGTACCTGCTTGAAGGCAACCATAAAGGCAAACATGAGAGCAATCAAGCCATTGGCGTGTGCCTCGATTCTGGTGTTGGAGCGCAGGTATGAGAGGGGAGATCAGCGGGCGCTACCGTCACAGGCGATGCATAGCCAACGAGACGGCAGACAGAGCCGACGTGGCAAGCCAGTGCTGGCCAGCGCACTCACAGTTGGTCTGCATCCGAGTCACGGGAGTCCACGGCGTATTCCACGACCATGGTCAGGAACACGCCGATATAAGAGAGCACATTGACGATCATGATGAATCGAAAGAACTCTCTGTGCAAAAGAAGCGCATGAGAGGGGGGGGAAGGAGTCAGCGTGATGTGTCAGCACAGCGTGTCGTCGGTTTGGCATCGGGGGCGAGCATTCGATACGGCCATGAGGTGCACGCGGGAATGGCATCGGGTGAGGAGACTTACTTTCCACCCCAGGCCTGTTCGAGATACTTGCCCGACAGGGTCAGGGCAGCGGTGTGGATCACAAACTAGAGAGCAGGACCCGCGACACAGCGAATAGAGCGACGATGAGTCAAGACGCACACCGCAGCCAGGGATGAGAACGTATGGATCTGGCCAGCAGGCCCGCAGCCAGGAAGCTTCCCGGGCGCCTCGACTCACCAGGATCGGATTGACTTCGAATAGTCCGGCGGTGATGAATGTCCAGAAGAACCATAGCGAGTGGTTGGCGGTGACGGAGAGGTAGGAGACGAACGAGGGGAAATAGAGCGACAGGAGACCGAGCAGGAACAGGAGCAGCGCCAGGAAGGATATGCTCCGGGTCACTGGCGGGATGTTCCGAAATGAGGCAGCAATGTTCTGAGGGTTGGTCGGTGATGGTGACGGTTGCAATGGTAGTCGAGTCAGGAGAGGAGGGCAGATGGGGTTGCGTTTAGGATGTGCTGCCTGGCGCCCTGGACAGAATATGCAAATGGCCCTGGACAGAATGCAGATGGCAGGACGAAGGGCGTGTGGATGCGAGGAACGTGGTGCCAGGCGACGGATGCCAAAGCCGTTTCGCATGCCCCATGCCCAGCAAATCGAAGGAGCCAGCTTCCCGAGCGACTCGCTAGAAATCTCCAGCAGCATCCGCCCCAGCAAGTCCGAAGCGGCATCCAAACAAACCGGCAGAGCCCACAAAGCAAGACGCAGATGAATGCACTTACGACCATGGCGGGACGCTCGCGGGATCGAGTTTGTGGGCAGGCCAGGGCAGGGCAGGGCGGGCAGATCAGACTGAGGGCAAGCGAGTCCACACGGGAGGAGAACCAGCGGCTTTGTCAGGCAGGGGGGGGGCAGACCAGACCCACAAAAGCGAGCGAGCGAGAGGAGGGGGGTAGAAGAGAGCAGGACCGCAGCGGTCACAGGCCGGAGCAATGAGGGGCGGGAGAATGGAGACCAGCAGACCCAGGCGATCCTGTGATGGCGCTCTTTTCGAGCCGGGTGATCGAAAGGCCGGATGGCGGGATGGACTTGGTCCCCCACAGAGGCAGCAGCCGCGACACGCCGAAAAAGAAAGGCGAAAAGATAGAGGCCAAGGTTGCGCAACGGGGAGGGGGTGTGCTGGTGGCCAAGACGCCTTTGCCGACAGCGAGGACAAGTGCAGCCGCTGTGCGAGTGCAGCGGTGGTGCTGCTGGCTCGACTGGCTCCACGGCCAAGTGCCGAAGACTGTGTCGATGTCGCCGCAGAGATGCGTTGGTCGTTGCTTGACATTGCTTGATATCGCTGGACGTTGCTTGATATCGGTGAGCATTACTTGATATCGGGATGTCCAATACGCTCGCGGCCATGATCTCGGACCTGCTGGTCGGCAGGCTCGGCGACTCGCCCACTGAAACAGCTGTGCGGCAGCTTGGTCACTGAAATAACGGCCCTGCAACTCGCCCCCCGCCGAGCGCCCACAGTGCACCCGCGACGCGCCTGTGCGTTCCCACGGGCGCGCACTCGCTGCGCGCACAGACGCTGCCGTGTGCGCCGTTGCCGCTGTGCGGCCGCTCTGTGGCGCGTGTCCTCCACATGACCGGGCGGCGCTCGCTCCCTGCTCGTCACGGGGCTGGCTGCCCCCGCGTTCCCCTTGCGCCTCTGCCCGCGAATCACGCGCGCCGCGCTGCACACGTTGCCGATCCGCCCTCGATCCGCCCTCGATCCGGCTTGTCACGTGGATAATGCGCAGCACCCTCGCCGCACGCGCATTCGGCAACGACGCGCACAAGGTGTAACGCGTGTGCGCGCCACCCCTGGTGGAAACCACGTTGCCTTGCGGCGAAGCTGATCGAGCACCGCGACCCAACGTCCCTCGGCAACCAGAGCGGTGTATGGACCCCGGATGCGAGCCTCGTCGCTGGGGCCAGGATATCGCTCTGCATCTTCGCCGCCAAGCCCTGCCAGCTGTCCTTCTCCCCGCGCTCTATCCTCCCCGCCATGTCTGTCGCCGGAGACAAGACCGGGCTCCCTGCTGGTGTCGTCCTCGTCCCCGGTCCGACACCGACCGTCTTGGCCCCAAGCACATTCGACCTGATGCTCAGCTACCAGTGGGTCCGCGCTCCTTGCATTGGACCGCTCTGCTTTGTGCCGATCGAGCCTCTCCCCTCTCCCGGACTGACGCCCTTTTGTTGTCCATGCACAGATGGAGCCATCAGGAAACTGTCAAAAAGATCCGCGATTCGCTCAAGGCCCGCGGCCTCTCTGTCTGGATGGACTTGGACTGCATGGCCGGCAACATCAACGACGCCATGTACGATGGGGTGGTATCGTCCCGGGTCATTGTGCCGTGCCTAACGGCTGCCTATGAGGTCAGACACCGCCGCGCTGATTCATACATTGACCAGGGCTCGCTGCCTGCTCGACGGTTCTGACATGCCACAATCCTCGGAACTCTGCACAACCCACATCCCCTGCACCCATGTGCTGTCAAACAGGCATCCTACAACTGCAAGAAGGAGCTCAATTTTGCCGACGCAGAAAAGAAGCCCCTCGTGCCCGTGCGTCTGGACCGAGGGCCGTTCACCTGGTCCGCCATCATCACCTCGGGCCTGCTCTACGTCGATCTCTGTCATCCCAACGGCAGCGACTCCGAAGCCGCGCCCATGCTCGACACCGACTCGGCCTGGTGGAACTCCAAAATGGACATGCTCGCCCGGGAGATCCGCGCGAAGCAGAACTCCAAGCCGATTGCGCAGCGTTCTGCCGTAAGTGGGTCGCCCAAGTGTAAAGAGCCAGCAACACACCAAGCGCGAGGACAGCCCAGGTCGTAACAGTGGCTGATTTTGACGTCTTGACCAACCCGGATTCTCATCTTCACGACGCACTCAGCAATATCGGTGGAAGTGGGCAATGATCACCTCGGGCTCATTGATCGTGCTCGTTGCGATCGTCTACGTCATTATCGCCGCAGTCGAGGGCCGGTTCAACGGACTGTTTGGCAACAACACACCCAACTGTGAGTGTTTTGAACGCAATCGTCTGCGGGCCGCTGCTTTGGGTGCCGCTTGTGATCATCATCCACGCAACAATTGCACTGAGGGGCGTGTGTCCCATGCAGCTAGCTTCATGCGATTTCTGATCCACTTGCTCATGCGCCTCTGATACACTTACTTACACGACCGGATCCACACGACCCGACACCCCAATCCACCCGGTATCAGTTTCATTCAGCGTATCGACGCCTCAATGGGTCGCTGCAAATGGCCTCTCATGCGACAAAGCCTGTAGCAAGGCCAATCTGACTTTCTACTCCACCAGCACCACGGCCAGCACCGCCTATGCCGTTTGTCAGAATCTGCAAGGTGAGTGGCTGCACACACCTGGCTGCATGTCCTCGCGCCTCCGTGCACAGCGGCCGTCAGCCGACTCTCTGGATGCATGGACAAACTGGCATGCTCATCCCGGCCATGCTTTGGCAATCTCAGACACCGACCCGACCATTGCCATCTCATGGTCCGAGATCCAAGTCGCAGGCAACAGCACACTCTGCGGCAGCTCTTCATCGGCAAGCTATGAGTGTCTCTGCGTCGATCCAAAGTTTTCGGCCTCCGTGAGCACAGTGTCCAGCGTCATCGGAAACACTTGTGACGATGCTTGCAGTTTCTCGCCTCCCAATACTGCCACGGTTCCTCACCCCGGTAAGCCTGCCACTCTGCAGATGAACGTCCCGCACATCACTTCATCCGAAACCAACCCCGCGCCCCCAGTCTGAGATTGCCGACACAGAGATATCCAATGACTGATCCATCTTTGTTGGTGGTGGTGGTGATGGTGCACACTCTAGCCGATTCTTCCTGGGTTTTTCCTGTCAAGGCCCTCTTCAATTCGCACTTTCCGCAATACTATGGGTGCAAGACCCTGACTGGCTCTCAGGCCGGCACCGTCCTCACGGGCGTTTGCCAGACCAAGGTTCTTGACAGCAGTGGTCGCTACGTCTCTGCCAACTCCACGGATCCGTTTGGACGATCCATCTCCTTCCAGTGCATCTGTGCTGTTCCGCCGGGTTCGCAGCCGACTCACAGCTCGTGAGAAACAACAGAGCGACACGACAGAGTCGCCGAGGATATGGTCCAGCATTGGCCCAGAGGTGAATCCATGCGTTGCCTCGACGAATACAAGGCTCCCTGAATACATGCGTGGAATCGTGACGCCAGCGCGGCATGCAGCATGATCATCGTGTGCAGGACAATTGCGGAAACCGGGGAGATCTTGGTTTGGCGGCATGTTGGAAGCAGACCATCAACGACGACATGTCCTGGGTAAGACGCACACAGTTTCCACCAGAGCACACATTGCCCCCCCCCAGCGCACCATGCACCATACACCAAACACCATGCACCATGCACCAAACACATGCGCCCAGCCCACCAAGCAACACCCGACACCCGCAGCGCCCGTGGCGGCGCCATCACCGCAGGCGTCCAAGGCGCCTGGCTCGAGAAGGGCGCGGCGGCCTGCGGCACACGCGGTCTGCGCGCCCATGGCCTTCTGTGAGATCAATCCGCTGGCCTGGATCGGCTCCGATCGCTCTCGTCTTCCCACTCCAATTCAATGCATCTGCACCGATCCGCTCTCCCACGCCCCTTGCTGTCTCTCTTTGCATGTCCTTGCTGCTTCTCGACACACATGGCCACTCTGACGCCGCTCGTTCTCGGCACCCCCTCCCGCCAGGTCGATGAAAAAGGACATCCGTCGCCGGCCTTTCTCGTCTTGCTCTCTTCCTTGCCCTTTTCTTGACCAGGCCCTGAGTCCTTTCGTCCTCCGGATACTTGGCCTCCAGCCGGCGCTGTGCTGCCTCCCTCGACTCAATCTCAAATAGTCGAGCCTTGCCCTTTTCCCGTCCACATTCAAGGGCCTCTGCTGCTCACATTCCCGCTGCAAATCTTGTCGCACCCTCGATATCCTGCCAAACACCATCGCTTCCCACGGACCCACCGTCCTGCCATGCATCAAATCATTCGGCTCTTCCTGAGTCTGGCCATCGTCGCCGGCCTCGCGCTCTCCGCTGCTGCCATCCCCAACCCAAAGACTTACACCGTCGGCGCCATCGACCTCACCGTCTTTGATTTTGTCGAGACCGGCTTCACCAATGACCCGACCCTGCAGTCGCCCATGATGCTGTTCTGGAGCATCCTGAACCTGGGCACCGCCAACGAAACTCTGCATGCTGCCCTGGTGCTCGACCCAAAGCGCTCCTCGGACGACGAGGTGCAGAGGGAAACCGTCGCGAACTCGTGGATGGGCTTTGCCCTCGGCAAGACCATGCTGACCGCCGACTTTGTCATGGTTTGGGCCAACCCTCGCGATAACAGCACTGTCAAGCTCATCGAGGCCCTCTCGCCTGGCCAATACAGCCCGCCCAAACCCGCTCCGCAGAAGCTGTTGACGCCCGGTGTGCTCTCTCAGCAGGGCAACGTCGTCGTCGCCGAGTTCTATCGTCCAACCCAGGTGTCGATTCCGAACCGGCTCTCGATCAACACCGCGGGACTCACCGATACGATATGGTGAGTCTGCTGTCGTTGCCCTGCTTTGGATATGCAGTCGGCCGCAGTCGGCCGCAGTCCCCCCCCCGATCTGCATGTGGGACTCACCAATGTGATCGCCATGAGAGCCTGGGCCTTGCACAACGGTGGGATCGTTGAGTGCATCGCCGTTCGCTGTCTCACACCCCATCGCCCTTTTGCTCCGTCTCTTGCAATCCAGGGCATACAATGTCGATCCAGACCACAACAGCCCCGGCGGATGGCAGTTTTACCACGGCTGGAACCGCGGAGGCATCACCTTCAACTTTGCAACGGGCGCAAACCAGGTGCAGCCCTACGGCCTGTCCCGCACGCCAAAGTACATCCACGGCGGTATCATGATGCTCTGCTGGCTGTTGCTCTATCCCGCAGGCATCTTCTGCGCTCGCTACTGCAAGTCCCTGCCCCGATGGCTCTGGATCCACGTCATACTCCAATCTGTCTCCAGCGTGCTCGTCTGGGCAAGCGCCATCTACATGCTTGTGTCGCTGCCGTCCATGAACTGGCTGGTGATCCACCGCCACACCATCCTTGGCCGTGTCTTGGTCTCATTGCTGGCAGTCCAAGTCCTCTTGGGCTTCTTGAATCGGCTCGGCCTCAGCTCGGAACGGATGGCCCGAATTCGGAGCTGGATCAAGCTCTCACACGACATCCTTGGCTGGCTGCTGATCCTGGCCTCCATCGTGCAAATCGGCTTTGGCATCCAGAACCTGTGGCCCTGGGAGGTGGCCAGCACCGGAAGCGGACAGATGTTCACCTTTTATTTCCCGTGGGTGCTGTTCTTTTTCCTCGTTCTGGTGTGGCTCATCCTCTTTTGCGGCGCCGAGGTCTACTACCGTATCTCCATCGTCAACTACGACCGGCCAAAGATCAAGACCCGCCTCCGTCTTCTGCGCCGATTCAAAACCATCGACGAGTACGAGGCGCCCGATACCATGCGCAAGCCGCAGCTCCAGCTTCAGAAGGGTGTCGACATCCAGAGCCAGTATCTGACCAGCGTCTCGCCCTTCACCTGGAACGACATCAACGATCGCGTCTTGAGGGGCGACATCCTCGTCGTCGCCAACGGCAAGTTTGTTTATGACGCATCGCAGTGGCTGACCTCGCACCCGGGCGGACAGGTCATTCTGTACTCGTGTGCTGGCACCGACATCACCAACGACTACTTCCAGTACGTATGATGTGTGAGCGACGGCGCATCGGTGCGTACTGTGATGAGCCGGCACCTGGCCTGCTCTTGCGAACGGGGCAATGTTCGCAATGTTCGCAATATTCGCAATATTCGCAATGTTCGCAATGCACGGGATATGCTGTTCTTCTCCTTGCTTGCTGTTCTTCTCCTTGCTTGCTGTTCTATTCCTTGCTTTACTTTGCTGTGCTCACCACACACACTCATATCCGCTTTGTTCACGCATACAGCGATGCCGGCTTTGATGCCGAGGAGTTTGTTCCGCGACCCACCCCAACCGCCGCCAACACCCTTCGCCGCCGCCGCAACCTGTCCCGATTCGACCAGACCTTTTCGAGCCCAAAACCGGCCGAGCTCTCGCGAAAGCCCACGGTCTCCCCGCCCGTCGACAACTTGCGCTTCCCGTACCTGAGCCAGCAAGAGATCGAAAATGTGATCCGCGCTCGTCGCACACACGTCCACACTCGCCTTGCCATCGAACGTCTGTCCTCGCTCTTGATCGGACAAATCGTCACCGATCCCGGTCTCTCTTCTCCGAACGACGAGCCCCTCTTTGATCCAGCCGAGTTCCGCCGATATGCCTTGGTCCAGTCCATCCGCGAGACTCAGCCATCGTCAGCGGCGCAGCCATACTACCGTCTCAAGTTTGCCCTGCTGTACCCACACGACACTCGCTACCGCGAGCCCAAGATGCTTCTTCCCGGCCACGTCGTCGAACTGCAGCTCCGAATCCGCGGCAGACTGGTGTCGCGCTACTTTACGCCAATCGAGGGTTCGCTCATGTCCGCGATCGAGATCATCGTGCGCCTGAACCCCAAGGGTGAAATGAGCCCGTATCTGGTTGACCAGAAGCCCGGCGACAAGCAGTTCAAGATCCGCGGGCCGTTTGGAACCCCGCTTGTGAACCCGCAGCGACCCATCAACAACGACGGCCAGTGGTGCTACCAGCGTATGGCTTTCTTCACCAACGGCTCAGCTCTGACTGCGGGACTACATCTGCTGAACTTTTTGTTCTTCCCGACCGAGGTGCCGATCAAGGTGAGTTGATTTATCTCGCTGTCGAGCTTGGCGGTGTCGTGATTGTAGCAAAGATTGGCACTGATGGACTGCTTGGCCCCCTGTCCTCACCCAGATCAGCATGGACTATCAAGCGCAGCATCCGGACGAGCTGAATCTCAAGCGAGGCCAGTGGGTCGTTGTGCGGACGCACTACTACGACGGCTGGGCAGAGGGCCAAAACATGACCACCAATCAGACCGGCCTGTTCCCGCTCGTCGTCACCAAGCCGCGGTGCGGAACCGAGACACAGCTGACCATCGTCAACGTCGTCCGCAACATCCATGAGATCTGCGGGTCGTACCTGATGGAGGGAGCCCTGCTCTCGTATCCCAACCAAGTCCGCATTGTCCATGTTCTGACGGGCGGTCCGCCCTCCGACCCCCACGGCGTCGTCAAGACCTATGCTCCCGGTAACATCATGCTCGGCAAAGTCGGCACTGCCATCGTCGACAGCATCCTGGGCGACCCCAAGTACGGCCTTCTCCGCGACCCGACGGCAGGGGGACAGACTCCATTCGGCAATGTGCGGCAGCGCATCTACATCTGCGGCACGCGGTCGTTCTCAGGACGGATGTACGAGACCATCATTGACGAGCTGGGCTATCACCATGGCGACATCTACATCCTGCCCGACGAAGAGAGTGTCCATCGCTAGTCCGACCGCCTTCATCACCACATCCCACTCCATTTTTGCTGTTATTCTCTGCCTGTTTGTGTTTTCTCAATATCAGTCATACATTGGTCGCCGGCTTAGATGGCCCACCCGCCTGTGTTTGCACCATGAATGGGGGGGGTGTTCACGATCCATGTTCTGCACAGGGTGGACCAACCTGCACCAGCCCGATATATGCAGTATCCCACGCCAGCGCCATGGCCAAGAGCGTCCGCTGGTGGCAACCGCCCCCAATCCATGCGATCCTGGCGACAAACCAGCGCGCCGCGCCGCCCAGCCAAAGCGACCCCTGCTCATCCGGGTCTTGCGATCGTCGTTCGTTCGTTCGTCCGTCCATCGTTGTTCGTCCATCGTCCATCGTCCATCGTTCATCGTCGCTCACTCGGTCACCAGCGCACCTCCCACCGACACGAATAACCTGGATATCGCCCCGTCTGCCAGCTATCGATTCCTCGCGCTATCACCACCATCGCTTCGGGCTCTGCACCCGCCACCGTCTTCTGTCCGGCAACGACTCCCTCGGACGGCACTCGTTTCCCTACAACTGCTACTCGACAAAGGTCGTCGCCTCGTCCTTCGGATACCTCCACCCGCTCATCTTCAGTCGCCACGCACAAGTCCCATCGGGCCCATCGTCAGTGTCCTCTCCCATCTCCGCCCCGATCTCCACCGATCCCTCCTCTCCCGCATCACTGTCCGCCTGGCGCATCCCTCTCCTCCTCTGTCCATATGCCCCGCACTGGTCTTGAGAAGGGTATCCAGGCCTGGACGCTGAGGCTGCGGGCCCGCATCGAGGCCCTCTCCCGTCCCCTCAACTCTCCCGCCAGCACAGTTGCCACCAGTCCCAGCACCATCGACTCGGGCTCGGCTGCTTCTGGCCTTACCTCGCTCCAAGTCCTGGCGACCTTGGTGGACCAGCTCGCTCTCTTCAACCTTGCCCGCCGCCCCGAAGCCAGTGCGTCGCCGCAGCTTGAAACAGTCCCCTCACAGGACGGAACCGAACCGACCGAGCTCGCCAACAGCAACCTGGTTCAGATCCTGACGGATATTTCGCGTCTCGTCTTGGTCGTCGACTTGCCTTCGGAGGTGGCCGATATCTGGGAGCTGGTTGCTCCATGGACTGGGCCCGATAAAGAGCCCCAGATTCGCAGGGCCGCTTTGGGCTTTATCCCAGCCTGCCTGAAAGGCCAGGGCAACCACATCGATACGCTGCGCTATGCCTTCTTCTCGGCCATCAGCGACTCGCAGGACGACGCAGCGCAACGTTCGCAATCGCAGTCGCAACCTCAGCCTCAAGTGATCCCGGACCTGGATATCAAGTTCGCCATTCTCATCGCCCTCACCAATGATGGCCGAGACATCCGCTACATCGAAAAGGGTGTGGTCGCCTTGATCAGCCTGTGGATTACGAGACTGCTGGCTCTCCGGCCGCTGGCTACGGTCGTCCGTCCATCAGCAACTTCGGTCGCCGTCGCCGCCGCCGCTGTCGCCGTTTTCACACCGCTTGACGAGCCCAGCCATGAGCACAACGCTGCCGAGACCAACGGTCCCGCTGGGATATCGCCGGCGGATCCCTCGACGGCACATCTTCCGGGCCAGGAACTCGTCGCTCTCTTTGCGCTCTTTGCCAACCTCCTCCGATTCCACCCGGCGCATTTGCCAGCAGATCAGATCCAACAGCTCCTCGAGATCGTCTATCGCATCAGCATCGAGCCTGTAGACGAACTCGCCGAGCACTGTCTCGCTGTGCTCGACATTATGCTGCGGTACGGCTCGCTACGCCTCGACTCGCTCAATGTGTATGTCTTTGCCCTCTGCCGGTTTGTGACGGACCACAACCGCTCGGGCACCTGCTGGAAGATCATGAAGAATCTGCTCATGTAGGTCAATCGCGCCGGCTCCTGTTCTTGACCTATAGTTTGAAGCATTGTCTCCTCCTCCTCCTCCTGCTCCTGCTCCTGCTCCTATTTTTCCTCCTTCGTGATCAGGGGCCATGCTTTGCGTACCGTCCCCACCATTCCTCGACTCACCACCCTGTGTGCGTCTCTTGGTCCTTCCATCTGGCCATGTCGTCGTCCTTGCTATAGGTCGCAGTTCACCCAACCCGCCATGAAGATCCTCTGCGGCATCATCCAGGGCAAGATCAGTCTGCCACACCACACTCGACCCAATATTCTGCGCGGCGCCGTGTTCTTCCTCAGCATCAGCAACTGGGGCCGCAGTCAGATCCATAACCTCTCCTATTCGCCCATGTATCTGATCCAGTGTCTCCGAGAGGCAGCCCGCAGCCGAGTCGACATTGCCGATGCCGAGATCCTGATTTCCCTGGTCCGTCTTACCCGCAAGGACTCGCACGTCTTCTCGATGCTGGAGTGGGATCTGATTATGCAGGTCTGGAGCGTCCTTGGTGAATACTGGACCGACAGAGAGCGGCCCGTGCAGCTGCTGCTCGGCGACCCGGGGCTGGTTCGAGAAGATCTCGTCCGGGCCCAGCTCCCCACCCTCGAGCTCATCCTGAAGCTCCACAATCAACTCACCATCACCTTGACGGACGTGTATCTCAACTACCGCGGCGCATCGTCCGTTGCCTTCTTTGACCGGCTGCTCGACTTGGCCCCGCATCTCTTCGATGGCCTTGCAGAGACCCTGATCCAAGTCAACTCCAATTGGTCGTGGTATCCATCCTTCCCACGGTGGATCGCGGCAATGTCGAGTCTGACGGCGGCATACATGCCGTTGCACGAACGCCCCGCCATCCGCACCAAGCTCTTCGAGATTATGGAGCAGAGTTGGTACAATGTCCCGCTTGCCGAACAAGATTTGTACTTTGAGCAGATTCTCCGGCCGTTCCTATCGACGCTGACAAGCGAGTCCGATTCCACCATATATCAGCGTGCCGTGGCCTTTACCGTGCTGCTCGCCAAGGAATGCAACGACGCCCAGTTCAACGTCATTGCTTCGACCCTGATCCAGTGCTCGCTCAACAGCTGCTCGACCCAGATATACAGCTGGGGCGGAGAGAACGACTTTGACGTGGCTAATCCCGAGCAGCTCGTGTCGGTGCCCGGCTTGCTTGCAGAAGACGCCTCGGCGAGGGCAGCCGCTGCCCTTGTGGGACTCTTTGGACAGTGCCTGCAGAGTATGAACGGTCCGAGATGTATCACGCTCTACTGCCATATCGGCAGGATTGCCGCCTTGCAATCGGCCCCCACGTCGGTCCGCCTGGTGTGCTGGACGTTTCTGACTCGCCTCCGTGCCGATGTCGAGTACTGGCTGATCTGCCCTGTTCAGCAAGATTCTGATGCCGGGACGCCCCAGGCCGAACAGGCCAAGGCCGAGGATGCCCTCGAAACCTTCATCGTCAGCCGACATGTGGTCTGCAACACCACCACGTCGGCCCCTCGCCCGTCGCGGCCCAGCGCTCGCCCAAACGCATCCGAGGCTGTTCTGCTTCCGGTGGACAAGTACTGCAACCTCATTGCCAAGCTACTGCGAGAAGAGAGGGACTGGCCGGTCCTGTGGCACATCCTGACCTACTTCTCGCCGCAGCTCCGCAACGTTTACTTTTTTCAAGGCGTCTCTCCGATCATTCAGTCGGTGCAGGACGTCATTCACGACCTGATCACCGGCGAGAAGGCCGGCGCTGCCGTTTCCAACCTTCCCAGCAACGTCCGCAAGACCGATATCTACCTATCCCTCTGCAAAATCTTGACGGTGCTGCTCTCGTACCAGCACCACGTCCCGGGTCCTAAGCAGGACGAGCTGATCTCGACGTTCATCTCGGGGATGCAAAAGTGGCCGGCAATCTCCAAGTTCTGCGTGCACGCCTTGACCTTGGCTTTGATGGAGATCCCCGAGCGGATGGCCAAGCACACCCAAGCCATCACGACCGTGCTCGCGCAAAAGACTACCTTTGCCATGGGCACACCCAGTCTTGAGTTCCTGTCGACGCTCGCACGTCTGCCCAACATCTGGAAGAACCTGACTCAGCTGGATTTCCGTGCCATCTTTGGCATCGCCATCCAGTACATCCAGATCGCGCAGGATCACCTCCAGGATACCGAGAAGCAGCTCGGGGAGTACATACTTCATCTCGCCTATCACGTTGTCTCGCGCTGGTTTGTCAACATCAAGCTGCCAGACAGGAAAAAGTACATCGAGTTCATCATCAGCCTGCTTCTGGTGTCGGCGGGCGACCGCAAGTTCGGCGAGAGCGCCGAGTTGGTGCTGGACATGATGATCCAGAACTCCTTTGTCGACTGCTGGCCCAAGCCTCCGCCCGAGGTGATCGAGGAATCGAATCTCAGAAAAAAGGTTGATCGGGGCTGGATCCAAGGCAACTGCATCATCACCGCCCGGATCCTGACCAAGCCGCGCTGGATGGAGATCAGCATTCGCCGCCCCTCGGCGATGGTGAGCATGTGGGTCCGCCTCGAGAACCGCTTCAAGACGTCGGACTCGGCATCAGTGTATCTGCCTGCTCCGCTGTCGTCGCACTGGCTATCGGAGAAGGACATTTCGGCCATGGCTTCGGCCGAAGAAGGCACTGAGGCGTCGCCCGTGGGCGGCCAGTTACCAGACGGTGCGTCGCCCGCGCCACAGATGTCGGCTCTTCGGAAGGAGCAGATCCAGGCACTCGACCCGAGCTTCATCGTTTCCCAGCTGCTGTTCTTCCCTACATTGCAGCCAGCCGAGCGGCCCGTGCTCCTCCCGGACGACGACGCCACCACTCGGACCATCTCTGTCCTCGACAGGTGTCCTGTTGTGGATCTGCACAAGATTGGCGTGGTCTACTGCGGGCCCGGCCAAGACACCGAGCAGGCGATCCTCTTGAACAGCTACGGATCGCGTACGTATAGCATGTTCATCCAGTCGCTCGGCAGCACCATCACGCTGAAGGGCTGCCGCGATGTGTATACGGGCGGCCTCGACACAACAAGCGACGTCGATGGCAAGTACGCCATCATTTGGCAGGACGACTTTACGCAGATCGTCTATCACATCGCGACGCTCATGCCCAATCCGCCGGAGGACGCCAACGGAATCTTCAAGAAGAGGCACATCGGCAACGACTTTGTGCTCGTCGTCTTCAACGAGTCTGGCCTGGACTACAAGTTCGACACCATCCCGGGCCAATTCAACTATGTCAACATTGTCGTTACGCCCGTCGGAGCCAAGAACTCGGCCACGGCCGCGGTGTCGATCCCGTCCGAGAGCTACGCCAACCGCCACTTCCAGGTTGCAGTCCAGATGAAAGACTCGATGGAAAAGTACGAAGTGGGCTCGATGCTGGACGCCAAGGTGGTCTCGGGAGATGCCCTGGGCAGCTTTGTGCGCCAGATCGCCATGCACGTCAACCTGTTTGCCCAGATCCACATGCAGTCCGAGCGCCGCACCGAGTACTGCAGCAACATGAGGGAACGGCTTCGTCAGATCAAGCGCTTCCGCGACCGCCTCCCCGCGTCGACTGTGTCGGCAGACCCAGAAAAGCTTCTGGACTTTTCGCGTTTCACATGAGCGGCTGCCGTATCGATCTGGCCCACGGTGGTCGCCTGGTCCAGACCGGTTTTGGCCTGCGGCACCGCTGCTCCTGGCAGCCCACGAGCGGACACTACGGTCAATCTCTCGCCGCTGCTGCTCCAGAACGTCATCGGTTATAGCCCACCCCCACCCACAAAGAAGCAATATATCTGCTGTCCCTTGGCGGTGCATATCCTGGCCGAGGTTCTGAGTCGGCCATGTTTCTGGACAATCCGTGTGGCTTCCCGGCCCGCAAGCGGGATAGAACAACAAGGCACATAGTATTGCACACGCAAACAGGCCGCTCACCGCTGCATTGCTGGGGCGGGCCTCCAACCTTTGGGCATGTGGGGCAGCACGGGTGTAAGCATTCAAGTAAATACACATGCACACGCGACTTTGCCTGTGGTGCCGAGAGACTAGTCGTCGATCGTGTAAAAGTCGTCGACGGAGATGATCTCGCTTTCGATCTTGGCCCTCTTTGCATCCTGCGAGTTGTCCGCAGCGCCGTTTTCCAGCGAATGCTTCTCGGCCGAGCCCGCCGCGGTGCGCTTGTGCTGCAGACGAAGTACGCGATCTCCTTCGATATGGAAATCCGTCGCCCCCAAGGCTCCGCTGCAGATTGAGGAGCGTCACGAAACATGCAAAGCCAGAGACGGGAAGGGTTGAGCACGAGAGGCTCGCCAGTGTGATCGGGTTGGCAACTGGCGGATTTCCAGATTGTCGGGTGCCCATCACCCCCACTCTCAGCAGATCCGCCCCATCAGCGAGGCCGGGCAGAGCACTGGAGGTCGTCCGCGGCCGAGTCATTTCAGGCGCAGGGATGCATGCGACAATGACTTACTCATGCGCCACCGCGATGCTGACAATGTAATTCATGTCAGGCTGGTCATCGGGCTCGGCCACCGCCGTCAGGAACTTGTGGTGGGTGATGTGAACAGCTTCCAGAGCCTTGTCCTCGTTGTCGGTAAAGTCGAGATCATAGATGAGTCTGGTTCCGGTCATTGACAATAGGTCTCGCGCGTTAGACAGGGCCAGCATTCGCTTGATATGCAATGCAAATGCAAGTGCAAATGAGACAGAATGCTGCCGCTTTCTCACATAATACATGCTAACTTACGCGCCCGTGTCGCTGGTCAATGCCAGCTCACCAGAAAGACCGAGGCCAGACTTGTCGGCGCTATCGTCCGAGCCGCCGAGCAGAACGAGCTGCACCAGGTCCCGGAGAATCATCTTCTCGGTGTTCACGCGGAGAATGATGTGGTTGTGGGCGCAGACACCGCAGTCTGGATTCGGCTTGTCTGGCTTGTCGGCTGTAAGCACTCGAGGAAGCCGACCACCGTAGCATATCGTGGTCTGATATAATACACATGCGGATTCCGCCACAGTCTGTCAGAACGACGTACTGGGGGATGGGAGGTATACAGGGCAAAGCGTCCAGATGAAGCGTCCAAGCCAAGGCGTCGGCACACTCACGTCGATGCACTTATTAAAGTCCTTGTTGATGATGTTGAATGCCTGGATGATCATGAGCCCTGCGGCGATTGCGTTTGTCGTCGCAACGGCTGCGATAATGTTTCCAGCCATTTCTGGTGTCGCGCAGAGGTTGTCAATTGAGCAGAATCGGAGTGTAAAAGCGCAAGAAAAACGACACGAGCTCGATCGAGGGGGGGAAGGAATTGCGCTGGTCGAATTGGACTGGTCGAATAGCACGGCAGTCTTCAGGCTACTCACGCTTGCACGAAAAGCGGCTTTGAATTGGAATGCTGAACACATGGCAGCGCAGGTTGCACGCTGCTGTCACAAAGTCCATCGCTTCTTCATCGTCCTTGTCAAAGCCCAGGGTGCTGTCGGGGCGATCGGCTCTGTCTTGCAACAATCGAGCGGACAGGCTGTGCAAGCTGGCGGGTCAGGTCATGCAGAAATGTAAGCATACAAGAACTAGGCGGGCCGCTCAGCCCCGAGGCACTCCAATGTCCGCCCATGTCGGGTCGCTAAGGCCGTCAAAGACACCCGAGCTTGCCAAGGGTGGTTCAAGGGCAAATGCGAGTGCACTTACCTGGTGAGAAAAACGGAGAAGTTCTCGCGCAGTGTCCAGACTTGGTGGTCTCTCGCCACGCCAACCTTGGGTAGGTGCGCCTGGAGATGTTGCGACGAGTCGCGCCGGCGGGTTTGTCTGGTGGTGCCGATGATGCTCTCGTAATCGAGGGGGGTGGGCTTGGTACGGGTCTTCCAGAGACTGTCCATGTCGACAAGGCGCTGGATGTCGGTACCAAAGATCTAGAGACATCGAGATGAGGCCATAACATCCGTATGCGCGTGAGATTGATGGGCGCTCGCTCTCTGCTCCTGGTCCGTCCTGGATGGCCTTGACGGTATACTATACCTTTTGGAATAGCTTTTGTTCAAAGTCCTCGCTGCCCATGGTTTTCAGCAGGAGCTTGAGCTCGTGTGTCTCCTTGTTGAGCTTTTCAATCTCCTCCTCTGTCGATGATTTCGTGTGGTCAGTACAACTGCAAGCAACCGAGCTTTCTGTGCGCGACGGCGCATGCGCTTACTGTTATCGTCGCTGATCGTCGTATCCATGATATCGTCTTCGTCGATTCCAAAGACTTGGCTGCGATGTTGAAATCCATTCCAGAAACAGAGCCAGAAGGAGGAGGAGCAGGCCATTGGTGATCGTGAAGCCCGTCAGCTCTACATCCTTGCCGATCTTGGGGAAGGCAGCTCGAGTAGCACTGCACTGCCGTTTCTCGAGACGCTGCCAAAATCTGGATGGCTCTGGAGAGGGACTGCAGTACGCGCGGCCATACCTGAAGAGATACTTTGCCCAGACGACGCAATGCACAGGTGTGCTTGGGGTGCTGCGGATAGTGCAAAACGGAATCTGCTTTGGGGCCACATGGGGACGGCAGTCATAGCACTGGCTATGGCCCTGCAGCCAGAGACGCACATTACAGCCGGAATCAGTCCGTGAGTCGACAGGATCGGGCCAGCAAGCGAGTCAAGCAGAGAGCCCGAGTGCCCGACCTTGATTTGCACAGACGTCTGTCCGCGGAATCCGGCTGTTCCAGATTCTATCAGAGATACGCCGGCAGAGACACACATCAGGTTGACTCGGCGTCTGGCCTCTGTTACATTATGGACGGCGTATTGGGTTTGTCAGTCAGTAGTGCGGGTGTGTCCCTGGCACAAGACCGCATCTGCGCTCGATTGCTTGCGAGCGCATTCCCTCGTCCAAGCTCGAAAGACCATTACCGATGTTGTCCAGGGCGTTGAGGACCAGGTCAAATCCCTTGAACCACATCACATCGAACTGAGGATCGAAGATGCTGGCGTGGTGGGAGGTGATGTTGACATGGGGATTGAATCGCAGGGCTGCTTCACGGGCGGTCTGTTGGACGATATAAGGGCGGTCACCTCGTGGCCATTGCGCAGGGGACAAGACGGGCAACAGTTGCTGACTCTTGGCGGTATAGCTTTCTGGCGATCCTTTCGAACACGCCGAAGAATCGTTGCAGGCGCACACAAGCTGCGTCGATATGGCCCGAGCAAGCATCTATCCGTGCCCTGAGCGAGTATGCAACGGCGAGGCGTGATGGCGCAGACAAGGATGGGAGTGCGGGCGTACATGTGCCTTGGACTTTTGGATATGCTGCTTCTGGAAGAGGAACTGTCGGTTGAGGTTGGAGAGATCGATGGTGTCGAGGTCCACCTGCATCGGTTGAATATTCGGCCATGGCATCAGAATAGTGCGGCACCAAGCACGGACAAGCGAACAGGGGATGCATCGACCACAAGATCCCAGCCCATGTTCCTCGAACAAACCAACGCGGGCCGAAATACCCCCGCAGTAGCGATGGTAGAAATGGCGACAGCGGCAGCAGCACATACGATCTCGATGTTGTGGAAGCCGCTCATGACCAGGTTCTTGAGGAGCTCGCAGCCAATGCCGCCAGCGCCAATCATGAGCACGCGGCTCTTGCTGATCGTTTGCAGGAGCTCCGGCCCGACGGCGACGCCCATGTCGTGGTAGCGGCCGGCGGGCTCCGGCTGGGTTGCGCTGGTCTCTGGAGCCATGTCGACTTGCTGGCTGGGCAGGGTGATGGAGGAGAGATGCGTGGCGAAACTTGGTGCGAACAAGCCGCAGCCCAAAGGCGCTCCTGGCTCGAGCCAGGATCCAGTCTGGAGGCGGCCAGCCAAATCAGGATAAATGGCCAGCGATCGTCACCGACCGCCAGGATGCTTCTGCACATACCCCGCCGTTCACCATCCATACCGACAACCGCCATGCCCAGAGGCGTCAAGGGCACGAAGGCCCAGCAGCCGACCGCCAAGCGGACGCCTCGCAGTGCGATCAAGCCCAAGCACACAGCCGGCGATCTCTCCAATGCCGGGAGCACTGGCGCAAAGCAACAACCGGCAGCGAGGCGGAAGCGGAAGGCCGAGGAGCCGCCCGAAAGCCTCGATAAGCCCGCACAGAAGCGGAAGAGAGCTGCGCCAAGCAGATCACAGAAGACTCGCGGGCCGTCGTCTCGGGGCAAGCGTGTGTCGGCAAAGGCGGGCAAAGACGACGATGCATTCTCCGAGACAGGCTCCACTGACGGCGACGATGGTGATGCCTACTCTGCCAGTAACGGCGATGAGGACGATGGTAGTGCAGATGAGAGTCACAACGAAAGCCAGAACAGCGGCAGTGAAGAAGAAGACGACGACGACGAGCGCCGCCGAAAGCCCCGCAAAGGACCGCGAGGAAGATCGCTGCCCTCCAGGCGGGATTCCAAGAAGAGCGTCGCGCGCCCAGCTCCATCCCGAAAGAAGGCAGCTCGCAGGGGTGCCCAGGACGAAGCCAGAGAGATGCCGGCGACAAACCACAGGTGCATCTCATATCAATCAGTATCTGGCTGATCAGTTCCTGCAATGAGTTGCTGGATCGATTCATCGGCTCCAGACCACCAGTATCCAGAGTGAACCAAGTCCAGTCGGCCGATGTGCTAATCACTTCTGCAATCCATCTGCGATCGGCCGATCAGCGTCGAGACCGACACATCCGTCGTTGGGAAAGCAAGACAACTACTTCACCCCTCGGCCGTGCCAAACTCGCTGCCGTGTCGCGAGTCCGAGTTCGCCCAGATCCAAGCATATGTCCAGGATGCGCTGGAGTCGGCATCTGGGACCTGCATTTGTAAGTGCTCCACGGGCTCAAGCACTACATAATCTGCTGCAAGAGACTGAAGAGACCAATCGACTTTTCTGCTCCATAGATATATCAGGCGTGCCCGGGACAGGAAAAACGGCGGTAAGTATCTGCCAGACAGCATGAGAACGAGCGCCGGGTGCCACTCGGCACTTTAGTGCGACGAGGTTGCTGACACACCCACAGACCGTGAACAGCGTCATGAAGACACTCCAAGAGATGGCCAGGAATAAGGTACTCGCCCTCTCTCCTCTGTGTCGTTGAGCGCATGACGACAGTGCAGTTCGGCCGAGCAGATTCGCGAGCAGCCACAGAGTGCTCAGCTAATGCAACCGGATACTCCAATGGGCTCCCACCCGTGATAGGAAACGCCGAATTTCAACTTTGTCGAGATCAACGGCATGAAGCTGACAGAGCCATCCCAGGCATACTGTGTGCTGTGGCAGTCGCTCACAGGGAAACATGTGAGCTCGACCCAGGCCGCGCGTTTGCTCGAGTCCTATTTCGAGAAAGGTGGCTCGAAAGATCCTCCGTGGTAGGGCCCATGCTACCAACATCGATAGCCTGCTTTTTGGGCTGCCTGTCTCGAATGCAAACCCGACAGCGCATGGGCTAATGGCAATCTCCCATGGCATCAATAGTGTCGTCTTGATGGACGAACTGGATGTGATGGTCACCAAAAAGCAGACCGTCATGTACAACTTTTTCGACTGGCCGAATCGCCCAAGCTCGCGCTTGATTGTTGTCGCAATCGCCAACACAATGGACTTGCCGGAGCGCATGCTCGCCAACCGCATTTCGAGTCGCATGGGTGAGATCCGTGTGCCTGAGTACCACTGGCAGTCGACTGCCCATGCCGTGCCTTGGTGCTGATGACTGTGCCCCGACCAACGCAGGCTTGACTCGGATCAACTTCCAACCCTACACGCACCAACAGCTTACCGAGATTGTGGAGTCTAAGCTGTCGGGAACCGAGCTTTTTACGAAAGATGCCATCACGTTCTGCGCACGTAAAGTCAGCGCGGTAACCGGCGATGCACGTCGAGCCATGGACATCTGTCGGTAAGTGCGCGGCTTGTGAGAGGCGATGCTTGAAGTTCGTTGACGCTGCGTCAAGATATCGGTGGGCTTTGGCGCACAAGCAGAGCTTCGAGGCAGCAACTGGTCCGAGCACATAGGGGATATCCTTCGCCATCAACTTCCAGCATGGCGGTGGAGCCGGTCAGTTCGTCGCAATTCTGGCTACTGATGTCATAACTGTATGCCTTGATTCTGCCTATGCTTCACAGGAAAGCCATAGATATATTCCAGAGCCATGTCGAGCAAGCAAAGACACCCGATGGCGGCGAGCTGTCCAAGATCAGCATCGACATCATCAACCAAGCCATCAAGGAGCTCTCAAGCTCGCCGACTATCCAAGCGATCCAGAACGCCTCTTTGCACCAGCGGATCTTTTTGGTGGCGCTGATTCGGGTATTTCGCAAGCACGGGCTTTCGCGAGCGCAGCTTGGAGATGTTTCTCGCGAGCATCTTCGGCTGTGTCAGCTGCTCTCCTATTCAGCCCCCAAGTTCCACGAGCTCTTCCAGATCTGCAGTACTCTCTGTTGCAACGGCTGCCTCAACATCCAGAGCCACAAAGTTGAGATCAACCACGAGATCGAGCTCAATGTCTCGATCACAGATGTGGAGACGGCTCTCAAGAAAATCGACGATAAGGCACTTTCGTTCCTCGGCTGATATCCCGCCATTCTGTAGCCACCTGTGATGGGAGGATGGAGAGCATGAATATACTTGTCGCATGACATACCTGCTACATGAACGTATTTGCCACACGAGCGTACCCGCCCGTTCGGAGCGAAACGACAGTGTGTCCCTGGGTGCCTCTCACGCCAATAATTGTTGTTGGTTTCAGGAACGTGGTTCACGCATTCGATCATGGTTTCTCGACACCAAGAGAATCGGGCTGAACGAGTCGCTCGCTATGGTCTGACATGGATCTGGTGGTGGAACCGATCAAAGTGCTGGGCGAATCTCAGCCTGCGTGGTCGCCACAAGCCCCTTCCCTTGCTTCCCCGAAGCATTTCAAAGGCAAACACAATACCGGTCTCCTTGGACACTCTGTTGGTCGAGGGCACAGTGAAGGAGCCGCAGCGGGGAGACTGTTGGTCGATGTGGCATGGCCCCAGCACTGCTTCTGCCGTGGGACATGGAGCCGGACTGGCCAGCACAAAGCCCCGCCCGCCTCCGCTCTTGATCTCCCCTTGCTCTCTCCCCGCCGCTCAAGAAGCGCTCTGCTCACATCGCCCGAAAGACCGCCATGCACCCTGCCAGCGCCGGTGCCATCGCCAAGAAGACTAAGAAGAAAAAGTCCAAGAAAGCCCGTGCCCATGTCGTCTTGGCTGCAGCATCCAAAGTCGATATCGCCACGGCCCTCAATCCGATGAGCCAGGGCGCAGACGGCGAAGCGGCTGTCGTCGGCAATCCAGAGCCCGATGCCAGCGTTGGATCACTGATGTCGACGGAGCTTGTCGCTCAACCCCGCTCCCAAGCCCCTGAGTTCCCAGCCGAAAGCCTGCCCGTCGTCGCCGGCGACAGCACCGTGCTGACCGATCGCCTCGGCGGAATCACAACAAGCAATCACTCCGGTACTTGATGTTCCCTGTGAGCACTCCGCAGCTTGCCCTTCAACCTCGCCGGTAGTCAACTCACCTGTGCTTTGTTGAATCGTCTACTCGGCCCCTTCCAGATCTGGTCTCGCAGGTTGCTGCTGTCGCCGAGGGAGCAGTGGCCGAAACCGAACCCAACGGAGCAGCGGCCGACTCAGATCCAGAGACCAACATGCATCCTCTGCTGCGAGAGGCTCGTTTGAATCTTCGCAAGACATCAAGCGCGACCCTCCAGACCGCATCAACCATCGAGGACGACAAGAGCCAGCGGCTCTATGCGCCGCTCCGAAAAGCCCGTCGCCAGCTTCTTCCCCAGCCGGCGACTGCTGCTGCTGCCGAAGGACCAAACGGCAACGCAGCGGGGAACAGCGACGGTGACCCCACTCCACCCGAGATACCGCTCCTGGCTGAGATCCGGCGCAGACTTCGTCCAACCCAGATTGTCCGTCCTGCCAACTCAAATCTCGAGAATGGTCGCGCCGGCTTTCCCATCACCCTGCGCTCCTTCGAAACAGGCTGCGACCGAGAAGATGCCCCCGCTGAAATCCAGTCGCCTGGCAAGAATCCAATGTACCTCGAAGCCCGAAACCGGCTGCGGTCTGGCCGAAACCGAATGTTTCCTATCGTCGAACCTGTGGACCAACCTGTGGCTGATCTTCTCGTGACCGAGAGTGAGCTCATGGGCGGTATCGACACCATCCCCAACGACGTCGTGGCAGGCGAGTCAAGCATCGCAAATGATGCAGACGACGCTGCTTCGGATAGCACGATCGAGCCGCCTGTGTCGCTCAAGCGACCCGCCAGCGACGAGACCTCCGACGTTGCCCCTGCGCTCGCGATGGCCGAGGCCACCTCCGATCCATCGGCTGCAGATGAGCATGGCGCCAACCGCAGGACCAAACGCAGGAAGCATCTCAAGGCCGCCCTGTTCGAGACCCGCGAAGAGCCGAGGAAGCCCAAGGTATAACTGCTACAGTTGCTGGACCGAGGAACGGGGAGAGCCGAGCGTCGCTCGCGATGCTCAAGTACCCAGAGCTGCTGTTGACATCATCCCACCCCATCCCATGCCATCCTAGACACCGAGGCGATCTGCCAAAGCCGACAGCACAGTTGTTCCCGAAATCCGCCAGCGCTTCGAGATAGTGACGGGGCTCACACAGGGCATGGCGGCCTCGCCAGCCAAAGCCAAGGTGAAGAAGCTGAACATTGCTGTCTCGACACCAAATCGCACACTCAAATCGTCTCGTGAGCAGCTGCGCAAAATTGAAAAGAAATGAGCTCCCTCAGGAGGCCCCTGGAAATGAACGGGGATGTCGGTGTGGGATTGCTCCGCTGGTCTGCAATATAGCGCTGCGTCTGCAATATACACTCATTCCAGAAAACTGGGGCAGTATCCGTTTTCTCTGGCATCGGCGACACAAGTCTGCCGATCCGTAGGCTGCGGTGAGCAAGCCGTGTAATTGTTTCCAGTTCTGGTTGGCAATATCTTTGATTCCGTTGGTTTGGGGAGCATCGTCTTGAATGCACTTGGTCGAGCTCCTGTGGCAACGATTGATATCTGGCATTCCGAGATCGAGGTACTTGACTCGCGTCGCATGGCCACCACGCACTCTGAGCACAGTTTGGTCATGGTGGCGATGGGCAGTGTGTATACTCAGGCCCGGAAATCAGCCACAGCCCTGTCCCGAAACAATCTGACTCGTTTCAGAATGCCCATGCCGAAGCACTGCGTCTGCGAGAAGCAACGTCGCTCATGGAACCCTGGCCGAATGCATGCCGCCACAGCCCTGGCTGGAGGCCGCTGATTGGCTGGGCGGTGCGGCCACAGTTTCCTTTTTGGGGCGGCGTGTCGTTCGAGCCGGCTCGAGCCGTCCACGTGTCGCTCGCCTCGTCGAGATTTCGCCCTTTTTGCCATCTCCAAAAGCGAGGGATTCCCGAGAGCCTCCCCCCGTCCAAAAGGCCAGCGAGCCCTTCTCCCTTCTGCATCGACCTTGCCCCCGTCCGGCTCTGCTTGGATATCCACTCTGCCCTTGTGTCTGATCCAAAGGGACTGCCTCGTCCGATAACCACTCATCCGCCTGATCCGTCCGTGACGCTCCCGGCAAAAGCACCTCTCCTCTATCCATCATTATGAGGCTCAGATCCGTCGACCGAACGGCCACAATTGCGTGGTCGCCCGGAAAGCACTCCCCGCTCCTTGCCACCGGCACCGTCGCTGGAGCATTCGATGCCTCCTTCAATTCGTCCACCAGCTTGGAAATCTTTGACCTGAATCTCGACTCTGTTCCGGGAACCGAGGGTGCCTCGCGACTCAAGAAAGTTGGCTCCATCAGCAGCAACGCCAGGTACGGCGCACTCGGTGCATTCATGCCGATGAACGCATCGATCGCATCCAGAGACACCAGCAAGCGTTTGCCTGTGGCATCGATTGTTGCGTGGGTGTATGGCCGAGCTGCCTTCTCAATGAAGCCACCTCCCCCCCTTGCTCTCTCCTCGCCGCCAACACTCACCGCATGTTCTCTTCCGGAACGCCAATAGATTCAACCGACTGGCCTGGGGCCTTTCCAGCGATCCATCAAAAACCCACGGCATCCTCGTTGGTGGCAAAGAAAACGGCGAGCTCGAGCTGTGGAACCCCAAGCTCATTATCGACAACGGCCCCGATGCTCTGGTCCTGCGTCAGTCGGCACATTCTGGCCCTGTGCGTGGGCTGGACTTTAGCAGCGTGGAAACCAAGCTCTTTGCTTCTGGATCATCGGATGGAGAAGTACGTGCCGAACGCACCGTCGCAGACCAGAACCACCAGCCCGTCCTGTGCTTGGCATACCCATAGCATAGTATTTATCCAACCTGGGTCTGACCAATCCCGTCAATGTTTTTCAGATCTTTGTTTGGGACCTGAACAACCCCGCCAAGCCCTATTCTCCTGGTGCCCGCTCTCTCAAGCTCGAGGACATCACTGCGCTCTCGTGGAACCGTCAGGCCGGGTCGATTCTGGCCACAGCCAGCAACAACGGCCAAACCGCCATCTGGGACCTCCGCACTCGCAAGGACCTCATCACCCTTTCTCACCCAGGCGGAAGGAGAGCCATCACGAGCGTTGCATGGCACCCGGAGCATGTGAGTAACAGGACCGATGACGCTTGGTCGAATCCGTGGAACTGGCAGCCGACTTGTGCGTTGGTCTCCTTTCTCATCGCTTTCTCTCATGCTCCAGGCAACTCAAATTGTCACGGCGGCCGATGATGATATGAGCCCCGTTATTCTCACTTGGGATCTTCGCAACGCTCGCGCCCCTGAACGAGTAAGTCCCATTCGCCTCATCTGTCGTTCTGTCATTCTGTCGTTCTGTCGTTCTGTCATTCTGTCGTTCTGTCGGTCGCCCGTAATAGCACCCGAGTTGAGAATTGTATCGTCTAACGGATTGCCCTTCGCTGCGATCTATAGCAACTGGCTGGCCACACCAAGAGCATCTTGTCGCTCTCTTGGTGCCCGAAAGATTCGGATCTGCTGCTCAGTTGTGGCAAGGACAACCGCACCCTCGTCTGGAATATGTCGTACGGAGAGGTCATTGGCGATCTCGAACACAGCAACAACTGGGCGTTCGATGTGCAGTGGTGCAGCCGCAACCCTGACCTGATCGGTGTCGCCAGCTTCGACGGCAAAGTCTCTGTGCACTCCCTGCAGGGCTCGTCCACGGCGTACGAGGAGCCCGTCAGCGTCGTCCACAACCCTGGAGTCCCCAGCGACGATCCCTTCGCCATGCTCCAGCAGTACAGCACCCACACAAACGACACCGGATTTGTGCTGCCCTATCCGCCAAAGTGGCTCCGCCGCCCGGTTGGTGCCACTTGGGGATTCGGCGGCAAGCTCGCCGTCTTCAACAAGAACCTCGGCCCAACCGCAGTCAGCGTCAAGTCTGTCGCTACCAACGTCGAATTCTTCAGCCGTGCACAAGAGCTGGAAGGTGCGCTGCAGGACGCAACTGGCGAGAGTCTTTTGACTTTCTGCAAGAAGATTACCAGCGAGCAGCCTGCCAGCAAGGGCGGCGACGTTCTGGGATTCCTGCGTGTTATGCTGGAGCGCGGCGAGCGCGAGCAAGTCCTTGAGTTCCTGGGATTCAACCGCAACAACATTGCTGGTGACCGCCTGGCTGGCCTCCTGGAGAAGCTCAAGATCCAAGCGCACCCTCCCGCGCAGCCCTCTCCAAAGCCAACAATCAAGACCCTTGCGACCAAGGACGATGCTGAAGTCGAGAACAAGGACTCGCTCTCCGATATGTTTGCGGGCGCTGCAGCTGATTTTGCCGTTGGAGGAGGTGACTCGGCTGCCACAGCCGCGGCCGTGATCTCTCCCAAGCCCAAGCCCAAGCCCACCGTGGGCTCGACGCCATTCAAGCTGTATCCGGTCATCCGCCGAGGCGAAGAGAGCGATGTCGATGTTCTCATCACTCGTGCGTTGATTCTGGGTGACTTTGAGACCGCGGTTACGGTCTGTCTTGGAGCCGATCGTCTCGCCGATGCCGTGATGCTGGCAGTCTGTGGTGGCCACGAACTGCTGGAGCGCACTCAGGCCGAGTATTTCAAGCGCACCCGTGACAAGAAGAGCTATGCCCGCATCCTGCATAGCGTGGCCAACCAGGATCTGCGCGACATTGTCCTCAATGCCGATCTCGATGGCGTTGAAGGTGGCTGGAGGGACATCCTCGCCCTGATTTGGACCTATGCCAATCCCGAGGACTTTAGCGAGTTGCTGAACCTGATTGGCGAGCGCCTCGAGGCCTCTGCCGCTTCCTTGAGCAGCATCAAGCTCGCGGAGAAGGAGAGCAAGAGTCTTGCGGCGGTACTGTGCTACCTCGGCGCTGGCAACCTGAAGCGCGTGCTCCCCATCTGGACTCGCAGCGATGCCGACGATATCAAAAAGTCTTCGCTTGCAGCCCCCGGTCGCCAGGCTTCGAACGGCTCGATTCCTCTCCCCAAATTGCAGGCGTTTATCGAAAAGATCTCTCTTTTCCGCGAGGCGATTCAATACCAGGATGGCGATCTGGTGGAGCAGCCTGCGCAGTACGAGCTCGAGAGTCTCTACAACTATTACGCCGAATATGCCGAACATCTGTCGGCGCAGGGAAACATTTTCGCTGCCCAGCGCTACCTGAACCTTATCCCGATGGCATACGCGTCCGCCAAGTTCATCCACTCAAACGTCGACGCGATCACTGTCCTCCGTGATCGGGTCTATCAAAGCGGAGGCTACCGCGTTGCGACCACGAGCCAGCCCATGTTCCCTTTCGAGCTGGTTGACGTTTCTCTGGTCAGCAAGCCCGAACCCGTCGCTCAGCAGCCCGCGCATAATCCATACGCAAGCTACCCGCACGGCACCACAGCCAGTAACGCTGGCTATGACAGCACCAATTATGGCAATACTGCCACTTACACAAGCACCACCGGCTATTATAACCCGTACCCCGGCACTGGAGCACACGTATACTCCCCAAGCGGTAAGCATAGCACTCTGGCCAGAGGGGGCCACGAAAGCCCGCCTGCCAATCTGAGAGCGCTTTGAGATGCAATGTGCCTCTCCCAGACAGCCCCGCGCTGCCTCCGGTTTCTGCTCGCAAACATCTGACATGTTGCCGTCCTCAATTGCCACAGGTGCCCCTGCCGCTTACGAGAACACACCCAAGTTCGCGCCGGATACCTTCCCCAACCACCCCAACTATCCATACGCGCCTGACCGCAGCAGCTCCTATCCCGCGGCTCCTCTCTCGAGCACGGCCACTCCATCGGCAGGCGCGGTCAACTTGCCCCCGCCGCCCATCGCGCCGATCAATAACGGACTCGCTCGTCCGGGCTCGGCTCAGGGCCCCTTGGGCTATCCTTCGGCCTCTGCCTCCGCCTCCCATCCCGCATACGACTTTGGTCCCTCATCGGTGCCTCAGCCTAACCCACCGAGCATCAGTCACCACGGCCCGCCGGCTGTTTCCCAGCCTCCGCCACGCGTCAACACCCCGCTGATGGCCCCTCCCCGATCCGTGCCTCCCACTGGTGTCTTTTCTCCCATCGTTCCGTCTGCGCCTGCCCCCGTCCCTGAGCCCGCCGCCCCCACCCGCCATCGTAAGTCATGCTCTGCGTTGAATCCGAAATCTTCCGATCTGCCGAATCTGTGCACACACTAACCACTCTCCTCTGGTGCAGCTTTTGGTGATCTGAGCCATATCCCGGCCGAGCACAAGCCACTGGTTGCTTCTGTGCAAAAGTACATCAAGAGCGCAAAAGACTGTGTCGTCGGGGTAAGTGTCTCACGTGGACCCAGCCCGAGAGTGCCATTCGATATCTGTGTTCGCGATGTGCATGGCAGCGCTCCTGGACATTGCGCTGGCTCTGAGCGACCGATCCACTGCCATGTTTCAGGCCCAGCAAAAGAAGATCATCGAAGATGCCGAGAAGCGTGTCAGCCATCTACTGGATCAGCTGAACAACTCCGAGCTCCCAAAAGACATCACCGACAAACTCTCTGAGCTTTTCAAGGGTATGTTGGCCATACAACACTCTAGGCCGCCAACAGTGCCGATATGCCGCGCCTGGCGCGGAACTGACGTCGCTTTCCTATCCTTTTCATCGTCCCAGGTCTCGACTCGGGTGACTACGCCAGCTCCCACGCAGCTCAGGTCAAGCTAATGAGCGAACGATTTGATGTGACTGGCGCCTGGGTTGTTGGCATCAAGCGTCTGATTGACTCTGCGGAACAAGCAGCCAAGCGGGCAGCCCAGCCTTCTCCTGCCGTTTCGCATCTCCCCCCGCCTCCCACTGGCGGCATCCCCTCAGCCAGCGCGCAAGGACGCGGAGCGTATGGCGCTCCTCCTGCCTCAGCCAATGCCTATGGCGCTCCTCCTCCATCAGCCAACCCTTACGGCGCTCCTCCTCCATCAGCCAACCCTTACGGTGCTCCACCTGCATCGGCCAACCCTTACGGTACCCCTCCACCCGCTGCAAATTACGGTGCCCCTCCGACAGCCGCTAACTATGGCGCACCGCCGGCATCAAACTACGGAGCACCCCCTCCCCAGGGCCATTCGCGACCTTTCTAGACTGGAGTGATCAATGCCTGGCTTGACTGTTGCTTCTCGCCCCCGCTTGCCTCTAATCGTGCGCTTGTATGTGCGCCTCTTACCGTTCCCCAATGTTTCCTCCTCTCCCCCCCCCTCCTATCGATTGCCTGCGTTCGCTCTCGCCAAGCGGCGTCGATCGTTTTTCCCCATCCTCTTTCCATCTGGGCTGTTTGTTGAAATTGGATACAGCTGGCCATCGGTGAACACGCAGTCTCAATCAATTTGCAGCCAGTCCATATGATCCCACGCCACGCCTTCGCAGGCTCGGCGGCGAACTCGCAGCCAAATCGCCCAATTAGAGGATGCGTGCCGAGACCAAGAGCTGCCGACCGGACATTCAGCACCGGTGCCGGCAGCTAACCATGCGAAGGAATTGGGAGGTCCAGAAGCGGTCCAGCAGAAGCATGGACGCAAATCTATTACGGGCGGCATCATCAACTGTACAGCCATGCATGCTCGGTCCCCCAGGCAACCAGAGCAGCAAATGAAAAAAAAAACAAACAATAACATATACGCAGAGACAAACGAGAGAAGCAGACCGCAAATCGTAAGCAAAGGGAGGACGAAGAAGGGGAGCAAAAAAATCCCAAAGGAGATATCAGATCTCAAAAAAAGCGCCAGGATCTGGCGAGTTTGTATGTAGATCGAGCACGACATGTCCCATGGATTTGCTGGTTGCAAATGCGACCGGTTGCTCTGACAAAGATCTGCAATGTAGTCGCAGCCCGTGCAAAGGGGAGACAGGCTCGGCTGCCGACTGGATTTTCAGGCCGCATAGCGTCTCGACAACATTAGTTCGAAGGATCCAGCACCACGCCGACCTGGGCGGGTCTCAAGACACGACCGTTCAGAGAGAAGCCGGGCTTGGTCACCTCCAGGACAGTACCGGGCTCCTTGTTGGGCACGGGGACCTGGAACATGGCCTGGTGATGGTTGGGATCGAACTTTTCGCCCAAAGGCGAGAACCGCTCGACGCCGTGGCGCTTGAGGGCCTTCAGGAAGTTGTCCTGGGTCATCTTGACTCCCTCCTGGAGGGTCTTCAGGGCACCGCCAGCCTGGAGATCCTGCTCCGAGACCGAGCCAAGAGCCAGATCCAGCACATCGACCGTCTCCAGCATGTCCTTGGCAAACTTTTGGATGGCGAACTGAGAGGCGTTTTCGATCTCCTTCCGTGTCCGCTGGCGGATGTTTTCCTGTTCGGCGAGGGAGCGGCGGTACGAGTCGTGCAGGTCCTTGATCTGAGACTCCTTGTCGGCCAGAGTCTGATGAAGCTTGGCCAACTGATCGCTCAGCTCCTTCTGGCTGGGCGCATTAGCGTCGGCGGGCTGCGAGGCCGACTCGGTGGTGTACAGACGAGCGACGGCTGGGACAAGACGTCTTGCCGAAAGAGCAGCCGGGAGCGGCAGGCAGGCCGCTTGGGAGGAGGCAGCGAAGGAGCGTGCGATCTGGCGACGGGCAGCAAACATGGCAGCGGGATACAACAGCGTGGGCGTGTAGAGGAGCGAGATGGAGATTGGGCGAGCTTGGCAGCGACGGTGTAGATGCGATATCAAGCTGGATGACGGCGAATCGACAGCTGCAGACGACGGAGAGGCAGATCAGACGGGCTGCGCGACCGCCGACTTTTTTTTCGCCGGCCGCTGATTCGTCGATTTGGGCTGCGGATGGTGTGTGTGTGTGCGTACACAAAGTGTGTGGCGTGAACGGCCTGGATGCAGATCCAGAAGCAGCTTGCGATTTCGTAATGTAGTGAAAGTACTTATCGGCATATCGGATCGGTCTCCGTGAGACCCGAGTGCGAGCGATCGGCACAATACCCTGGAGGGCAGGTGCGAGGCCAGATTTGCTCACAACCAATCCCGTTGTCCAAATCGATAGATTGCAACTCACCAACTCCATCTCCTCACGCCTGGACACACCTGCGAGGCTTTGAACCCAAGGAGTGACAGGCTGAGGACTGGGACGGATGTACATTGCGGATGGACACTGTGGATAGACACTGTGGGTGGATATTGCGGATGGAGTTATGGATGATGGATGCGTGTGTATTCCCATCGCACAGAAGAGGATCTGTCCTGGGCTCTACGTTCATTCAAGATGGTATCAGCGAGCAGCTCCAGAGTTGTGTAATTGTGCATCGCGTGGCTGATTCGATTAGCTCTGTACTTGATACCATGTCCGAGAACTAACCTGACGAAGTAAGCTCGGCTCTGTAGAGTGCGGCGAAGCCTGCAGGAGCATCTCACGACCAACCGCTCGTAACAGTGGTGATCAATGCCACAGAGGCCGGGTACTCATCCGTGTATTCGTTGGAAAGCCTCCAGTCTAGCCAGTCGAGTCTGCCCTCGCTCATTTTACGATGTCCCGAACGGTTCACCGACCAAGTCGAGCAAGGGGGCGAGAGAGTATCGCGAGGGCTTGGGTATCGGCCGTCGGTCGGATCCACCGCTTTCCCGTCTCGTTTGGAGCGAGCTTCAGAGAAGAGCGAGGGGGCAGCCCAGCAAGTGGGTATCACTGATGATCTTTGCCGGAGGGTATCCCTGGCGATTTGTTTTAGCGCACAAGCTTGCGCCGGAGTACTGCAACAAGGACGCTGGGCTGAGAACTAGCGCTTTTGCTTGCTATGGGGAAAGACATTGGCCATGTGGCCTGCACGCCCTTTCATCGCCGCCTGGGCGGCAAATTGACTGCTCCACCAACGCCGCTTTGGAAGGCTGGATACCCTCTCGAAAATCGTTGGTCGTTAGTGGTTGATTTGAAATGACTCTGATGCTGCGGAGCCTGATTGGTCGGCAATGCCATCGCAGCAGCAGCAATACTCTGTTTCGGCGATGGAGTGCTGCCAACCAATTCACCCACACTGAGGTATCCCGTGGCTGCCAGTATCGATCGTGCTTGTCCGGACTCAGGTTGAGTAACTCGGATGCCATGGTTTGGTATCCCATTGCACCAGAGTGACCCTGTGGATCGTTGCTCGAGCGGCGAACTGTGTTGACGCCTCCAGACCTCTGTGTTTTGCATGCAAGTTCGGTCGACAAGCAAACATCATTACAGCACCAGCACGCAAGCTTCTCGTTTCCAACGCCAGAGTGGGAATCCGAGCGAGGCGGGCTGTGGGAACGGATTCGTTTGTCCAGCCACGGAGCAAGTGATCCGCCACGGAGCCAGCTCCGTCCAAGCGCGCGATCGCCGACCGCCAGTGCTGCGATTTATCTTCGCCACTATTGCCCAGACAGGCAGGCAGGCTGGGCCGTCCTCGGGTCCGCCGAATGCCCACCACCCGCAAAGCATTCGTATGTTGACAGCGGGGAGTGTGCAATGGCCCTCGCTTGGGCCTGCACACCCGGAATACATCAATATCGTGAGCAATCAGCGCAGCTTTGGGATGGTATCTTCCCAGCGACTTTCATATCCACCCCCCCCCAAAAAAAAAATGCCGATTCGGACCATTGGCCGCCCAGAGATCCTGATCCGGTCTGCTGCCGAGCAGGGTATCGCTCCGGCCACAGCCGCCAAGACGGGTCAGGTTTGGCCAGAGAGCATCGCCACCGCGCCCATGGCCTGTTCATGCCCTCTCAACGGGACTTGGAGGGCTCGCCAGACGACGATACGAAGCTGCCCGACGACCCAGTCCGCACCGACCAGAGCAAGAGCAGCACGACCAAGTCGATGCCGACTTGGCCAGAGACAACCCGGGCAGACCCAGCTTTATCAAAGCCACCAGCCCCGAGCGGTGTTGTGGCTGTTGTGGCTGTTGTGGCTATTGTGGCTCTTGTGACAGCTTGTTGGGGAGGACAAGGAGAGGGTATCCAGCATTCGACCAATCGTTTTTCGCGCTCCACGTCTGCCCTCGCCGTTAAACTCTGGGCCAAAGCAGCAACCTCCCTCTCTGCCTTCCCCCCCCCTCGATCTCCAAAACCTCTGCCAGTCCGAATACTCGATCATCCTCAACCGCCCCTAGCTGCTCTCGTCTCCGATCTTTGGTCTTTGCCTCCGCGCATCGCAGACTCGCCGAGATGTCCAAACAGCTCATGGACAAGAAAGCCTCGGATCCGATGGATCCGCTGTCCTCTTCGCCTTCGGCCCCCTCGCTGCCTGGTGCTGCTCCCCAGAGCCAGCCCTCACTGGTGCGTCCATCTTTGCCATCCACCTGACTCTGCGATTGCCTGCGTTGCCACCTCGGTGTCGCACTCTCTGCAGCATCCCATCAGCCCATTTTGCTCTCATCCTCCAAGTTGCCTGTGCTGCTGTCTTGGCGACTCTTGTTGCCTCGCTCTCGTTCCGCTGGTCTGGCATCTCTGGAGTGGCACCCGTGGCTGCCTATTCTGGTCTCCGCCGTCGCTCACCCGTCCATATCATCTTCGTCCCTGCATCGCTCGACCCTGAACTGCAGAAAGTGGGAGCTTGTTTCTGCTGTGCCAGTTTGCTCCGGTTCCCGCAAACGGTTTCGTGCTTCAATTGCACCATCTGCAACACGAGTAAGCACCGCGTTCGCAGTGACAGCGGCCCTGTCAGCCCCTCTATACTTGAGACAAGACAATACCGATGATCGCGCATGGCCGCATTCAACGATTCGATCGATTGCTGGCTGATCGGAGCGGATATAAGGGGGGGATCAACGTGCGGCTTGTCCAAAGGGGCCGGACCTTCGGACAGTGGCTGCTCAGCGAGCTAACATTATCGTCTTGCCAACATCACAGTCAATGACCTCACGCCCACCGGGCCGCCAAAAGGTTTGTACCGCGCTCTGCCAAGCACCAGTGTCTTTCGCAGCATCCACGACTGACACCCGATTCTCCTGAATCTTTCAGCCAGCCACTTTGGCATCGCCCTGACGCTTCCCCTGGTCCACAAGCTGGCATCCGATGCCACGAAGGATCAGTCCAAAATCGCGCCGCTGCAGAATGTGCTCGCCGATAGCTTCTCAATATTCCAGTTCCTCAACAGCTCATTTGCGAATGTAAGCACCCTCCCAAGCTTGCTCCATCGCCGAGTTTATCACTTGCACATCTGCCGAAGCAGCTTTGGGGGTGTGCCACCCCGCTGGCCTGGTCAATCGTAGTCGATGCTTGTCGCAATTAGAGTTGCTAATGCTAGGTGTTCGATATACAGCTACAGATGCCGCCATCACTGCAGAGCACAGGACTGGACACGGACTCGATGGACAAGACCTTCAGCATCATCTCCTCCGTATGTTCGAGCTAGTCGAAGCAGATGTCTGTGATGGAGCTACCTGCTGCCTGCTGCCTGCCATACTGACTCAAAGCCACCTTCCGACGCATTTGTCGCTGCTACGCCTCCACACAAAGTCGCCCCAGTTGGTCACGATTGTTTTCGAGGCTATCCTCCGTCTTCTGAAGCGACCCGGAAGGTAAGCACTGAGTCTGCCAGCAACGCTTCTGCTTCGCCCTAAGGCCGCGGTACCTTAACTCGGCTACGCGCATATCCCAGACCGATTCAAAAATGCAACGAGCTTCAATTTTTGATGATCATCATCGAGGTATGCATCTACAACCAGCTCAGCTGTCGTGCAGCATGCCTGCGTCGTTGGCCTTCGACTGGTGCGGAAGCCCTCTCACTGACTCGATTTGGCTTGGCTACTGTTCAGTGCCCCTTTATCGTCGTTCGACCATCGATCCTTGATGATGCGAAGCATCTCGAAGTTGTTGCCCGACTGCTCGGCCTGATATCCGGACTCGCGAATGAGCTCCACCATTTTATCGTCAACTGGTTCATTCTGTACGTAGCACACAAAGACCACGCCGTCCTCTCACCTACCGACGCCCCTCACATCAGCCAACTCGATGTTCGAACGGATGCATACTGACACGATGCACACATAACGACATTGGCCCCGTAGCATGCCCTTTGAACGCTTCCAAAGCAAGGTGACCCTGGTCAATCGCTTCATTGGAACACGGATGACCCGAATGCAGAACTTCCCCTCCATGTATATGAAGGACTGGGCGATCAAAGCCGCTGCCAGGGTTATGGCACTTTTGTGTAAGCACAGCGCCGGCATCATGCGACCAGTCCGTTGCAAGTTATGGAGTGCAGCCTGAGGACAGTGAGTGGCGCTTGAGATGACTCTAACTTTTATGCCGTCCATAGTCGCTGCGAACGCCAAGAGATCGCAGCGGCTCCACGTAAACGAGTTCTACAATACCGTTGTCGACTACTTGGATGTGGGCCAGGACTTTTGGCGGTGGCAGGGCGAGCATGCTGGGTAGGTTTCGCACCTTTACATCCAGCGGCCGAGGTGGGCTGGCTGGCTGGCTGGCTGGCTGTGGTGGGCTTGCAGATTCCTGCGGGCCATGGTGCAGGACCGTGTTGCTGTGCAAGCCATCAATCGTCTCGCTGCGCATCACTAACCAGCCTTTCGATTGGACGCTGCAGATCGTTCTCTTTCTGCCAGTATCCGTTCCTGATATCGCTGGGGTCGAAAATTAAGGTATACCATCGATTCGAGACAGAGACTCATCCGCACGGATCTTGAACCAAGCTGAGCACCAGCCGCCTTCTGTTGGTACTGATACATACATCGACCTCGATCCGACTCCTCCAAATCGCCCTCAGATCATCCAAGCCGAGAACTCTCGAATTATGACCGAAAAGTTCAGGTCCGCGTACTATCGTCTGACAGTCCACGGTCTCCCCGCCGATCCGTTCCTCACGCTCCGGGTGCGACGCAACAACCTCATCCACGACTCGCTGAGCCAGCTGCGAGCACCAAACATCGATTTGCGCAAGAAGCTCAAGATCGAGTTTGCCAACGAAGCTGGTATCGATGCCGGCGGCCTTACCAAGGAGTGGTTCCTCCTGCTCGTCCGCGATTTGTTTGACCCACAATACGGCATGTTTGTCTTTGAGGAAGAGAGCCAGCTCTGCTGGTTCAACAAAGCTAGCTTCGAAAACACTGAAGAGTTTCGCCTCGTTGGCACAATCCTGGGACTGGCCATATCCCACGGCACCATCCTGGACGTGCATTTCCCGTTGGCGTGCTACAAGAAGCTGCTCAACGTGCCTCCGACCTTTGATGATTTGATGCAGCTTTCGCCGTCAATTGGGCGCAGCTTCGAGCAAATGCTTAGATACGACGCGGACGACTTTAGGGACGTATTTGATCTCGACTTTGTGGTCGAATTCGACCGATTCGGCGAACTCGTGCGCCACGAGCTTATTCCAAACGGCGCATCGATTCCCGTGACGAAGGACAACGTTCAAGAGTATATCAACAAGTATATCGAGTGGAAGTTCACCACCTCGGTCAAGGCACAGTTCGACGCCTTTCAGACCGGGTTCCTCGAAGCATGCGGCGGCAACGCGCTCTCACTGCTGCGCCCTTCGGAAATCGAGGCCATTATCATTGGCGAAACCGAGATCGATTTTATGGGCTTGGAAACGGTTACGGAATATGAAGGGTAAGCACCGATAGCAGGCACTGGCTATGGACCACATCCGCAAACAAGCAATCGCAAAGCCGATCCCGCGCGGCTGCAAATGCTGGTTTGACTGACATGGCTGGCTAAACGCATCGGCGAATGTTCCATGTTATCTATTCTCAACCGCAGATTCGTCCGAGGCGAGCCCTACATCAAATGCTTTTGGGAGATCATCAGCGCCTACTCGGAGGAAAACAAGCGCCGATTCTTGATGTTTGTCACTGGAACGGACCGCATTCCGCCTACGGGAATCCAGAACATGAAATTCAAGCTGTCCTGCCTTGGCGAGGTGAGTTCCCAACACGCCAGAACAGATTGCTCTGATTCCACCATCCTGTCGCCTGGCCCTCTCCAATGCCTCTCTCTGCACAGCCACAGCCGCAACCTCAGCCACAGTAGCTAACTTCCAGCCGTCTCGGTCTCGCAAACTCCATCCACAGGATTCAGATGACTTGCCTCTGTCGCACACGTGCTTCAACCAGCTGTGTCTGTATCGATACTCCTCAAGGGCAAAGCTCATCGACAAATTGGAAAAGGCAATGCTGTGGAGGTGAGTGACTCGTTGTGTGCTCTGTGTCAATGCCTGTCGTGATCCGGACACAGTCCAATTCTGACATGTTGTGCTTCTCTCTCCCGGTTCTGTTGGCAGCTCTGGCTTCCATGTAAAATAGTTGCTTGTCACGGCAACATTGGCAACCCAGCGGGGGGAGGTCAGGCGAGGAAACTGCCAGTTCCAGCCAAAACAACCCCTGTCTTTGTGTGCCATTTTCTGCACACACTAACATCCGCACCATACCTGATCCGCCCGCTCTGCTGCCCACGACATCATTCACTCTGTGCCTCATCAATTGACCCCGTCGGATTTCCATCGAAGCTCTGCGGCTCCTCGACCTCGTATATGTTCCCCCTTTCTGATCGATTTTGCACCCAGTGCCCAGTTGCTCAATACCACCAATGAGATCGTGCGAGATCTAGTAACAGTTTTGCCCCGCTCCTAGAGACAGTGTACTGTTCATGTTGCCAAATAATACTGCAGTATACAGTCCTCGCGGAGACAGCCGATGGTGTGTGGGTCGTGGTGATGGGCACCGATTCCAGGGCATGGAGCGGTACCAGCTCCCGCCATCATCACCACCGTCGCCATCTGGCCATTCCATCATCAGCACCACCGCCGTCGTTGAGCGTCGGCCTGCAAATCCGCAGAATCCGAGGTCGCACCCGATAGCCGACTACACAACACTAATATCGACCCCTGACAACGGGAAAACCGCATTTTCAGGGGACACATGACAGCGTAGTATGTGATGGCATGCGTCTAGCTATGCCACAAGAAATAAAACAGATCACTTTGGCAGCCTCCGAGTGAACACCACCGGTCGCTCTCCGGTCTCCACAATCGACCTGCACTGCTCAAAGTACCGAGCAAACCGCTGCCTCCGAGGGCTGGATGCATAGCCCTTGCCTTGTCGCCATGACGCATTGCCAAAGGCGATCACCACATCGGTCCGTATCGGGGCGTGCTTCAGGACGGCCTTGCACATCCTGTCGACGGCCACTTGGCGCCTCTTGTGGCCCGTGAAGCGATGGTGACGGGCCTTCTTGCCAAGGTGGAAGTCGAGCTGCACTCGCAGCTCCGGTTGCAGGACATGGGTGAGATGGACCTTGAAAGCCTCCGAGGACGACACCTTGGGCGAGGGGTGGTCGACATCCAGGTCTCGATGCTGAGTCGATACTTCATGATATTGTGCCACTTGGTGTCGGACTTGTGGCCACACATTTGCTGGTAGTGGCCATTGGAGAATGAGACCACCTCGTCTTGGTGGCCCGGTGCTTGGATGACCGCCGTGAAGATGGAGCCGACTCCAGGATCGATGCCAATCCAAGTGGTGCGATCGGGGTCTGGGTCGCCGATGTGGGCCTGGATGCGTTGCTCGGCAGTCGGAGGAGGCTCGATGGTCTCGGTGCGATCGGTTCGAGGCAGAAACTTGACGAGACCGATGGTGCATCCAATGCCATCGGTGCTGATCTCGTAGTTGAACAGCTTCTTGTTCACGTCCCGCTCTTGGAAGAGGGAACTACGCAGCTTGAAGCAACTGCGCCAGAGACGATCCTGGTTGTTGACACCGTCCGTCAACCCCCTGGACCTGACGAACGTAGTGGGTTACTACGAGCTGGATGGCATGAGAAGGTTCAACTGGCAAGACCCGGATGTCCATCTCCTGTGGCGAACACTCCGAAGAGTGTTCAAGACGCTGATCATCGCCAAGGCGGGGTGGAAACCCCCCAGGCGATAGGCGGCATGGTCGAAGCAGAGCGAGAGATGAGGGCATATGGCTCTCATTTCTCAAGACTGCTCACTAGGTCTATAAGAACTTTATTTTCTATCCTTTTTTTTTTTCTTTCCTTTCCCCTGATATACTGCTAGGGCCGACCAGGCCTTGATAGCTTTCAATTGAAATAAAAAATAAAAATAAAAAAAAAAAACCGTCCGTCAACCCACAGTGGATTCATTCCACCTTTTGCTGCGCCACAAACAACGTGACTCTCAGGTGACCGAGATGAGCAGCCGCGAGGGGCCGGAAAATTGGCACCCGATAAGCCCCCGAGCGCATGCGCGCTTATCGGACACGTCATGCTTTCACACCGGCTGCCTCTCCTGCAGCTCCGGAGAGACCTGGTCTATATCCACGCACTGAGCCCTTGGCCGGCATCTGCACATCGGTGCCTCTCTCTCTCCCGCCTCCCAGACAGCCTGATCGCCATGTCGCAGGAAACACCAAAGAACGTGCGATCTTCGCACCACACTAACCCTTCGGGTGGCCTGACGCTGGTCATCAAGCTCGGCACGTCGTCCATCTGCGACGAAAAGACGCACCTCCCCAAGTTGGCGAACCTCTCGCTTCTTGTCGAGACTGTTGTCCAGCTGCGAAACCTCGGCCACCAGGTCGTTTTGGTGACGAGTGGCGCCGTCGGCGTCGGCCTGAAGCGCCTCAACATGCCCAGGAGACCGAAGCATCTGGCCCAAGTTCAGGTCTGTCCTCGACTGTTGCGGCTCTCCAATTCGCGATTCTCGGGCCGTTCAATCGCTTATGACAATCAACATGGATGAGCGCACGATGAGCCAGCCCGCGAATGCTGCAGCGAGCAGGGATGGACTGTCACCCGAGCGCCTCATCGATCTGACGATCGCTTGTTTCCATTTCTAGGCCGTTGCTGCCGTTGGTCAAGGAAGGCTGATGGCCCTTTACGACGACCTGTTCGGCAACTTTGACCAGCCCATTGCCCAGATTCTGCTGACGAGAGACACACTTGCCGAGGTAAGCACTGCGTACGCAAAGAGGGGAGAGCAGAAAGTATCTCGAATGCGGAAGAGGGGCCGATCGCATTCGTATCCGCTTTCTTCAACGCAAAGCAGCGCTTGGAGCATCGGTGGCATCGACTGCATATCTCTCAGTCCCACACAAAGTGCGCAGACGCACAACGCCCCGGGTTTCAGTCTCAGTCTAACACAGATATCGATCGCCCGTGGCCTCGCCAAAACCAGCGGTCACAATATCTGAATGCCTGCAACACCTTCAATGAGCTGCTCCACATGGGCGTCATCCCCATCGTCAACGAAAACGACACAGTATCACACTCGGAAATCCGTTTTGGCGACAACGACACGCTCTCGGCCGTGACGGCCGGCATGATCAACGCCGACTATCTCTTCCTGCTGACCGATGTCGAGTGTCTTTATACCGACAATCCCCGCACCAACCCCGAAGCGCGGGCCGTCCGTGTCGTCCAGGATGTCGCCAAGCTCCGGGAGGAAGGTGAGACTTGTGCGAACAGCTGTTATCTACCTCCAGCATTTGCCGTGGACTGTCCTTGGGCTCAGCTGGTATCGACCCACGGACTCGCGATCCGGAAGAATCGATGAGACTGCATGTGCACTGGTGGATGAGCGTCAAGCTGCCAGCTTCCAAAGATAAAATAAGCAAGCCGAGTCGCACCACCACATTCGATTCCGATTCCGATTCCGATTCCGATTCCGATTCCGAGTGTGAGTCTGAGTCTGAGTCACCGAGACGTTCCGCTCACCGCATCCATCACTCTGTTTGTAGTCATCGTCTCCTCCCCTGGATCCGCACTTGGCACCGGCGGCATGGTGACAAAGTTGATCGCTGCCGATCTGGCTACGGCCGCTGGATGCGCAACCATCATTACCCTGGGCTCGATGCCCCAGCGCATCGTCCAGATCCTGGAGGAGATTGGCGAGCATGCGGCTCAGCACGGTGATTCTCCCCTGGAGCTTACCTACGGCACATATTTTCTTGCAAAGCCCAACCCCATGGTCGACCGCAAATGGTGGATCCTGCACGGCCTCGCAACGTACGGCTCGATCACAGTCGACTCGGGGGCAGTCCGGGCGCTCATCAAACAGCGATCGTCGCTGTTTGCCGCGGGCATCGTCAAGGTGGAGGGTTCCTTTGTCGCGCAGCAGAGCGTCCGGGTGCTGACGGTGATCCAGGACGACGACACTGGCGCAGAGTCGATCGTCGAGGTCGGCAAGGGCATCGCCAGCTACACGGCCCAGGAAATCTCGCGGATCAAGGGATGCAAGAGCAAGGAAATCGTTGGCCTGCTTGGCTATGTCGACGCCGAGTATGTGATCCACCGCGACAACCTGGTCGTGACCAACCCCGATCTGGACTGGACCAAGGTGGTTCTGAAGGCCGGAAACCGATCTCCAACCGACAACTAGGGGCGCCGGGGAACTATCTTCCTCCAGCCTAGCCCAGCCCGGAGACTTCTGTAACGAGAGCGCCTTGGCCGCCAATGACTCTGGAGTGGACACCAGAGTCCCTGAATCGATCGATCCGCTGGTGCTGCCTCGGTGCTGCCTCCGGTGCTGCCTCCGGTGCTTCCCCAATACAGCGACGCTGAGATGGGCCGAGATGTCATTGCATGTGCTTGGTGCCGCTCATCCGGTTCGCGGGCGAGGGTGTGCGGTGCTCATGGACTCATCGCTGGAGACAGTCCGCCCGGTCATGTTGTCCTGCGCTCTTCTTGTGCTGGAAAGTGGGCAAGCCGGCGGGAGGTGGATAAGATGGAGGGATATCGGGTCGATGCCGGCAACGAGGCGGTCTGGACGAGTCTGGCACAGCGGGTTGTTCGGGTTCCCAGGGACTTCATCCCCACTCTCCGCCTCCATCTGCCCGCCGTCGTTCTCCCGTTCATCTCGCCTGCCACGTTCATCTGCAGGATACCACCCCGACCTGCAGATATCGCCCAGGCTCCTCCCCGAGCAACTCGGAGTTGGTTCGCCCTCGATCACTCCCCTCTTTGCAAACAAGCTGCTGCGACCCATCCCTTGACACGATGGCTGGCTCTCGTCCAGGCACACTTCGCTCTAATATCGCCAACCTGGCGTCTGGTGAGTCGGCTGCATCCAGCTGCGATGCGCCCGGCCATAGCTCGAGCCCCAAATCTCACAACGCACGCCTGCTGCTTCCGTGATATGGCTCGTCTTTCGGACAGATCTCCAGATCTCAAGGGAATGCGCCCTGCTCGGCAACTATGACACGTCGCTGGTGTATTTCGAAAGCATCATCCAAACCATCCATCTGTATGTCTGCAGCATCTTTCTCGCTAACGTGTGGATGCAGCAGGCTCCTACGATCTGTGCAACTGGCACGCATTCAATCGGATATGCAGCAGGGATAGCCAGGGTCCTACTATGGACGGCCATGATGCCAGAGCAGCTGACGACGCCGACTTTCGCATCCATACTCTCGTTGATGTATCGGCCCGCTATTTGGCGTACCGGCTGCACCTCTATCATACTCGATGGGATCTGGGACCACTCGATCGATTGAATGCGGTTGCTCTAGCCACTCGAAGACCGTTTCCGATCCGACACTGAGGGAAAAGTGGAATGAGCTCAAGCAAAACCTCACGACCGAGTTCCAGCTCGTGAAAGACATTAGCCTGGAGATATCTGGATTCAAGGTGGGGGCTCCTTTCCCTCCCTTCTGCAGTCGCCGTCTCTACAGAGGATTCAACAGATCATAGGTGGAGAAAAGTTCAATGATGGACTCCATCTCGCTCTCGCTCGCTGTGACTCTGACGATATGTTTTTGCGATGACTCGACAGCAAGAACGCCACTCTCGCTCCGACCCTCGGCCCAAGAGCTCTGCCGCCGACGACGGGCCTGCACCGTACGATAAGGATGTATGGGCTGCACCTCCGAAGAAGGCTGCTCCTGCAGCCAAAAAGCGGACAGGCAAGTCGCACGACCGATTGAGCCAGTGCGATCAAAACCGGAAACGCAAAGGCGCTTATTCTTCACCGTGCTGCAGATAACGAAGACGGACTCCCTGGCTGGGCCAAGGGCTCCCAAACGACATCGACCCGAGCCACCGGTCTCATGAAGGCTGGCAAGGTACATCGACTCATCCCAGCGCACGGCCGAGGCTCAGCTGGGCTGCGTTGTATTCGTCGGGTGGCTCGGGGCGCATCCAGTTCGACGCGTTCGTTAACAGGCTTCCGAATGATCTATAGGCATCGCAATCTGATCTCAAATCCAAAGCCAAGACCAGTATTGCCGGGTAAGTTTCCAGCTGCAGGGGCTGTTTTCCACAAGAAAAAGGAGTGATATCGTATCCCATGACCAATAACCTTGCGTCGATCCGTCGAATCTCCTCTGGGGTTTGCAGAAAACCGCCGGCCAGAAGCGCTGGTGCGGGCCAATCGGTGTCGCCGAGCATGCCAAAGAAGCCTGTGAAGAAGGCAGCCGGCCCGTCGCAGGCCAGTGCTTCGAGGGAATCGATCGACCGTGAATCCAAGACCGAGAAATCAGCGGAGCAAGAGGAAGGCGAGGAGGGCAATCAGCGGCCAGAGTAAGTGCAGAGCCATCGGAAGTGTCTCGAGTTGATCCGTATCCACGCGGCTCGGAGAGTAGGCCGATCTCTGTCGATGTATCTCACTTCACCGCCTTGAATCTGTTCGGCTGAAGATTTGACCCAACGGGCTACGACAAAGACTTGGTGGAAATGGTCAAGCGCGATATTCTGCAAACCAACCCGAACGTCCGATGGAGCGACATTGCCGGGCTGCGCGAAGCCAAGTCGCTGCTTGAAGAAGCAATTGTCCTTCCACTCTGGATGCCTGACTATTTTCAAGGTTTGACGATAGCCAGGCAACGAGCGAGAATTGGAGCGATACAGCATGCTGAGAACAGGAGCGGTGCGGTTGGAGGAGTCGAGCTGTACTCTGTTGCTCTAGCTGACGCCTCCATCGAATCTCATGCGATCTCTCAGGCATTCGGCGCCCCTGGAAGGGTGTCTTGATGACAGGCCCGCCGGGCACTGGCAAGACGTTGCTTGCAAAAGCTGTAGCGACAGTGAGTCGAGTCTGGAGGATGCTCTAAATTGCTCCGCTTGAGCCGCAGAGGGTTGGTGCAAGCGGCAGGATAAGTGCACGACTAATCAAGTTGAATGGACCCAGGAATGCCAAACAACGTTCTTCAATGTCACAGCGAGTATGCTCACTTCCAAATGGCGTGGAGACTCTGAAAAGATCGTGCGGGTATGACAGCTCACTCGACTGAATCTCGGCCAATCGCAGAGTGGGGCTCAAACGACGAGGGTGTTTGCGGACCGAGTGATGGGCGTGGAGCTCGTATCCACGACCTTAACTTGCTGCTGCTGACGAGCATATATACCTCTGAACAGCTTCTCTTTGAGATGGCCCGCCACTACGCACCCAGCACCATCTTTATCGACGAAATCGACTCGCTGTGCAGCAGCCGTGGAGAAAGCTCAGAGCACGAGGCCAGCAGAAGGTGAGGCGACCGCGGTAAAGAGACTGTTGCGCGGCGAACATCTCGTATACAGACTCGTGATGGCCGACAAGACTGCTGGGCCCGGCCCACTTACCAATGGCCGCAACATTGATCTGCAGAGTCAAGTCCGAAATCCTGATGCAAATGGATGGAATCAGCGGGCTGTCGACCGGCAGCGCCGACGGAGCCAATCCCATCGTTATGGTGCTGGGAGCCACGAACTTTCCGTGGCACATTGACGAAGCACTGAGACGCCGTCTCGAGAAGCGAATCTGTGAGTAAAGGACAGCGCTGTCGCCTGTATCGGCTCAGTCCAAGAAAACAAGCGCGAATGCATCGCGAGGAGCATATCGGATGTTGTGCTCACCATGTGTACTTGTGTTTGGACAGATATTCCTCTCCCTGATATGGAGAGCCGCCGCGAGCTGCTGCGGATCAATTTGCAGTCGATCCCTGTCGGTGTCGACGTCAACATGGACGACCTGGCCACACGGGTGGAAGGCTATAGCGGCGCCGATATCACCAATGTAACGTATCGCGGTGATCCATGGGCTGCCCACACATGCAACTGACATGCAACTGACACGCCGATATCATACGGATGGTATGCCGATGTCATTTGGTCGCTGGCTGACCCGCTGGATTGGCGGAAATGCTGTCGCCGACTGTCGTTGCAGATTTGCCGAGACGCCAGCATGATGAGCATGCGCAAGAAGATCCGAGGTCTTCCGCCAGACCAGATCCGCAAGATCCCAAAGGGTACGAGACCAGACGCATATGTATCCCGAGCACTGACGCCAACGATGCACTGCATCGGTCAACGCAATCACGGCGGCGTTAGCTAACACGCCGTGCCCATTCCCACGAACAACACCTTGCAGAGGAGCTCGAAGGCCCCACGATGATGGAAGACTTTTTGGCGGCCATTGCCAAGATCCAAAGCAGTGTCAGCCAGGCCGATCTCAAGCGGTATCAGGACTGGATGGACGAATTCGGTACGATGGGGCTCCTGTCAGCACACGTGTTGCAGAGCATCGATCCGAGCAGCCGGACGGGCCAGGGCCAGGGCCGGGACACTGATCTGCTCTTTGCTTTGGGACACAGGGAGCGCCTAGACTGAACGAACCGGGAAGCTGGCCATCGCCGCGCGACAGGGCGATGTCCCCGCAATCAACACGATGCACTCTGGCCTTGGTCCTTGGCTGCATCGTCCCCAGTCTCGGTGCGTGGGGCAGTGCCGTGGCAGTGCCGTGGCAGTGCATTCATGCGCAGCAGCACGGATCGATCCAGCGGCCCGGATCGAGTGCATTTCATTCCCAGCCCCGCGCTCCATTCCGCCTCCGCAGCCGACCCGCAGGCACACGCACCCGGGCCGGCGACTGGCAAGCAAACACATCACCGCGAGTCACCGCCGAGCGAGCGGCGTGGCGCAGCAGGTGGCTTTGGCTGGCGCTGTTTGTGTGCTGTCGCTGCCCCTCGTTCTGTGTTGGCGCATAGCCACACACCCCAGTCCATACACAGCGCACACAGACTGTGGCGGCTTGCACACGGCCTGCACGCGGCTTGCACGCGGCCTGATCGCTGATTGGCCCCCGGCTGCCCGCGCATTGTCCTTATCGCCACCGCTTCTGTGGAGCCAGCGCCTGCACGGAATGCGCTTCCATTTTTTTCTCGCCTCTCGTTTTTTTGCTGCCGGCATAAATAAGGCGTGCGCCGGCCATTCATCTGCCCACCGTTTCTCGACCAGGCTTGTCTCAGACCTCCCTCGCGATTACACCCTCGAATCTTGTTCAAAATGACCATTCCTGCTGGTGAGCATCCGTCCGTCCCTTCCTGTCTGTCCCTGTCGGCGGGGCTGCCGCTCAGCTGGCTTCGCGATATCGGCCTGGCGAGCCAATGCCTTCTCGCTGCGACTTGGCGCGAACATGTCGCTCCCGCCCGATTCCGCATATCGGGGCGCACTCCGGACGCAGCCGCATCGCAGCCAGTTGTGTTCTGGAGGATGCACGAGCATGAGCCTGTGTTTCTGCTGTCTGCGAGGCAGCGGCAGCCACAAAGACCATCCATCGTGTGCTGCCTTGCACGCGTCGCAGTGGTTTCCGTTCTCAAGCTTTTGCCATCGAGGCCCACCACTTTCTACATCCGGATCGTCCTCTGCGCTCCCGTGCTTAGCTCGTTCCTACCGATGGACTGACGCTCTCTGCCTGCCATAGGTAACGCTGTCAACGGTGCTAAGCTCTTCAAGACTCGCTGCGCTCAGTGCCACGTTGTTGAGAAGGTAATTTCCGTCTCCGGTTGTATTATGCGCGGTGTTACCTGTCCGTTTGCCATCGGATGGGCGGATCGAAACAGCTGCCGCATCATCGGCTCAAGTCCCGGATTCATCTGTACACGCCAGAAGAAGCTGCCTCCGTGCGCTGGCGATCTGGCCCTCGGTCTGCACGATTGGACCGGTGCACCTTCTGCAGCGAGTTGACCGTCCCTTCTCTTGTGATGCTGCCGCTATCGCCAACAGGGTGCCCCCCACAAGGTCGGCCCCAACCTCAACGGTCTCTTTGGCAAGAAGTCTGGAAGCGCTGCTGGCTACGCTTACTCTTCGGCCATGACCTCCAAGCAAGTTGTTTGGGACGAGGAGCAGATGTTCACCTACCTCGAGAACCCCAAGAAGTTCGTTCCCGGCACCAAGATGGTCTTTGCCGGTTTCAAGAAGGAGCAGGATCGTGCTGGTAAGGCCACCCGAATCCTGCATGCAGCAGCAGTAGCATTTGCATAGCACCGCAACATTGGTCTCGAGGCGGCGCTATTACCACCGTGGATGCTGACTGTTTGTTGCCTGTCTCTTCCAGATGTCATTGCTTACCTCAAGGATGCCACCCAATAAACGCTTCTGTCTCCAATGATCCACACCATCACAATAAATTAATCATGCCAAACGAACTCCATTGTGCCTTCATCGCTGTCCAATTTGAATGTCTCATGCAGATGTATGACACCGGCTCAGACCGGCATCCTCCATCACAATATCCCGGCCCTCAACATATTCAGATCACTGGCTGCTGACGCACCCGTCTCGCCGCACTCTCAGTGATGGCTGATGGCCGTGGGTGACCCATCATGCATCCCCAAATCAACATCATCCGCAGCCGCCTTGGCGCCCGAATGCATCCCTGTCACTTCCCGACCTGTGCACAAGCGTCGCAGCCGCTCACGCCGTTCGTCGGGACTGGTGCGGTGTATTGTTGCGTCTCCTACACGTCGCCCTTGGGCGACTGGAATCCAAACGTCTTCACACCGATCGCCTCATTGGCCTTTTGCCACCCCTCGTTCCGCTCCTTGGCCTGCTCGTGGTTTTGTCGGATCTTGATTTTCATCTGGAGGGGAGGCCCAAGCAGCGTCAGCTACTCTACTGCCACGCCATACCGGCTGACTGTCGCCGCTTCCCTGGGCCCATCGCATCAGACACGCAATGCTCTCCTGTTCAGCGTAGCGAGCTGCCTCGCCTGGTGTCCACTTCTGCGGCCTCAGAGCCAGCGGCGTTTGCTTGCGCATGCGGTCCGTGATCGTGCCATCAACCAGAAATCCAAAATCGTCTGGAGATACGCACCTGGTAGGCACTGCACTCCTTGAAGGCGATGAGCGCCGGATTGCATCGCCCCAGCAGCTTGCCAATGAATCCTTCCCGCTCGAGACAGCTCAGGAACGTTCGGTTCAGGTCTTCGCATTCATCCAGTCGGGTCATGGTTGCGGGATCTGCTGGAAGCACGAGGCAATTACAGCGTTTCCCGATGCCAATGTCAGTCCGCCTGTCCCGCACCGCTTGCGAGTGCAATCGACGGACACCCTCCTCGCTTGCGAGCGCCATGGCTGGTGCCAGGACGTACCTGCGAGCTTGCAATGTGGTGTTGGTTGATGAAGGTCAAGCGCTGGCCGAGATCAAAGCCCCAGAATTCAAGTTCCGGATCGAGCTGTTGGATCGAGCTGTTGGATCGAGCTGTTGGATCGAGTTGCCGGATCGAGCCAATGGGCGTGTTGCTGGGGCTCTTGTCGTCGTGGCCCGATGCATTTCCTTCCGCTGGCTGATCTGCACCGCCTGGCTCGGCAGCATGGACAACACCGACAGCGAGAGGGTTGTGTTCAAGGTGCGCAAGCCCAAGCAGCCCAAGAATGCCCGCAAGAAGGACGACGACGAGAACCAAGACGAACGCAAGGACATAGAAGCTGCAGACCCAGCGCCGGGTTCGCTGGAGGAGGCATCGAAGGCAGCCACAGCGGACGAAGCCGAGTCCCCATCCATCTCGATCGAGTAGGTCCTATTTGGCCTGCGTCCCCACAGCACGCATCGGCTTAATCGACCCGTGACATACCGCCATTATTCGTTGCATTGATTCAAGACCGTCGCTTGCGCTGGCAAATCTCCCACTCACTGGCCGCCTTCTTGATCGACTGGCGCGAACAGCGATATCATCGAATTGCGCAAGCTTCGAAAGCGCACGAACGGAGTTGGCGTGAATGATCTTCTGCGTGGAGATCCAAAGCTGGCCCGAGAGCGAGCCGAGCAGGAGGAGAAGAAGGACGCCGATCCGTGGAAGTTGGGGTCTGGAGGTCTTGTGGATCTCAACAAAATCAAAGGCATCAGGCAAGTCGGAGCATCGGCCGACGCCCGCCGGCCAAGTCGACATTGTTGGGTGGAATCGCTGTCGGGCAGGCTGGTATGGAAGTCTCCATCAAATGAGTCTTGGACTGTCCGCTAACACAGTCTCTCATCGTCGCGCCAGTGTCTTTGGAAGCCAATCGAGCGACAACAGCTCGTTCGCGACGGCCTCTCAGGATATGGACCGATCCAAGCACATGTAGGATACCTGCTTCGCCAGTGTGCGGAGACTGTCGCATCCCCTTGGCCTATGCCACATCCACCCGAGCTATATATGTATATGACGCCTATCCGTCAGTGCGTTTCTCTGCAGGCGTGATTCTCAAACTCACACTTTCGCCTGTGCCTTGTCTCGACCGGCAGGAACGCATTCGTGGAGCGGGAGTTGATGAAGAAGCGAGGGCAGTCGCTGGACTCGCCGGTGGATGGAGAGAGCTCGTCTCCACAGACGCAGAATCCGACGGATGAGCTCTTTGATATCCCCGAGAACCTCCGGGTGAAGGACTCGGCCCTGCCCGAGGGCAACGTCACGCTTTCTGCCTCGATGCTGACGGCCATCCCAGAGATTGATCTGGGCATCGAGTATGTACAAAGCGCAGTGCTGTATCCGGTGGTGTCTCGGCTTTGAGCTGCCAAACTATGGACACGGATCCATTCAGGCGACTACGATTGCAGTAGTCACTAACGACGGCTCATGACAATCCGTCGTCTCTGCAGCATCAAGCTCAAAAACATTGCCGAGACTGAACAAGCAAAGCAAAAACTGTCTGGAAGGAAGCATACCAAGAAGGATCTGGTGAGGATCAGGCCCAGCCCTTCTCTGGATGCTGAAATACCGCGACTTCCGGCACCATCTCTCCCCGTCCATCTCGGCACCTCATCTGGCGTAACAATCGTATTGTTGGGCAGTCCGCCTACTTTTCATTGATTGCTCTCCCTCTGCCCTCTCGACCCAGTTGGACTATAGCCAAAACGTCACGGCTGCAGAACGATGTAAGTTACTTGCTCCTTCCCCCCCCTCCATGCTAACCTTGGTGACGAACTTGGTTACCTGGAACTGATCTTCCTGTGTGTCCTCAATCTCTATCAGTCATGACTGCACGCTATCACCAACAACAGCGCTCGGACCATTCCCAGCAACACGGCCGCAACAGTAACCATGGCAACAGCGACAATCACAGTCGCAGCCAAGGCTCGGAGTCGAGGGGACATAGATCGGATCGTCGGTCGATGGCAACAGGTTCGTGAGAGCCGCCCGCGGCAGCATACCCAATATTTCTGCCAGTAGCTGCTTCCATGCGGAGACGCACTTCGATCGGTTGGTGCGTGAATGCTCTGTTGCATGCATTAACATCACATTCCGTTTTACCAGACGACATTGTGATGGAGCGCTTCAAAAAGCGAATGAGACGCTAATTGTCTCGCTAGCCAAATCCCCGCCAGCCGAGCAGACTCGATCGTCTGACATCGCACTGACCAGCACACCTGGCACCACACCTGGTACCACACCTGGTACCACACAGCACCGGGAGTCAGTCTTGTTCCCCACTGGAGGCTTCCGATGGCATTAGAGTTTGCTGCCATGCTCTACGTGCATCCCACCCAGTCCGTTATTCCCCCCCCCTCTCGCCTCTGAGCAGTAGCTGACTTGTTTCTGCCTTGGACTGTCGCGTGGCGCTCAGAAACGGCCATCGCTGGGTGTATATTAGAGTGCCTCTAGTTTAGTCCGAAGTCCCTGGCACAGTACTTCGATCTTGGTGATAGCATTAAAGATCTTCTCGAGCTTTGGGCTCTTTGATTCCACCGTGACTTCGTCGATGAGCTCGACCTTGCGTCCCTTGTATGAGCTGTGGTAGGTGCCAGTGACAAGCGGCAGTGCGTGAGGAGGCGAAATACGTTTCAGCGGTGCTGTGGTGTATCTCAGGGACACAAACAGTGGTTTGTAGGTCCAGAACCCGCGCTTTCTGGTGACGACGGCAGGCAATTTGTCGAGTGCAATGGCTCCAGCTTCAGTCCGCAGGACAAACAGCTTGGAAAGATACCCACTCGATTTTGACAAACTCGCGGCTGCGACCCATGAGCTTGTTTTGGATCAGACTCATTTGGAACTGATTCATGGGGATGGCCGGCAGCCCGACTTGGAAACTGAGGCTGTAGACACAGGTGACCAGGCAGCTGCCACTGACGAAGAACTCGACGACTAGATCCTCAGGCAGCTCGGGAGAGAAGTGCTGTGCCGGGATGCACGGGAGTAGTGCAATGCGAGGCCAGTGTGTTAGCATCATAGATAGCACTCGGCCGATGCATCCAGGCTATCCATTCCTACCGACATACCTTTGCGTCGACCTCGTAGAGCGGAAATGCCTGGGCTGTGTCGACGTGCGTCAGCGTGTCCCTGGCCTTTTTGACAAACTCTGCAACTCGATCGAGGAGCTGTGACCCGCAACGAAAGGTGAGTCAGCCCCACCACCGATATCTCACTCAGATCAAGCACCGCGATTCATCCGGAGCCGCGGCTTTACTCTGCTGGAGAAACACAAGTCTGAATACAGCGTTTCACTCGCCTGCTTGAGCGATATGGAGTCGTAGTTGTTGATCGGAAAGGTCTCGGCGGCGTCGAGAGCTAGAATGAGGCAGTTTCGAGCCGTTTGGATCTGGAGATGTCATCAAATGGCAAACGACATGGACAGCCAAGACATCAGCGCGCGGTGACATGCCGTGCCTCCAGTCTCATCGCCGTGCTGATTATGGCCGATTCGCACCTGCCGAAGAGGAAACGGATGCGCCGGATTCAGCGTTGCCTTGAGGACCTGGGTTCGTGGATAATGGGGAAACTTGATGTGCAGCTCCTATGCCGTTCAACAGTGTTGAGTCAGTACAAGCAGGCTCGTTGAGCAGCATATGCGAGCCAAACCGTCGAGGACCTGACAGTGCGGCCGGGGTGCTGGAGCAGGAGCAGCATCGCACTGGCTGACTCACGCCTTTCTTAATGACCGCTCCGTCCACCGTGACAAATCCCTTCAGCACATCGTTGCTGCATTTGGACGAGCCAGGAGGAATTTGGCATGAACGAGATAGCATTGGGATCGAGATGGCATCGGGATTGAGGAGATGACAATGATGATCAGCCTCACCACATCGGCATGAGCGGAACGGCATCCTGTTCACTGCCTCGCTGCATTCGAGCACAGCGGCGCGACGGTCTCAGGCGACGATGCAGGTTATGCATACCCGGCCGATGTGATCGCGAGAGTGGCTCCAATGGCTGCAGCAGGACTTGAAGCTGGATGAATTTGCCGTTGATAGCAATCGGGAACTTGATAAGCACTCGCAGAACTCTCTCCCACGGCGGTTGATGTGCTTGCTTGTCATTGAACTCCAGGACACGACCAACGCCGCTCATGCCTTGGGATCTAAATCTCCGCATTGGCTATTGCAATGCACATGTGACGATGGGAGTCCTACCGATGTCGATGGTTTGCGAGCACGCCGAGACGCCCTCCTGCAATTCGAATCGAGACAACATCACGGATGGCGGCTGAGTCGCAGCGAACATCCACGTCTGCTATACACGCGATCTCGTTGTCTACCTTGATGGTCTGCAGCATGTCTTTGAGCACATGGGGCGCAATGTTCTCGAGGAGCCACGCAAGCTCGGCTTGCTGGATGCGCAGGACTGATTAGCATCGGCCCAGCGGCCATCAGTCCAGTGCATGGGCAAGCATCGCAAATAACAGCAACAACCGCACCAGATTCTGAGTTTCTTTGGCAGAAAGCCACTCAGGGTCGTTATGTGCGTTGTGTTGCGACATTTCCGGGCTGGTTTCGGCCGGCGATGTGTTCGTCCGAAGATTGGATGCTGGAAGTGGGGTGCTGGCTCTGGTATCGGCCGTCGCTTCTCAACTGCGGTCAGGACGTCCGATGATGGTGCGGGCTCGGCGGACAAGATCAAGCAAGAGCGCAACGGCGGGTCGCTGGGTCGGTTGGCACCTGCGTCGAGCTCGCCGCCAGCCCAAGCCCCGCTTGCCTCCTGGCCGGGCATGCTCGCGCATCGACACCCTGGCTGCACTTCTGGCGACCACACCGGGGCCTTGCATTGTCGGCATTGCCCCATGGCCCCTGTGGTGATCATTGCAGCATGATCTTGGGAAGACTGTGGCCAAAGTGCGGCCAGAGTGCGGCCAGACGTGGCTGCCTCTCGGTGCGCTCCCGCCTCCTTCTCGGCCCCTCTCGCCTCGCCGTGTTTGGCGGCCGCTGTGTGCCACGTGTCGGTCACGGGACGGCTGTGCCGCCCGCCTATAAATACGGCCTCTCCCGCCGCCTTCCGAGCAGCGAGCCCGGTATAAAAGGATTTTTCGCCTCTCCTCTCCGCCCAGCGACCCGACCAGCAGGTATCCATCCTCGTCTTGCTTGCACCCTGGGCTGCCCATGCTACCCCGGCTGCCGATGGCCTCCACGGCCGGCCCTGCTCCTCGCCGCGCTGCTTCGGCACCGAGTGCATCCGCAGCGTCGTCTGGGCCGTGCTGCCCCTCGCCCCTCGCCAACGCTGCTGCCGCCGCCGCCGCTCTACTGCTTTGCGAGACTGCGTCATGGATTTAACTAAACTGCTTCCGACCGTGGCACCCATGTCTTTTCCGTGCCCATCCATTCCCGACACTCCCTGCTCATGTCGCTTTGTGGACTTGCCGCCTCCTCGGGTCTGCGTGCCGTGTCGATCCTTCGCTGGCGAAATATAGAGCCCGAATTTCCTGCGAACCCTTATATCGCCGCTCGCATCCCCCGACTGCTTCCCACGTCTGTTTTCTGCAACAATGTCCATGGTCGCCATGACATCGGGCGAATCTGTTGAGGAGCCCAGAGAATCGTCCGGAATTGTGCCAACGCTCCAGTAAGATTCCCCTCTATCCTGATCTTGCCCAACTTTACCCATTGTTCCCGCCTGCTTCCAATCGATCCCTTTCGCTGCAGCGATGGTGCTTTGCCCAGCGTCGCTGTCTGTGCCGCTCACGCTGCCTGATCACTGCTGTATGCGAGTGGTGGTGGTGGTGGTGGTGGTGGTGTCTTGCCACCATTCAGAAGCCGCCGTGGCCTCGACAATCTCGCACTGATCCGCCCGTGCCCCTGCCCTTGATCATCAATGTGCCGCTCACTGTCGTCATTCGTTGTGTCAAAGAAACATCGTCGCCACTGTAAACCTGGAATGCAAGCTGGATCTGAAAACCATCGCCCTACATGCTCGAAACGCCGAGTATAATCCAAAGGTGCCTTTCATTGCCCCCACCCGCTCTGAATTTGCAATTCGGTAGATGGGCAGCTCCCCGGTCTCTGGGCTTTTCTCTGATCTATGGGTTGCTTTGCCTCGTATCGATCTGTGCTTCATCCCTGTACCTTGCCGCTGCTGCGGACTCTCTGCTGCCGTCTCCTCGCCACCCCATCGCCTTGGTTCTCCAGCGCTTTGCCGCCGTCATCATGAGAATCCGTGAGCCAAAAACCACGGCCTTGATCTTTGCCTCGGGCAAAATGGTCGTCACCGGTGCCAAGAGCGAGGAGTCGTCCAAGCTGGCTGCTCGCAAGTATGCCCGCATTATCCAGAAGCTGGGCTTTGCGGCCAAGTTTGCCGAGTTCAAGATCCAAAACATCGTGGGCTCCTGCGACGTCAAGTTCCCCATCCGCTTGGAGGGCCTGGCATATGCACATACATCGTTCTCCAGCGTACGTTGAGTGAGCCACGGCTGTGTGTCTGTGTCTCGCATTGCTCGACGACCTCACCCTCTCCCATAGCAACCTTCTGCGGTTCTGACCCAGACCTTGGCTTCTACCCATAGTACGAACCGGAACTCTTCCCCGGTCTTATTTACAGAATGGTCAAGCCCAAGATTGTCTTGCTGATCTTTGTCTCTGGAAAGATTGTCTTGACGGGCGCCAAGGTGCGAGATTGTTCGTTGCTGCCGTGCAACTACTGAGATTGCTCTGCCGTCGCAACCCGCAACCGCCTCACAGAGCTCAACTCCCTCCGACAGGTCCGCGAGGAAATCTACCAAGCCTTTGAAAACATTTACCCTGTATTAGCCCGTACGTATCTGAGTGCCAGCCCGCACGGCTCTGGGGCTCCTCTGCACTGGTCTCCTCGAGATGCGCTAACCTTGCCTCTCGACCATCTCCATTCCAATCCGGATCGTGATCCCGATCTTGTCTTCTCTACGATCGCCCTTTTCTCTGTCCTGCCGCCGCTTGGTCGTCGGTTGGGCTTGACAGAATACCGGAAGCCTTGATCACTCCATCGATGTTCCCCTGCTCGGTTTCTCCCATTCCCCGCCCCTTCCGCTCCTCACCTCACCTCACCCCCCCCCCGCCAACCTGCACTCAATAGACCCGATGTCAGCACTCTTCTTGGTTGATGAAGCGGTCCAAGATTTTTGACGTAATCACAATGTAATACAGCCGCACCTTCTCACACAGCATCTGCAGCTGCCTCTCTCCCACAGTCTGCTCTGATCGTATCGCATCTGACCATGTCGCATCGTATTGCATTGCATTGCATCGCATCGTATTGCGTCGCATTCAGTCTTGGTGCGGTCTGTGTGGCGGCACCAACCGGGGCGGATGGCTTGTGTGTGTGTGTGCCTCGTTTTGCCTTTTATGGAATTATTACGGCGGTGGGCTGCTGTCCACTCCAAACCCGCTCCGGTCCGCTCGGCAACACTTCATCCTCAGGCCTGTTTTGCTCTCCCGACGCCCGCCCCAGATCGCATCGCTCCCGTCTCCATAGAGCCAGCCATGTCTTCGCCCAACTCGCGACCCTCCGGGATGTCGTCCCCACTCCCATACGGCAACTTCACGAGCGACCAAGTTCAGCCCACCAGCGAGCTGTCGCTCCCAACAACACCCACCCGAGCTGGCGCCTCCGGCTCGAGACTGCCTCGGCTGTCGTCCCCAGGTATTTGGTTTATTCTCGCACAAAGGCCTTGCCACCAGACTTGATCGCAGGCAGATGCTCTGCAGCGCTTCGACTGCTCCGGTTTGCCGCCGATCCTTACCCTGTCTATCCCACAGTGCTGTCTTACCCCGATGCCTCGTCCCCTGTTTCGTACGGACGCCTGGGATCTTCTCAGCAAGATGCCACCGATCCCCTGCTTACTGAAGGAGTCGGCGCCAGCCAGTCCAGCACCCTGGGCATCTCACATCGACTGCCTCGCAGTGATCTGAGCGGCAGCAGCAGACTGGTCAGCCGGCTTCGAACGGGCGACCAGCTGTCGTCATCCCAGGATATCGCCGGCGCCGGCCGTGGTGCACCGGGCGCCATCCCCTCCTCGGACCCGTCGGCGATGCAGCTGGAGGACGCTCAGATCATCTGGGGAACCACCATCTCGCTCGGCGAGAGCATGAAGTCGTTCAAAAAGTTCTTCACAACCTTCAGAAAGGTCGACATCCTGCCCAACCGCAATGATGAGCAAATGGCGCATTTTGATGATCCCGAGGAAGACATCATGCCCTTTTACATTCGACTGCTGCAAGAGGTACAGTGGCTTCTTTATCGACTCCCATGTCGTTCCGCCGCCGCTGCTATTGCCTTGGCGACCTCGCTGTTGGGTGGGCACTCCCGCGACTTGGCAACGCTCCCAGCGCTCATTCTGTCCTTTGAATACACTCTGCCCAGCTCAAAGACCGCGAGATCTACACCGTGAACTTTGATTGCTGCAACCTCCGCGATCACCCCGAGGCCGAGTTTCAACAGCTTTATCTCCAGCTCGTGCGCTATCCGCAGGAGATGATTCCCATCATCGATCACACCATCACCGAGGTGTTCTTGGATAAGTTCCCGGATATCCAGCTGCACGGCGCCCTCTTGCGCGTCCGCCCATTCAACATCGGCCGCAGCGTGAGCATGCGCGACCTCGATCCTGCTGGTACGGCTCGTTGCCGATCGACGATATATCGCTGCCTTATTCTGTATGCGGCGATTCGATCGATACATACGATTCAGCCTCTGATTCCACCTCCGTATGTTGATCTGCATCTACGATTCAATCGTACAGATATCGACCAACTCGTCACGATCAAGGGAATGCTGATCCGGTCATCGCCCATCATTCCCGAGATGAAAAAGGGTATGTCTTGTCTGATCACTTGCACTTCCACACCTCCATCTCGACCTCCTCCTGGCCATCTCGGCTCCTTGGTCATCCCTCCGCTTTTGCAGCTCTCGTGCCGATTTCCTCGCTGACTTTTGTGCCATTCGCCAGCCTTCTTCCGCTGCTCAGTTTGCGACCAAACCCTTTCGGCTGAAGTCGAGCGCGGCCGTGTCATGGAACCCACACGATGCTGCAACGACGCCTGCAAATCCGAAAACACAATGGCCCTGATACACCAGCGATGCACCTTTGCTGACAAGCAAATCCTTCGAATCCAAGAGATTCCTGGTATGTGTGTCTGCAGTGCAGAGAACGGCTCGTTGAATGGCACACAGTCACTTTTGGCTGGCGCACAGCCACCCTGGGCCGGCACTGATGACCGATGTTACTTTTCATACCAGACGAGACTCCGGATGGTCAGACTCCTTACAGCGTCACTGTGATGGCATACGACGACTTGGCCGATGTTGCCAAGCCGGGTGACCGGTGAGTAGGCATTTATAGCAAACCACATCGAAGCACTGCGGCTCGATGCACATCTCCACTCCTCGCCAACAGCTCACTCAACTGCTCGTTATGCCTTTTGCGTTGCCTGTTCCATCCAGCGTTGAAATCACTGGTGTTTATCGCGGCGTTCCTGTTCGTGAAATTGCCCGCCAGCGGGCTGTCAAGTCCCTTTTCCGAACCTACATCGATGCAATGCACATCAAGCGAACCGACACCAAGCGGGTCGGACGAGACCCCACCATCGTGGAAGAGGAAGAGGGCAGCAACACCACGTAAGCACATGCGCCTTTGTACCGATTCAGATCTCTTGAAGCCGAGCCGCTTCCGATCCTCCCTCGACTCTCGTTAACCGCCTGCCACTTTTGAACCCCTTCAGATTCATGGAGAGCGATCGTGTCAAGGAGATCGACGCTGTCACCAAGGAGGAGTTGGTTCAGCTCTCCAAAGCCCCGCACCTTTACGAGCTCCTGGCCCGCTCCGTGGGTGAGTACCGAGCTCCACCTGGTGCTGCCCGATATTGCTCGATGCCGTTTGCATCTTCTTCGTGGCGACGATATGTTGCTGACCCAACTTTTTTGCACTATCTCAACCGAACTCCAACCACGCCGCGACACAAACAGCGCCTTCGATCTACGGCATGGACGATGTCAAGAAAGGTGTCCTTCTCCAGCTCTTTGGCGGCACATCTCGACACAGCCAGTCCGAAGACGGCAAAAAGACAGCCCGTGTCCGGTGAGTTGCCTTGAGGGGGCTTGCGTAATTCGATTGGCTTGCGGGCTCTGTTGAGCCATTTGTGTCTTGACTGTGGCTCTGACTGCCCATGCTTCGCACTTTAGCGGCGACATCAACGTCCTGCTTGTTGGTGATCCAGGTGTCAGCAAGTCGCAGCTACTGCAGGTTCGTTGGCACGGCCTTCACTTTGGCATGTCGATTGCCCTGTTTCTTCCCTACCACGCTGGCTGCGGCTCCATTGCGTCAAGGCGTATGCGTTGGGTGGCTCCTGGATATCGAGATCGCGTGACTGACCGCTGCCAACATTTACTTGGCTCGCATGCAGTATGTGCACCGCCTGGCCCCGCGCGGCATCTATACCTCTGGCAAGGGCTCCTCTGCCGTTGGTCTCACCGCCTATGTAACTCGAGACCCAGACACCAAGCAGTTCGTTCTCGAAAGGTAAGGGATTGTCGCACGAAACTTGGTCGAGTTTCACCTGAGGGTAAACGGCAGAGACACGAGCGAGCTGCATGCTCGCGGACCAGTGCGCGATCCAAACTGGAGTCTGTCTCCTAATGCTTGTCGATGATCCTCTCTAGTGGTGCCCTTGTGCTCAGCGACGGCGGCATTTGTTGTATCGATGAGTTTGACAAGATGTCCGATAGCGCTCGATCAATCTTGCACGAAGTGATGGTAAGCCGGCCGGCTATGGCTATAAATGCACTTCACCGATATCACTCGCACGACTCGACACTCACCGACACAATCCCGTTCGGCTGGCAGGAACAACAAACCATCTCGGTTGCAAAAGCAGGCATCATCACCACCCTCAATGCACGGACGTCTATTTTGGCCGCGGCGAATCCCATCAATTCAAAGTTTGACGAGAGACTGCCTATCGTTGCCAACATCAATCTCCCCGCGCCTTTGATGTCCAGGTACGCGTTGGGATATCGCCCAGAAGTTGATTTCCGAGGATGACGCTGGTTGATTTGCATACCAACCTAACGACTCAACTTGTGCCTCCGTGTGGCTTTAGATTTGATTTGCTCTACCTGGTCCTGGATAAGCCCAATGACCTCGATGACCGGCGCCTGGCCAAGCATCTGGTAGAGCTGTACATGGAGGACCGCCCGGCGCTGTCGAACCTGGACTATGTGGTGAGTACCTCCGGCAAAGGCCTGAAGCGCATTTCTCTCGATTGGGTCACTGCGTCCACACCTTGGGTTTGTGAGGGTGATTCTTGGCGAGTGGCATTGCTTGCAGAGGCGCAGTGCAACCTCTGAGCCCCGCTTCTCAATCGCAGCCTATCGACAAGTTCGCCAAGTACATCAGCTATGCTCGTCGAGAGATCACGCCCGTCATTACCGAAGAGGCCGGCAACGCCCTGGTCTCCAACTATGTCGAGATGAGAAAATACGGCAAAACCAGCGCTGGCGGCCAGCGACAAAACATTGTCACGGCAACCACACGCCAGCTCGAGAGCATGATTCGTCTCTCCGAGGCCCATGCCCGTATGAGGTAGGACACCATGCGTCTGCTCTGCTCTGCTTTGGCACGAGCGCTCCTTTGGCTGCTCCCAAGCCAAAGCCTCCGACAGTACGATGTATGACTGAGGCGCTTTGTTTCCCATCGTCTGCTAGACTCTCCACCACAGTTGACAAGATCGATGTCGACGAAGCGTACAGGTAGCTTTTGGGTTTGCACAGATTATGCCGCCCTTGCCCGCATGCCCCCGAGCACTACGGGACACTCGCCGCTAAGCTCGCCACTGACCGTTTCATTTTGCCTTGGTCGGCTTGCTAGACTCATCCAAGTGGCACTCCAGACCTCTGCTGTCGATCCAGCCACGGGCCGAATCGATATGGACTTGGTGACCACCGGCATCAGCGCCCGTGTCCGCAGCAATCTCAGTCACCGTCGCGACCAGCTCAAGACCATCATCCAAAACATCCAGAAGGAGTCTATCCGGTTCATGGAGATTCTCCGGCTCTTCCGCGAGCAGGAACATGAGGTACGCATCGCCGCGGACGGCGCTCGGGATCATTCGGATGAGACGAGAGTGCGAGAATCGACACGAACTATTATTCGATTCGCTGCTGCATCTCAACCCAGGCTCGCCGCTTGTGCTGATGTGCCTTGGCTGACCCCAATCTGCCCTCTCTGCCCCGAATGAACAGAAACTGAGCGAGTTTGAGCTCAAGAACCTGCTCGAAGATCTGTGTGATAGCGGCACCATTAGCATGCGAGGAAGGATGTCGACCGACACCATCATCACTAAACTGTAACTCTCCTCCTCCTCCTGGCTTGCTTACTCGGTGCTCCTCCTTCGGCAGCGCTCCGTTGCTGCATCTGTACTGGCACCCAGCACCGGCGCCTTGTGGAATACACTTACTGAGCTGCTGTCCTGGCTTTGGCATATCGGTCGTTCTGGCCAGCGTTTGGCTCGGCGCCATCGCTTGATACTGAGACATCGCCGAGACACTTTTACAGGCAATCCAATAAAAAACGGGACACCCGGGATTTTGACCATTCATCGAATATTTTGTTACCCAATGTTATCGCGCGCTGGCCATGACCATTCGCCACACATCCGACTTTCGCACCGCCGCATTGCGATGCTACGCCCTCATCCATAGCCTGCGTAAGGTCGCCTCCATATTCAGTGTATCCAAGAGCACCATCCATCGATGGCACCGAGGATGCAAGCTGGATGACCCATCCCGGGTCCCAGCTCGCAGATCCACTTTCTTCGAGCAGGCATGTCCAGTCATTCGCACCCTGATTGAACAGGACCCGTTCCAGACTGGTCCTGTGTTGCGATGCAAGCTCGAGTCCATCCTCCAGAGGAAAGTATCACTCTCACTCTGTCACACTGCCATCCACCGAGCAGGTCTCTCACACAAGAGGGCAACACACCTCTACAAGTCCAAGCGACTGGATGAGCGAGTGGCACAGTTCAGGGACCAGGTCCGCTCCATCGACCCACGACGATTCGTTTTTGTCGACGAGACAGGGTTCAGGAGATCCATTTTCCCTCTTTACGGATACTCACCGAAGGGTGCTCCGCTTCGCCAGCGCAATCACATGAAACACAAGTCTGTCTCGGTGGCATTTGCCATCAACCACTCTGGTGTGCTGCATCGCATGTACATCCCCACATCATTCAAGACACACTCGATGGTCGAGTTCTTTGAGCGAGCGAGCTTCCCAGACGACTCTGTGATTGTGATGGACAATGTCAGCATGCACAAGACAATGGCTGTCCTGGACTGCATCGAGCGCCGAGGATGGTCAGTGATCTTCACCCCACCTGCATCGCCCGACATTCAGGGTCGGGATGGTGACCCTGTTTGAGTCCGCCGTTCGGAGGGTGCTTCCAGATGTCTTCCCACGGCTGATTGAGCGAGCGATGCGCTTCTGGGGTTGAGTTCCCTCCAATCAGGCCGCCGTTTTCGCGTTCACATCCCTGGCTTGAACCTCTCGGCGATTTTTGAACAGGGTCACTTCCCCAACCAGCCCGCAAAGACGGGTTCCTGCTCTCGGGTATAAATGCCACACCTTCGTCCTGCTGCTTTCTTCCCTCATCTCGCCTTGATCTGATCATCGCGCTATTGTACGATAAAAAAAGTCTCTGCTCTGACCAGTACCACTGGCAGGCATCCAGCATCCTCTGCCCCCATGCCTCCGAAGCGTAAGGGTACCGGTGATGGCCAGCCTCGGCCACCCAGGCCCAAGAAAGCCAAGTCACAGTCGGAGCCTGTCTCTGGTTCGTCTTCTGATCCCACGCATGCTTGGTCGTCTGTTGCTCCGTCGCTCACCACCACTGCTTCTGCAGATCCAATGGATGTCGATCCCACCGAGCCTGGTCCATCTACTTCCTCGAGTACCGGCAAGCGATGTCGCCAGTGCGATGGCACCGATCACGAACGCTGCAACACTAGCAAATGTCCCAAATACCGGCCCCTCAAGAGTTCTGTCGTCCCACTCGTGGATGGAAGGTCATCCGCCCCTCAGTTCAGCTGCTTCAAGCAGACGATGGATGGCTGTTGTCTCAATCCCGCTCTCCGCGACAAGATCCAGGCCACCGTCGAGGTCATGACCCAGATCCAGTTCGAGGCATCCAGGCTGCTCAACCTGCACATCCTCCGGTGCATCGAGCAGGATCTTCCCGTCCCCGTCATCTCCAAGTCCACCCCTGCATTCATCCGCCAATGCTTCACGATTGTCGAGGCCGATGCCCTCTCGACGGCCAGGGATACCAAGAAATACAACGAGCATCTGGTCGCTTCCTTTCGCGACTACCAGACCACTCGGCACGCAGACCTGCCTCCGGCCCCTCGTCTGCCTGATGGTGCTCACAGTCAGCTTCTCACACTGGCTGTCAATGCCTATGCCACCAACTGCACCACCCACCTCGACCTGGCATACTGGAGACTCCTTCGCCGCTTCTGTGCTGCCGTCTTCCCAGCCAACAAGCATAAGCACGAAGCCATCGAGGCCTGTCTCGAGCTCTTCGAGAAACCAGGGCAGACTCCACCCAAGGCCGATATCGAGTTCCTCTATCCCGACTTTGGTCACATCCTGGACGAGTTTCGGTACAGCAACGACTAGGACCGCTTCCGGGCCCTCCATCGCCTCTCACACCATGTGAGAATCCTCGCCCGAGACAAGATGGTCGACAATGTCCACAAGTGGATCGACTGTGACATGCCCGCCCTCCGAGTCACCGAGCTGCAGCGCCAGGCCAAGCTGGACGAGCTCACTACCCAAGGCATTCCCTCCGACGACAAGAGGTTCACCACGGCCAAGTCTGAGCTCGGCACCACCAAGTCCAAGATCAACAAGCTGGCATCCAGGATCAACTGGGCACTCAAGCAGCTCGCTCTGGACACTCCTCCGGCCGTGTGCACGATAGTTCCTCTGTGCACTGCCACGGCCAAGTATGTCAAGATCGACACCGTCACTCTCTGGGAACTCCTTGGTCCAAAGAAGCGCCTTGACCTCACCTGGGACATGCTCAAGGAAGAAGGTGATGACGGTGTCAACAACCAGGATCGTCTCTGGCGCAGTTGCTTCAAGCTGCGTAGTTCCCTCTTCCGTGACCGGGATATCAATCACAAACTGTTCAACTACGAGATCAGTACCGATGGAATTGGATGCACCATCGGTCTCGTCAAGTTTCTGCCTCGAACCGATCACACCGAGACCATCGAGCCTCCTCCGACTGCCGAACAGCGTATCCAGGCCCACATCGGCGACCCAGACCCCGATCGCACCACTTGGATTGGCATCGATCCTGGAGTCGGCTCCATCTTCACGGCGGTCATCCAAGCACCGGGCCACCAAGACGAGGTGGTCTCATTCTCCAATGGCCACTACCAGCACATGTGTGGCCATACGTCCAACACCAAGTGGCACAATGCCATGAAGTATCGACTCAGCATCGAGACCTGGATGTCGACCACCCCCTCGCCCAAGGTGCAGTCCTCGGAGGCTTTCAAGGTCCATCTCACCCATGTCCTGCAACCGGAGCTGCGAGTGCAGCTCGACTTCCACCTTGGCAAGAAGGCCCGTCACCATCGCTTCACGGGCCACAAGAGGCGCCAAGTGGCCGTCGACAAGATGTGCAAGGCCGTCCTGAAGCACGCCCCGATACGGACCGATGTGGTGATCGCCTTTGGCAATGCGTCATGGCGACAAGGCAAGGGCTATGCATCCAGCCCTCGGAGGCAGCGGTTCGCTCGGTACTTTGAGCAATTCGAGCACCACCGACGCCGTCCCAATCACCATCATGGAAGTGTCAAGGTGGCCTCGACGAACGAGTTCAACACCTCGCAGGTGTGCTCCAAGTGCCTGGAGCCAGTTCGGTTGGAAGGACTCGATGCGCCCAGTGTTGCGAATTCCCACTTTGTCAGGAGCTGCAAGAATCCCAGCTGCCGGACAGTGTGGAATCGCGGCGTCAATGCGGCGCGCAACATGATCATAGTGTGCAGGTCGATTGTGGAGATCGGAGAGCGACCGGTGGTCTTCACTCGGAGGCTGCCAAAGTGATCTGTTTTATTTCTTGTGGCTTTGCTTGACGCAAGCACAGCACATACTACATGTTCATGGAAACGGCTATATTGTCCCGTTTTTTTCTGAATAAAGTGTAGCATTGGTTGGCGCAATGGGAAGATCGGTGTGGAGGGGTGTATCTCGGCCGCACCTGGAGGCCGGCCGATCGATGGGGGCACCCCAACTACCGGAAGCAGACAGTCATGTCGTTGGTGTGCTTGCCATCCACAGATCGTCTGCTGTTGTCTGACTTGTCGGCAACTTCCCTGTTTGTCGTGCTTGATTTTTTTTTTTTTTCCTCTGCCAGAATGCCGTCCTGGACCAAGTCCCCGATCGCCGCTGCCCTCGCCTCGCGATCTGTCCGCTTGGCTGCTTCTCCCCAGCTTTCGTCTCACCGCCGTTGCCTGGCTGTCGCTGCGACAATGCTCGCCAAAGATCACCGAGGATCGCTCGCTGCAGTCTCGCCGCACGAGTTCCGTCTCAGCTGCGTCCCTGCTTCGGCGCTCAAGTCCATCTCCAACTCGCCCAGCACCCAGGCCACAGCCGATTATGCCGATGCCATTGTCGACGTGCTTGCTTCAGCCAACTGCTGTCCGTACTGCATCCTGCGGTATTTCGATGTTCGAGACGTTCAGCGATATCGATCTCATCGAACCCTCGTCCAGCCCTCCGATCGCATCGTGGCTGGCGACTACTCATCCCAGAGCCGCTCTGGGCCGACAGCCGCTGCAAAGGACGGGGGCTCGGCGCCTGCAGCTTCCAGCGGCAAGCCTGAAGTAGCCAAGGCCATCTTCAACGCAGGCGGCAGATGCTCCGTCTGCTTCGATATCCTCCATCTGGACTATGACGCCCTCGCCAAATCCAAGGCTGGCGAGATGACGGGCATCGACACTGCTGATAGCCCGGGCTCCTCGTACCAAGGCGCGACGACATTCACCACCTCCCTCAAGGTTCCCGTTGCCCTGAGCCTCCGGCACAGATGTATTGATCTATTGATTGCGTCCCTCCATGCCTCCCACAGCCGGTAAGCAGAGCGCATTGCTCCCCGGGCATTAGATCAGCAGAACAGGCCAGAGCGGTGCGGCCTTGTGGCATGCTATGTTTGAGTCTCACCGTCCCTTTTGGACTTGTGCTGGGCAGTGATTCCCCGGAACTCATCAAGCCCACGTCGTTCTCGGTCAAGGACCTGGCCAAGAGCTTTCTTGTCGACGCAGTCAAGCGCTCAACTGGATTGAGGTTTGAGCCAAATGTAAGAATATGGCCCATGTCCAGCAGTGACGGGGCCATTTGCTGCGAGATCACCTCGAGGCAACAGTGAATCCGCCGGTACCAACGTCTGCTCATGAGAAGGCGACGGCGCTTGAATCCTATTCAATGCATTTGTGCGGCTGCGTCGCGTAATGCTGATTTGGCCTCCAACCCGCACTCTGCAGAGTCCGTTTATGCTGGAGGTCCAGTTCAGCAACCGAGAGATCGAGAAGGAGTACATGTGGCTGACCAAAGTTCCTGAAGCCAATTTCAAAGTGAAGATCAGGAGAGCCAAGGTACGACGAGAGGCTGATCCATATTCAAAACTAGAGAGCTATGGTCGCGGTCCACCAATGTCTCTGGCCGTACTCGTTTGCATTGCTAAAGCCATGGCTATCTGTTCCAGGGCCAAGAGATCGTCGAGGGCCTGTCCCAGGAGAAGGTTGCCAACTCTGCCAGTTTGCTCGGACTGGACCACTATGTCAGGCAAGCACCATGGCATAGGCGCCGGCTGTGACTGCCACCACAATCCTGTTGCGAATGCGCTCTGCTCCTGCTACACTTCTAACCATATCTGTTCACGCCCCCGTAGCCACGATCACTGTCCTCCTCGTCTTGTCAGCCAAGACACTGTCTACGACGAGCCAAGGCTGACCCATGCGCCCATCTTCGTCGCCGGTACGTCGATAGCTGCCTGGCCACATCTGCCACGATACAGCTTCTGTGCTAAGTGAACCGGATCGACTGGGATGGCATGCCATCGTGGATACGGAGGGATGTTTTTGTCTTCCATGTCAGTTCTCGACGCTGCCTGGTTTGAAACATTGTGCGAATGCCGTGAAAGGACCGAGCCAACGTCACTTGTTTTCGGATGCGACTGAATCGACATATCCCCACCAGGGCGATATTGTAAGCTCCAGCGCAACATCAGCCATTCTCCGTGGATTGTGGATGGCAGGAAGAAAACAGAGGACTCTGTGGAGGAGCTGATTGCGGTGCATCTTAAAAAGCTCTTCAACAATGCGAGTAAGCGCCACCACGACTGACTGACCTGCCGTTGTCCAGCCAACACTCTGTCGCTCCCTCTTGTACTGATATTGGTCCAAACCCTGCACCCTGTAGCCCACCGGTTTGCATCATCGGGTCGCGAAGATGCAGATGTTCGTATGCTCGGCGATGGCCGTCCGTTCTACTTTGAGCTCATCAACCCTCGAGTGCTGGTGCCGACATGTGCTCAGATGGTCGCGCTTGAGGAGAGTATCAACCAAAGCTCCGTGGGCAAGGTCTCGGTTCGCGACTTGCAGGTGGTCTCCAAGGACTCCACCAACATCATGAAAGACTCGGTGGACACCAAAAGCAAGTCGTACAGGTACTGCACACATGGGTTGTCGAGCTGTTAGATGCAGCTTGGACCATCAAGCTTCAAATGCCATCGCCACCATGGCTTTCTCATCACTCTTGAATGCCTCCGTCCATGTCTGTGGTACATCCAGCTGCATTGTAGAGCTTGCCGAGCCCGTCACAAAGCAAGCCATTCTCGATAAACTCCATGACAAGAGCAACATCGAGGTCCAACAACGCAACCCAACTCGCGTTCCGCGGTAAGCTGGGTGCGGGACGAAGCGTCATCTGTGCTGGCAAGACGAGCTCTGCAGCTCGTCGTCGATGCTGACGATCCAGAGTTCTTCCAACCGTGCAGTCGCGCCGATCTGGTCCGAAACAAGTGCGTCGAGCACCTGAGCGTCGAATTCCTTGATCCCAGTGGCACGGACAGCGTTGACGCTCAAGAGGTCACCAAATTTCGAGCGAACATGAAGACAAGCGCGGGCACATACGTCAAGGAGTTTATCAGCGGCGACGACGGACGAACGACGCCATGTGTAGCCACCCTGCTTGGAGTCTCTGCTGCTGTGTGCCAACAGCTTGACGTAACTCGGATCCATCTGGACTGGCCCCCGAAGCGGTCGGATGCCGCTGAGCAAGCGTCGGATGGGGCTGCTAAGAAGCACACTATCGATGCGCCCACGACAGATGCAAGCGGTGGTGCGGATAAGAAAGCCAAGCTCGGGCTATAATGCCCAGGAATGCGGACTGGCGCCTCTGCGACTGGTATATAATCCATACTGAGATGATGCGTACACTGTCCGAGACAGGTCGCGTTTGCTATCGCAACAACGCAACAACGCAACACGGCTATACTGCGTCGTGGGAATCGAGCGAGTGGGTCTGGGCATTATGATGGATGAGAGTCGATGTCCTTGCAACCAGGACCAACCGGCCACGAAGCGGAATGTCTTATGGCGCTGTGTGCGGAGTTGCTCTGCGATCAAATCAGACAAGCATGTCTTCTTCAAGGCACTTGGACTTCCCGCTCACTGCTGCCGCTCACTGCTGCCGCTCACTGCTGCCGCTCACTGCTGCCGCTCGCTCCTCCCGCCATCTTGCCGATCGCCAACCGCCTTGCACTTGCGGCCCGAGCGGTAGCGTTTCCCGCAGCGCTGTCGGATCGATACTGACTCGACTCTGGCATCCGCATCGGCCGCTGAGTTTGCCTGCTTCTCCCCATCGAGATGAACGGTGGTTAGAGTTGACATCCATGCGTCGAGCCGCTCGTTGGAAACATCGCGGATGAACACACTCGTCTGTTACAGACAGCGGCTCGATCCCGCCAGTCGCTTTGGATCAAGTCTGCCAAAACAAGCGCTGAGATCTGCGCGCCAGTCTGCGCTCCAAGTGGCCCGGCCCGCCTTTGGGCAGATGGTGGGGTGTGAGAAAGTCAATTGCCTCAGCAGCCGTCGAATGACCACTTTCTGCTCGCTCGGGCTCGCTGTCGGCCGTGCTGGCTGCCCGCGCCAATCCCCCGCCGTTTCCTGATTCTGGCCCTCTCGAACACCCCGCTCACTTGCGCCCTCTGAGCGCAACCCTGCCGCTCTGTACTGGGATGTAGTCTCGTCTGTACGGCCGGCGGCCGACACCTTCTCCGCGAGAAATCAAGCGGCCCGCCTCTCCCTGGCAGCACATCGGGGTCGGCGCTGCGGTTCCATCGCAGTTTTCCTCCTTGTGCCAGCCTCTGCCTCGAGCATCGTCTTTGTCCTTCCCAACCTTGTCTGCTCGGCTCTGGCCTGCTGCCCAACCCCTGTCGCCCGTTTCGCCCGTTTCGCCCGTTTCGCCCGTTTCGCCCTCTCGCACCTCCGCCAGCCGCCTCTGTTCTTTGGCCCTTGGAGCCACCGTATTTGCCCTCATGCTTGCCCCCACCCGCGGCATTGGTCCTTGGACCCTGGCCGAATCCCACGCCAATGTGGAGCCAAAGAGTCGCGACGCGTCCGCAGACCTGCATCGGCCATCGCCATCGCCGTCGCTCTCGCCCTCCAGCGTCGGCCCCGGCGGTGTTGCTATTGCTACTGCTGCTGTTGCTACTGCTGTTGCTGCTGCTGCCATGTCGTGCTCCATGTCTGACTGCCGGCCACAGTCGCCCCAGGTATCGCTCGCCGGAGCTGCATCTGCTGGCAATTTAGGTCTGCCCCAGTCAGCTGTTGCGACCGGCCAGACTCTCGCGGAAACCACTTCGCCGCGCGCGGTTCTGTCTCGGCTCCCGTCGCCTCGGCCATCAAGATCGAGCTCGCCCGCTGGCGCGGATGCTGGCATCTCGGGAATTCCTGGGGCGATAGAGCAGGTGTCTTCTCCTCCGCCTTCGTCGCCTCCTGCGCTGCCGACACTGCACGAATGTCCGCTCGGTCCGCACAAGCCGCTCACGACCGAGCCCGAGCCAGGAAAGTGCCTCCGCGCGAATCCATTCCAGCAGCATTCAGGAATCGTTCCTGAGTCCATGGCATCGCTGCGTGGCCCCACGATCACCAAGACGACTCTCAAACCTGGATTGGCTCGATTGAGGCCCTCATCGCCCCCACAATTGCTTGAGCCACCCGAAAATCCGTGCAAGGAGGCTCCTCTGCCTGTTGCCCCAAGTGCCGAGGCCGTGGGAGCCGCCTTTAGCTCACCATCGAGCCTGCCACCGACCCAAAAGATTGGAGGTATCCGAATCGAATATCGAAGGAAGAGAGCCGCACCGCTGGTTGAAGAGTCAGAGAAGAGCGCGAAGGTAAATCTCTGCGACCGAATATTTGCCAGGGCGATAGTCGCTGAATTCATCCGAGACAGATGTGCAGATCAGGGTTTGGCGCTTCATTCGCGAGAGTTGCGGGCTGTGTTCTTGGCTGACAATGACCACTCATCAACTTGCTCGTCTCCCGTTCATACACGGTCAGAAAGTACACTTGTTTTCAGCATTCCGGCTCGAGAGTCCGGCGACCACTGAAGGTACGATGTGATTGCTGGCAGCACAAACGACCGAGCAAGCCAGGCGAGCTGCAAATCTCGGCGGTATCGGGGCATTGAACATGAGCCGGCGGCATGGCTGAGACTTACCAGAGTTGCATCTCTTGCCGCAATGCTTACCAGGCCCGAATGCCCACCGTCCGCCACCAGACTCCCGCAGCAGTTCGGATGAGCCCATCAGGACTCTATCCCGGCCCAGGCTCCATCCGTCCCGCCTCGACCAATCTAAGCGTACTATTTCTGTTTATACTATCAAGGGAACAGGCATCCAACGCTCCTCGGCGAGCCCCTCGTCGCCATCCATCGCAAGTTGCCGCTCTCTGACTCCCCTACAGATCACGAAAGCCGTTGACGGCTCAATCGCGACGATGCGTGCTGAAGCCAGCTCGGTCGGGCCCACGCCGCATCGTTCGCCGACGCCTATCGCACGAACAGCACTTGGGGTTAAAAGTGAAGGCGATTACGGCAAGACCGGTTCCTCCACTCTCAGCAGTCAACCCATTTGTCGATCCCCCGAATCCTTCGTATGCGCAACGGGGTGCCGCAGCAACACTGTCATGGCGGACCAGACCAGCAACAGCAGGACACACACCAGCGACAGCAGGACACACACCATGGATAGCGACAGCCCTATGGCCGAGTCTGAGTGTGCGGCCAAGACTCATGTCCCCAGACGACCACACTACACGTCTGCCAGCAATATCGCATCATCAGCCAAGATGCAATCTCTGTATATCCGCCCGGAACAAGCTCGCAAGCCGGGCGACACCGATCCGAGATCCGGCGACGATTCCGACCAAGAGCACCACCTGCGTGATCAAATGAGCATGGTTCGTCAACGATATCCAGCAAGAGTCAACGACGAGTACGGCCGCAGCAGAGACTCTGTTCCGATGGGCTGTCTGTGTTGCATGCCGAAAATCACAGAGTACTCCTGCCATCATCAGCACCATAGCCACGGCTGGCTTTCGGCTCGCAAACACCACCGTTTCCAGCCATACAGACCCAAAGACAAGGCAGTCCTGGAACGGCGCCGCTCGCACCACCAGGAGCAGCAGCAGCAGCAGCAGCAGCAGCAGCAGCAGCAGCAGCAGCAGCATCGACATCCCGAATGTCCAAATCCTTCAACTCGTCCCTCGCAGCAATCCAGGGAGCCTTCGGAGTATCGCAACTCAAGCCTCGAACGGGAATCTAGCAGTGCTACCGAGTCATGGATGTGCGAAGATGCATGCTGCAGCCCACAGGCATCCAACCGAGTCGATTGTGGTCCACAACCAACCCAACATCACTGTCTTTGTTACCGCCCTCAGCCTCCAGCGAGACACGAGCAACATCACCAGCACAGCCATACCAACTATCGCGAATGCTATGTGCCCCCGAGCTCAAGTCCGCAAAGTGGGTTCAAGCACAACCATGCGTCTCACAGCCCCAGTCGACATGCTCACATGTGCGCACCAAGTGCTCGGCATCAGCAACCGGGCCAGCGCACACAGCACCGTCCCCGTCCCGATACACATTCCCACGCATATTCACATATACACACACTGCCACATACCCCGACATCAGCAATCCCGATAGACCAAAGCCCCGGCCCGGGGTATGTCTCTGAGGACAAGCACTTTTCGTATCGGTGCTTGATGGGTGCAGGCCGCCGCTCTGCAAGTGCCTCTCCAGGCGTCGAAGGGACACACCGCGATGCTCACAGCAACCCCGTCGAGCGCGGAGCCCCTTTCGATACAATGCGCCCATCTCGGCGCTCGGATGGGCCGGCTTCCGTCGGCCATCGCAATCACATTCACAATCTTGCTGCTTGTCCACCGCCACGTTCGTCATGGCACTCGCACCCGCCTCAGCATCTCCACTTGCACAAGGATCCGAAATCAGCCACTCACGCGCCCTCGATCCCATATCCACATCCGCATCAAGATCCACATCTGCGGTCAGATTCATATCTACCGTCGCATTCACAAGCCCACGTATATACAAATAATGGCTCGGCACATATTCCTGCACTCGAGGCTTCTCGTTGCAGGACCAGCGACTCTTCCAAACACTCTGACGAATCCCTTTGGGCCTTCGATATGCTCGCCAGTGTCGCAATCGGATCCGAGCCGCGCCATCGAAACCAACCCAGGAGCTCGAGATCGCGCTCGAGGCAATCTGCGTCGTCAGGCTCCAGAGGATCGAGCACGCGCTCGGGATCGTGCTCTCGCCGTGAGCACGCATCTCCAACCTCTGACTTGTGCGGGTCTGAGGCACGAGATGCTGTCCTGGAGTCAGCAGAGCGTGGAAGACCCAAGTCAAGCGAATAGGCCACGGAGCTCGCGTTCGCTGTTGTGAATATCTCACCACCCCTTTTGGGTAGGGGAAAAGTGAGAGGTGGACGATCGACATCACTCAAATCCGATGAGGCAAGGCCGTTACAGGCTATCAACCGAGACCGAGCAGTGCATAGCATAGAAATAGCATAGACATTGAGGGGACGGAGGGCCCTAGAGGCTTCATGAGCAGGAAGGCGAAACACCCAATGTTTCGCCGACAGCGACCGATAGACAATCAGAGCGTAGAAAGGTAGAGCGAGCATGGAAAGCGCGGCAGATCTCAGGACACATGGGCAATGTCAAGCCCTTACGATGTACCTCTTGAGAGAACGGACTCGGCTGCCAGCAATAGCACTCGCTACAAACACAACGGCATGGGTCGCAACACATGAGCATCACCGCCTGGCCGTCGTCGCTAATGCCCCGCACTGATGATGCTGCGGAAAGACGAGGCTCTCCAGAATCAGAGACGGAGCGTGGCAAGGGCCATGTTGTTTCGGTTGAGCACTGCCTGTATTTACATCCGAGCCAAACTTGCGGAGGCAGGCAATTGCCTCTCAAGGGCAGCCGCAGGACAGCCGCAGGGCTTGAAGAAGGAAAGCATAATTGCATGCCCCACCGGGTCTGCTCAGACCACAAAATGGTGTCATACTTGATCTTGCCTCTCCTGCAACTTCGAATGTGTGTTTCCAGCTGGATATCAGATCCTTTTACTCGCATCTCGGTGCCGGTGAGCACCGACTTATCGAGCGACCGGTTTTAATGTTGAGCCCACTGGATGGATTTGATGTCAATACCTTCCTGAACCTATTTTTTGTTTGGGATAGTGGGGGTGGGAGAGTGGAGCGAGATCGACAGAAGCATGTGTGAGTGTGACGGGACTTGGACAATACCTGACAATCATGGCAACTCAAGACATCCCACACCCGCAAGACTCCGATACGTAGATGGCTGTGGGGCGGATGCGGCCAGTTCGAGCCTCTCCCAATGCTGTCCCACACCCAAGACGCAAGGCGCCACTCATTTCGGCCCATAATATCTCAACGTCAGCGCATGCTCACGCACCATTTCCCAAAGAGGGCTCATTTCGCGGAGCTTGTCAACGTGCTGGGTGACACGGTCGATGGTGTAGTCCACTTCTTCCTCAGTAGTGAAGCGGCCGATGCCGAAACGGATGGACGAATGGGCCATATCCTCTTCAGCACCAAGGGCCCGCAGCACATACGAGGGCTCCAATGACGCGGACGTGCAGGCGCTGCCCGAGGAGAGAGCGATTTCCTTCAGAGCCATCAACAGGGACTCGCCCTCGACGTATGCGAAGGAGAGATTGACGCAGCCTGTCCAGAGCAGTAGATAGGTGTCAAAGCGACATGGGAGTGAGTGGGTGCAGCGAGTGAGTGCAGCAAGGTATGTCAAAGCACAACGGTAGCTGTCCATCGATTGTTGCTCTACCCCAAGAGCCACCACGGATTCGTCGCTTGGAGGATTCCAATGGCCCTTCGGACGACGTCCCATATGGCAGCCACATAATTAGTCTGGAGGGGGACAAGCAGAGTGCGGATGCATACCTGGATACGACTGAACGGGGTCGCCGTTGCGAACAACGTGCTGAACGTTCTTCGTGATGCCGCTGACAAGCTTCTCGGACAACTTTGCGATGTGCTTCGAGTCATACTAGATAAGGGAGGATGTCCAGCGATACCCTCAGTCAGTGCGCAGGCGAATGGCTGCTGCTTGCGTCTCGGGCTACTTACCGCCATCTCTTCTTTGGCAACCCGACAGGCTTCGCCAAGGCCCACCACCAAGGGAGTCGGGACTGTTCCGCTGCGCAGACCACGTTCCTGGCCACCGCCAGACTGCAGAGGCTCGATACGGACGCGCGGGCGACGACGGACGTAGAGGGCACCGATGCCCTTGGGGCCGTAGAGTTTGTGGCCGGATATCGACATCAAGTCAATGTTCATGGTCTGCACATCCATCGGGATCTTTCCAAGCGCCTGGGCGGCATCGGTCTTGGGGGATGAAGCGACATGTGACGATCGAGTTAGATCAGAAGCCAGGGACACAATGCGACACACGCCTGATGTGAGGGAGGGAGGGAGAGAGCGGAGATCCGTTGCAGCTCCGATGAGATGCCTACATGGAAAAAGACTTTCTTTTCACGACAGATTTTGCCTGGACAACACAGAAAGACAAAAGCCAGGTCAGTTTTGGAGCGAGACAGCGCTGTTGAAAGCGGATACGGGGCATGGGTCTGTAGGACAGCCGATGATGGGTCCTGTCTGATTGCACATGGCGTGGTGAAGGTGAAGGTGATGGGGGAGGGAGGAAGACAGCTTTGGCAGGTCAAGGACATACCAATCTCGGCGATGGGCTGGATAACACCGATTTCGTTGTTCACGGACATGATGGAGACCAGGGCAGTCTCGGGACGGATGGCTTCTTTCAGAGCCTATCATTGGGTGGCCAGATGCCCAGTGGCAGCGTTTGCAGCGGGTTATTCAGTGCCTCGAACGAACCAGCTGGGGCAACAGAGCCAACATCTGACATCCGAACCTTGACCGTGCCCGACTTACATTCAGATCGATCAATCCGTTGGTTTGGACGGGCAAATAGGTGACCTCAAAGCCCTCTTCCTGCAGCACACGGCACGAGTCGAGCACGCACTTGTGCTCGGTCTGGGTGGTGATGATGTGATTCTTCTTGGATTTGTAGAAGCGAGCGACACCTTTGATACTGATGTTGTTGGATTCCGTCGCACCGCTGGTGAAGATGATTTCCTTGGGATCGGCGTTGATCAAGGTAGCGACGTGCTGTGGAGTTGCGGGCCACCGGAGCAGCAGATCGCAAGAATAGGGCTGGAGTCAGAT